TCAAAGGATGCACCTACGTCAATATGAATTGTTATAGGTTATCCCTATCGCCGTAATTCAAATAAACAAAGTGAAGAATATATTAATGAATTACTGTTTTAAATATAATTATCAAATGTAATTTGTATTTAAATAGTCCCTTGAAACAAAAAACAAAAAATAAAAAGCGCTGCATTTAGATCTGGTATGACCTTTCACAAAACTCAACATTAAAGAAGAATAAATAAACATGTTAATAACAATTATAATTGTTTTTATTGTTGTTGGTATTACTAATTATTATTGGTTTGTTTTTTTTTTTTATACAATTATTCCCTTGACACAAAGCGACTTTGCGTTACATACAAATCTGAGTAAGAAATTCAAATTTCAATCCACGCACATTTGGAACTATACGAGAGGATTTAGTAGACCAAAACTGACGGAGGCCTTGTCAATTTCGTCAAAATTCCTTTTCAGTTTACTTCGCCAGGCGGCATTCTTGTTGTACATCGAATCCTTCCTGGCCAGTAAAGGCTTTACAGCACCATTGTTATCGCTGTTGCTCGCTCTAAAGTTGCTCTGCGTATTGTAATCCAGTTTATTGCATAATAAACACTTAAATTCTTGACCTTTTCCTTCGAACAACGCTCTGTAAATAAATGATTAGGTAAAATTTAATATTTTCGTCTAAAGTTTGGAATGTTAATATAGATAAATTATTTATTATTTCACAGAATGTAGGCGAAAATTATAAAAACTTAATAGTTGATGTATATAATAAGTATTTTCCTATTAGGATAATCATATTCTTGCATCAAAAATTGTTAAATATGAAAGGATTAACAATTATTATTGTTAAGTATTCTGTCAAAATATTGAGCTTATAATTTACACCTTTGATATGGATATATGAATTGAATTACAATGCTTGGGTCTAATATACCCAAAACCCTCTACACCCTTCCGAAGACTTGCGCGCATATTTTGAAATGATGGAATTTTGAAAGAATGCGAATTATTAAAGAGGACCGAAATAAAAACAAATTTTTCGTATGGAATTTGTCACCTAATTCAAATGGAAAATAACAGAGTCAAAAGCAACGTCTGTATTGTATTTAATTCCCTTTGAGCCGTGGGTAAAGGCAATAAAAGATCTCTCTGACTAATGTAGTAGATATGGTCGGTACGTGTCTAGTGTGCTAACGACCTCTCCGTGTGTTATTCGGCCCAAGCACACGAACACAAGCCTGAATGCAATGCTTTGCATCAATCGCTATAAACAGCATATATTCAAACAACATATTCGTTTTGAGACAAGGGGCAAACTATCACAAAATCACGAGTACAGGTTCGAGTGTGAACGAAAATCGTGTGAGCTCTGCTAGAAATAAAGGAAAACGTGTACAATAACAAAACATAAGTTTTGGGTATCTTCGAGATTCCAGTCAAATGTTACGATTAATTACTTACCGCAGAACTAATTGTCCTTCTGTATTTTTCCAGAAGGCTTACAAAAGAGAGTGCAGTTATTAATAAGGTGGTTTATTTAGAAATTAATATTCATTTTCTTGTAGCAAAAACAAGTCAGCTATAATTTAATATTAAGTATTATATATTTGTAAAAACTTGCACGTTTTGCCAAAGAAAAAATTGCTCTAAAAATAAATAACCAAATTATTCAACGAAATAATTCAATACACCCCACTTGATCATTACTTAGTATTATACAAAATCGATGTCTTTGTATAGATTGTACAAATATAATATAATTGTACTCCGTCAAATTAGTTAAGCACATCTATAGTTATTTACACATATTGCTTTATTACCTTAATAAATTTGGACATTTGAAGACATTTACGATACGATATAACATATAGTATACAGAAGATCACCATTGAAAATGATAAATTGGGTTACTTCTAATCGGGTTGCATTTCAGATTTCGAATGATCTCTTAATTAGATGTCCCCCACCAAGGCTGTCTAAATTACGTTTCGACAACTTTTGCTGCATATCCTTGATTGGATACATATTTCTTGGCGGTAACGAAAGCATCAATTCTGTTAACATGCTGATACCATTTAAGAATAATTCTCTCTTATAATCTTTTGCTGTTGGTTGAGGAAGGTAGTAGCTGTCGTTATATACATTTATAGTTGAAGCATCTGAACCAAACAAAAAGAAAAAATATTTAAAATATAATAAATATTGAACAATAGTTTTACAGGCTTTAAAAATACAATTTTTAAAATATGTTATATATAGTAAACCTAAATATTTACAATACATGCTAAGTACTTATTATTTTACATACATAAATTAAAAAATATATGAAATCAATATACAAAAGACACAAAAAATGATTTATCCGGAGAAGGTGAGGACGTTGTGAAAGATCAGAACTTTTTGGAACACAACAACCTAGATGATATTGGGACACAAATAATAACTGTATTGATCAAAGTCTCCTCTATTAAAATATTTTTGAATTTTGGGCCTAGTGAAAAAACTTTACAGACTTCAAACTTTGGAATCGAGCGAGTGTACCCAGCTCAGGTCAATATTGTTGAAAAGTTCTATATTCACACAACGTCCCCTCACTAATCTTTAAACAATGGATGTGATCCAGCTAGTAATCGATAAATTCCCCAAACGAAGTCAAATATCTAGAAAACCGAAGGATTAATTCGCCAGTCCGACAAGCTGCGTCCCCAGGTCCCGGATATAACCTGAAATTGAAAATGCTGTTAATAATAAGAAAGCGAATAGGTTACAAAAAAAAATTATTCACAAGCACTTCGAGTGTATTTTATTTTATATTTTATTTTTCAAATTTTTCATTATTCTTTACGTTGTTACGGACTTAAACTTTGTTCAAACATGCACTGCAAAACGTGAGGAAAGACTGTGAATTTCCCGTTGCTTGCAGTTCTTTTTATACGTTTTTAAGCCTAGCAAGCAGAAACAGGGTGCTGGGGGGATGCAGCAAAACTAATTCCATTCAAAGCAAACCTTTTAAAAGCGTACCCATTATTATCAAGTTAGTTATACTCCCATTCCCTGTAAATACACAAAAGTGGCAGTTGGGTGTAACCAGTTTATTAGTTCTATTACATTATCATGTTATTTATTACCAAAAATGCAATGTGTCGTTTACTATGGGCTAGAAAACAAGCAAAAGTAAAACATTCACTTCAACTCTAATTATTTATATAAATATTAAATATTAATATTTTGGTTGCTTACATTTGACGTTTCGCTTCCCATTAACAATTTTTGCAAAGTCTGCGCTAGTTATTTAAATATCATAGCTGTACAGAGGGTATTTTCTAGTCGGATCTCTTCCGCTATTGGCATTCCTACTTTTTGCTGATGCTCTTTATGCGTCACTTACACCATATTTCAAATAATTTGTGGTAAATGCTCCAGCAAACAGTGCTAAATAATTATACAAACAGCAATGTTCTTGGATGTCAAACATATGTTCACTTTTTCTACTGATTATACCTCATTTTATTAGTATTGTATGTTTGATTTTACTCTTATTTTAATTCATATTTATCTTATTTCCATAAAACAAAGCCAGTCTGTTTTGGAACCATAAAAAATATATATGTTTTGTGCTTATGTATGTCGTGCAACACTCTTAAAGTATTTTTGTATACTTACATTATTAATACTCATTTAATACTCATGAAAAACTGAAACCACACAGCATCGATGTAAGTAGCTAAGCAGATAATCTGTCATTATAGTAGAACTTCTGGTAGCAAACTTAGCTGTAACTTTCGAGTTGATTAAAGATGGACTCCGTTTCTAAAATGGGCGCTGCTCGGTGTCATTTTTTTTCTTCCAGAACAGCAATTTGTTGTTTTCTCTGATACGATTTGACCTTTTGCCAGTTGGTAGAAAATACTTGATACAGGACTTGGCCAAGGCAATTGTAGATTTTTGCTGGAAATTGTTGGGTTCCAAACGACAATTCCTTCTCCAGTGAGCACATATTTGATTTGTCTAATTTTGCATTCAAGGATTAACGGGACGTCTAAGAATCCAAGCAAATATGCAGGCTATTCTACAATTCAATAAAAATCGTTCTAAAATATATGCAATTCTAAATTTTGCTCATGTTTTATTTCAATTTTAGAATTCATTTTTCACTCAAATTGTTGTAATTCACATTTTTCATTTAATTTAATTAAATTTTTGTTATACATTAGGTCCAAAATAGTTAAATTTAACAAAATCGAATTTAGGCCAAAAACTTACGCCTCTACAAAATATAAATATTCACCGGAAGATTATGGCAAATTCTTTGAATACAAGAAAAAAATTCCAATAATAGTTTTTTCTTCTCATTTTTATTTGTAGTTCTATATCTAAAAGCTTTTCCTTATATTTGTATTATTCTAACAACAATAGCACAAAAACCTATTTATTAAACGATCACTTAAGGACACATACCTTAATTATGGATATTAATTGATGATTGATTGATTGATTGTGATACTACAATAAATATATATATATATGTATATATATGTATATGTGAATGTATGTGTATCTGACAATTTTGTACAATAATTCAGAACATCGATTTTGACACAACTGGCTGAACATTATTTCGTTCCTGATTACACATATAATAATAAAAAGATTTCTCTTAAATCGTCAGCTATGCTCAAAACAACAAAAACGATACTCTCGTCCTCCTCGCATCCCCCTTGGCTCTTCGAGCCATTCCATAATGTCACATGCTCCCCTCGGTGCTGCTCGTCGTTCCCTTGGAATCACACATTCCCCCAGCAACATTGTCATCTCCACGCACCGATCCGGATGTGAGTCCTCCAGTTATTCCAGTTAAATTTAGTTTGTACTGTTGGGAGAGAAAGTTATAAAGTAATTCTTTGGATTTCAATTTGTTATCAAAATAAGTGCGAATTCTCGAGATAAACAAACAAAAGAAAAAAGTTGTAGTTCAACTGATCATACCTAAATCGATTTATTATCTTCAACAATTCCTTTAAATTAAAATGTAATTTTACATATTACCCAAAACTAGATTGTAAATAACGTAGAAGAAAAAGAGGATGTGTATATGTGTAAAATATTGGCAATGTGACCAATAAATGAAAAGCGTTGCTGTTTCGCCTTATTCCGTTATTTAATTGAACGTTATTCTCTATTCTTAGAGAGTTGTGCTTTGCGCGACGCTCTCAAACAAGTTTGAAGGAGCGAGATAGCAAGCTGTTACTGAACGTTGTCCCGAGTGCTGGTTTTGAGTGTGACCGAAATGTCAATAAATTTCCTTGCAACTTATGTGATAGCAACGTACACTGAGAGAGTGGAGTGTGTAGCTGGTGCCGCAATATAATTTTAAGATGAAAATTTGTAATACAAGCCAACAATGTAAAGATAACAGGAACTTGATTTTGAAGCAATTGTTCCTATGATAATTTATTTGTCTGATGTTGCTAGTTTTATTTTTGTACCTACTGAGGAATATCATTGTTCGTTTATCTTTAAAATGGTTTTGGGTAGATTCGAGCTAGTTATAAAGATCACAGCAATATGACGATAAAACTTATGCAGTCAAAGAAAGATTCCAGTCGTCTCTCCGAAGCATTTCATGAAGCCCGGCTCCCGGCCTCTGGAGTGCGACAGAAGCATCGGCAACTCGCACTTGCTGCTAACCAGGATATTATAAAGATTGAATATGTTATTGTCATCAAAATATATTGAAAAACATACCGAGCTGCTTAACGGGAATTCAATTTCACTAGCCTCTACTCGAACTGAGCTATGTTTTGTTGTAATAAAACACTTTGAAATTGATGACTAAGAAAATGAATTACTTTGAAAATGCTTTCACTAAATACTTTCCTAGGTAGGTTTAAATAAAACTAAAAAGGTAAAACAAATTAATATATTGTAATACAAATAATAATAAAAAAACAATTGCAATTAATGTTTTAATTGAAGTTACCTTGTTTGCGCATTCAAAACATTTTGATACAACTTTATTGATAACATTCATAAGATTCTTGGTTTCCCTTATGACATGATCAACCTTAACAAATGTGGCTGCTTTTCCCACTGTATGATCTTTAACTGTAAATTGTAGAGCTTGGACAAAAGTCGGCACTCGATCTAAAATACCTAGCAGGTCCTTTTTGTTATCACTGGCTGGCACCTGAAAAAACCAAATTAATTTGTTTTTGAGATAAGTCGCACAGACATATAGATAATTTATATTAGACATATAGATAATTATTATTAAATACCTGATATGAAAAATGTCGTAGAACCTTATATAGTCTATTGGCTTCTTCAGCAAAATATTCCGCCTGAGTAAACAAATCTTGTGTCGTTCTTAAAGAGCCGCTTCCTTTCGTAAATTGATACATCAAAAATGCCATCGCCGACATATTTTTAGCTCTTTTCAAAATATCATTGTCATCGGCTAGATCCTCGGCCCATTTCGTCTCTCCATTATTTTTACCATCTATGCCCGAATACTCGACCATTTCTCTTTCATCTGTCGCAGCCGCATATGGTTTTGTCGATTTTATTCCAGTTTCACATTTCTAAAATTTGGTAATAAAAAAGTTTACAATGTGTGAGTATTCTGTGAAAAATTGTACCGAAAACAAGTAAAAATACTCTAGTAACGAGAGCTTGACTACGAGATACCCTCTATGCAGCTGTTGAATACAAATTATTTGCATATATATCTTTCTATGTACAACAGAGACAACAAACATAGCTCGCCGGTGTTTCAAGGCCAATAGAGCAGTCACACAAGCGATAAGAATTAGCAGCATAACGGTTTACACTGTGCGAAGATGACAAGAGATCGCCGAAAAATATGGAACCCATATTTAACATAGTGGTCTTCATGTTCATTTCCGATGTTGCACTCATTCATAAATCTCGAGACGCCGCAGAATACACACCCAATTCATGCGCCTATTGATAGTATAATAATCAATATTAGAATACATTTGGGCTAAATTGGGATCAAGGTAAATCACTGCAGGTTTACGGAAACTTATATATAGCTCTATGATGGTACATATATGTATTATGTACAGATATGTGTATTCCTTACTATAAACTGTGTTTAATTGATCTCATATATTTGTCAGCTAAATTGAGAGTTCTCAATTCGATTTTCTTACTTGTTTTTAATCTGTTTTAAATAAAAATGTTTTACATTTTCGAATTAAGTAAAGTATTATTTATATATAAGAGAATTTAAGTCAAAGAATACTTATTAAGCTTGTAATGCTTTGCCTTTAGTTTATGCTTTTAGTTATATGACTTCTTTTTTATTTAATAAGCAAATTGCCAAATTTAAGTTTTAAATCTCAAAAGAATTGTATGTTATTTTATGATAATATTATTTGATGTATTCAATCGATAATATTTAAGTTTTAGTGGTTTACTTACCTCTAATTGGGTATCCTTAGCCGGTTTAGTTGTGTCCACTGAGGCAAGTATCTTTTTGGCAATGGTTGAGATCTCATTGATTAGCCACTTCCACATATCCAAGAATGATTCAAAATTCTCATTTGCCGCACTGCTGTTGGTATATTTCCACAGTATCTTTGCAGCGATGAATACTTGTGGCCCGTATATTCTTAAGTTGATGGCCAGACATTTGGCATGGACCTGAAGTCTTTCAGTTGGCGCTATATGTTGTAATAGTTTGCAGATATCAAAAATATGATCACAGCAGTCGTGAAATTTGGTCGAACACTGATTCAAATTCTCCAGATCGTGGGTCATGGCCAAAATGTAAAACGATTTCACAATCTTTGTGCATATGGTGAGCGATTCATTGAAATCGGCTATCTGACTGGACACAGATATAACCAGCTGTTTGCACAGTTCCTCCAGACTAGCAAGCATACCCATTTCGGGTTCTACACTGCCTCCCTGCACCGTTGCTCCCACACCGCGACTATTATTATCGTGTTGTTCCTTGATTAAATGATTGAGATACAGATCAAATTCGAGTTTACAATTGTGGCAGTAGGTTAATATATTTTTCCGATGATCGTGACTTATATACGGCGAATCTGTAAAATCGTGCGCCTTCTCAAACAGTTTGTCAAACGCCAGGGATAATTCCTCCCTCAGGTCAAAACTTTCATAGTTCATATGTTTTTTATAATTCGTATTCTTGATCATATGACTACCGGCAATCGGTGCTAAATTCTTTTCACTCTTCCAATCGTCATCATCGAATAGCGAGTAGAACGTGTCCCCATTTAAATTACCCTCTTTGTTGCTATTGCAATCATATTGAATTGTCTGCAGTTTGAATCTCTTAATTAGATTTATAATACGCTTGATTGTCGTATAGATACTTTCATTCTCGTAGTTGGAGTTGCAGCGAGCATTATTGCGAAATGCCATATGTTTTGCCGAATCGAAAATACTATCTTTGATAACGAAATGTATTAAATCCATTGCACGTCGGATTTGACAAAAAACGGTATCGCGATTCTCCTTAACTATGACACAATCGCTGTGGATTAAACTATTCTTCGATGAGGTCAACAATATCGATATGGACTTCTCAAGTATCTGACGGGCCGAAAACATCTGAGCTCGTCGTCGTTCTTCCTTAAACGAATTCCGATGATGGCCCGTTAAATAAGCCAGCTCAATCATTTCGGTTCCAAATATCGAAAACGCCCGAACAAATTCAGTGAAATTCATCACAGATTCCAGTTTTTCCAAACTCTCCGAGGCCCGCTTCTTTGCCGTGAGTAGTTTTTTAACCACAATAATATCCACCAGCAGAAGAATGCGCGTTATCGACGAGAGAAGTGATCTAGCGGCCAATACAATAGCACCATAATCCTTTAAGGGTTCAATATGATGTCGGAGCTCCATTCCACTCACAGGTGAAAGATCGCATAATTGCTCAATGGATTTGCCTGAAACAAGTAAAAGTGTAGATTTAAAGTAGGCAAGTTTTATTTTTAAAATAAATATAAATCACATTCCTATTTAGGGATGGGTTCAAAACTTCCAAAGACCCAACTTTGTCAAATATGGCCCAGTCTTTATAGAGGGTATTATAATTTTGTCGTACCTCTATATGCCCGTCTGTATGCGAACTTGCCCCTAGTTTTGAAGATTTCTTGATAATGGAAAAATATCTGTTTTACTGTTGCAGGCGACACATAATAAATTGCCAGGTCGGATGATTATTTTCTTTATCAAATTGTCCTTATTAAATTCAGTAATTATGCAATTTATTGTAAGGGTACATGTAACTTTCACAAGAATAAACTGTACGATTTTTAAATTCATAGTAAAATGTATATGTAAGCAGGTTGACCCCGTTCTGTAAGGGCATGTAATCTAGGGAGTGCCTAATGTGCGGTCCTTTCTTGTTAAGCATGGTTTCGCTTCCATTTCAATTTGGAAATTGATGGTTATTATTTATAAACATACCGGCATCCCTCGCTTCTCTTGCCGCCTCATACATATCCGCTTTAATATCCGTATTTTCCTCAGCAATTATTTCACCGATTGTTATAAATCTCTCCACGGATATGCTTAATGAATGTCCAATATTTCCAAAAGTTGACATGATTTGCTCGTTGTCAATATCACGAAGTCGATATCGCTGATTCTGTAAAAGTAAAACAATATATAAATAAATATAATAATTGTTGTCGAGTATCTATTAAGCACAACAACTTTAATTTGCAATTACTCAAAATATATCATTTTGAAATATGTAAACAATCAACAAGGCTCTTTCCCACCTGTTTTGAACATATATTTTATGTAGTAAATAATAGATTATATATAGAGAAAACACTTAATATTATATAAGTTTTGTGCTCCTTTAGGACCCCTTTTATTATTTCAATACGCCTTTTTTTTACTTATTAGAATATAATCAAAAGCTTTACTTTGTAACACATTTAAGTGAGTTAAATTTAGGTAAATATATTGACCGGTTATAGAACTTACATTTACATCAAGCGCTGACGGTGATACGCCGTACATTTTTGCGATTGTGGTTTTTTTAATTACTTAAAAAAAAACCTATGACAATATTTTCTATATATTTTGCACATAAATATTTACTGTGTGTATAATTATTGATTTTCCGCACAACACCAACGACGACAAATATTTGTATATTGTGTTAGTATTCTTGACCTTGAGTGATTGGCACTTTTCGATTTCAATTTATTTTTTTCCTTTCAATTTCACAAATATACTATTAAGAGAAAGTGGTTGATTTTAAAAACCACCTTAGTTTTTGTATTTGTACAGGTAGGTATGTACATTTGTATATGTCTACGAACAACAGGAAAGCAACTGCTTCTGACAGCTACAATGTCCCACAAACATACACTTGGCTAATATATGTATATGTATACAATCATACATCATTTCTTTATTTGTTTTGCGCAGACTTATCTTCTGCGCAGACAACAAAGTGTAACAAGGAATAACAGAAATATTTCAAGTGCGGAAGCCTAACTACCCTATACTATTTTCATCCGATTTCAGTCAACACTTCAATATAGTAAAGCTTTGTCAAAATACTCGAAACTTATTGATTAATTTTTTAAAAAAACCACAACAAAAGTTCCGTACGCTAATATCCCAATTATATCTTTGCAGAGTATAAAGCAGTGTTAGAGAGTATTTTAATAAATGTTGCTAGCCGATTTTGAACTAAGCTCAATTATATGCAATATTCAACTAAGAGTCATATAATACCTTGAAATGTATTCCTTTCAAGAATACAATTTTTGAAGTAGTACTTCCAATAACGTCCTCAGATACTCACAGGGCGACCAGACTTAACAAAAGCTAAATATGACATTGAAATAGCTAAATTTGCTTCACTGGTGCGATAGTTCGATAACATGTGCTAACTATCGATGACACAGAAATCATCCATGTTACAATCGATAGTCCTTGGATTTACCAGCTGTTTTATAAGCCGACTCGTTTTTATAACCTGTGAAATTATAAAATATTTGTATTTTAATAGAAAGATTGCCTTTCATATTTGGCACGCATGTTTTGATTGAGTATATATATATTTGATCAGTCAGAAATCCAGTCAGATCAATTCCAAATTGCATGCTGAAGCATATGTATGTATGTAATTCGTTGCGGTCACCACACATAACATTTATAAACATATACACACACAGCTCTCGATCAAAATGCTGCGCGGGCCGAAGATAGTTTACCTGAGTCGATGGTATCACAGGGAACGAGCATTGTCGTCAGTAATTCGACGGTTATATGTAACTCAAAAATTGGAAACTTCAAAATGCACATTGCCTTTAATAAAAAACTGCAATATTCTACAAGCTACACATGAAAATAGTCGAGAAAACGAACCAAGAACTAACTCTTTGGATCAAAATAATCAGAATAAAAACGCCGAATCCTTGGATCGTGCATATAATGTGCTCAAGCATACGCTGCCCAGGCTATTTATCGAGCCTCTTGACTACTCCATCTATAGCCCCAATCTGATATTCCAGAACAACATAACTGGCAAGCATACAGTGGGTTTGTATCACTATGTCAAACAAATTGCGATACTCCGCACGGTGGGTCACTTGAAGTATGCTTATGTCAAATTTGAGGTACTTAAGATTACCAAACATCCGGAAGATAATACAGTGCGCTTCAGATGGCGAGTGCGAGGCATATCGGGCCTGAAAGTAATGTTTCAGTTCTGGAAATACAAAATTTGGCAACTGCAGGAAATACTAAAAGATCAGGAGGCATGGTACGATGGATATTCGATCTGCTATCTGGGCGAGGATGGTCTAATTAGCAAGCATATCGTTGACAAAATAATGCCAGACGAGAGTCGCGAAGTCGTTGATAGCAATACGAGTTCACAGTTGCCAACTGGCTCCTTAGCGGCGACGACAACACAAAAACTGAATTTTCTTTATCCACATAAATAAATATTAATTCCTATAAATTTAGTAAATTATATATGCCAGTTGCTTTATCAAATAAATTATAAAAATGTTATTTTTTAAGTGTGTTACACAAAACTGTTACTATCGTACAAAATTATATTTATTTATTATTCATTGCTTAAATGTATACATGGAACCCTTTCTAATGTATTTGTATGGACGCAAGCGAATCCGCTTGGTGAATGTGCTAATGTAGGGCTTTTCCTTATTGTACTCTCTTGTCGCCTGCATGGCTCCTTCTGTCTCAAGAAATATGTCGAAGCTATAAATCGTGCGGAAGAGCTGCGAATAAAGCAGTCGATGATTCTTCTCCAATTGCTTGGGCCGCAAAGAGTTTGTCCAGAATTCCATCATCTGCAAAAGTTTATGATATTATAATACACTTACATATTATATATTCTAATATGGGCTCACCTTAATAGCCGCATTGTTCATAGCAGTATGTCGTCCATTCCAATGGACGCTTAGAATCCAGAGTGGTATTTCCAATGGGTAGTTACTGGGTATACGAATAAAGCACTCCATTTTAGCGGATCCACGCACAATTACCGCCCGGTAGGAGGTGTATGTAATGCCATTGGCAGGCGATAAGTTGTTTAGTAAATCCGAATTTTGAATATTGAATTCTTCGTGAGAGATCGCGGTCCACTGCACCAGGCTACAGGATAAGCCTTCTGGGTAGATATTCTCCCTTAAAGTGTACATATCGACATCCTTATAGGTCAAGCCTCGAATTTGCTGATTTAAGCGTAACCAAGAGCGCCAACGTTTTGAAATTCGTTGAAATACTTCTATTATCCACTTGTGTAAATTTAATTCGTGTTTGAAAAACTTCTTCTTATCAATGGTCGCTATGGAGCACATGCTTTGCAGCCAGCAATATGGTTTTCCGTATCCATTTTTAACCAGATACTCCATGCACTCTTCCTCGTTAAATTGAAGTTGCGTAACTGAAATAAAAAAAGCATTTGCATTATAAATTAAATATTTTCAATCAAGACTTTTGACATTTACCTCATATTCGATGCCTGGCACAGGAATATCGTGGCCCAAATCATCGTCGTATAAGTGCGCAAGCAGATCGTTAGCCAAATTTATATCTCTAATGAAAAGATTTGTAATAGTTGTAATTTTCTAAAGAGATATTGTAATACTAACCCTTGGGCATTATTTGTGAGAGCATTGTTGCTAAATTGTGCACGCACTGTGACACATTTCAGTAATTCCCAATAACGGATCAATAATATCAATTCAGATGACTTATCTGGGCTTTCGATCTATAAATAAAAGATGGATAAGATCTGCATCAGTCATGATCAAAATAAGAATTGCGTTGAAAACAATTCAACGGTCGGCAGCTATTTGCTCGATGAAATTCGTTAACGATGCAAATGGGATTCGCAACACAAAGATTTGATTTAAGTTGAACTTTAGCTGAGTAACGAGTATATTTTGAACTTACAACAAGACTTATGTAAAGTGGATGGGGCTTAAGTAGACGTCCCAATAGATTATCCGGTACACTTTCCATAACATTACTTTTTTCCGCAAAATTTCGACGTTCCTTTAGAGTATTTTCTGTATCCAGCAGCAATTCCTGCATTTGAGCATCATTCTCAAAGCCAACTATCTCCGAATTGAAAGGAAATTCTTTGGCACGTTGCAAAGACTTCAGGTTGATAAATAATATATATAACGCACGTGGTAAATATTTAACAATTGAGTTTAATTTCCATTCAACATCAAGGGATAACTGTAGAGCATCGTGCAAGGGTTTTGTGGAGTCCTGCAGTGTTCGCAATGCAGGAGCGAATGAGAGATATCGTTGTGTCTGACTGAGATTTGCCTGCAGCAGCTCCTGTTTGGAGGTGAGCAAGGCATTGTATTGACTATCAAGCTCTTTACGCAATCGGAGCTCGCATTCCAATCGATATAAATGTGTTTTGTGACTGGACATATCTGAATTCATTTCTTCACCATTAGCAGAAAACTTGCTTGCGTATTCCTTATCCGACAATAATTCTAAATATGTATCGCGACTCTTAAGTTTCTGACAACGAACAATTTCCTTTTTCAGATGACTGACTTCGTACAATAGATTCTGCAGTTGCAGTCGGCTGAGATCAACTTTTGACTTCTGCAAATGCAATTCATCTCGTCCAGATTTAATGTTACGTTTAACTTCCCGATTGGAATGCTTGAGTGCGACAAACATTAATGCACCTGAAGATTGCTTGAAGTCCGAAACATGTCCACTGCTCTTCAATTCGAAGAGATTATCCATGGCTTCTTTTAATTTGACAAACTGAGTGTTTAACACATCTTCCATATTCATATTGCTGAGAGTTGGGTTTTCAAAGATGAAGATTACTGTCCTAAATGCAGCACAAACTCCTCAGTTAATTATTTGTCAAGCAAAAGTCGGCTCGACTAGTGGTTCTTGATATACACCGATTTCTAACTCAATATCGATAGTTTTCCACCGTGTATCGAGACTTGATGCGATATTTCACACCGATGCCTTTTTGTGGGAACGAATGGGAAGTGAAGCTGTGTAGTACCTGGTACTTGAAATAAAGTAGTTAATACACATGAAAGATGATCTTAAAAAATAAGCTGGCCACTGTTTTGACCTCCAAATACCCACAAATTTTTAATAAAATATATTAAAAACTAAGCATATCGTTAATGACAAAATATTTAAATATCACTAAACCGGCCTTCTAAATATACTTTAAAGTACTCGTTCTAAATATAGAATTCTGCCCATCCCTAACATTACGTTCATTCATTATTATTATTCTTAAATTCAAATAGTTTAACTTAAGTTAAAGAATATACCTCGTAACAAGACTTATCTTATATTAAGCTCTAATTTATATCTAAAAATGCTGCGGTCCGTGTACCAAAGAGTCAATGGATTTAAGAAATTTATTCCAACTCGCCGGCTGCAGCAGACTCTTGTGGAAAGTCAGTCCAAAGTATGCAAGAAATAAGCAATCTTACATCAGAATTGGTATTTAGTAATAGTTTTTACGCTTTAGCAAATACCATTACGACCTCCTCCTGCTGAACTAAAACAAATAAGTATTTCGAAATCCGATAAAACAGTTGGCAAATGGTTTCTCGGATGCGGCGGCATGGTTTTCGTTGCTGTTGGGCTTGGTAAATTACACTAGAAAATGAGAAATTGAAAAGGTGTTTAATACTGATTGATCATTGTTTAATATAAAGGCGGTGTAACCAGGCTAACAGAATCAGGACTTTCAATGGTCACTTGGAAATTAATGGGCGAACATATGCCGCGAAGTCAGGAAGAATGGATTAAAGAGTTTGAGAACTATCAACAGTATCCTGAATTTAAACTGTATGTCTTTACATATTTTATTCTTATATTATATAATGTGTATATGTCTTTCCAGAAAGAATGCCAGCATTACTTTGGAGGAGTTTAAATTTATCTATATGATGGAATACATGCACAGAATGTGGGGTCGTGCAATTGGGGCATTTTTCCTAATCCCCGCCACATACTTTTGGAAAAAAGGCTATTTTTGTGCAAGAACGAAGAAGATGGTACTCGTGTTGGGCACTTTAATTGGCCTCCAAGGTTTAATGGGCTGGTATATGGTGAAATCTGGGTTGGAAGACAGATTTAATGATCCAAATGATGTGCCGCGAGTATCCCAGTATCGGCTAGCTTCACATTTGGCCGCCGCATTCGTTCTATATTCGCTATTTTTATCTAACGGATTGTCGAAACTGTTACCTTCCGGTACATTTACTGTTTCTGCAGCAAAAAGGGTATTTAATATTAAGCCCTTGTCACACTTAACGAAAGGTTTCGTATTCTTAACAGCTATCTCAGGGGCATTTGTTGCTGGTCTAGATGCGGGATTAGTTTATAACTCCTTTCCAAAAATGGGTGATAATTGGGTACCGGACGATATCTTACAGTTTAAACCTGTACACAGAAATATAACAGAAAATCCATCGACAGTTCAGTTTAATCATCGTATATTGGGAATTACAACAGTTTCCCTAATAACAGCTTTATATCTGATAACGAGAAGCCAGAAATTACCCAAGCGTGCAAAGTGGGCGATTAATGCAGTTACAATCATGGCCTGGACGCAAGCCACCTTAGGCGTTACGACATTACTTACCTATGTACCCGTTCCTTTGGCTACAGCCCATCAATCTGGATCATTATTACTACTCAGCTTTGCTGTGTGGCTCTCGCATGAGCTGCGTTTTCTAAAATATGTACCAAAATAAATGCAAATGTATGTACAAAAAATAAATGTTATCCTTATATACTCAAGGACAATAAATTAGGTGTGCATTTTTATTTTCAATAATTCGTAGTTTTTTATGTCTTGTTTTTTCTTCGAAACAATTTATTTCTAAGAGCAATAATATTCAATCATAAAAATTGAGAGCATTGTAATGCAGCAGTTGACGTTAGAAAAAAAAACATAAATAAAAACAATTGGGTCAAAATTAAAAGGAATAATTAAGCGAACATTTAAAAGGCAATAAGTAGTATTAAAATGTAAAAAGCCAAAAAGGAAAAAAAAACTTGAGTAAAAAGCCAAAAAGGAAAAAAAAACTTGAGTAGACCAAAAATTATTAATGATTATATATTATTTATATAATCATAAGAATAAAGGGAGAATGGGAGGTGAAAAGAGATATAGAGGAACACAAAGAATAGAATGGAAAATTATATATATATCGGCTTACCTACAATTACTATGACATGTTACCTTACCACTATTTGTAACATAACGCGCTAATAAATTCTAGCTACCCCTACACCTGCTGGTACAGCAGTAGTTGAAGTTGCGAGAGAAGTCGAGAAGTTAGTCTGTTTGTCATCTTTGGCCACACAACTGTTATAAAAAAATATTATGTGTAAGATTTATAAATAACACGAAAAGTTCCTAGAAGGTCAACCAGACGATATAAGCTTTTGGAAATTTTCTACAAATTTTTTGCTTGGTCTTGCTGGAGATTCTTTCTACAAGTTTTCTTTCATCCTCCGCGCATTTCAATTTTTATACTTTACAGCATTTATATGATATAAAATTTTTATTTCGAAAATACATAATATATAAATTTTTCACACATATTTTAAAATTTTCACGCGTCTTACTTACTACATATTTTAGAACATTCAATTCAATAACTTTAACTGAAAAATTCCACATTAGAACAAAAATATATTTTCGTGATTTTCTTTACATTTTTCAGTAATCTTCACAAGTACTCATTTGTTTCTATAACCACTGTCAAAAGTGCAACTTTGAACTGTCAGTCATTCAGATTTTAGGTTTACTTACAGTTAATTATATTTATTATTAAAAATCATAATAGTGCATATCATATAATGTTTAATATTAAACGCTGAAGAACTTGGAACACATACATCGTTCGATCATTGATTAGAGTCAGCAGTGGAAACTCTTCATTTAATGCAGGCCATCGGAATCAATAATTTTTACCTGAACCACCCTGTGCCGATAAACATATGTTTTCTACATAAGTACAATTTTTTTGTCTGAAGTTCCAAAGAGCTTGCATATTTCATAAAACAAAAATGTCTCGATTACTGTTTTCCACGCGAAGATTATTACCGAAAGTAAGTTGTTAAAACTATTGAAATCTATTCACAATCTAATGTTACAATTTGCAGCAAGAGTTCTTGCTTGCCGGCACCTGCATTGCGAGGCAATCCAGAGGAAAAGCCTCAACCCCAGTGAACACAATTGTTATGTTTGTGCCGCAACAGGAGGTACATATATACGCATATATATATCTGTAATATTTGTATGTTAAATAATCGAGTGCTTCTTGTTTTCTTATGTCAATAATGTTTGATCAAGGCTTGGGTTGTCGAGCGCATGGGTAGATTTCATAGAATTCTCGATCCCGGCCTCAATATTTTGGTGCCCATTGCTGATAAAATCAAGTATGTGCAGAGCTTAAAGGAAATTGCGATAGACGTTCCTAAACAAAGTGCGATTACATCCGATAATGTAACGCTTAGCATAGATGGCGTGCTTTACTTGCGGATCATAGATCCCTATAGAGGTTTGTTATTTCACAATTACGTTTGCATTACTCTTAATAATGTTTAATTTACAGCTTCATATGGTGTTGAGGATCCAGAATTTGCCATTACTCAACTAGCGCAAACAACAATGAGATCGGAACTTGGCAAAATGTCGTTGGACAAAGTGTTTCGGGAAAGAGAATCCCTAAATGTTAGCATTGTCGATTCAATAAACAAAGCCAGCGAGGCTTGGGGAATTGCCTGTTTGCGCTACGAGATTCGCGACATTCGGGTAACTATTATTTTCAATAACAAATCTTGTACTCTGATTCCAGAGGCATAATTCGTGTGCAAATTTTGACTAACTCGAAAATGTCCGAGTCAGATGAAATTTTAGAAAAATCGCAAAAAGCGTTGTCTAATGTAGAAGCTGTTTTGAGCTGAGATCGGAGTATTGGGCAATCGGTTACTTTCGAGTGCAACCTTCTTACTTGTTTTCCTTTTTAAAGCTGCCAACTAGAGTTCACGAAGCGATGCAAATGCAAGTTGAAGCGGAAAGAAGAAAACGAGCAGCAATCTTAGAATCTGAAGGTGTCCGTGAAGCTGAAATTAACATTGCCGAAGGCAAAAGAAAATCGAGAATTCTTGCATCCGGTAAGTTCAAATTTCAATTTAAAATAAATCAATTTAAGACAAGCGCCACGAGATATTTATATTTATTTATTTACATACTTATAGAGGCTGAAAGGCAAGAGCACATCAACAAAGCCAGCGGCGAGGCTGCTGCCATGATAGCAGTTGCCGATGCTAGAGCTCGAAGTCTTCACGCAATTGCAAAATCTCTGGGACATACGGTATGCGGTATTATACATACATATATATGTAAATAGCCTAAAACATACTCTCACACACACACAAAATTAAATTCTTATAGGACGGTAAAAATGCAGCATCTCTTACATTGGCCGAGCAATATATTGAAGCTTTCAAGAAGTTGGCAAAATCAAATAATACAATGATCTTGCCATCGAATGCCGGAGATGTAACTGGACTTGTTGCCCAAGCCATGGCCGTTTACAGTACTGTATCTAAGCAATATGTCGATTCTTCAGCCCAAAATGGAGACTGCTTAAGTAAGAAAGTTGAGTTCAATGCGCTAACTGAGGAAAAGGAAAATGTTAAAATTAACGTTGAATAAAATTAAATTTTATTACAAAATAGCAACTATATCCGAAGTTTGTTTGATTCCGTTTGTTTGTTGTGAACTAATAATGTTATACATTTTTGAAATATTTAAAAACCTTTTCTTTGATTAATTACAACTATAAACAAAAGTGATTCCAATTCAAATTATAAATCCGTTCGTAAATATGTTAGTTTTTTCTCAGTTTTCAACACTGCCTGCCGACAGCACGCCGTTTTCTCGTTAGTTGCTATTTCCAATCCTTGCTTGTAGGTGGCAGCTTTAGTTTTCCACTCCAAATCAGTTTGAGAAATCGCATTTTTAGGTTCCGACATACGTTTAAAAAAGAATAGGTCTAAGGCAAAAAGAAGCGCACATATAAAAGATAATGATCCGATTACATAACTGAAAACTGATACATCATCTTGCAACTGTTCCACAATACTAAATGTTAATAGCCCTGGAAAAATTGTAGAAAAAATAATTATAATAATAAAATTAAATAATATAATTTTCAAATGCAGGCTTTTTAATTGGATTGGCCTCTAAATTAATCCTACATTTAAATTTTGAATCAGGCTTTTGTGTCGAAGTTCACGTAACAATAATATGAATTAATAAATCATATGTATTAGATTAAAAATATGCTTATATTGGTACTTGCCTTGTGTAGTGAAAAATATTACTCCAAAACTCAATAAAATAATCTCACATATGTGATAATTGGAGTTCTTTTCAGTGAATCTAAAAAAAATAGTAATTCTTGATTTGTATAATTTTATATTATTACACATAATCGTAATTACCTGCATATCAATAAAATCATTGATATAAAAATATATCCCGTGAAAGTCAGTAAACTAAATTCATCAGCTTCTTTCGTTAATGAAAGCGTATTTAGAAGCATCCATTCCGTAAGCCTCTTTTGATTACTTGTTAGTAACCGCTCAGAATATTTATCAGATAACTTTTTTAGGATCAACGTTGCGACAGTAAAAATCTATTAATGAATCATAAAACGCACAATTTATTTCACACAAGAAAGATTTAGAAAACATCATATGTCTTCGCCATTTTCACAAAACTTTGATTTATTTTACTGATGGCGTTGACCTTGAACTCGATTTACCATTGAATATATTGTTGCACACCCATTACTGATTACTAAATCCATATAAATATAGGTACTTACTATTTGTAAAACTTTAAGGCAAATACAAGCAGCAAACTTCATCTTAAATTTTAGTATGAATTTAGAATTCTGCAGTTGAAGAGACAAACGAAACTTGAGTGAATGACAATAAAAGTGCAAAGTTAGCTTTTGCACTTGGCTCATGCAAAAGACAATATGAATGTTTGTGAGAATTTGCATTATTTTGTAAAACTCACACACTTTTTTGTTAATTGCAGCCTACATATATATATGCATATGCATATGCACATGCAGGTGTATGCAATACAAGGCTTGCCCGAGGCATGTAAGATGGATTTACTAAAAAGTTAAGTTAAATATACTATTTAAAAAAAACTGTTTTATTTATAAAGAATATGAACACGTTAAGGTCATTACATTTATGAAAACATTGCTGGTGTGTTGAAAATGGATTTAATTTATTTTTATAAAAGTTTCACTGTCAACAATCCTAAAAATATCTTCACGAAAATTAATCAAGTTCTCATTAAAACAATTACTGCTCTCATTATGCAATTTTGCCATAACAGGCTTAATATTTTGCAATCTGGGCAGTGCTGGCTAATTTCTGTAAAAATATTCCATCTGAATAAAAAAATAATTTATATATTATTTCATAGATTTTTAGCTTTGAATATATGCATTACATGAGTAGTTCCCAGCATATGGGCTTGCCGCCTTTTGTAACCCATTTGCCACTTCTTTTCCATGCTTTCCAATGTATCTTCAAACATTTCCTTTTGGGTTAATAATTGATTTGTGCCACAAAAGTAGCTTAAGACAAATCTAGCTTGTAAATCCATCATTTGTGCGGCACACACATAGAATGGTAAGCCGATTAATGCCATTGTTGGATTGCGTATATTAATGCATTGCTTATAAAGCATTTGCACATAATTCTCCTCAACATATATACCCGACGTGACACTGAGAAAGGGGAATGCATACTTATACCCAGTACAAAAGAATATTGTATCAAATTTTGTGTAAGATCCATCTACGAAATATGCGCCATTTTCATCCAACTCTTTGACATCTGGTTTAGTTTGAACATTTTCGAAAAAAATGGATTTCGAAATGCCTTCCAAGTGATGACTAAGTGTAACATTTTTGGCTGATTTGGATATAATATTCGACAAGTCCAAAGCACTGGGTCCTCCACCAATAACCAACACACACTTTCCTACATTAATGATATACTTATCACTGTCAGATGTATCTCAAATGAGAGGAGTTATAGTTACCTTGAAATATCTCGCTATTTCTATAATCATGACTGTGCAAATATTCGCCACGAAATAGATTTGCATTCTTAATTTGACTGTAATTTGGTGTATGATAATGTCCATTTGCAATCATAATATTATCAAAATAACATATGCGTACAGTGTTTATCAATAGATTCTTGACAATAACCTATATATGTAGGAGGAAAATTAACATTAAATTGATTTCATTTTTTTATTCATTAATTTACTTACTTGCCACTTGAGTTTTTTTCTGACCACCCTTATGACATATGTATTAAATTGAATAAACTTTCGTAATTCGAAATGATCGGCATACTGATTTAGAAAGGCACAAATATCTTCAGATGGGAGATAAGATTTCCGGTCTGCGCCTATCTCAAAATCTGGAAATCCCATGACCTCCTTGGGCAAGTTGGTTCTTAATAGATAAGAATTTGATTATTAAAAGAAATAAAAACCTAGTCTAATGTTAATATAACTTGATGTAAAAATAAACCAATAAATTAAAAATAAAGTTTTTTCAAATTTTAAATATATTTCTTTTAATGTATTTCATATATTTTTTAAACTTCATGTGACATTTGATCATTTTCTATTTTGTTTTGTTGTTGTTGTTTTTAATCACTTACCTTAAATTTTCATACATGCTGCTGTGCACATCGATACCATTAACAGTCCCTGTGTTCTTGTTATATGCCCATGTTCCACCGATCTGATGTGAGAGTTCAAAAACTGTAGGATTTAAATTACGCTCCTGTGCGCGTCGAGCACAACAGAGTCCTGCGGTTCCAGCACCAATTATACACAAACTCATTATTTCAGCTTCAGCTTGAAATTGATCCGCGTTCACAGAACGAACATCAGCGAAGTTTACATGAATCTTTATCAGTTATGAGCTTTGTGTACACATAAGCTGTAATCTACACTTGAAATTAAAATTACGTGAATTCCGATTTTTGCTTTCGCTAATAAGTCGCCATATATGTATTTTGTTTACCTTTGAATAAATTTGCTGACGAGTGGTTTACAATGAGAAATAGTAACAACTCCTAAATATAATTAAATATAGTAAGTAATTAGATTAAAAAAATATTTATGTCAATAATAAGCTTTTGAAATACAGGGGAGGGTAATTGGAACAGCAAAAAGCGACCTTCGGTGGCTTATGCATACTAAATATAAACTGAGTTAAATTGATTATCATATCAGTTGAATGCCATCTCAATGCTAATTGAGCGATACCCTCCACTCTGAACTAAATATTTGTACCTTTCTAATCAATGTACAAAGTGTAATTTGATAATATTTACAGAAAAGTGTGTATTTGTAGAAATTGATTCTGTGACCTCTATAGTTCTAAGTATTATACAATTTTGTTGTTTTTTAAACCAAATTAAAAAATAAGAAAAAAATAAAAGCAATCGTTCAGTTATTTGTGTTAAAAAATTGTATTTTGATGCTCGCAAATAAAGCACTGTTTTAGCGTCAAGCAAACAAAACCTGAAATTGGACACTGAACACAGTGGAAACACACAATTCGATTATTTTCGATAACTTTTTGACTTGATACGTAATGTTTGTGTGTTGAGATGCCATCACTATAAATGATAAACATATGGAACAAAATATTTACAACCATCTCTAATTTGTGATTTTATTAACATACGATTGAAGATGATAAAAGCCATACTAGTATTTAACAATCATGGGAAGCCACGATTATCAAAGTTTTACCAATATTTCGTAAGCATTCATTCGTTTGACATTCAATTATGTGTATGTAATTACATTTGTTACTTAGGATGAGAATCTACAACAACAAATCATTAAGGAGACATTCCAACTAGTATCCAAGCGCGATGACAATGTTTGCAATTTTCTGGAAGGCGGCAGGTAAAGAAAAACCTTTGTATACGTTCATATTTTGGTTCAGCTGTTTCTTATAAGTGCATTACGTGCAATCAGCAGAGGTTACAATTTAGTAATTTATTCCAAAGTAGATTGTATGCAGGGTTGGAACAAGTGAATCAATTTAAAAAGAAAGTTTCGATGGTTGAAATGGTATAATTTCACTATCTTAGTTGAAGTTATTTTAATACAAATTTGTAAACCCTTCTAGAGGGAAAGTTTGTAACGCATTGAAGGAAAAATCTCGAATCCCTTAAGGGGATATACATTCTTGATGCCCATCACTAGCCGAGTCCACAGTTTCCGAAGAAGTGTGTCGACCAATTTCTCTTATTCTTCGACAATGTAGTTGCTACTGTAGTCGCTGTGTCCCGTAACCCAAATGAAGTGAATGACAAACTATAAATGGATCTTCGACAGTTGCTGACAGTTCCTGAATTGTTTGAAATGAAGCCAAGTAATCTGAAAACAGTTTGGCTATCTGGGAAAATGCAGGTCCAGGCGGAACGTTCAGATGCTCTAGTAGAGTAGAGTAGACTTTTATTTGCTCGTCGGGAGTACCACCTCAGTTTTTGTGGGTTGAAACAGATGGTTGAAAAGTGTGCTGTTATTGTTATACTTACAAATATTATATATACTATGTATACTTGTCATTGTTTTTTTTTAGCTTGATTGGCGGAGCAGATTACAAGCTGATATACCGGCATTATGCGACACTGTATTTCGTGTTCTGCGTCGACTCCTCGGAGAGCGAATTGGGTATCCTCGATCTGATCCAAGTATTTGTCGAAACGTTAGACAAGTGCTTCGAGAATGTGTGCGAATTGGACTTAATATTCCATGCCGATGCCGTCCATCACATACTCTCCGAGCTGGTGATGGGCGGAATGGTGCTGCAAACGAATATGAACGATATAATGGCACGGATTGAGGAACAGAATAAGTTGATCAAACAGGAGGCGGGCATATCGGCGGCGCCAGCTCGCGCGGTTAGCGTTGTGAAAAGCATGAACATTCCCCAGCAAATTAAGGATATCAAACTGCCAGACTTGCCACAAGCTATAAAGGACTTGAAATTTTAATATAATAATTGTATGTTACCTCTTATTTACCATAAGCCTGCCAACTTATACTCTCATTTATCATTTTTAACAGGTTCCCAATTAAGGTCTTAACCGTCGCTAGAAATGTAATTCTCAAATGTGTAACTTTAAGTACAAATAGATGAAATCTAATTTAATAAAAGAAAGACCGGCGTCAAGCAGCCGGCATCTAAGCTTTGGTCCAAAGTTACGAATATTATATTTCTGTACATATTGCGAACTGAATATTCCATACATTGTACCAAAAAAGGGTTAAATGTGTGTCCATAGAAATTTCTATTTCATTGCCATAACTTTTTCCATCGATGTTAATGTGTTTTTTACCAAATGTGGCGAACATTATAGAACGCATTGCTACAAAGAACATTTTGTTCATACGAAAACAAATGACAGCTATATAATAGAGTAGTTCGATCCAGACGACTTAAACATATGTACAACCTGCAGTAAACACAAAGTTATATACCATCTTTAAGCAATGTGGCTTTAATGCTGCGGGAGTTCTGCTATACTATGGATATACTACGAATAATATTAATATGAAATTTGAACTCAACGAAAAATTACTTTAATTTTAATTAGTGTAGAATTTAAAATTAAAAAGCATATTTTAGGGTGCATTTTTAACTATTATAGTTCGAACTAGTTTCGGAAAAGTGAAGCATACTTTTAGGATACGTAAAAACTAGGAAATTGCAATTTATGGAAAATATCTCTAGGCCAGATCCTTAAAGAATTTCGTGGAATACGGTGGACTAAAATCGCCATCGAACTACATTCATGAATTATGGGGTAACCTGAGAGTCCAAACAAAATACCAAAATCCCGGTTGTCTTGGAATGCACGATTCGGTTGTCTTTTTACCAGTTGGTAGTCCTGCTCAAGATAAAATCTGTGTCACATGGCTTACCAAGCAAGGATATGGCCGAGCTTTAAGCAATTTACTGTTTAAATAAGCTCCCTTATTTTAGCAGTTGAAAGGACCCTAGCTCTTTTCATATATGCGAGTCGGCATACCAAGGACTATTTTTGTTCAAAAGGACATATGGATAGTTCTTGAGGTGGCAAAGCCCAGAAATCGTTGTGCATTAACTGATACAACTATTTTGGCTTACACAAAAGAATCTTTTTCATGAGTAAAAATCCTCCCCTCCCCTTCCCAAGTCAAACACATCCAATTTAGAGATTTGAATTTGAAATTTATTATTTCAACAACCATTAATATGAATGTTATATTACCAAAACCGTTATTTGTTTGTAATTTACTTGTCACAATTTGTCAACTTGTCAAGTTAAAGCAGCAAAGTAGCCGTACAAGAATACATAAAGAAGATAACGCTGCTCGATTAAGCAGCAATCGATATTTCCAGGCGAGGACAATTGGGAATGCCGCACTCCAGGCCAGGACAGTTGTCCTGATGGAAACAACTCTCGCTGTTGCAAAACATGCAAGCGCTGGGCGTCAACGGAACGTTTGTCGATAGCTTCAACTCATCCCACACCTTCTTCAAGTCGGTCACCAGCGCATTCATCATTTCGAATGTATGGAATGGAGTCGGGGCCAAGCGTAGTTTCTCCTGTCCACGCGCAACTGTCGGGTAATTGATGGATTGCAAATAATGGCCATATTGCTCGATGAGCCGGTTCGATATTTCGCTGCATATTAGCGGGTCACCAATTTTAATTGGTATTATATGACTCGGTGTATCTTCGACGGGAAAACCTGAAATATGAGATAAAATGAGCATTAGACATGCCAATATCCAATTTGACTAGATAACGCAGCGCGTGTTCAATGAATTACCAATTACCTAATGGCACGTAACCCAAAATTATGCAAATAAAAAAAAAAAAACGAAAACGAAACCCGAAAAAAGAAACTGGGGCACCTTCAATGTTCAATGTTCAAATTGAACAAATGAATCGAAGCCGACCAAGCAATTCTCTGCCACAAACCAAAATATACTTCAAGGGATTTCGAGTAAGAGAAAACTACAATATATAATTGAATGATAAATAAACTAACCATTCAATTATATTATATTGTTTTTCTCTAACCTTTCCCTTTTATTCTATTGAAACTCAAAATTTTCTGTTCAAAATTCGAGAAACCGAATTAATTTCAATGAAGGTCGAACAAAGAATTTTGACAATTGGGGTTTTCTCTCAAATCGGTTAAAGTTTCACAAATTGGAAAAATTGTGAAAAAACATTTAAAACTGGTCGAGAAAATAAGAAACAATACAAAATCAAATACATGCCAGAAGATATATATATACTACTACTACTACTACTATATATATATAAATATATATGCATATACTGCATGATTAAGCAAAAAATAATATATGCATATGCTGCATGATTAAGCAAAAAATAATATATATATATATATATACATATGTCTAGTTTGCTTAACTAGTTTTTAATAGGAAATTACCTTCTCTCTTGAGCAAGTTCTTCAAATAGGAGACATTTCTTTGATGAAGGCTTCGCAGTTGTCGTCCCTCCTCCGAGGCTAATATACTCACTGCTTCGAGGGAGCCACAGAGCACAGTTGGGGGTAGCGAGGTGGTAAAGATGAATCCCGCCGCATAGGAGCGCACCATGTCGATGAGAGCGGCCGAGCCAGCTACGTAGCCACCAATGTTTCCAAATGCCTTGCCCAATGTGCCCGATATCATGTCCATTTTGGATAGGACACCATCACGTTCCCCCACACCAGCGCCATGATCCCCATAGAGACCAACGGCATGGACCTCATCGATGAATGTCAGCGCACCGTATTCATGGGCCACATCGAGCAGTTCCTCGAGCGGACAAATCGCTCCTGTCATGGAATGCACCGTCTCGAAGGCAACAATTTTCGGTGTCGCCTTGTCCACCTGTTGGAGCAGTTGGCGCAAGTGTTCCACATCGTTGTGCCGAAAGATGTGCTTGGGCACACCACTATTCCTTATGCCCTGAATCATTGACGCATGATTGCCTGCATCCGAGAATATGTGGCAATCGGGCAACAGTTTCGCCAGCGTAAATAATGTCGAGTCATTTGCCACAAAGCACGAGGTGAACAGGAGCGCTGCCTCCTTCTGATGCAATTCCGCCAGCTTCCTCTCCAGATGCTCATGATGCACAGAATTTCCAGCAATGTTCCGAGTTCCACCTGCACCTGATCCATGCATCTCCAGTGCCTTTGCCACAGCGTGCTTCACATTCGGATGGGCAGACATGCCCAGGTAGTCGTTGGAGCACCAAACGGTGATCGGTCTCTCCGATTGCTTGGAATATTCGAGGGCGTGGGGAAAGAGGCCGTCGCCAGCCAAGCGATTGACACGCTTGAAAACCCGATACGAGTGGTCTCGTTTCTTTTTCATTATCTGCTCGTTGAAGAACTTTTCGTAGTGGAACGTTGAGTTGGCATCTGTTGCGCTATTCCGCTTGTCGCTTACATCATCCGCATGTGCCGATTTCGTACCGACCGAATAATTATTATTTGACGACGTCGAATACGACCTTGATGCAGTCGCTGCCCCGAATGGTGTTGGTTTTGCCAGTGAAAGTTTTTTTCCATTGACAGTGGGAATAGTTTTGCTAACTACGGGGCAGAAAACGCCGTAGGACTGATACAAAACCTCTGCATAATTGCGTACATAATTCGCATTGAAACGGCTTAAGAACGGACACTGCATGATTAAGCAAATTTTAATCAACTGGCTCTGATTGGACTTTTCGCACAACTGTTAATTATGCAAGAAAAACAAGAGTGCTGTAATGTTCGAATTGGAGATGTTAAATTAATTAAATATATCGATTGATATCGATACATCGATATATATGTATAAGTTTCGAACCACATTCTGCGTTCATATATCGAAAAGCGAGTTTTCCTCGAAATTCGAGCAAAAATTCTCCATTAAAATATCCCATTTTGAGATAGCAGAAATTTCCCAAAAACGTTTAAGCCAAAAATGTCGACATTTTTTGTCCTTTGCATCAATACAACATTTGAATTTGGAAATGTAATTTTAGGTTAAAACTCACGAAAAAAATCTACTCCAAAAATGGTATGGATCAATGTGAATACTGAATTGATTTAAAATAGATTAATATTGCATTTAAATGTATTTTTAATTAAAATTTTGAAATGAAAATGCATATGTTTTGTATTAAATCAAATTCATTTTAATAGAACATTCAGCTTCCAAATAAACAAAATACTGTTTTTTTTACAAAACAATGTCAACAATCAGATAAATTTCTGTGTATTGGTTTCCTAAAACCATAATATTCACATATTTACAGACAGATTTTTGTGTAATAAACTGTTGTAAAGCAAAAAGAATAGTATTTCATATGTACAGGAATTTTGGATTTATTAAGAGATACTCTTACTGCTACTAATTTACATCTAAAAAACGGTCTCTATATACTCTATCCCGATGGCTGGGGCTCAGAACGATGTCGATTATGGGCGCAACCCGCTTTATCCGTTGACTAAATCTATCGCGATCCCGAGCGAATTGCTGCCAGCCGCCCTTTCGTGCCGCTCGATAAGCAAAATTCCAAGCATGCATCACATGAACTTCTGGACTCAAATTGAAGTGCACCTAAAACAAGACAATTAATCAGATTAACACTCACTATAGGATATTTTTTTCAACCGTGTTTTATATACCTTCTTCCTAAGTTCCTTAACACCATCATCAAGCTTCTCATCCGTTGTACAAGCAAATGTAGGACAACTGTCCTCGTCGTCGTCCTCATCATTATCATCATCATCATCGTCATCGTTGTCCTCCTCCTTGAAGCAAATGAAACTATCGTCGCTGCCTTCGGAAATGCTGCGCTGACGATGTAGTTGCAAATCGATCGGAAAACAATCACTATCCGATATATTTGGGGACAAGTCTGAACAAGACTTCAGTCCATAATCCGGATAGTTATAATCATTATCCGTTTGCGGCTGCATATCGACGACGAAGTAACAAAATGACGGCTCCATACTGGTATTGAATTGAAGAGGAGTTTCGCACTTGGGCTTCTGTGATGCTTTGCACTGGTGTAGAACCGATTGGACAACTCCGGCGACCATCTGAAAGGAAATCATTGCGGCTGCAAATGGCTCTGGCTGCAAATACGGTAAAAGTCTGCCCGCACTTCCTTCCGCTTTCTCAATCGGATGATGACCGTTCTTGTTGCAGTTGCAGTTGTTGTTGTTGTTGTGGTTTTTGGCACAGAGCATTTGTGATTTCTCCGATTCCTGTACTCCTCCGACTAGTTGACAAAAGTGTTTGTGAATTGGGGAAGTCATTTTCACCAGAATTCGCATGAAGTACATGCAGCAAATGCGTCAGGCAGTAATATTGAATATATTGACTAGTGAATTAGTTGTAGTTCCCCTCGGCAAATCCATTTTCTTGCGTTTCCTTAGTGTTTTTGGTGGCATATGCACGTACATATGTATGTATTTTCACAGTCAGAGCTATTAGTACAGCATTCTATCTGTTGTTCACTGTATATAAGGTAAATGTGAGTGCTTATGTACTTATCAATCTATTTATATATGTGTGTGTAACAACCTTTGAAATAATTCAGAACAGTTGTGAAATTTTTTAAATTGTTTTTAGTATGTTCCTTTGTTATTGAAAATATAGATCCTTGTTTTGACAACGTCGACAATATTGTAATTACGCAATATATTGGGAAAATATAATTCACATTCGCTCGACAAAATTAATTCCATACTTTTCAACTCGTGTAAAAATTGTATATGTTTGTATTGGTTGGCTATGATTGTACTTGACAGAGTTCATTTCGCATTTATCGAATGTCCCATGACAGTGTTTCCATCGAGTGCATTACGCACTCGATTGTTCTGCGGTAGTACAAAATTGTGATGCGCCTATCGTTTCCAGTCGTCATATCGAATAAGACGGAAGTAATTTTCTTAATCGATTAATTTGATGATTCATTCAATTCAAATAACATCGTCATTTTGACACTGAGTATACCTTAGTGATGGACTCAAGATCATCGTTATCAAATCAAGTGAGTTGCTGCGAAATAGAAACATGTCGACACGAAAAATAAATTGATGCGATATCTTCTTAGATGTGATTTTGAAGAATTGTTTGAAAATTATTATTGAATTTTCAGCATTCAATTCTTCTTTTATACCTTTGTAGTGATTACAACATTCAGAGAGATGTCTCCTCAGTTTAAAAGCTAACTTGATGAAACTTTGTCGTCAAATTAACCTTGGCCTACAAGCCATACTTTTATATCGATGGCCTGATATTTTGCTTACCTTAAAGCACAATCATATTGTTGTCGTTACAAAAAATTAAAAACAAATTTCCGTCTTATGCAAAGCATTTTATTGTTCGTTTATATATGGAATTCATATATGTATGTGTATATATATGTTTATATTTATATATGTATTTAATGTATGTATATATGTATGTATTGTATGTATATAATATATAATCTACATTTATGTATATATATATAAATAGATATATATATATGTATTTTGGTGTATAATAAACGTAAAAACATATTAATTACAAAATTACACAAAGCTTAATTATTTTTTTTTTTTGTTTTGTTTTCTCACATTCTTATCGCTTACATTTTGTATAAGTTCGAAAACTCATATCGGTTAGTATTAAATTCTAGATGACTACCAGTTGGCTGAGGTGGTAAGTCCTCAATTGTGTACGATAGGAGAGCTCCGTTATTATCATGTACTGTGTAGTTGAGATCATTGTTGTGTGCTCCAATTAGATTACTGCTATAGTCCGGATGAGTTGTGCTGCCGCTGCTACTGCCATATGGATTCGCCATACCCTCGGCAGCATCTACCAGACTGCCGTCGCAGAAGCCAATGTGCGGCGAATGTGTCGCGGTTAGGATGCTGCAGTCGCTGTCATCGGCTGCTGATGGAATCGCATTGAATTCATCAGTGTGGAATGTGTGTTCGACATACGAGAGCGCAGAACTGTTATTGTGTATTTCAATGTTCATGGTAACAGTTTGCTGCTGTATGCCGCCTGCTGCTGCTGCTGCGAAGGAGGAAATCGCTGGATGCTGATGCTGATGATAATGCTGATGCTGATGTTGATGCTGATGATGCGTTGCGTTGCTATCCGAACCAACTCCTCCTCCGCCACCGATGCAGTCGTCGTCGGTGAAGCACTCCTGCACGTAGGGCGATAAATGATGGCTGGCCGAATGCAGATTGGCATCGTTCACAATATTCTCCTCCGTATCAAAATTGGGTTCCGCATCTCCGAAATTCGTTTGACCATTTACGACTTCCAGCGATGAGTCATCGCTTGCCAGTTGGAAATATTGGAAAACATCGGGGGAGATATTGTCTTGTGTTGTATTATTGTTGGGATTACTTTCGCTTAGAGTTTCCACTTTAATTGTGTCGGAGGAGCTCAGCTCACCATGATGATGATTATTATTATTTGTATGATTTGTTGTGGGTAAAAATTCGGCTGACTGGTAGTTTAAAAAATCTTTATCCAATGGGAGTAAAATATCGACAGAATCGGAGGGAGTCTTCACATTATATTTACTGTTACTGTTATTGTTATTGTTTTTTATTACTGTTGTATCACCTGAATCGTTTTTGGACCGCTTCGATGGCGTTCCAGATTGACAAGTAGAGGTAGTTCTTTTGTTTTTTCGACCGGCAGTGCATGTTCCGTTGCTTGAAACACTGGTCGATGTTGTTGTTGTATTTGTATTATCATTATTATTATTGTTATTATTATTATGATTATTATTATTGTTGTTATTATTGTGGGGGTCTTGCTTAATATCGCTGTCGGGATCCTGTTTCAAGACCACGGATAATCTCGCTTGTTTCTTTTGTGGTCTATATTTATAATTTGGATATTCTATCATATGCAGTTTTCTCAGGTTCTCCGCTTCGATAATATATGGCTGCTTATCGTCCTTGTCCAAGAGCTGCCACCGTTTACCCAACTCCTTTGATATTTCCGCATTGTGCAAATCGGGCGTTCTCTCGCAAATCTTTCGTCGCTCCATTTGACTCCAGACCATGAACGCATTCATCGGTCTCTTAATATGGCCAGGAGAGTGTTTTTTTGTCTGATCAAAAATCAAGAATAATTAAACAAAAACATTAATTAGTATTTTAGCATTTAAAATATTAATGATTCTAAGTCTTTTCATTTCCGAGTTATACGCAATAAGCATAGGTCAAAGACCGATAATTATCGAAATTTCCACAAAGCTGCGTGAGTTATCGAAAAACGAAATCTCAATTATGCAAACAACTCCTACGCTACGCGTCTGAAATATCGAATACATATATATTTCTATAGTTGTATATGTTTGTACAGTAAATATACCTATGCATATGTAAATATTCACTTATATGCACACAAATATATATATATAAATATATCTATATGTATGTGTATGTGTGTACATGTCTAGTACGCAATAAATGCTGTAGCCAAAATAACAAGAAAAAAATCTTGCCAGTGTGAATAACCGTTTTATTTACACAAAAGAGAGACGGCAAAAATTCACTATTAATAGCGTTAACTTCGACCTTGGAGCAGTTCGTGAACCTCGAAGTTCAACCAACCAATATAGCTTGCAGCAGAAGCAGCAACAATAACAACAACAGCAACAACGGCAGAAGCAAAAACGACCGACAGCAACAACAGCAATGTGTTAGCTTAGGCGACGAATGGGGAAATTCACTGATGATGGGTTGGGGGTGGAGGAGGAGGAGGAGGACGTAGGTGGAAACCAGACGAATGCTTCAAACACAAGCAAACGGTCAATGACATTGCAATTTGCCCTTGCCAAAAAAGAGTGTTGCTTGACATTGCTGATGTCTAATAAGATATTATCCAAGCAAACAAAACAAAAACCAACCAGACTCTGCACAATTACTTTAATGTACACATTTACACGAGAAGTGTAAGTGTGTTTAGGTACATATGTACCTATTGTACATGAATACATATATATGAATTGGTACATATGTACCTAATGAATGGATATGTGTGTGTATAACAAGTGTTTTTATCCTCAAAAAGGAGTTGTCTTTTGCTAGTTCTTAAAAATGATTCATTTGCTGGTTTGCTTACAAAATTTCATCATATTCGGAAATAAATATCATTTGTCAGTTGACGTGCACAATTGCAATTTGATAATGAGTTAGCTGAACTAAATAAAAGGAAATAGAAATGTGCGAGTGTATGTGTGCTCGATTATATATATATATGTACACATTTGTGTATGTGTGTCTATAATCTGCAAAAAATATCTTATCAGTCGAAAGTTTCGTTGACCTCCTCCACATCATCCATCTATCGCATTCTGGCTGCTTGCCTTTGCATCTACTAATTTTCGAGCTTTGAGTGTATTTTTCTTGTATTTTTGTGCATACAAGCGAACACAGTGCTGGCCATAAAATTGGGTATAGATAGAGAAAAAGGACTAGACAGTTTAAAGTACAAACGAAAATAGCGCTACTTATCAGACGATTTCCGATAACCTACTTGAAAGATAGGCAACAACCAAGAAATGTATATCTCCGCAGTTGTTGAGCTAGACACATTCAAATAACGAAGGCCGATAACCTTTTCGAAGGTCGATTATTCGCAACGAACACAAATATCTCAAGAAATATGTCAACAGCTAGGTGGTAAAAAATATATATCTTGCGTGATTCTCGACAATTGGAGGCGCTTTACCAAATTGTTGAGTTTGGTCAAGAACTTAAACAAAAGATCTATTTTATTCTATATACAAATAACTAGATTTTTAATACAATTATTACTGCCTTCTTAAAAAAAAAAAACATATTTTACTCAAATTGGCCAGCGAAAATATTCAATTAGAGTTGTCGATATCAAAATTGATCGATTTATGTTGGATTCTACGAGATCCAATCAGAATTCGTACTTACTTGCGTTGCATCCGAATAGGGGGTGCATGAATTAACGGGAACGAGTGCCGATCCAAAGACCAATTCCAATTGATCGCTGCCCCTCGCCACTTGTGGCATATTCTGCATGTTATCTTGTAGAGATCTGCTGTTTGTATTGCTGCTGCTTCCATCGCTTTCCATTGTTGTTGTTGTAATTTAAGAACCAAAAATTTGGCACCCAATATTTATGTGTGTGGTGTGTGTTGTGTGTTTATTTTGCACACGATTTGCTTTTGTAAATGTTCATAAGTTTTTGAATAACGGCTTTAGCGTACATAATATGTACATGTGTGTGTGTGTGTGGTTGAGATCCAAATCCTTAAGGCAGTTTCGATAGTATTTGTTGTTGTTTCCTGAGTAGACTGGAGAATTATTTTTATTTCATTAAAGTCGACACGCACATGCAGCATGCATGCAGGCATATACAGACATAACAGTAAGGTATGATTCAGAATTTACTATGTATGTATGTATGTGTGCCTGTGTGCATATCCTTTTACTGTATTTTTTTGTCTTATTCGATTAAGTTATTATTTGTGTGTGTGTGTGTCTGTGAGTTCTCCCCGATCTGTATTTTGTATGTAAGTATTGCATGTGTGTGCATGTTCATAAGTATACGGATATATTTTGATCGTGTTCATGTAAATATGTAGATAAAACTTGTACATATACGCTTATATGTATGCATATGTGTGTGTGTGTGCATGCATATTGACTCAAGGTGAAACTGGTTCCTTGTTTTGTGTTTGCAATGTTCAAAGACTCACGTTCGAGCTGCGTCTGTAGTGTGAGTGTGTGTGTGTGGTATGAGTTTATTTTATTTATACATGCACATATGTAAAATACATATGAACATTTTTATACAAATGTGTGTGCATTTGTGTGCATGACTCGAGCTAACACAACACACACACACACACACTCGCAAAAAACACAGACACACGAACACTCACACATACAGTCAAACGCACATATGATTGCATATATAGACACATATGCACATGTATATGTATTTATGCATGTGTGTATATTTTATACGCTTTGCTTATTTTATTGCGTTTCTTGTTTGTTTCAGTTGCATTTGCGTTTTGAATAATGTCGATTTAAAATCATACTCGAATTTATTAACACATAATTAGAGAAATATGAATATATTTTTATGGTGAATAGTTATTATAAAAACACGCAGTTAAACACATTATACACCTGCATATATACATCTATATTTATAAATATATACACATATGTATATATATAAATATATACATAATACATGCATACATAAACATGCCACTCACAGGCACAATGACCATGCAGTTTATATTATAATTTTTGTATATTCGAGTACACTGCTCACATATACACACACATACACATATGCATACGCATTTTTAGGCATGCATTTTAACACTTGTTGCTAAATTGATTACATTTTATTGCATTTGTTGTTCTTTAATTTGTTGCTTGATTTGGTTTGATTTTTGTTTAGATTTTAGTTTTTGGGAAAATTGGCAGTAGTATTTTTGTTTTAGTTTTTCTGTTTGTCGTTCTGTTTTCTTGTATTGAACTTCTTCGAGGCAACAACGGAGCGGAACACACAAATTGCGACCGACTGCTCCGCGCCAAAGTCTGAGCATTCTGGTTCAAACCAATCTAAGCGCCAAGTCTCCTTAGTCGCAGTCGCCAAAAGCGAGCAGCGAACACGACGAACACGAAGCAAATTGAGATACGAGGTGAATGTGACGAGAATCTACATTCGAACAAACACACACAGTCAAACATACACATGCACACATATACACATACACACACACATACACACATACACACACACACACACACACAGTATATATATGCATATACATAAATAAGCACGTAAATAAATACGTACAAATAAACTAAGCGAATTACTATGAATTGTTTTCTTGTTATATATTATATTTATTTTTGATACGGCACAAATTTACTTTAATAAATGTACATACGTCTTTAAAAATGTGTATATATATGTATAATTTTTCTTGGCGTTTCAGATTTGTAATAACCGATGAGGTCGTTGCCGATCGCTTACAGCTGTTCAAGTGAACTGCTTCGCACAGTTTACGACTTGAAACCCCTCAATACACATACATCCCACACTAATGTATACACACATGCATACACACACTTGCATTTTGTGCGATTGCATATTTGAAACGGAGAGTAGAGACCCAACCAGAGAGTGGATGTCTCTCAAAAACAGAAAAAAAATAGCCAGTGGCGCAACGCGGTTAAATTGTGGCCGATAATTCAATTTGTAATCACTGATACAGATTTGCTGATATGGATTGGTGTTTGTGTTCTCGATAGCTGGAAAGAGTTGAATGAAAGCTAAAACCTGATCAGTAATTAATTATTATTTAATAATGTGAAACAATATGTACAAATATGTTTTATAACCAAACTAAGAAGAGTTATATTTTTATATATGCATACATTTTAATTGAAAAGTGCCTTTGGTATCTCTTGGTTTTTTGAACCGATGATAACAGATTGCGTTAACTATGCATACTCGAAATTGCAAGTCCCTCGCTGCGGACCTGGTCGTCGTTTTGATATCAACAGTTTTAGTAATGGTTCCAGCTGGCATTGTGTGTGTGTGTAGACAGCGGAGCTCGAATGAACGTCCATATGGTGTGAGCGTATATAAATACACATGCATGTGTGCATGTTTGCTTCTGTGTTTATGTATAAACACTGGGTGCGGATGAATCAGCTGTTCAGTGCGTATTAATCATATGGTTGTCTGACATGCCTTCGACAGTGTGTGTGCGTATGTATGTATGCATGCATGTACTGTATGTATCTGCAAGCATGAATGCACTCAATATTTATGTACTTTTGCATGTATGCATACATATGCATTTGTACATAATAATGCAAATAATAAAACTGCGTTTTGTGCAGTCTGTATATTTTTTGTATATGAATCTGTATATATATTTATTTGTATGTGTAAGCATGATTCTGAATCTGTATGTGTATGTGTTGTGTGTTTGTACACTAGTGTGTGTGCACATCTTCAAGATAAAGTAAAAGGATTTTAGTTTTAGCAATTTAATATTTGCTGAAAGCACACACGACCTGCAGAATCAAATAGCTATAGAATGTATATGTCAAAAGTTATGTTTTTTTCTTACTATCAATTATCAAGTCAAATTAAACAATTTTAAATTTGACTCTGGGCTTACTTTTCAAATTAATTGAAGCTGCGAATGAAAGAGTATAGTAGATAAAATAAAAGGAGTAAGAGACAAAGCTTTATTAATTTGTGTTTGTGTATTTTTGATCATCTTCTTCACCAACTTCAAGCATAATTCGCATAATTTTACGTTGAAGCTTTTTGCGCGAGATCGCCGAGTTTAAATTACGAAACTCATTCGCAATTAACTCCCCAAAAGCATCCCACTGATCACGATTAACCCGGGGCGGGGACGGTCTTGAAGTCGTCACATAATTCAGCTGTTCGCCGTGCATCAAATTGGGAGAAGTTCTTCGAGGATCGCATGCAGGACTTCGTTGTAATTCACAAGTGGATTTTTCCTTAGCAATACCGTTATTTGTCTCCTCAACAGACAACAGCTGGATAATACTATCATTAGACTTTTGTTCTTTTTCAGTTTCGATATTTGTTTCCGTCAATTTTAACTTATTGTTCCTAGTGGTTTTCTATAAAAGAAAAAAAAGAAAATTAAAAAAAATTTCCCAAAAATGAGTTAAGAATTTAACCTTGCATTGTGGTTGAAATCCCGGCCGTGGTTCAATGATGGGCTGTAGAAACATTAATTTATCGAAATGTTCCCAGCGACAAGCTTTTACCGTTTCATCCGAATTCTCGCCCGTTTTCGCCAAACGTCTCTCGTATTTTTTCAATTCCGAGTTGAATTGATTGCGTAAATTGTGGACTTTTTTGCCATAGTCCAGTTTGGTGATGCCCAGGGTACTGCAGATGTGATCGATGGCCTTATTGCGACAGTCTTTATTTTTGTACAATTCTGAGTAATGATTCCACAGGCAGTCGGAAGCACGGTAAAGCTCGATCAGTCTGTAAATCTTTTCCCTTGTCCAAATAGTGCCTCTTAGACGCTGGCGGCTAGTTTGTTTTGTTTGTGTGTTCAGCGCCATTTTCACTTATGTATGTGTGTGCAAAATCTATGGGGACCATCAGCAACTTGAAAGTGGTGACCCAATTATAAGACAAATATACTCACCAAAGTAAAGTAAATGAATAAATACTTAACAAAATCATTCTTAGCGATACAATAACAAATCAACAATTACGTATGTACATATATGCAATAACGTGTTTCCACTGGTCACATTTGCATTAGCATCACACCAAGGTATTCGATAGTTTTCACGGGGCATCCCAAGTTGAACGGTCAAAATGCAATGCCAGTCGAGAGAAGTCGAAGTCGGGGATACATGCTACTGCTGTGATGACCAAAATTCGATAACTTATTTAAAACATTATAATTTAATGTTGATAAATTATTATTTATAATTATGCACCTAATTCGCTTTTATTGCATTTCGACAAGTTAAATCTTTTACCATTAGCCGATTGTTAAATAATATGAAATTAGTATTGAGTAGAGTAGAAAGTTCAGTGTGGAAACACTGCGTCAGTCGCTAAATCCAATTTGTAAATAATTTATCGACTAATCGATAACTATTATTGCAATGAAAATTATCTTCACTGTGGGACATAAATAAAATAAATGACGGAAACTAACATTTTTAATGAGCGTATTACATGTTTTGTATTGTATATATTATATGTGTGAGCCATAATCAAATCGTATTATAATAATGCGTTATCCGTGCACTGCTGTTGCAAGTTTGCTTGTTTAAATATGGCCGACGCCCACGCCCACGCCCATAAAATATTTTAATTTTCAATAATTGATGCACTGGTAAATATAATCATTTTCCGTTGAGACACTGATGTTAAATGCATACGTTTCTTGCAGATATATATTTTGTAAAGAACTACAAAGATTGAGGAGGGGAGGGGGAATATTGATAAGCGGAATGTCCCAAGTAATTCCAAACACGCCCACACCACAAATGCTGACGACATCAACAACAATGCATCAGAGCACAATTGAGAAAGTGAAACCAGCGCACTCCTTTCCCACAATTGGTGATGCGAATCACAGAAATGAACTGCCGCCGGCACCCGACGACGATTTGCTTAGGGCCTCAAACCCAAATATGTTTGAGGCCCTAAGCGACCATCTCAAGCACGATGCGCCAATGGATCTCGATAATAATGTACATAACAACACGGCGGAGACTGACAACAACAATTTATTAACGAATCGCGATCCTCTACACTTTGATGCTGGTGATCCGAAAATTCGAATTATGCCCTCGATCAAGCTGATGGCGGCACCGCATGCAGCGGACCCCAAGCGTAAATTCGTCTGTCCGTACGATAATTGCACGAAAAGCTATGGCAAAAGCTCCCACCTACGCTCCCATCTCACGTGGCACACGGGGATTAAGCCGTTTGTGTGCTCAGAGCCGAAATGTGGCAAGGGATTCACACGATCCGACGAGCTAAATCGTCACCTGCGCACGCATACGGGCGAGAAGCCCTTCGAGTGCATGCAGTGCAGCAAAAAGTTCTCGCGGAGCGATCATCTGACCAAGCATCTGGCGACGCACGATCGCCAGTTGAAGAGCAGCAGCAGCAATAGTCCGACGAAACGAAACTCCCTGGGCAACAGCGTGGGACGAGTGAAATCGTCGAAGAAGATTATCTCGGAGGCGGAGTCGGGTTTTCATTTTATGGCCGTGCTCAGTGGCAATGTCGAATCGAATTCCAATCAAAATAATCAGCATCAACAGCATCAGCAGCAGTCGGCGGAAATTGCTGCTGATTTCGGGCATACGCCAATACGAATCAAATTGGAACGGCCGGAGCATAGTGACAAATATCAGATAATACCGCCGCCGCTACAGCCACCGATAACATCGATAGCCGATAACCAGTTGAGAAGCCAGCAATCGGTGTATAGCGAAAAGCAGCAACAGCAGCAGGCCGAGGTGAAATATGAGCCTGCCGATGAAATTGTACGCACACTCTCACAACTACCGCCACAGGATGGTCCCTCCACCTACGGCATGCCTCATTTTGTACAGGATCGTCCGTTCCGCTGCCGTCACTGCGAGAAGCGATTCAAGCGCCAAGACGATTTGAATCGGCATATTCGCACGCACACCGGCGAGAAGCCCTATGCGTGTAATCAATGCTGTCGACGCTTTGTGCGCAGCGATCACTTGAAAAAGCATCAGCAGACGCATTTAAAATCCCAATAGTTTTCATAATTAGCTTAAACATTTAAGTTTCACGGCCAGTGGCAACCGAATCACTGTTAGTTGAATCAGGCAAGTGTGTTTTGTTTGGCAAAACGAACAGAGTACAATAAAATTAATTCACAAAATGAACAACGGTTTTCCATTCATTTAAAGTTTTCAAATTAATCGCAAGAAATGGGCTGAACCTTCGACTGCCTTAATTTTTGATGATCTTCATGTGTAGTTTAAATAGCCACAGCGCACAGGGCGAGGATGTCTAGGCTTATATTTATATATAAATTCAAAAATACAAGCTCGAGATGCGTTCAAGATTTTGCATCAAATTGATAAACTATAATTGGGAACACTAGAATATGTGAAAAATGTTTATAAATTGCAATCTATGAATTCGAAATATAGGAATTATTCTTGTAAATAAAGTGAATATTTATTATCATTTCCTTGGCATTATTCATTTGATTGCAGACTTTAAGCTGGCTACTACCATCAGGAAATGGAATCGATAACTGCCTTTCGATAGTTGAATTCTTGTTCTGAGTACTTTTAATCGGAATATTTATTCAATAGTTTTCCACCTCTAAAACAGGTTCATTTGATACAAAGAAAACGTATCAATATTTGACAAATTAATAGGAGCTACGCTTGCATTGATAACAACAATTTTGCATCTGCATAACGTATATCGCCATTGATGCCGAAATGACAATTTCCACTTGTATTTTCTACATACTATTGTGGAATTTCTTAGCTGTATACGGCCTAGTGGATCAGAGCTCGCACAACTATATATCAAATGGAAGAAATTACCATATGGTTGATGATGCTGCTGAGGACGACACCATTGGATCATTTCCATTCCTAATGCCAAAGGTTTCCCCAAAAACTGTAAGTTATTTACAAATGCAATTTTTTTTTAATATGTATCTACTGCACGCACATCTGTTGGTATGTATCTGTGTGCGTGTGCGTGGGTGTGTGTGTGTGCAAGCAAGCATATGTTATTTTGTCGCAACATTTATGTATACGTGTATACAGTGTGCCACTAAATTGAAGGTACACCAGTATCATTTTTAGTAAAAAAAAACCCACGCAATACACACACACACAACTCGAAATACACTAGAAATGATGTTTGGACACTTGCGAATATATCAATGGCATCAAGGAAATTGATGAACCTCGTCCACGTAATCCATATTCTTAATATAATTGAACACAATTAATACAATTGAAAAGATGGGATGGAAACAAAGGGCAGTAAAAAACAAAGTCTACTTATGTGCCTTTTGTGATGACAGCATTCTTTAATATGATGCTAAAAGTTAATTATCGAGGGGGCTTTTTGTGTTATTTTGTTATTTAATATTTAATAAGCTCAAACCAAAATTGTTAATTGGAAATAAAAAAGAAACACATAAATGTCAAACGCATCCATTCTACTCAGTTGCCTTACTGGTCAGCGAGTATCTCTATTTGGGGTACAACCTGTTGAACATCTATCATAAGAAATGTTTCACTTCTACGCCAGAATAACTTTTTTTTAGTCGAAGGCACACACAACAATCTATTTAGATCATATATTATATAAAATATTCAAATATAAAATAAATATAATTAAATCAATTTATTTTAGCCGGATTTGTACTTATGCACCCCCATTAAAGTCGATCCAACAACATCATATTATATTGGTATGTTAACTCGTGACTCGTGAATAATTATGTAGATGTCTAATCATTTGATTACAAATAAAAAAAAAACAGTTGGTTACAAGCCAAACGCAACTATGAATACGGCTCATCATATGTTGCTCTATGGATGCGGGGAACCGGGAACATCAAAAACAACTTGGTAAGTGCATAGATAAACATCAGAGAGCTGCAGCGGTCAAGCAGAATACTCAATCACATCCAAATATATATTCGTAATTTGATTCACTCCCAATCAGTTCATATATATTCTTACTCTTATCGTGTTGATCGTTCTATCAGTTCGAGGGTGAATTTGAGCGAATAAATAGCTGCTGATCGCTGAACTAATTTATACCGCACTCCTAAAGGGATGATTGCTTTATAATCTACGATTATATGTAAGTTAATAATTAAAACTAAAAATATTTTCAGGAACTGCGGGGAAATGGCAAAGTCAACGGAAGAAGAGACGGGAAGTCCCTGTGGTCCGCACTCACATTCGCAGGTACGGTGACCACATCTGCGCAGTCCCATACCGTTCCACACTCAATTCTGTGTACTAAATGTAAATTACTTTCCTTAATAGATCTTATACGCGTGGGCAAGAGATGCACCTAAATTGGATTTACCGGACGGAGTTGGATTTAAAGTTGGAAAGGATTCTCCGACCAAATATTTGGTCTTACAAGTCCATTATGCACATATCGACAAATTTAAAGGTTTGATTTTGATACATAATTACATTCGATTCATGAATAATAATTGTTTTTGTATTTATTTTAGACGGATCTACGGATGATTCTGGCATCTTTTTGCATTACACTGAAAAACCGTAAGTAATGATTATTTTTATGATTATATTTAGATTTAATCTTTTTTTTCCAGACTAAAAAAATTAGCTGGTACCCTACTATTGGGTACTGATGGCGTTATTCCTGCAATGAAAACTGAACATATGGAGGCAGCCTGTGAGATAACTGAAAACAAAACAATTTATCCGTTTGCCTATCGCACACATACGCATGGATTGGGGAAAGTAGTGTCCGGATATAGGGTACGGACGAATGATAAAGGAATTCAGGAATGGACGCTGCTTGGCAAGAGAGATCCACTGACGCCACAAATGTTTTACAATGTTGAGAATAAATCACCAATCGTAACCGGTGATTTTGTTGCGGCGAGGTGTACCATGAAAAGCACTCGACACCGTGCAACACAAATTGGGTAAGATTTCTTCTAATACATGATAAATATGATATTGATTTATTTATTCTTTAAATTGCAGTCCAACAAATGAAGATGAAATGTGTAACTTCTACCTCATGTACTATGTAGACGAAGGGGAACCCCTTGAAATGAAATATTGCTTTAGCCAAGGTGCTCCCTATTATTACTGGGCCAATCCAGATACTGGCCTACATGACATTCCACATATAGAAGCCAGCACGTTGTAAATCTCAAAGAAATCAACAAATATCGTATCGAATTATTGTAAAAAGTCAAACAAATGTATATTGTTTTTTTTTTCAAACTAATTTTACCGTATGTTTATATTATAGTACATTTATTGTTGAACGTCATATTGTATGAATCTAAATCAAATTATATTTACTTTTAAACATTACCAATGATTTAATTTTATGAAATATACAAATATATGTACATGTGTAGAAATGCAGCATTATCTCTTATTTATCAAACTTAAAATGTGATTTTCATATTCAATCACTTTCTAGAAGCTATACACATTCCCTAAATAAAAAGCATGAAATAACTAACTACAAAAGTATGATAGAAGACGAAAAATAAAGCCAAATTGTAAGTATCTATAATTTAAACATATTTTCCAGTTAACAAAACTACACACGACTCGACTGTCCTACAACAATTGAGTACATAAGCTCGTAATCACTGCGGCATCATAGCGATAAGTTGTCTTATTAGCAAAAATAATATGTACTCTCAAACTCGACGAAACACTGACCCAGCCAAATCCTGAATCGCGAATGCTGGCCACTAGACAAAATGTTCATTAATCACGTGTATTTATTTATACTTATACATAGAAATGCATACATAAGTACATTAAACTAGAACAAATTGGAATCTTTGGTGCACCGAAGATTTAATATCCTTGTAAATTCATTATCGAATCAAATGCCTTGGCAAAACGTTTTAGCGGATTAAATAAAGCATTAAGATTAGAAAAAATTTAAAAGAAAATATTTTAATTCGACTAATGCGTTTGGAAATGCCAATTCGAATTCTTTGAAGCTTCAAATTAATAATGAAAATCATCGAATCGGAAAATGTATGTCCAGTTTAATTAAAAAATGTTATTACCCACATTAATCAGATGGACGTCAGTATAAGAAGTACATGCATATATATATTTAAATAATTACAAAATATATAAATAAATAAATACACACATACAGAGAAAAAGGTTGTGTGTCTATGTAATACATAGAGAGTAGTTCACTTTATGTTCAGTTCCTATGCAAAAATACTTACATACGTACGTAAATAAATTCGACAAGTGCATGTGCATTATTTTTAAATTGTGAATAGTCTTTTTTTTTGTTCTCGAGGAGGAAAAAGATTTGTTGTGATCGGCAAATATCGATCAGCCTAGTTTATTCAGTCGCATAGTTGGTGAGATGCAGCTAAAATCGGTTGAAGATTAGTGGTTCTTTCCTACTTTTTAAAAAAAAATCGTTATTTGTATGTGTGAAAGGCATGCAAATTAATTACTAGCAAAATTCGCAACCCTCAAAATTGGCAGTGTATATTAAATATAAGTAATTGAGTGAACGATAACCCAATGTTACGCAATATATCTATTTAGAAAACTGTAGGAATACTATAAATTTGTATATTGTAAGCATGCACACGCATTGCAAAAACTATGTGGGTGATGGAGTTCGTTATCTAAAAAATAATTTAAAACAACACTAAATTTTCATATAAAATCATCAAGTTTTTTGACCAGCAAATTATGAATTCGGTAAGTTGAAACGATTTACAATTTGGCATCATATATGATGTATATATGCCTATATATAAATATATATATATATATATATATATATATATATATATATAAATACATATATAATGTGTATAGTATATTTTATATAAATAATGTACTTATGTCTACATAAATAACATTGAGCAGTGCGGCCAGCTAGCAAAAACTACTATATAAATATCGATGAATGTTATTTGTTGTATTCTTTGTTTTGAACATTAAATTTAAATTGTATTAAATTGTGACAAGGAACTGAAATCCTGAAAAGGAATAAAGAGAATAGACACAGAAGATTCGGAATAGGAGTAAAAATAAATTGAAGGATAGTAATTATGGACTCCTGCGAGAAATGTACCCAAAGAACTATGGTGTCTATAGATCCTTATAATTTATTTATGATAACGGGATATTTCCTTCCGAGATATATACCGAAAGGTGTGATTTTGTGGTTGTGAGGGTATTCTTCACTTGCCAAGGCAGTGAAGGTCTTCGATCTTGCAGGGTTGCAGTTTTTAAGTTATTGCCTTGGTTTTGGTTGCATTAATAGTTTGGTATCAATATAGAGTGCAAATTTAGTATGATAAAGATGATCGGCGGTCAACCATTTTCGAGACAGTCAACCATATAATTATTTATAGTAGTTTGTCAAATTATTTTATTTTTCAACTCTCTTTTCTTTAGACCTTTGATGTTGTTTTCGTGAATCAGGATTATCAAGCTGATACTAGCGATGCGATCAGTGTTTCTCGTGGAGATTTGGTTGAGCTTGTAAATACCATAGCAACCTCTGAGAAAACAAGGTATGTTAGTAATTTAAAAGAATCTATAAGTTTATTTTTTATTTAATTTTTAACATATTTATGTCTATAATTTTAAATGTCTATAATATCAGATGTTTCATCAGAGTATTTGACGGCTTAAACTCGAAAAAAGAAGGCTTGGTTCCAATGGAAATATTGGAGATGAATTCCAGCTCTCTATCCTTAAATAAAAATGACGGTGCCGATTTGGACTTTAAAAAAAGGTATGCTTAGTCCCGACTTTGCAAGACGATCACTTTATCCATCAGTTTTAACTATGCAAAAATAAATAAAATAATAATTAAAGGCTTAAAAAAAATAAAATAATAATAAGTAAGAATGCTGATTTACACTGAACTCAGCTGTTAAACATATTCTAGTTTTATTGCCAGATTTCCCTTTAAAAATGTTTTACACACCAAAATGTAAGCAACTCTGCAATCGCTTTCACATATACTGAAGAGTACAGAAGGTTATCCTGCCGTCCTTTACACATATCAATTTTCGCACAATGGAGTATATTATCGATAAAATAAAATAAAATTGATTTTGATCTATAGCTCTTATGGTCCCTGAGTTAGCGGTATTGATGCAATCAGACAGATGGGATCACGAATAGGCGGACATGGCCATATAGACTCGGCTGTGGATCCTGATCAAGAAAATATATAGTTTCTTTGGGACCGTAGATGCTTCCCTTTGCCTGTCACATACATTTGCACGAAATCATTATACCTTTTTCAGATTTTCAATGGGTTCAGGGTCTAAAAGTCGCTTTGGGATGAGTCAATATTTTCACCCCACGTGCATTCCAATGTATTTATTAAGCAAATCTGTAATTTTAATTAAAATCTATTTTTAGAACCATTATTGGAGAGCTTATAGAGACTGAGGAGGAATTCTCAAGAGATCTTCAATATGTAGTTGACAAGTATATGAAGGCCGTTGACAAGCCAACTGCTCCCCGATCGGCCCGGGACAACAAAGACATTATCTTTTGCAATTTTCTACAAATTGCTGAATTTCACAATATGTAAGAAATTAAGCAACAATTCATTCATCCTAAATTCACAATTCAATTGCAATTTCAGGGTGCTGAAAGAAGGCCTTAAATGTTATAGTAATCAACCCAATATGGTAGCCAAAACATTTTTAAGACTCGAGCGTGATTTTGATAAACATGTCAAATATTGCCAAAATGAGCCGCTGGCCCAAGAGTTTCTCTCCACAAATGTGGAGAGTCAAACTTTCTTTCAGGTGAGCATTTTTGTTATTTGTTTATCTTAATTGCTTCCTGGTACGTGTTCTCGTGAGTCGAATTTATGTATATTATTTATATATATGTACCAGAGTGTTATTATACAATACACAATATACAAAGCTGTAGAGGCTGGTCAAAATGGACGATCTTTAACTTAACAGTTTTACTTTATTATACTCTAATACCGAAGGTAGAATAGTGAATTGGTTTCCTACCAATTCTGTTTTTTAATTTGGAAATCGATAAGTCCACAATTTTAAACTCGGAAGATAGATTGCTGGTGATGTCCTTCATGCAGTGACATATTCTGCGATACTAAAAATCTCAAGTAACTTAACTGTTGTGTAAGATAGCTTTTAAGCTAGAGTCACAAAACTTTGAAGGTATTTTCCCGGCAAAACGCTTTCAATATCTCCTAGAATTTGATTAGAGATTAGTTGTTAAAAGATAGTTTTTATCATCATTTTAAAGCTAAAGTTATCAAATTTGGAAAGTAGATTCTATTAATACTCTTCGCAAATTGGAAAAAATATATTTTCGGCTCCAATCTCGAAAAATGCGTAAGTCTACAACTCGTATAGTTTCAGTGTTAAAATTACCTCATTTAAAAAGTACTTTAATGAATGAACGAGACGCCTTCAGCCTCATCCGGCCACGATCTTGCCCAATCCACAAATTGTTTATTTGCCACCTGTTAATGATTACGCACGATTTCAACGCTCTCACTTGTTTTTAGCTTGGCAAGTGCAAATTCTTGAATTAAATTCAATTAAATTAAAGTTAAAAATGTCTTTTGCGCGACTTACAACGTTGAAATATAGTTAATTGATTTTGTGAATTTAAAGACAGCCCAATGGCAAATGCTGGACTGACAGCATCAGTTGATCGATGCATGGCGATAAATATCAATTTCCGATCCGCGAATTTGAAGGGGTCACTTTATTTATTTCTTTCACGTTTTGTAAACATCTCCAGCTGTTGAAATCTCACAGATCAATGACGCACACTGATTGCCATAACGATTCGATCAAGAATATATATGTATGCACAATATATAAATACTTTATGGGGGCGGAGATGCCATTTTAAATGCGTTAAAAACGCTGATGACAAATTAATGAAAGTCTCTAGAAGAAAATGAAATATTTTATTTCGAACCTTAACTCTTTTGCAGAAAGCTTTTCACTGGACGAATATGCCATTTTTGTTTTTTGCAATCAGAGAATCAAAAACTTTGTGCATTAGCAACAAGCAAAAACAATTTAATTATATAGCAGCAGCAGACAGAGATTTGTTTTAAGAAGAGAGAACATTTTGTCCAAATAATACCACAAAAAAAAAAAAAAAAAACTTTATAAATAGTAATGAGAAACATTGTTTTGACGTTCATCTGACGAAGTAGGTTTCTCAGTGCCTTGCTCAAAATATTCTACATAAATACACAATTACAGACGTGTGTGTGTGTGAGCAGCACATATACTTTAATGAACTACATAGGGTGCAATATTTGCAATAATATATATATACAAATATACATATTTGATTTCCATTGGTGGTCAGACACATATTCATACATACATACATACGTACACATATGTTCAATGCCTTTAAAATATTGTGTATGCGTATGTAGAATACATTAGTTTATTTTTAAAACCAGGCGTTTCTCAATACTAAAGCTTTTGCACACTTTTAGTGTCTTTTGAAAAGTGTTTGCCGTCGTTTCGTATTCGTTACACGTGGATTTTACTTTCCTTTCGGGTACCAACTTTTTACAAATATCAAATAAAAAAAATTTTAACAATTTCAAACTTTAAATATATATGTGCACTTCTTCATCCAAAAGTTATTAACATTTTGCGGTTTTCCATATTCGTACTTTTCGTTATGCAACATTATTAATAAATATAAATGCCATTACTATTCGTATTTTACTTAATATATGAACACACACAAATAGAAGATATATATAAATATATATATATATTTATATATATACACATATAGATATATATGTGCGTGTGTGTGTGTGTAGACAGTAGGGCAAATTAAATTCGTGCCGATTTGTTTTTATGAACGAATTTCAATTTCAAAGATATAAGAATTATATGTAAAAAAAAGCTCACATGTTTGTATATCTATAGATATGAATATATATTTTTTACGATTTTTAGTTCATGCATGCATCTACATAAATAAAACTGTTTGTCTTCACTGTCTGATTGACTGACTGATTGACTGATTGTTTGATGATTGGTGACTTTAAAGGTATATTTGCAAATTCATGGAAATGTTTTTTTTTTCTTTTTTCTTAAACTTTTTGAGAAATTGGAGGTCAATGTTGCTTGGCTAAAATTAAATTTTTCAACTCATTCCCAAGGCTTTTTCATACAAATACAATTTAATATTTGATTTACCGGAATGTGGCAAATAATTGCATATAATTTTTTGACTTATTTTCATAAATTTTTAATTGCAAACACTTTGATTGCAACTATAATTTTTTGCATACGACGACTTGATGGGGTGTAATTAAAATAGATAATCGCCGAATATTTTTGTTATTTAAATGCTTTTGAATGTATATTATTACATTATATATTAACACAAAGCAATTGCAACTATAGCTTTTGCATTCGACGATCTGTTGGTGTTTAATTAAAATAGATAATCGCTGCACATTTGTATAACTTAAGTGGTTTTTCAACATATATTATTTATTATGTATTTATAATTTCAGGAACTTTCAGCAAATCTAGGTGACGATAAATCGCTTTCCGAACACTTGAAGCTTCCACTTCAGAGAATCAACGACTATAAGCTACTGTTTAAGGTTTGGACATGTAAATTTGTATTACATTATGTATTATGTATGTGTTATATATCATCTCATTCGCAATAAGATTAAGGCTTATTTTCTCAATGTCTAGTTAGTCAAAACTTTATTCAAATGTTAATTGTCAGATTAGAAATGTCAAGTTCAACACATCAATCAAAAGCTGTTTGCCTTTTGCTATTGATAAGCATTTAACTTAAATCTTTTTTGAGAAAATTGATACTTAACTAGAAATTGAGAAAATGTAATCAGTTCAGTTTGAATATTAATATTAATATATATATATATATATATATATGTATATATACAAATTAATTTAACTATATAATTCACAGGATCTAATAAAACTATCACAATACTTCAAAGAAAATGTTAGGGACTTGGAGAGAGCTTTAGAACTAATGCTTAGTGTGCCAAGTAGGGCATATGACAATATATTTATTTCATGCATTGAGGGCTATAAAGGTAACATTTATAAATTGGGCCGCTTATTGTTGCATGAGTGCTGCACAATCACAGATAAGGATGGCAAGTCCCATGAGCGATATTGTTTTCTATTCAAGTCACGACTCTTAATCACAAAAGTGCGAAAAATCTCAGAGAAAAAGTCGATATTCATTTTGCAAAATATTATCAAGCTGCCGCTATGCAATATTGAGGACAGATTAGAGGAGAAGCAAGTCGATCTATCTTTAAGAGCATCAGACGCAATATCATCCGAGTTGCCAATTTCGATTAAGCCTCACAACGAGGACAGTCATCGGATCTGGTACGAAGAGATTAGGTCATATATTGATAACGAGATTGCACTGCAAGAGCACAATGCAGATGATCTGAAAGTCGATGCGACAAATATATCAACTGAAAGCGAATTGTTGCTGCGTCTGCCCCATAAAATTGAGGCATATGATCCAAATTTAGGTGTACGACCCTCTGATGTGGCCGAAAACTACTTTTTGAGCAAGGAAACGAAAGAACGCCTTCAGCTTGAGCATCAGCAACTAATTCGAATCGAACAGGAGGCTATAGAACTATATAAAAGTCAACAGCAGAATCAACAACACAATATTGTCACTCAGTCAAATGTGCAGATAAAGTCTGTCAAAGAGAATGTAATCCAAGCTCATCACTCTGAGCACAAGGTGGAAACTCAATCTCAAAGTGTCTCGATTGTAAAAAGCATTGATGCCAAAACCAGTGCTAAGGAAACTAAACCAATTAAGACCGTAAAGATCGAAGAGATCAAGGTACCCGTAGTGACTGAATCTGCAAAAACTATCAACGTAGAAAAGAAGCAGAGAAATGAAGAAAAACCAACTGTTGAAAATAAAAATTTAGATACACCAAAAATTGAACCTGAACCAATCGTAGTAATTGAAACTTCAAGCGAAAAGGAAATAATATCCGATAAAAAGAAAATTAACGTAATTAATGAAATTGCAATAGAGAAATCGCATAAGGTCGAAGAAGTACACGAAATTCTAACCGAGGGTAAGAACATTAAAGATGAATATTTAGAAGATACTCCGATCGATTTGATTCCCAATCCAACTGAAACAGTAACTGAACCTCAACCTGAACCTGCAACTGAACCTGCAACAGATAACAAATGCATTAGCATTATTCCAACTAAGCATAATCCCATCGAATTGAAACATATCGTTGGCTATAATGAGTCCCTGCAGGATAGTGATAGTAGAAACGAAAACGCCCAATCACGACAGGGTTATCAGCCTGGTCATGCCACTAATATAACCAATGCAGCTACATTAACCCAATGGAATAATCAGCTTGCCAATATCGCAAATCGCAACAATGCCAACGGCAATGATCGTTCCGGTCGAGGTCAAGGTTCACCCCCTCCACCGCCTCTGCCGCCCCATTTCGTGCGCATGCCCGGCTTCTTTCAACCGCTTCCGCTTGTCTCGTACGAGACCACCGTAGAGATACTAATCATTAAAACCCGGCCACCATCGCCGCCTCCACCGCCGCTAACCGTTAAGCGTGTGCACGTTTACACCGAGAGTCTCGAGCAGAAGACTCAGAACTTTTTGGAGGGCATCTACGACATATCGAGCTCAGATACATCGCTGCGCAATGCTAAGCAAAAGATACGAAATATTAAAACGACCGTTTTAAAGTCGAAAGACTCAACGAACTATGCCCAAGATACCGTTAAGAAAGCGAAAGCTCGCGATTTCTCACATATATTTACGCCGCCCATTAAAAATAAACGACCCATTTTCGAAATTGTCGAAGAGCCTGTTAACATTTGCGAGCTTGATGGCGATTATACTGAATCTATTGCTGACGATTTCAGAGAGTCAAGTGCCGATTTTGAAACCCGAGGCCAAAGCATTGGCATGGATGATCACTATTCTGGGTATTCCCTGGCTACTAAGCGGCACTACGAAAGTAAGTTCCCCTTAACAAAACAAAACCAAAACCAAAACAGAATAAAAAACATCACCAAAATATGAATACAATATTTGAAAAACTTTTGTTTCGTCTATCGCCCAGTGTGGCATTATTAATAATATTCGTGTAAACAATGGAAAAGTAAAGGGTAAATAATTATTTGTTATTGTTTCGACTCTTTCTATGTTCTTCAACTGAGAATAAACAAACAAAAAACACATCCACGCATCATTTTATAGACCTTATGTTGTGTTGATATCGAATAGATGCCTGAAAAGTATTTTTTATAAGTGTAAATCTTCGAATATTTATGTTGTAATAATCATATACATACGTACACTCAGAGAAAAAGGTGATTATTATACATATATCAAGCACAAACTTTTTTAATACTCAATTGTATTCTTGGAACTTATCTTAGTTACTCAACTGCATAAATCAAATCAATGCATCTTGAAATCAAAACAAATTAAAGAATATTAATAATTAAATTCTTTTAAATTAAATAGTTAATTAACATAATTTTTGGAATTCCATTTCACTTATAACAATTTTTTTCTTTGAGTGTAAATATGTATCAGAGTTATGCCATTCGTATATAGTATTCAATTTGATTTAGTAATATATCATTTGGAAATTTTGTCTATAATCTTATGTTCTAAAATTCCTTACCCAAACACTTCAATTAGATCCTTCAGAAATTCGTGCTTTTCTCCTCTCATTAACAATCGTCATTGTGATTGACCTTCTCCTTCTGTTTTATTCCTATTTAATTATGCTTTTTATTTCAACATTATTAACATATATTTTTATCAACCCCAATCCATACGACGACAAAATAAAGGAAGTAGTAGGACCAGGGAATATGATAGGGGCACCTCCTATGACAGTACTCAGGAGCAACGCTATGGCATAAGTTCTAGACGTGATCGGACAACATTGGATAGAAACGAAGGACATTCATCACTTCTGGCCACCGGTCGCTCCGAGAGCCGTGTCGAGAGCCGTGCTGAGAGTCGCGCCGAGAGTCGAGCTGAGAGTCGTGCCGAGAGTCGAGCTGATAGTCGCCTATCGTATTCGCATACGGCCAAACGATCTGCTTCCCACATGGTGGAGGAGGGTCCACAACGGTCCGTTGAAAAGCCGATTGTCGTTAAAATGTTGAAAAGTGTTCACGTCGAATGTAAGTTAAAAATGCTATAAAAACAAACGAAGAAAACAAATACAATTAAAATGGATTTCTTCTATTACATAGCCGGAGAAAGCGCGCATTTTGAGATTCAATTTAAGGAACAGCCAGGCCTGGTCACCTGGTTAAAGGACAATAAGCCTTTGAACGATATCCTGGCGGATCGCATTATTCAAACGAGTGCACCCAATAATTCATATCGCTTGGATATTAAAAACTGCAGGTTATTCACATTTCTATGTTTTCTTATTGTTATAACTTACTAACATATCTATTATATACTAACAATTTTCAGTAACCAAACCAAATAACTACAATTACACAGATCAACGTAACTGAACTTTGCAAATCTTTCTAGTGAGATGGATGCGGGAACTTATACAGTTCGTGCCCAGTCGGCAACCGATACAACTAGTGTCACCGCCCAGCTGGCAGTTGGCCAAGGTGAGTACAATCAATCAAACAATCAATCACATGGACAAAATTCATATCTTACTCACACAGAAAATTACTTAGTCTCAATTTTGTTGTTACTTTGATATAGTAATCTGATGTCCAAATATGAGCAGCTTAATAATACTCACACAATGAGTTTAGTTGGCTAAACTAAAAAGTTTTTCATATCCAGTCTTAATTTTCGACTGATTGTTCTGGCTGACATTCTTATGTTGATCGAAACCATATATATAATTCATGTGATCAAAGACGTTTCCATGCGTTACAAGATTCACGACAAAATGATAACAGCTTCTGCTAGGATAAAATGATGTGTCTAAAATCGTTTAAAATCCCAATCAAATTTCTGAGTAAGAGTTCCTTATGAATTGTATAATAATTTCACATCTTGAATACGAGGTTTAGAATTTAGCCATTATTTTTGTTGATAGAAAAGTTTATTTAAGTTGATATTTTATTTAATTCCTTACAGTAAGTGGCCTTGATGAGTCTAAAACGAATATTGCGCCAGCCTTTCTGGTTTCCTTGAAGGATGCCGAAATGATTGAGAATACTCTGTTTCGTTTCATGGTCAAGATTCTTGGCGATCCCAAGCCCAGAGTTAAATTGTATGTAAATCGCACACAAAAATTCAATAAAAACAAATAATTTTGCATATTTCTTTATTTCATAGCTTTAAAAATGAGAAGGAAATTCTTGAAATCACTGATCGCATTCAGATCATCAGAGATAAGGATTATTTGGGATTTTATGAATTGGTCATTGCTGAAGTTCAAAAGGAGGATGCTGGAGTCTATTCCTGCAAAGCAACCAATAAACATGGTGAAGCCATCTGTGAGGCAACAGCAACCACTGTGGGTATGTATTAAAAAAAAATATAATATTTGCATTTTTAAAATTGCTTTTTTAAGTAGTTCATATTTTTTTTCTCTGATTATAAAATAACATTTTTTCTACTTTTATTAAATCGTTCTTCAATTAGAATTCAAAAATCCATTTGGCGCTCTAAGTGGCCAAATTTTGCCGAGTGGCGAGAAAGCCGTTTTTTCATGGAAACGAAATGGAGAAGAATTCGATCCCGAGGAGCGATTCAAAGTGCTCTTTGGCGAGGATGAGGACTCGCTGGCTTTGGTCTTTCAACATGTCAAGCCCGAGGATGCTGGCATCTATACGTGTGTGGCCCAGACAACAACGGGAAATATATCCTGCAGTGCTGAGCTATCCGTACAGGGTGCTATCCAAACTCTAAATCGGGAACCGGAGAAACCCACTCTAGTGATCGAACACCGCGAGGCAAACACAAGTATCGGAGGATCTGCCATCCTCGAACTGCAATGCAAAGGTTTCCCCAAGCCAGCCGTGCTGTGGAAACATGAGGGCGAAGTCATTAAAGTTGATGACAGGCACAAGTTTATGTATGAGGATGACGAGAGCATGTCCTTAATCATAAAGGGCATCCAAACTGAGGATGCGGGCGAATATACCATCGAAGCTGTCAATGAGCTTGGACAGGATCAAGGCTCCATTAATTTGGTTGTCAAGGGTAAGTCTATATTCGACACCTTACTTTATTCTCATAATATTAATAGCAAAATATCATATTTAATTTTATTACATAATAAATTCAAAATCTTTTTTGGTATTAATTCATTCTTAAGATAATAAATATAATTTTGTTGATTTTTTGCAGCCGCTCCAAAGATCAAGAAAATTCAAGATGTAACCTGCACAGCTGGTGAGACAGTGAAACTTGAAATTGAAGTTGAGGGATTCCCGCAACCAACGGTTAGTGTGACCAACAATGGCAAGGATGTGTCCAGCGAGAGCAATGTGAAAATCGCCTCGACTTCAGTTGGCAAAAGCACCGAAAAAGTTGTTGTCACCATTTCTGATATTAAACTGTCGCAAGCTGGCAATTATTCGATAAAGGCCACCAATGATCTGAGCCAAACTTCAGAATATTGGAATTGTACCGTTAAGTCCAAGCCGATAATTGTCAAACACTTCGAAGAAGAGTACATACACGGCGAAAAGGAAACCGTACATATGTCCGTGAGGGTCGATGCATTCCCCGAAGCAAAACTGACGTGGTATCACGATGAAACCGAAATCAAGATGACCGATAAAAGATACAGTGTGGATTGCGATGGCAATACCTATACACTGAAAATCACCGGCACCACTCGCGTGGATGGTGGCAAATATTCCGTTAAGGCGGTTAACGAACACGGTTCAGCGGAGAGCAAAACTCAGTTGCTATTGAAATGTGCCCCGGAACTGAAGCAGAAATTGAAGAACATTACGGTTACCGAGGGTGATTCGAATGTTGAGCTTGTTGTTGGTGTCGATGCGTATCCAGTGCCTCATGTCAAATGGTTTATCGATGGCATTGAAATTGATTCGAAGCGAAATGATTTTCGTATTTCGCAAGATGATAACACTTTCAAATTGGTCCTAAAGGAAGCGGCTGTCAATCAGCAGGGCAACTACTGTTGCAAAATAATGAACGATTATGGTGTGCTGGAGGACAGCTGTACAGTGACCGTCAACTGTAAGCAAATACATTAATAAAATATATAAATTACATAATAAGACTAAATATAAATTAAATTTTCAGGCAAGCCCAAAATCAAAAGAAAGTTGAAGGATGTCGAGGTTAAAGAGGGAGATTCCGTAACCCTAGAAGTTGAGATATACAGCACCCCAGAAGCCAATGTCAAATGGTTAGTTAATACATAAAAAAACTTGATAGTGCATGCATTTAAAAAAAAAACCCTTTAATTATAGGTTTAAGAATGGACATGAAATTCATGAAGATGCACGCATTAAAATCATCCGAGATTCGCAGCGCATTGAAAATTATTATTTAACTTTAAATCTGTCGAAGCAAGAAGACGCTGGCACCTATGAGGTGAAGGCAACAAATTTCATTGGGGAGACAACATCAAGTTGTAAAGTCATTGTTTTGAGTGAGTATATTTTGAAAATCTATAAAAAACAACCAAATTTATATTTATTTCAGACAAATAGTTGTGTAAGATATTTTGGGTACATGAATTTTATTATTGGAAATATGATATTATATTATATTCTATTATATTCAACACCAAGAGCGGAAATGTTTCAAAGAGTAATATTTAAATATTTACCACCTTAAATCGTAAACTATTTTCAAATAATTATAAATCAAAATTTAATTTAGCCAGTGACAATTTATCCCTGGAACAAACCGTGACAAAGACAATGATTGCCACAACTGAACAACCAGAAGAAGGGGGTAAAACACACAGATTTCATTTTAATAAACTATTACTAATATTTAAAACACTGGATGTGTGTTGTAATTATAATATTGCTGTATAAATGCGCTTTCTACATAAGCCGGTAATTAACTTTATCAGATAACAACATGAATGAATAGGTTTCAATATATTTTTGTAAATGAGTCATAAAGTCTAAACGAAAAAAAATTTCTATAAGCGCATTAATTGAGTGTAAACAATTAAATTACTGATTTCTCAGCATTACTTTTGCAATTGTGCATGGAATTAAATAATCTAAATTGGATAGAGTGCAAACATAATTCGCCAGGAATCTCAAGAATGCCTTAAGAGCTGAAGGAAAAAAATGCATAAATCTAGGACTGCAAATTATGCCAAGCATATCGAACTAAAATATAAAATTAAAACTGAATGGTGTCTGTCAACTAATTGTGTACATAATATAAATTAACTTGATTGATAACATTGAATTGTCTGTAATATAATTTTTGAAATTGGTGACCTGAGATCCAAAAACTGTGGCCGATATAGGCTCTGCTGGGCGCAACTATTATAAGGAGGAGTATCAATTTAGCTCTCAAATTTGGTAATTTTAGCCCCTAAATTGTAGGAGATATTGGATTCGGGAGCAGGAGTAAGGGATATAATTAACATACTATTTCAAAAATAATAATATAATTTAAATAAAAATTGTGGTTTTACCTCAATATCTGTAGAAGACATTCAAAACTCTCAAAAAAATTGATAACATGTAGCACAGAGCAGGTTGGGTTGAGCCAAGAAATACCTATCATTGAAGGTGATTTTTATAAGTCTACCGTCTAAGTATGCCTTTAAAATTGCGATAAATATATGATTTACTGAATTTTGTGGGCGAGAAAGAGTTGAAAGAGTTTTCTAGTAATCTTCCTTCCAAGTTTAGTAACTGTGTCTCTTAAATTATGAAAGATATAGGGTTTTCGGAATTTTCGGAGCGTGACTAAACAATTTTAGAGATGGTTCCTAGTAATCTTCCAAGTGTGGTAACTGTAACTTTAAAATTTCGGGAGATATAGGTTTTTACCGTTTTTGGGGGCGGTAATGGGCGTGGTTCAAAATTTGTATTTTTGAAAAGTATTACTAGCAATATACGCGTCAAATTTGAAGACTCTAGCATACAATTTGTGAAAGAAAGCGGAGGTTGTGGGCGTGGTCTGATATGTCATATGCCAATCCTTGAGGAGGTTACCAGCTAGTTATTTTTGATCTTTAAAATTGTGGGATGTATGCGATATTACCGATTTAGACTTAGACTTTAGACTTTAGGTGTGGGCGTGGCTATATAACCATTATACTCTTGTATCTGCGGTATATGTATATATATTTAAATGTACAAAATGTAAGAGGTAAGTGCTTGGCCAAATATCCCAAGAAACGACAAAAATAAAAAGAAGATATTCAAATAAGTGTAAATAATGAAATGTAAAATTCTCAGCAATTCGCAACTGTGCATGGAATTAAAGCATTTAAATTGGATTAAGCGATGAGATGCAGCAGCAATCGAAGGATTGCCCTAAAAACTGGAATGGTATAATTAAGTCTGTGACTTCAACTTATGGCAACTATTTCTAACTTTAATATAAAAATGCAACTGAATGGTGTCAACTAATTGTGTACATAGTTTTAAATAAAAGTCATATAAAACCCTATTTTTATGAAAATAGGTTCAAAACCAAACCAGCAATGTCAATGTATACATTTCGATACTTTATCAATAATATTACACCTAATTGCAGCGGTACCCGAGATTGTTCACATAGATGTCTTTCAAATGCACAGTTTCGAGAGCCTTCCGCTTAAATACGAAGTCATCGCTACTGGTATTCCAAAACCGGAAGCCGTTTGGTATCACGATCAGAAGCCCATTAAATCGGACGATCATGTTGCTATAACAGTTGATGGGGTTTGTCTAAAAGAGTTTCAGAAATTTTGAATGATGCTAATATGGTATATTTTAGGAGCATTATAAACTGGAAGTTAAGTCTTTGGATCTAGCCGATGCCGGTGAATACAAAGTAGTCTTGAAAAATAAATGCGGTGAAAAAAGCCATCAGGGAGTGCTGTCTCTCTCAGGTAAAAGATATAAATATCATTGAAAACTGATAGTATTATTATAAAATGTATGATTATTGTAAACGTAGGTGTCGCTGAGTACAGGAAACCTATACTGATCTCCAGTTCTGGATTGAAAGATCTTAAACTTAAGAAGGGCGAGAGCGTTGCGGAAACAGTAATATTCACAGCTGATCCAAAGCCAGAAATTGTTTGGTTGAAGGACGGAAAACCAATTCAGAGCGATGAACAACTTAAACTAAAGACTGAATCGAAGGAGCTAGAAAACGGATTAGTACAATACACGTGCAATTTAAATATAATGAAAGGTAAGACTAAACCGATATTCAAAATGCACTTTATATGACAAGTTGAAACTTGAAACTTAAATTTGAAAACTATTTTCAATATTAAAATAGCCGACATTAAGGACTCTGGACGTTATGAGCTGAAAGTGAAGAATAAGTATGGAGAATTAGCCACAGCTGGGTACATAGATGTGCTGGCCAAGCCAGAAATTTTGGGCTTGAAGGATCATAAGTGTATGCCTGGGGATACGGTCTGCTTTGAAGCAACCATACTTGCCAATCCGAAACCAAAGGTCTCCTGGACCCGAGGAAATGAGAACCTTTGCAACAATGAGAACTGCGAAGTCATCGCCGATGTCGATGGCGATAAGTATAGAATTGTCTTCCAGTCCGTAGCATCAAAGGACGACGGCAAATATACAGTTACGGCCATTAATTCCGAAGGAAGGTCTGACTGTGAATTCAGTCTGAACGTACTTGGTAATATTCGAATACATAAATGTGATCGCTAACAATACATATGTAATATAACTGAACCTCTTTTTTATTCCAGTTGAGAAGCCTGCGTTCATAGTTCCACCCGAAGACCAGGAAACCCACGACCTTAAAAATGTGACAACCAAAGTGGTTGTCCATGGAGTACCGATACCTACTATTGCATGGTTTAAGGATAACAAACCCATTGATCTAACGGCTACTAACAAAAATTCAGATGAAAAAGCTTATAACGTTAAATCTAATGCGCTGGCAACCGATCAAGTTGATGGTGTCTTTGAAATAACTAAATTTAGACCCGTCGACATTGGAACGGTGAGTATCATTTATTAAGTAAAAAAATTATTCTTCTAATTGTAAGCACTTTTGTTTTTTTTTAGTACACTTGCGTTGCTAAAAACGAAATTGGCGAAACGAAAGCAACATTTAAATTGGAATTGGAGTCGCTGGCACCTAAGTTTGCCAAGAAATTGGACAATGCCGTAGATGTCATGGAGGGTGAGCCTCTCCTGCTGGAGTGCACAGTGGATGGCAGTCCCTTGCCCACAGTCCACTGGTTTAAGGACAGCGAGGAAATCAAGCCTAGCCAAGGGTATTTATCCACGAAACACCACTTTGCATGCATATATCTACTACAATCTGTACTCCTTTTCTTTGCAGCGTGTTGTTGACAACAACGCCTGAAGGACTAGTTAAATTGGAAATCGAGCACTGTAAACCAAATGATTCGGGTGCCTACAAAATAATTATTTCCAATCCACATGGCGAAAAGGTTGCACTCTGCGCTGTGGCCGTAAAACGTTAGTATTTATTGTATAAATCGAGTAAAAACATAGATTACATACCCTTGCAGACCTATTTTATGCAAAAAAATCCGACTGAATTTTTCTATGAAATCTATATGATATTGTAGTCCGATATTGATAATTTTTGTGCTTTATTTCTTGAATAGCCAAGGAAATGGAACCGAAATTCGTGAAGCCCATTGAAAGCCAAACAGTGACCGTTGGAGAACCCTTAAAATTAACTGCCCATGTCACTGGTTTCCCAGCACCCGAAATAAAATGGTATAAGGATGGTTTGCTACTACGCCCAACCTCCGGTATTAATTTCATTAATAATCCCAATGGACAAATTGGCTTGTGGTAAGAACATTAAATTGTCTACAATATTTTATCTATATATATTAATTTTTTGATTCGAATTCAAAAAACAACTAGCGTTGATTCAGTTGATGGCCAGGATGCTGGTATCTATAAATGCGTAATTGTGAATAAGCAAGGCGAAATGGAAGGCGCAGCCAAGGTTGAGGTAGTTGCTCGGGAAGCAAAGCCAGCATTTGTTGCCGAGCTGCAGGATGCATCTAGCATTGAAGGATTCCCGGTTAAAATGGATATTAAGGTTATTGGTTATCCAGAACCGAAGCTTCAATGGTTCCACAACGGACATGAAATATTGCCAGATAACAAACATTTTGCCATTGTGGAGAATCCCGATGGCGTATATAGCTTAATCGTAGACAAAACGGCGCCAACTGATTCCGGCTTATATGAAGTTATAGCACAAAATTCGGAAGGATCAACCGCTTCCAAGGCAAAACTATATGTTGCCCCCAAAACTGATGAAACCTCAACAGAGGAAATGCCTCAATTCGTCTCGGGTCTTCGGGATGTGAATGCCGATGAGGGTCAAGAGATGGTGTTGTCAGCACCATTTATTGCCAATCCAATGCCAGAGATAATGTGGTCCAAGGATGGCGTTCCGTTGGTACCAAGTGAACGACTATTAATGACTTGTGATGGAAAGCACGCGGGTCTAACTATAAACCCTGTGGAAACCGCCGATTCCGGTAATTATGTTTGCCTGCTTGCTAATCCCCTGGGAGAAGATTCATCGGCCTGTAATGCGAATGTTCGCAAAGTCTACAAGGCGCCGATCTTTACGCAAAAGATGTCGGATCTACAGCAAGTTTTTGGCAACAATGCCAAAATTCCGGTTACTGTTTCGGGCGTTCCTTATCCGGAACTCCAATGGTTCTTTCAAAATAAACCCATTGAGTCTTCGGACAAATATTTCATCCATAATGATGGCGATCATCACATACTGACTGTCAAGGATTGCCAAGCCCCGGATCAGGGTGAATACAAATGTATTGCCTCCAATAGGGAAGGCAAAGATATTACCAAAGGTCGTCTAGACATCGTCAATGAAGTGTAAGTATTTATTTACAAAGGAGTATAATTTTGTGTTGACTAAGTAATTGCTTATGTTATTTTTTTAAAGTAAAAAACACATGCGTTCCGAACCACCTGTATTCCTTAAAAAAATCGGAGATTGCGATATCTATGAGGGTATGACAGCCAAGTTTACTGCCTGTGCTACCGGATATCCCGAACCGGAAGTTGAATGGTTCAAAAATGATCAGAGACTATTTCCATCTGAGAATATTGTGACTGAAAAGGAACCAAACGGTCTTCTACGCCTAGCAATTAAAAATGTTACGGATTTGGATGTGGGACGCTACTCTTGTCGTATCTACAATCCACATGGTGACGACATTTGTCATGCCGAATTGTTCTTCGATGGTAAATGAGATTAATAATGAAAACTTCAGTTTTATGTTTATAAACAACATCGACTCACTTCATTACGATTTTTTGTATATACCCCATATAGTTATAGATTCGCATCAGCGTCCGTTGGGAGACCAGTACTCAGACTTTAAGCAGTACAAGAAGACCGGTGCTCCGCCACCATTGCCAGATGCTCCGATTATATCACGAATGACCGACAGACGTCTGCGACTATCCTGGAAACCATCGGTTCCCTTGTCTGCTCGCTATCCGGTCACGTTTCAGGTATGTGGATGCTTCACAAACGTACTTTACTTTTGCAATATTAAACTCCACAACTGAATAGGTTGAAATGTTGGATTTGCCGGACGGTGATTGGCATACTTTAAGAACTGGCGTTCGTAGCTGTGCGTGTGATATTAAAAACTTGGAACCGCTCAGGGATTATAAATTTAGAATACGCGTGGAAAACAAGTTTGGTGTCAGCGATCCAAGTCCATATGCTCAAACATATAGGTGAATATGAGCCACAATAATTTCGCAATAGACAAAAAAAATATTGATTTCTCTTCATTTTTAGGCATAAGCTTGTACCAGAGCCGGCGAAAACTTACACGTATTTACCACCTGGTACTGACTTTAGACCAGAAACTTCACCATATTTCCCGAAGGACTTTGATATTGAACGTCCACCACATGACGGATTGGCCCAAGCTCCACAGTAAGTTTTGTTTCCAAATAATCAATATCAATTTTGGTAATTTCAATTCAAGTTGCATTTTATCATTACTTTTTTATATTAATATTTGTTGTATTTTTTCAGATTTCTACTTCGTGAAAATGAATTGTCCTATGGAGTCAAGGGTCACAACACTGAATTAATGTGGTTCGTCTATGGCTATCCTAAGCCAAAGATGACCTATTACTTTAACGACATGCAAATTGAATCCGGTGGTCGATTTGATCATAGCTACACTCGTAACGGCCAAGCGACCCTTTTCGTTAACGAGTAAGTGATATATATATATATATATATAGACATATTCATATAAAGATCTTGGCAATTGTACTCCACGACTCAACAAGGCTCCGTTAAGAATTGATCTACCCAAAAGGCGGAACTCTAAGAGACTTTTTTAGTTAGACTCATTCAAAAACGCTATTTCAGATGTGTCTGCAGTTGCACTTAAGTCACTTTGTACCTTACATTTAATCTTTTCATTAGTGACCAATCAATCAATCTTATCAATCAATCAATCTAGAGAAGATCTATTATTATACAGCGACCCTCTTAAGTATGTGTTAAATACGCGTATTAACTTCACTTTTCCCAGTAAACCTACGTTAACGTATTTTCGATGAAACTTTCTCGTTCTTTAATTAAGTCTTCAGTTGTAACATATGCATTCCCGGAAAATCTCTGACCGTGATTGGGTTGTTTTGTGGGTTTTCCACGATCCTTGCAATAAATTTTGGCCCATTACCATATAACTAAGCTAAAACTTCACTGCTTATTTCTTTATATCCTTTCGTTATATAACATACTTATATATTATTTATATTTAATTATTTTAAAAGTATGTTGGATCGCGATGTTGGATGGTATGAAGCAGTCGCCACAAATGAACATGGTGAAGCGAGACAACGAGTTCGCCTTGAAATTGCCGAGTATCCAAGATTCTTGAAGCGACCAGATGAAACATTCATAATGTCACGCAAAAATGGACGTATTGAAGCGAGGATTACGGGTATTCCATTGCCAGAGGTCCATTGGTATAAGGATTGGAAGCCTTTAGCTGATTCTTCTCGTATTAAAGTATGTATTTTAATAATAAAAAAATAAGAATATTTATATATTAGGATCTTTTCATAAATTTACGATTTTAGGATAGGATAATCTATTTGCTCATTTTATAAAAGTTTGAATAAAATCATTTTTGATCAATTAATTTTATATTTTCTCCGATTTATACTAGATGCACTCCTATGATCCCGATATCTACGTACTCTCAATCCATGACTCAATAATTAAAGATGGAGGCTTGTACTCGGTCAGCGCTAGAAATGTAGCTGGATCTGTTAGCACCTCGGTGACTGTACACATTGAAGACAATGAGGATCAATATATTTACAAGACCTATGGCAGACATCCATATGTGCGTCCGAAGCAATTGCGCTACGAGGATAAATATGATATTGGTGATGAGCTGGGTCGTGGAACCCAAGGAATTACTTATCATGCCGTTGAGCGTGCAACGGGCGACAATTATGCGGCAAAGATCATGTATGGAAGGCCAGAGCTGCGACCATTCATGTTGAATGAGTTGGATATGATGAACATGTTCAATCACAAGCACCTAATTCGTCCCTATGACGCATATGAGAATGATCGCTGTGTAACACTCATCATGGAACTGGCAGCTGGCGGAGAGCTTGTTAAGGATAACTTACTCAAGCGAAATTATTACACGGAGCGGGATATTGCCAACTATGTCCAACAGTCGCTTTGGGGATTGGAGCATATGCATGATGTTGGAGTCGGTCACATGGGAATGACGGTATTTATTCATATTGCTTTAAGTTTTTTATTTATTATACTTATTTCTTTTGCATATTTCAGATTAAGGACCTATTGATTTCAATCGTTGGTAGTGATTATATTAAGATTTCCGACTTCGGTTTATCACGCAAAATCAATAAACATAATCTATCAACATTGGATTATGGCATGCCGGAATTCGTATCGCCAGAAGTTGTGAATAAAGAAGGCGTAAGCTTTTCGCATGATATGTGGTCGATTGGCTTAATCACCTACGTACTGCTTAGCGGTCGAAATCCTTTCCTCGGTGCCGATGATAGGGAAACATTAACTAAGATTCGTGAAGGCCGTTGGGATTTCAGTGATCCATTTTGGACACATATCTCTGATGATGGTCGCGACTTTATAAGCCGTCTATTACTTTATAGTCCTGAAGAACGTATGGATGTGAAGACAGCATTGAAGCATCCTTGGTTCTTTATGCTTGATCGCAAAGCCTCATTGGATGACTATCAAATTGGAACGGATCGTTTGAGAAATTATTATGATCACTTCAGAGATTGGTATGCCAATGCGTCCTGCAAGAATTACTTCCGCAGACGTCGCCTGAGTGGCTGCTTCCAACATCCATCGAAAATGGTCTACCCAAGTGGACATTCATATACCCCAGAACGTACGCCCGAACCCTTGCCGGAACCAAGAATTAGAAGTAAACGCGAAGATGTCGTCTCTAAATTCTTGCATCCAGATTACGAGCTTGGTCTCATACAATCTGAGAGCCAGTAAGTGATATATAATAATAGTAATATATAATAATACCTAACCTATCTCCGGGAAATTTCAGCTATCAATATGGTCCCGACACGTATTTGCTGCAATTAAGAGATGTTAGCTTCCCCGTTAGATTGCGTGAATATATGAAGGTGGCACACAGGCGATCGCCATCATTTGCATTAAACGATTCAGTTGATTGGTCGGTAAGTACGGCCGTAATACGGCATCATAATCACTGTATCATAGATGTTCTATAATATATATCTTTCAGCTGCCCGTTATTCGTGAAAGACGCCGTTTCACTGACATAATGGACGAAGAAATTGATGATGAACGCACAAGAAGTCGCATTAGCATGTATAGTGCCAATGATTCGTATTCGATTAGACGTTTGAGAACAGAGTTGGGACCCCGATTGGATGAATACACCGAGGCCGATGCGATGCTGGAGAGTCAGCGTGGCGGCTATCCACCGTTCTTCAGGGAGAAGCCACAAACGATTGCCATCACGGATAACAAGCCGGCCCACATACACTGCTTTGCCGTTGGAGATCCGAAGCCCTGTGTACAGTGGTTCAAAAACGATATGGTTGTGTCGGAAAGCAAGAGGATCAAGATAACCTATGACGATGATGGTCGTTCGATACTGCGCTTTGAGCCAGCCGTACATTTCGATATTGGTATCTATAAGGCAGTGGCCAGAAATAAGGCAGGTCAAACTGTGGCCAGATGTCGCATAGTTATTGCAACACTTCCCGATGCACCCGACTCGCCGGAAGTATCCGCAACGAGTGCAAGCGAAATACTATTGAGATGGAAGCAACCTCGAGATGACGGACACTCTCCAGTCTTGTGCTATAGTCTGCAGTACAAACTGCAGACGAGCGATGCGTGGACAACGGTTGCCGATAATATTGATCATGAGTTTTATTTATTGCACGAACTCACACCCAACACCAATTATCATGTGCGTCTGGCTTCGAAGAACCGCATTGGCTGGAGTGATATGGGAATTGCCGTTAATGCAACGACTTCCGGCAATGATGCACCCAAAGTCCACATTACTAATGCCATGAAACACTTACAACAGTTGACGGAGAAGGGTCAGGAAATAGTTCCTGAAGAGGAGCGAGTCCATACCGACTATCATTGTGAGCGTGAACCGCCCACCTGGGTAACTGATTCCTCCGTCAGCGATAAGTATAGCTTTATTTCGGAGATTGCTCGCGGCGAGTTCAGTACGATCGTGAAGGGAATTCAAAAATCGACCGATACCGTCATCGTTGCCAAAATATTCGAAGTCACTGATGAAAATGAGGAAGCCATTGTCGCTGAGTTTGATAATTTCAAAACTTTGAGACATGAACGTATCCCAGCTCTGTTTGCCGCCTACAAGCCAATGAACGTACCGATTTCGATATTTGTGATGGAGAAACTACAGGGTGCCGATGTGCTAACCTACTTTAGCAGTCGTCACGAATACTCGGAACAGATGGTTTCCTGTGTAATCACTCAACTATTGGATGCTCTGCAATATTTGCACTGGCGTGGATATTGTCATCTGAATATTCAGCCCGATAATGTTGTTATGGCATCGGTGCGATCAATTCAAGTGAAACTTGTCGATTTTGGCGCTGCAAAGAAAGTAAATAAATTGGGAATAAAAATAACACCAACTGGCATGTTGGACTTCCAGCCCCCAGAGATGATTAACGATGAGCCAGTCGTCCCACAGAGTGACATCTGGTCGCTGGGTGTACTCACCTACCTGCTCCTGTCCGGTTGTAGTCCATTCCGTGGCAATGACGAGTATGAAACTACACAGAATATTTCATTTGTGAGATATCGTTTCGAAAATCTCTTCAAAGAGGTTACACCAGAAGCAACCAGATTTATTATGCTGCTATTCAAGCGTCATCCCACGTAAGTGTAATCATCATAATACTGTTTAATTTAAAACATATTAATTCATTAATTTTACTACCACAACAAATAGGAAACGACCATTCACAGACGATTGTCTGGAGCACAGATGGCTTATGTCCTCAGATTATATGGTTAGGAAGCGTGAGCGCGCCATATTCTTAGGAAGTCGACTAAAGGTACTTTAAATGAGGTTTTATTATGGAATTTTGTTATTAATACCACACCTATTGTTACCATCCCAACAGGACTTTAGCGATGAATATCACGACCTTAAAAGCAAATCAGCCACAACATCCAAATCTCTTTATGCGGTTGAAGGCGGACCGACTCCTTCTCAACTGCTCCGATCAAATAGCATTCAAGAGGAATTGCTAACAACATTTTAGATAAATAGCTAACAAAAAACCAATGGTTGTTATGAATTTTCTCTGTATTTCAGCTTACGAGTTACGAAAATAATAAAAATTGAGATACCAAATATTTAATTAATAATTCGGTTGTTTTATTCGAGGGTCGACAACGAGGATCTATCTGGTATGTCTTATTGGAATATGATTGGGATTTATTTTTAGCTGTTTGCTATTTTTCCGGCTAACTTGAATTGAAATAGGACAGATAAGCCAGGTAAAAGGACAAGTCGGCAACACTGGTAACAAGTTTACCAAGGAGTGCTTTCGACTATCGATAACTTTAACTGGATGCAAAGCCCAAAAAAGGCCAATCGAAAGTTTTCTAAGGACGAAGAGCAAAATAAGTTTTAAGCATATTGTTAAGTAAATTAGTTATGTAAATAAGAAACTTATTTGAATTCTGAAGGCATTTGGGACGCTAAAATGATAATACCCGCCACAAGGATATTCAAAGTATCGGATCTAACCGCAAAAAGGCTAAAATGGCCGCACTATATACGATTAATCGATGTTTGACGTACATCGCTAGCAAACTTATTGATTAACAAAAAAAATATATATATATTTACATAGTGATGTTTAAGTCTTAAATATACAACACCATCATTAGCTAATAAAGATGTATTGTGTAATTTTATTCCTAAAGTTTCCATTCAGTGTATTTTAGATACACACACATACATGCACACATGTAGGTTGATCGATTGAAGGTAAAATTAAGGCATGGTTAAAAAATCAGCAGCTGCTCAGCAGTTCATATTATGTACATATTTGTTTGTTTGTTCATTTGCACATACGCAAAAACATGCAAGAAACTTTTTTGGCTTCCTGCTGAGTCATTGAGCTAAAAAGCGGCCAACGATGTTGGCCAGTGTGCAAATTAGCAATAAGAATACAGCTAAACAGCTGCTGTTAAGTTTAGGCAGGCCTTCACAAGAAAACACTAATAAATATATATATAATATAAATAAGTATGTTTTCAATCTATTGTCATGCCAGGTACAACAACATCTGAACTCGTAAAATGGCAAAGAACACATTTAACATCAGTCGGAAGCATAAAACATATCCAGCCAATTTCAATGTGGAGTGTAAATCACAATTGTTAGATGAACAAGAGAATGTCAAATTAATTGTCAATAGACGAAGTGCAGTTGTCTACCCCAAAAAATGGTCATTTCGTTGTAAATGGCACAAAAAGTTGGCAATAACCTTAGCACTTATTGTAATTTGTATACTGATTATTTTCGCCTATACAGATATATTTCGAAATAAAATATTTTCGATATTTCTGTCAGATGGATTCGACAAGGTGACAAATATTGGAAAACTGCAGACAGGCTATTACTATAATAATAATAAGCAGGCAGCTGTCGCATTAAATTCAACAAATCATTCAAATTTGAAATCAATGCAATATCTACTGAGTTATTCTCCGGTCCAACTGAACCTGAGCACACATCTGAAAGCATTTTCTTCCAACTACAATATATTTGTTATATACACCAAAGAGAACTATCGTCTGCATATGAAGTTTGATTTGTTTGCACATAGCCTGCTTAAGCATACAAATGCTCAATTGCATTTACACATTATAACCGATAAGAAGAGTGAAGTGTCTGTATTGGAAATACTTCAGAGGAAAATTCGAAAATTTAAGCGAATATTAATCTATACGATGTATGATGTGAAAATCTGTTCGGAGATAATACAAGATATAACGGATAAGCTGTTGCCATATTTTAGTTCATCGCCCAATTCATATTATTCGGATTCGTTATTTTTCTTATCACTCGGTTTGCATCGCATTGCTGATAAGAGTTTAGATCGCGCTATTCTTTTTGATTGTGATATTGTTTTTCGATCGGACATACGGTTACTGTTTGCAGAATTCGATCGATTTTTGCCACATCAACTTTTCGGATTAGCGCCGGAATTAACGCCAGTCTATCGACATATACTCTACCGTTACCGTACACGATTCCCGAAATCAAATTTCGGCAATCCATATAATCCAATACAATTAGGAGGAAAGAAAAACAATGAAAATAAGTTAGTATCTAGTCGCAATCGTGATCGTCATGGTTATCCTGGCCTCAACTCTGGTGTGGTACTTATGCTGCTAAATCGCATAAGAGATTCTAAAACATACATCGAGATGTTAACGCAATTTGAAGTTAACCGATTGGTTGCAAAATATTCGTTTAAGGGTCATCTCGGAGACCAAGACTTTTTTACACTGCTTGGCTATGAATATCCAAATTTGATATACAGATTAGACTGTGTCTGGAATAGGCAGCTGTGCACCTGGTGGAAGGACCACGGCTATAGTAATCTATTCGATGCATATTTCCGATGTGAGGGTGTTATCAAAATGTATCATGGCAATTGTAATACGCGTATTCCAGAGAGATGAAATACAAACATTTCATTTAATAAAATACATTGTACACAAAAAACTAAATTTGGCATTAAGTCACTTTTTTGGTTGAAACGGGAAGCTTTACAGGTATTTCTTTAAAATTTGGTAAGTTATAGTTTTTTTCCAACTAGTCTTCCTGCAGTCCAAGGATCTGGATGATATCACCTATTGGCTTAAAATCACAGGAATTGGACTTGACTCACTTTATATTTGTCTTAAGAATTAATAATTTATCAAGATAAACTATTTGTAATTTTGATCGGAGTTCGCTTAAAAATTTTAATTAATTTTAACATTATTGGGACTATAAAATTGTTATCTAGTTAATCAAAAAGATTGATAATAACTAATTTATGTAGCAAGCAATCATAAATAATTTGTAAATCAACAATCAAAACGACGACGCACGATAAATGTATAAAATTCGTGTCACGCAGGAAAACAGGAAACACGGCCAACCCTAATCTGGGAAGATTCCATTTGAAGCCCGACTACAATGTACTTACTTGATCTATACTTTGAAAAATAATAGAATGCTTGAATTGATAGGTATACTCTAATTATACATGTAAAGTTGTTGCTCCGTCTCACACAAAACAGATATAGACAAATATGAGTGATTCACTGGATTAATGAGCTGTACGAGTACACTATTATTTTTATAGTATATATATTATAAGTTACAAATACTAAGTTATTATTGTGCTTCAACTAATCACCAAATTGACATTCAAGCGAAACGGCCTTACGTTTAAAGTCTAAAGCATCAAAGTGCATATCTACTTAAGTATATATATATATACATTTACATGCATATGTACATATATATATACCCAGATACGTAAGTATGCCATACATTGTATGTATATACCTGAGTATCTCCGTATATCAATCTGTCTGCCGTTGACCACGTATAAAAGCAATCACCATTGAAATCGTCGTTAGTTTGTTCGAGTTTTCTGACTACTGCACAACTGGTTTCTGGTGTCAGTTGAAGCATTCGATTTTTATTTGAAATCTTAAATAGTAGGAGCGGCGTACAAAAGGTAATATTTGAATTTCAATTAGTTACTTGATAATTTATACTATATACTTTATGAAATATTTATTTTTGCGCAATGTTTGTGATGTGTTTAGCCAATTAATAACGTAAACAAATGCGAAACTACTAATGTGCATATATTTATTTTGCGGCTGGATAAATTAGTTAAAATGTGGTTTACTGTGTGAATGCGAATTAATATTAATATGCGCATAAATCTAAAAGCTTTTAAAGTTCAAGTTCTACAAAGATTGGCGTCCAAAACTTGATTTTCTTTATAAATCAAATCAAAATCAAGTACGTTTATTACGCAAATCAAGATTTTCACTGGAAATTTACCAAATGACCTTCGTATAGTTTAAAATACATGTTATTCTCAATTTGTTGTTCGCTTGGTTAGTTTATCTTCTAAATCAAAAATGTTTTTCAATCCGTAACTTTAATTTCGATAAATTATTTGTAATATTTGGTAGGCTCTTCAGGTAAAAGTCGATGTTAAGAAAGAATCAGGCTAGCAGAATATCTACGCGAATTAAGTTTATTTTAATTGATAACACAAAACAAATGTCGAAGAATTTTCTAACTATAGGATTTTTCTACTAATTTATTACAATTAAATTAATAATTTGTATCTATTTAAGAATTGTATAACTATTTTCCTTTCAAACGTGTTCATTTATAGATTCAAAATGAAGGCAACTTTCTTGCTCGTGACTCTGGCGATAATAGTATGCGTGAATGGCGACGAGAAGTATACTACTAAATATGATAATATTGATGTAGACGAAATATTGAGATCTGACAGACTATTCAATAATTATTTCAAATGCCTCATTGACACTGGAAAGTGCACTCCCGAAGCAAAAGAACTTAAGAAATCGCTACCTGATGCTCTGAAAACCGAATGCAGCAAGTGTAGTGAAAAGCAAAGACAAAACAGCGACAAGGTTCTTCGACACATCATCGATCATAAGCCCGATGAATGGAAGGTTTTGCAAGCCAAATATGACCCCGAAGAGGTTTACAGTAAACGCTACCGGGCACAAGCCAAGGAAGCCGGAATACACATTTAGATCAAAACAACTTGTTCGAAAAAAATGCTATTAGATCAAACATGTTTTTATTTTATAAAAAGCTACTGTGATGGACTCTGGAAAATTATATCTAATTAAATTTCTAGTGGAGAAATTTTAAATCCATTGTGTAGCATACAATTAGGTTAAATGGTGAGAACAAAGTTGTGTAATGTATGCAAATAAAAAAATTTATTGTTTATGAATTTATCGTTTTTATATTAACAGTAACACATTTTTTTTTAAATACTCGGACATAAGAGAATGCTTAATATTCTGACCCCACTCGCAAAAAAGGCAAAAAGAAACAAAACACGTTTTTATCAATTAACTTATTAAAGGTCGCTATACAGCTGCGACCCTACAAAACTGATTGATTTGTAGACTTGAATGTCCGGTTTATATAACATTTTTATTACATCAAAATAAGTAACAGCTTTCACGTGTTGCTGTAAGTACATACTTTTTGTTAAGGGGGGTTTAATGTCCGGTGCGAACTGAAAGTCAAACACAGTTCGCTGACATTACAAGCAAATCTAGCGAGATTGACAGTAAGTGTTCAAAAAGAGCGGCATTAAGCATGAATCATAAATTTTGAAGATTCTCCGTAAGGCCTTACTGTGCCAACAAAGTCCACATCATTTCTGTCAATTTGTTGCCCTCAGGTAATTAAAAATAGCATTAAAATAACCCAAATACTCATTAAAATGAATTTCCATTTCCCTTGTTTTGTGCAACAATTTTTTATCTGTCAGCCAACAACTGTGATGTACAAGAACTCATCTTTCCAAAGTTACATCAGCATAGCTGCCACGCTGAATACATCTTTGCAAAGTTTGGAACTACATCAAGAAAAATTATTGATGATTGCTGTAATTTTACGGTGCATTGACTTTGCCCAAAAAAAAAAAAAAATGGCAAAAAAACATCAACTATTCATATAAAGAGTTAATTTACAATTTGTTTTTTTTTGTTTTGCACGTAATATCTATGCGAAATTCTCGTGCGTTTTGACTGACATCGCTCTGTGTGATGAGCCCATAGAAACAGCGAAATTGAAAAACAAAACCTATCGAGTAATAATCGAAAAATATCACTTTCGTGAAAATCAATTCATCGAGGTCTGTTCATCACTAATACAAAATATAAACAAGGCCACAGGTAATCAAAATTATTAAATCTGATTTATTCTATATGAATAATATTTTATTTTAATGTCAGTTTCTAATACGTTTGGTTAATGTTTTAAGAATTTGGACTATGGCAGTTAATTCTTCTACACTCTGAGGCTAAAATTAGATTCGGAACGAAAATGTTTTTGTCCATTGCCCCCCCGTTGATGGACTTTGAAGATGAGCTCCTGTGGATCAATCAATTAAATAATCAGAATATAACAGTTCTTTATGATAAATCAAATTATGTTACGCCCAACACAAAGTTGTTGATTGAACAAGCTTTCATCCAGCCACTAAGTCTACAAGATCAACAAATCCTCTTTGACGATCTACAAAAGCAAAATAGAAATATTGCCCATCAATATGGGCTGACACCGGCCAAAGTACGTATTTATATGCATATGTCTTATTTGAAAGGCATTTGTCTAGTATTATTATTGCCTATAGCTTCCTCAGCTGGTTGAGAACAATCCTCTAATTTCAATTGAAATTCTGTTGAGGCTAATGTTGAATACCGACATAACGGAATATTTTAACATTTTGGTGAACATGGACATAACGCTACATTCAATGGAAGTGGTCAACAGGTGAGCGAGCTCATGAAGAGGATACTTTCCCAAAATACCGTGGATAAATTACTTGTTTTCTTTCAGACTGACTACATCTTGTCCATTGCCAACCGAGTTCATCCACTTATACATTAGTAATTGCATTTCCGCGTGCGAAACAGTAAAAGATAAATATATGCAGTCGCGATTGGTTCGATTAGTTTGTGTATTTCTACAGTCATTGATTCGCAACAAGATCATTAATGTTAAGGTAAGATATCCTGTAATATATAATTACGCGTAATGATACGTGCAACCAAGATATAGATAAAAGCTCACCGTTCCCTTTTTATTTGGCCTTTTAGGAACTATTCATTGAAATTGAAGCGTTTTGCGTTGGATTTAGTAAAATTAAGGAAGCTGCCGCTTTATACCGCCTTATTAAACACTTGGAAACTGGAGACACAATGCAAACTTCAAACTCGCTAACAAAGCAATAAGCAGATGACTTTCAAACTATGTGAATATAAAAAAATGAACATCTGAAGATTTGTATATTATTCTGACTGCAAATTAGGCTACTTTGCAATGCAATAGTTACTCTGACCGATTACATTGCATCTCTGTGTAATACATAATATATTGTCTGCTTAGTGGTGTTACCAAAGATTTGTGAAAGCGAGAAAATTTATAGTCTCAGTTCGCCGTGCTCAAACAGATAGACAGACATGTCTAGATCGATTCGACTGGTGATTCTCACTAAGATTTACATACTTTTGCACTTCATAAAATTCTTTTTGCAACCTTTCGAATTGTAAAATGAAATTTGGAATTTGGCAATATCATCATTACTTTTTAATTCTCATGTTCAGATATACATGTACATTTTCCTAAATTTTCATTTGTACGAGCAGTATTATATTTTCGAATAATAATAATAGTTGGCAATTAATAGCTTTGACAGCAGATGGTAAATGTGCTCAGTGTAAATAGCTTTATACATCGTAAACAAATTCCCAAGCGTTCTGCTAACTGCCGCTTTGTGTGAATTTCCTAACGATCAAATAATCAATGATGGGAAACGCTCTTCACGCAGGCAACATCAGCCATCACTTATGCAAACAATTATAATATGTCAAAAGATAGACGAGTTGAGGAAAAGTTCAAGGAAGTAATAATATATCATAGCTTAAGGCTTTGACGACGATCTTGGAGACTACGCTCTTCTGGCGCGCTTGGTGCTCCCTCTCAACAAAATGCTGGTTAATTCTTGATGTTGCTTTGTGGGAAACTAGAACGATCAATTTAAAACTATCGCATAGAAATATTGTGGAACAATATGAAAGCGGAACACTGATGTCGCATTTTCAGCATGACATCTTGTTATACGTTATGTGATAAATTGTGTCCAAAGTAAATTACCTAATAATACGCAGATATTTAAAGCGATGGTAAGCAAATATTTAATTATTTGCCTGCTCATAATAATCAATCATAATAAGTGCATATTAATATGCCATCTGCTGAGCAAGATTCAGCCGTTTGGAAACAACAAATGCTATGTAATTGTTATCGAAAAAACTTGGTGTGGAAACGTAGCGAAAAATTGAACGAATAGAAGAGATATCCGATAGTCCATTCATAAAAACGTGCTTCATTCTCTTGTTGTTAACCATTGGAACGAGCTCAGTTTGCTACTGACCAGTTCGTTTGCTATAACCCCCCAACCATATCTACCCTTGAACTTTAGCAGTGATTGCTATTATCAGCAGAGAGCAGATATAAGCGTAATGCATAGAGGTTAATACGAAAATTAATAGTATTAATTTAAAAAAAGAAAACGATGGCACCAAACGCAGCGAGACCTGTAGAGCGTTACGAGTCCAATAACCATGGCGTGAACGCTATTCTATTGGGCCCTCCCGGCTCGGGCAAAGGGACACAGGTGGGTTAAATAAGTACAAAATATATAAATGTGTGTTTGTGTGTGTGTTTATGTATACATATTTACTATGTTATGTAATCGAACAGTTGTTTTGACACTGACTTTCTCCTAGAAATATTTATGCATTTTCATATGAATATATGGCAAAGGTAAAATATGGCGGCAATTCCTGAAATTGTGGAAAAATAAAATTAGCTGAAAATGTGCGAATAGTTGGCGAAGGTGCCAAGTGTGTTAAATATGCACAGCAACAAATATATATGTATATTGTGTATGTAATTGTTATATGTCTGTATGTGTCATCAGTTGTGTGGCACCAGTTAATTAAATACTCTGTTATAGTTGTAATAAACCAAGTTGAGTTTTGAGTTTATTTTTAATGATCTTTTTTTTTAATGATGATTTTCCTAGGCTCCTTTGCTTAAGGAAAAGTTCTGCGTGTGTCATTTATCAACTGGCGACATGCTACGCGCCGAAATCGCATCGGGTTCGAAACTTGGCTCAGATCTGAAAAAGGTTATGGATGCGGGTAAACTTGTATCCGATGATTTGGTTGTGGATATGATTGATTCTAACTTGGACAAACCCGAATGCAAAAACGGATTTCTGCTGGATGGATTTCCCAGGACGGTTGTCCAAGCTGAAAAGGTATTCCTATCCTATTTAATAAAAAATATTTATGAATATTTAAATAAATCTTCAATTGGTTTAGCTTGATACGTTGCTTGACAAGAGAAAGACTCACTTGGATGCTGTTATTGAGTTTGCTATTGATGACAATCTGTTGGTCAGGAGAATAACCGGTCGTTTGATTCATCAAGCAAGTGGCAGATCCTACCACGAGGAGTTTGCGCCACCCAAAGTACCAATGAAAGATGATGTAAGTGAATTGATATCACAAAAAATATAATCTCAATTTAATGCTATATCTTTGACAATAGATTACTGGGGAACTTTTAATGAGGCGAAGTGACGATAATGCCGAGGCCCTAAAAAAACGCTTGGAATCGTATCATAAGCAAACGAAACCACTGGTTGACTACTATGGCCTGAGAGGATTACATTTTAAAGTCGATGCTGCTAAGAAAGCCAGCGATGTCTTTTCATCGATTGACTCAATTTTCCTAAGGAAAGCTCATGCAAACGCTTAAGCTCTAATTGGTTTTCCACTACAATTCATACTACTCTACTGCCTGTTTCATTTCGATAATTAACGAATAGTTTAAAACACTGAAAAGCAATTGACATCTGTTAAAAATTGATTTAATATTATTTGCGGCGCTGCAAATCTAATTGTACATTTTTAGAAATAAATACGGGTTTATACAACTATTCAAGTAAAAAGTACATAACTCAGTTGATATATATTCGTTTGCTTTCAGAAATTCCAAACGCAATCTTTTCTCGTTCAAAGTTCAACTCACAGTTGGGTAATGTTTTCATTTCCTACGAGTAACTTTCAAAGATTGGGCTTGCATGCATACGCTTCATGATAAGATAAGTGTCGACGCTGCTCGCATAGGACCACTTGTCATAGCAATCTAAATAAAGAATATTAAATAGTTTATGTAAGTATATCCAAAATAATGCTGTTAAGCATTACCAGTAGATAATTATTAACCGGGCCTGTCCAGGCAAACTTCAAATGTTATTGATCAGTTCTGAGACGCGATTTCTTCTTCACATGTTCATGCTAACTTGGTTTTTTGAGATGCGAAAATTGCCAACCGCCGTTTTGGGATTGTTTATTTCTTATTTCTTCCACTTACGGCCGAGTCTTGCCCTTCCGCACTAGTGCCTGTTATCTGACACATTCAGTCGAGATACATCATGTTATAATTGTTTATTGAATATATGTATTATAGTATTTGATTTGATTTATATTGTTTAAATTAAAGTATTGAAATTGTCGTTTCTTCGCCTGAACAACTGATGATTTCTTTCACACCTTTAACACGACTGGGTCTTAAAACTCTCTTCAACACACTCTCCTGGACGAGTTCCAGAGGCAACTGAAAGTCTGGCAACTTTAGCCGATCCCTGGGGACACTATCTAACTGCCTGCTAAAAGCTCCAGCGAAGTGTTGGTATCCCTTTTGCACATATATTTGATATGAATTGACTTTGATGTATAATATATTTTATTACATACATATTTGTGATTTTATTTTTTAACTATAATAATCTTACATATTTACAAATTTCTATAAAAGCGTACAACAACAATATTTTTTTTTCTGTCGTTTTTCTTGTGTTGAATTCATCTCTCGCACAATGGTTGCAAACACTTCATTGACATTTATTCGATCCTTTGCCGATGCTTCAATAAATGGACATTCCCAAAGTTGAGCCAAGGCATTACCTAAAACAAACAAATAACACAAATAGCATGTTTAATTGGGGGTTTTTTCATTATTAAAATATCAAATTATAAGTGTGTAAAATACTAAAATAATAATAATAGTACGAGAAACACGTCTTTTTTTATTATTTTAGGTTCTTGGCAAAGTTCTTGAACAGTTTAAAGTTTCCCTAACCCATATCTTATATAATATTAAGTGTTTGAGACAAAAAATCATCTTACCTTCAGCAGTCGATACTTCTCTCTGGCAATCCAAATCAAATTTATTCGCTACTAGCAATATGGGTGCTGGCTGGCTTCCTTTAACGCGAGTAATCACATTTTTCATACTTGAAATGTCCTTTAAAAAAAATACAAAAAATAAAAATGATTATTGCTATATTTTATATATATTATTATAAAATTCATGGAGTAAATACATTGTGTTTAAAATACCATAATCAATTCACTGCTAACGTATATTTGTTATTAAATTTTTTTAAATAGTTAATTACCTGAAATGTTTGATGGTTTGTCAGCGAATACATTACAATAAAGCCATGTCCATTTTTGATGTAGAGATCTCGCATAGAAGCAAATTGCTCAGTTCCGGCTGTGTCTAATATTTCCAAAACACAAGGGGAACTGTCTACCTGTAAATACACGAAAGAAAAATTCATTCAATTTAAATTTCTGTTTTGATTTTTCTTCTTTTGTTTATCTCTCTAGCTATCCAGATTTTGTCTAACAAATTGCAAAATAGGAAATATTTATATATTTTTATTAGCAGTGGATAAAGTTTTAGATTGCTTGCACCTTTTAAAAAAAAATATATAGACTATTCCTCGCTAAATCAGAACAGCTGTCCATAATATTACCGTAGAGCGGAACACATTTTCTCGAAGATGTGAAACGCTCTTCACACAGGCATAGCTATTAACTGCCTATAAAATGATTGATAAAATAAGCAAGTAAAACATGTATTTTGACGGTGAGTTGCATGCTGCTATTTCTGCCGTGTTTCACTAATAAACAAAAATACAGAAATCAAAATAGCGAATTCAGGGCTGTTGATGAGAATGGTCAATTATATATGCACTCAAAAGCCAGACGAGTTGTGGAAACTGCATTCGAAAATTTGGATACTTCTCAATTCAAATAAATAATGAATCATATTTTAAGAAATTCATGGATTTTATTTATAAATACTCAAGAAAATGGATTTGAAAACAAGCTAAATATTAACATTAAGTTTTTGACTGATTGGAATGACAATAAAAACTTTGTTAATAGTTTAATAATAATAATAATCATAACGCTCTGCCTCATTAAGCTCTCATGCTCCGCATCTTCATCAATTGGTAGAGCTTGGCACCCTATCTCATTTTTTTTAGGAAAACCGTTTTAATAAGGCAAATATTAAGGCGAATCTGGTCTAATTTTGTATTTCTACAAATAGGATTACACAAATTCTTGTCCGATAAAAGGCCAAAGCCGCAGTACTGATTACAGAGCAAAGCCTTTTGTATATGGAGTTCTTTTATGGAGTGGTCTGATGATTATGATTTTGCGAGATGGGATATCTTAGTGAACAAAAATTATATTCATACGAGAACAAATCTTTATATTATACCTATACGATATAATGATCCGATTCGGCCGGATACCATATATACTGCCTACAGCAAAAAGACCGATTTATTGAAAGTTTCATTAGGAAAGCTTTTAAACTGAGGATTTGGATTATTTTCAAAAATGTTGACTGACTCAGCTAAAGATGCTGATACAGAATACATACATATACGTATATACTTTATGCGGTTAGAGACGTCGTCATTAGTTTGTTTGCCAGCGGTTCTTAAAAGCAGCAAAAACAATTGTCGCCAAAGTTTTTGAGTTTCGTACCTAGCCCCTGAAAGTTTTTTTTACTACAACAACTCGATTTACGAATGAGTTTTATATGGAAGATGTATGATATGGAACTCCGATGCTTCAAAAGTGCTAAATTTGGTCAACATATCCAGGTAAACATTTTCAATACTTCTTTGTCAATTAATGTTGTTTCAGTTAAAAGTATTAAATTATCCCTGCTATTATCCGATTTTTTACATCGGCTTAACTAGCAAAATTACATCAAACCACCCCTAATGCAAAACTGGCTTGTCAAACTACCTGATTCGCTTAATGACTTTCATGTTTTTGCAACTAGTACTTCTGCATGCAGCGAGAAGTACTTTTGGGGTAGCAGCCAGGTTCAATTGGGTTGCGTCTGCACTTTTTACACATTTTTGCATTGCTTATAATGCACTTTTATAACCATCATTTTGTTGTATGAGTCGGTTACCGGTGTAAATTGCGTATATAATATATTATGTCTACACACACACACACACACACACACACACACACACACACACACACACTCACACACACACATATACACATGCACATATCTGATATGTACATGGGTGGTGCAACAAATGTGCCTTCTTTGTTTTGTGTTTATATGTACATCAATTTATCACCATTCAAATCACTACATTTTATGAGTCATAAATACATCGCTTAATAAGCATACATTTATCTAAAAATAACAGTTACTAGTTACTGCATTCCGTGAACACGCTGTATTAAGGAACTATTTAGTTTTCTTATTTTTTCTTTTATCAGTATTTTAATATCAACAATGCCCAAAAACAACATAAATACATGCAATTTTATGTATGGGGCCAAATGTATTCGTACACACACACATGCATACATATGCATATATATATTTATATATATAGATGTATATATATACAAGATATTTGTGTACATAGACACATATGTGCGTGTGTAAGTATATATTGTGCTGACAATATGTATGTATATAGAGTCTATATGTATTGTGGTAGCAAACCTCTATTTCCTTTCGATAGAAATCCTCGATAGTGGGATCATATTTTTCAATGAAACATCCCGAAACAAATTGAACAGTTAGGGCCGATTTACCAACGCCACCAGAACCAAGTACAACCACTTTAAATTCGCGCATGTTTAAAGCACTTGTTTATGATGTACACCGATTATTGTTCCAAAATAAAAATTATTATAAAAAGTGTTTACTGAGACGACGAATGAATCATGTGTATGGGCATTGTGCACAAATTGAATTATTATTACAAACGACAATAGACGCGGTATGTTAAATGTATTGTGAATTATATTTAATTATTTATTATAATTTTGATTGATAGGCATATTTTTTCTTTATATTATTAACGTCGACCACTTGCATTCGGAGAAAACGAGCAATGTACAGACTAGAGATGTGCGATTATTCATTTTCATAACCTGCTACTCGTCACTACTACTCACATGTAGGTAACTGTTAAAGTCACGATCACACAAATAAAACGCACAGAGTATATTTGATGTTACCATGACCGCTTGATAAAGAACTTATCGGCTTAATAATTACATCGTCTTCACAGATGTGAAGTTACTTTCCCAACACCATTAAATTGGCCCGCATTTAAAATTTTCACTTTATCCCTGTCCTCATTTAAACAATGTCATTCTAGTCAAGGTGTTAATAATTAATTATAATTACTATGCATATTAATTATATTATTTACCAATTTTAATTAGGAAGCATCAAGCAATCAGGAAGTGGATTACCACCACAATCACCACCGGTCGAAAAAACGCTCCAATCTGTCAGATAGTCACCAATGCCGACAACATCTCAACATAAGCTAGCCTAATTAGAAAGCAGAATGTTTTCCGAAATATATACCCCAGAACATTGTCAAAATGTATAAGATTTTCCCAACCTTAGTCTTTTCATTCATTGTATGGCCCAAAAATTATAACCACTTTAAAAAAAATTTAAAATCAATGCCTTTTTAATGATATTATCGCTGCCAGTAGATAGGTAAACACCTTTTGATCATGGTTTGACTACTTGATCAATACCTCTTTTAAATTTGATTATAGGCTTATAACACAGAGTGGTTCTAAGCAAACCGCATGGGTTTTATTGAATGATATGAAACGCTGTTCACATAGAAAACAACTGCATAAGTCACAGCTATTAGTTGTCTATACAATATGTGCGTAGAAAAATAAATGAATTATAATTAAAAAATAATACAACATATTATTATAATAATAATAAATAAAACAGATAGTAACGGAGTGGACAGAGAAACGAATGATTACAAATAAGAATTTGTCAAAGCCAGACAAGTAGTAGAGAATGCATTCGACCGCTGCTATTCTTAAAAATCTACATATTAAAGGACATTTTAAGGCATTCAGGGGTTGTATTTAAAGAATGAAGTTTGGTTTTGAACGTTCGCATACATGCACGATAGATGAGCAACAAACACGTTTCATATATTATACATGTTATTTAATAAGATAAGCTTTAAAATGGTGTTTAATAATTATGATTTTGATTGCCGGGCTTTGATAAATTGTAATTTATATTCTTTAGGTTTTTATTTCTTAATTTTTGGCCTATATTTCACGAATAACTACCGCCAGAATATGGAATGCGATACTACAATTAAGCAAAAACCTTAAAATATATCGTGCTTGAAATACATTTAAATAAATATAAAAGGTAAGAATAGATTAAATTAAATTACAAATGTAATTTAATATTAAATATTAATTTTAAAAAACTAAGAAATTATCACAAATATATTGATGATTTCAAATTGTGTTCCATTTTCTTGTTCCAAATACGTTGCGTATGATATCGATATAACCGGAAACTGATTGTTTTGTGACAAACATGTTTACCGACTCTTTTTCTTTGCGGCACTTCGGTCGACGGTACGTCCAATTTTGTGTTGACCAGAAATCCAAAAAATTAACAATAATCTCCATATTTTAGTTGCTGAAAACACTCAAGATGCCACCCAAATTTGACCCTACCGAAGTTAAAAATGGTAGGTTCTTAAATTCATACCATATTAAATATGTGTTTAACTTTAAATATTTAATTTTATTTTTAGTTTACCTGCGTTGCGTAGGAGGCGAGGTTGGCGCCACTTCATCGTTGGCTCCCAAAATCGGTCCCCTTGGCTTGGTTAGTACCCGCAATTTGTATTGGTTTAATTCATAAGCTAATCGTGATTGTAGTCTCCTAAAAAAGTAGGTGACGATATTGCCAAAGCTACTTCCGATTGGAAGGGTCTGAAGATCACCGTTTGCCTGACCATCCAAAACAGACAGGCAACCATTTCTGTGGTCCCATCGGCAGCCTCCCTGATCATCAGGGCCCTGAAGGAACCTCCACGTGACAGGAAGAAGCAGAAGAACAGTAAGTTTACTTAACTCCTCGGAGTGCTGTGATTTTAAACAAGCAAATAACAATAACACTGCAAGAAAAGAGGATATATATATTCATAAAACGGACAGCATCGTTTAGTGAGAAATGTGTTCAGAATAAGTCGGTTGGACTTTATTTATCAAAGTACATTTCGTATATCTTCAAATGGACAGCCAAGAACTTGGAACTACTGAAAGAACTTAGAACTAAAAACAGCCAAGCCCCAAAGAAGTGTTTTATTAATATAAATAATAAAATAATTGCCTAATTATTTCAACGCTGTCTACTAGTGCCAAATATTCCAAATCGGCTTGAGCTCCTTAATTAATTAATTTATTTAATGTTGGATACAATATTCGTTAACGCAAAGAAAAATGCACAAAAAGTAAAAAATAGTTTAAATGAAATTTAACATAAATAAATATAAGATTTCTAATGAATGTGAATGCGAGTGTTGAGTAATGTAGTCAAGTGACTTGTTCAAAGTTTATATTACAATTCAAAAATATCTTCAATGAAATTAAAAATAAGATGAACTATTGAATTTAAATTTAAAACAAAATGAATTATTTACAAGATTTATAATGCCATTGAATATGTGAATATTTTATCAGTGAATGCGAGTGTTGAGTAATTTAGCCAAATGATTTGTTTAAAGTTTCTGATTTTATTGATTTCATATAATTGTATATTTTTGTTATTGTATCTTTCAGTCAAGCACAGTGGCAATATCGCGTTCGATGATATTTTGGCCATCGCACGTACAATGAGGCCGAGGTCAATGGCCCGTGAGCTGAAAGGTACCTGCAAGGAAGTGCTTGGCACAGCCCAGAGTGTTGGATGCACCGTTGATGGCAAACATCCTCATGATGTTATTGACGAACTCAACAATGGTACCATGGAATGCCCTGCAGAATAATTATAGATTCTGTTGAAGAAATAATTAATAAAACTGGTTTTACAATCAGCAATGTGAAACGTTAAATATAATTCTTTTTTAAAACCAAAAGCATTCCAAATTTAATTATACGTATGTATAATGAAAGTGAGTATTGAGTTTGTATAAATGGAGTAAAGTAACATAAACTGTATGCTTTGTATTAATGTATGCTTTGTATAAAGCTTTTTTCGGAAGCTTTGCATACGTTAAATGTAAAATACTAAAGGGCATTTGATAGCAGGCATTCTGTATTTTAACATGCATTTTGGCCTGGTTTTTAAGTCTAAATTAGTAGTAAATAAGACAAACGATAAACATGCAACATTTCTTTAACATCGTTAAAACAATTAAAAACGATTTTATGAAACTTGTTTTCCAACACTGGTTGATGGATATGGCAGCAGATGGCAATGTTTCACATCATCATCAAATCCCATTTGTTCCATAATATGTAGCAAAGTGCGTAGAGGTGCTAACTTGTCAGCGGATAGCACAACCCGAATGTCAGAGAAATATCGGAAAGAAAGGAAACATCGAGTAAAAATCGATAGACCGATGTTTCAAAGTCGTCGTACATCACTAATACCGACTCTCTTTCCGGTGCGGCCTTTGACAACGGTTGACGAAATGGTAATTGAATCGGCAATGTTTAAAGAAATCTTTCGATGATGTTTAAAGTATTCCTTAAATTTATCTGTGAAATTTTCTGATTTTTCAGGCGGCACATAAATCGTTCCGCATCAAGCAGAAGCTAGCTAAAAAGCTAAAGCAAAACAGATCAGTTCCCCAATGGGTTCGCTTGCGCACAGGAAATACCATAAGGTAAGTTTTCATCATCTGTTTATTTATCTATGTAGATGATGTGTTCAATATTGGACTAATGTGTAGTGTAGTGACTTAAGAAAAGAAAAAAATCGTTTTATTTAGTGATGGAATAAAGTATCAAGCACTTTATTGTATTTTTATGTTTTGAATGTAAAAACTGCACTGAAAGTGGTTTCCCGCCTTTTCCCCCTTTATTGTGTCTAATATGGTTTACAGTATTTATTATTGGGAACTATAAATTGAACAAATTAACTAATATGTGATAATCTTATTTTTTCAGGTACAACGCTAAGCGTCGTCACTGGAGGCGCACCAAGTTGAAGCTGTAAATATGCGGATCAAATCAATTGATAGATTTCCAGAATAACAAATAAATTCAATCTTGAAGTACAGCAAATAAGAATATATCTTTTAATGCGGGGAGGGACTGTAAATTGACTAATGCTGCATGTCACATTTTATTTTTTGGCAAGCTTAAGGTGCAGTTTGAATCAATTTCGATGACATGTTAATCATATGTGTTGCTCAAGCAATTCGGCATTTGGTTCTCGTGTCTTTTGGTAATTACACAAACAATATTCAGTTGCAATTTATGTCCCAAAAGAAATACATGAATTGTAATTCAAGGTAACATGCAATGTAGTAAGAACCGATAAGAAAATAGCAACATGTTTAGGGTCTAAAATACTCTTTCAGTTTGCAGATATCGCCGTAAGCATTTAAATTTATATTTAAAGTTTGTGTACCTTTAAAAAAAAATTCAAGTATTTCTGATAAGAATGTACATAATTTCATTGTAACGAATCAGCTGCTTACTGAAGCCAAAATAAATGAAGCTCCAGCTGGAAGTGCTACTATCATTTTAGTACCGGTATAAATTGGTACCTTATCATGAAGTTCGCATCACTTTTATCGATAAATTGTAGATATCTTTGATGCGTCTGACTTTGTGTATCTTTATTGCAGCCAATGCCTCAATAATATTTCTGCTACTTAAAAAAGTACCTATCGTTTGGGTTATTTTAGCAATTTATTTCGCCATAAGTATTGATAGATACACAATATTTTAATTAACTCGTGACTCGTTCACATTGAAATTTTTATCGATGGTGGAATCGTAGAGCCTGAAACTAGTGACATTTAAATATCGGCCATCTCTATTGACTACCCTGCACTTGATTAATCTAAGGTGATTCAAATACTTGTTTGTAGTGCAAATAAATTATAATTTTTAAGATGTTGATTGGTATTTAACACAGATTGATTAACATATTTACAGCTTACTGAAGGGTTTCCATGCATTGAGCGGTGTGAGAGTGTTCATATTTGCAGTGCTTTTTATTGTGGTTCGCGTATTGATTTTAGACACAATTCACACATCAAATATATCTTTGACATACCCAACATATATATGAGGAACCCACGGTAAAAACAATGCACACTCAAGGACAGGGTCAACAGACGCAGCAGCACTCTTCGCCACATTCCCTACTGCAGCAACAAAATCATCTACCCAACAACAACAATGCAGTTGGAAAGCCCAACGATCACCCACCACTCGCATCTGTCGGTAAGAGCAATGAATGATTACAAAGTGTTATATACACCGATATATTTACATATGTATGCATATTACCATTAGCACACGTGAATCGCACGCACGTAATCGGCCATACAAGAGAACAATAATGGAAAATTCCTTTAAAATACAATATATGTACATACAATACATATATTCATGCGTGTATGCGTGTGTGAGTGTGTGTAGTGGTATATGTGTGTATGCATGTATATTGCCAACTGCATTTGTGTAAGTGTAAACATACACACACACAAATGAGTAACTGTATGAGTCGGTCACTGGAAAATAACTGCACTCGTATAATATTTGGGTAAAATTCTGTTTTTAGCGGCTTTTGCCAAAAAAAAACATTGTGGAAAAATCGAATGCGATTCATTTTGGGTGGGAGGAAGTTAAATAAGCAGAAAGTTCATGTTTGTTGCATTTTGATAAGATAAAAATAAGTTCTGCGCACCAAAGTTGCAAGGCGATAAGGCAACGATTATTTTGCTGTTTATTGTTGCGAATTTTTAAATAATATTTATGTATTATTTGTAGAAAACACATTTTTTAGAAATGGATAAAATTCAGCACAAAGAAACGTATATATATTTATTTTTATATCGAGTCATGTTCGGCTGTCAACATGTATATTTTTATTAGTAAAGGTGATTTTGTAATTTCTAAAAATGTATTTTAATTTCTATAGGATTATTGGAGTTGGCGCATCGGGAATACCAAGCTGTAGACTATGAGAACGCAGAGAAGCATTGCATGCAATTATGGCGGCAGGATAGCACCAATACAGGAGTCCTATTGCTGCTGTCCTCAATTCACTTTCAATGCAGGCGGCTGGATAAATCAGCGCAATTCTCAACACTGGCCATCAAACAAAACCCGGTGCTTGCAGAAGCTTACAGGTGAGATTTCAAACAAATATATTCCTTTTAATACCCTTGCAGAGTGTAGTAAAATTTTGCCGTTAAGTTTGTGTCTGCATTCCGATAAAGTATAGGTAGTCTAGTCGAACAGAGATTCGTTCACTTTATGTAGAAACAATCGGTCGAAAGATGAGTTGCAAGTTGTGGAATTGAGATAGGCGTTGACAAACAAGTCACACCTGCTTCTACAATATAACTACACAAATAAAGTTTATTAGGTTCAAAACTGTTGACCTTCGGTCTACAAGGGTATGTCATCTTCGGCCAGTCTAACATAGTCGTTCTTATTTGTTTTTAATAATAAGAGAATGTGAGATTATTATTAATTATTAATTACCAGACTATAATTGTGTATATAATATCTCGAATTGCAGCAACCTGGGAAATGTTTACAAGGAACGAGGACTCTTGCAAGAGGCTTTAGACAACTATCGCAGAGCTGTACGCTTGAAGCCCGACTTTATCGATGGATATATAAATTTGGCTGCTGCATTGGTAGCTGCACGTGATATGGAGGCTGCCGTTCAAGCTTATATAACCGCATTGCAATATAATCCCGTAAATTAACCCCTTAAAATACTGCACAAATTGTAAATAATCATTGAATTCTCTTATTATTATTAGGACTTGTACTGTGTGCGCAGCGATTTGGGTAACCTGCTGAAGGCTTTAGGTCGCTTGGAAGAAGCCAAAGTAATGAATCTCTTATATATTTTATACAATGTTCTGAAGGATTAACATATTATATTTGTTGTTATTTCTCCTCAATGGTAATTGTAGGCCTGTTATTTGAAGGCGATTGAAACCTGTCCAGGATTTGCAGTGGCATGGAGCAATTTGGGCTGTGTTTTCAATGCACAAGGAGAGATTTGGCTGGCAATTCATCACTTTGAAAAGGCCGTCACACTTGATCCCAATTTCTTGGACGCGTACATCAACTTGGGCAATGTGCTTAAGGAAGCCAGAATATTTGACAGGTTAGTTACAAAAGTGACAAAAGGGTATGAACAAATGTGATTTACCCTTACAAATGTTTGCGTGAGACGCTATATTGTTGTTGCTGATAGAATGAAGGATGAAGATTAAGGCAGAATGCAAAACATGGAGCAGTTCAGCCTCCTTTCATTTGCTCTCCTTCTCTTACACAGACATGCATCTATGTATGTATGTATATGTAACGGCATCGCATCAGGTGTTGTAAAGTAGATGCATCTTTTTCCTTTTGTTTCTTTAGTACACCCGCCAGCAGGCTTTTTTTTTTGGCTGTTCAAAACTTGGCAGCACTGTGTCATTAAACAAATTGATTTTCTGTTTTGAGGCAGCTAGCCTTGGGGCAACCCTCGTATATTCTAAAAATATCTATGCACATGGAAGTCAAAAAATTCAGTTTCTTGTTTTGATTTTGAAATTTCGCTTGTGGCCGCAGAAAATATACATAGATATAGACATATATGTATATATATATACATATGAATATCCAGAAAAATCGTTTCGGCGCATGGAAAATGACCTTGAAAATTTGATTTAGTTAATGTTATGTAAAGCAAAAGATCTATGAATATTTGATAACTGTACTCCTTTTTTTTTAGCTAGGATAGTAATTAAACATTTTTTGCTCACATCTTCGGTTTATCTTCTTTGTTCAATTGTTTAAAGACAGCCGCACACACAATGAGTAAGCGAAATAAAAGAAAAACAATTTTACTTCATGGCAAAGTATACAAAATAAAGCACAAGAATTCAAGTGCTCGACTGGCAGCTACCCAGTTGCAATGTGTTATGTGGTGAGAATATAGTATAGATATTTCTATTCAGACATTTCCTTTTTTCGCAGTAATCTGTCAATATTTTCCTATATTGTCTAAATCTTCTAATTCTAATTCAAATCAATTGAGGTAATTATATATATTTTGACATCTATTTTAGTTGCCTTGAACTTCAATATTAGATCCAACCTGCTCATCTTGTTTGCTACAGGGTATCAAAATAATTTCTTGAAAATTTCCTCTTAAACAAAATTATGCACACCACATACGGTGTGTGTAGGCAGTTCACTCAAGTCATGTTGTTTTTTTAATTATTATGAGTTTTTTCGGAAATAAAGTCGCCGCAAATTAATTTATATATCCACAGCGATATTGGGCAGACCATTAAACTGAGTTTTGCTGATGCTTTCATTGCCACTACTGACAAAATTATTTTTGAAATGGATTTGCACTTTTAATACTGTAATACTGTAATTAAAATAATGGACTGTCAATGCATAGTTATTTATACAATTGTTCGTATTCGAGTAGACCAAGATAAGGCGCCCGAATACACGAAACCATCTAGTAATAGTTATGTAAATCGCTATATGAATATATTGCGACTTTGCTGGAAAAGGTAAATAAAAAACAATGTTATTAAACATTACAACTAAATATTGACTGGTCGACATTTTAAATACAATCCTGTTTCATGATTTAAGATCAATGATTAACAACGATTCCAAGCATACGCAATTCATTGGAGCTGTTTATCTGTATATCACACATAGTGTAGCCAGATCGGAACTGAAAACATGATATTTTGACTTGTCAGTAAATATTAACTGCACCCAGAAGAACACAAATCGAATAGTTGGACTATATGTCTCGCCGAAAACATATTAATGGATATCATTTAATTTAAATAATTGGAAAATAATCTCAAGGCTGTCCTTATCGAAAAATTGGTTAAATTCCCTTCGGGAACATCAACAAAATTTGATGACAACATTTGCTAAGACGGTAAAAGTGGTTAATGTTCCCAATCCTTAAATATGCAACATGTTTAATTTTGTTAAAATCCTTATTTTCTGAGCTGGCCCAAATAAGCTGTGACATAAAATCAGTGAAAATCTTGGGTTATTTAAAATAACCTATCAACATTATTAATATATCTTTTTGTTCAATAAATATGCTCAAATAAAAATGATGGGTCAGAAGAGGAGTGACCGACTAAATAAATATTTAAATATTATTATTATTATATTGAGTATTAATGGTTAGTTTAGTTTCACATTGCTGATCTGTAGATATTTACGTATATTTTGTTTCTTTTTACAGAGCTGTAGCTGCCTATTTGCGGGCATTAAATCTATCGCCGAATAATGCTGTTGTCCATGGAAATCTGGCGTGCGTTTATTATGAGCAAGGACTCATTGATTTGGCCATTGACACATACAGGCGGGCAATTGAATTACAGCCGAACTTCCCCGACGCATATTGCAATCTGGCAAATGCCCTCAAGGAAAAGGGACAGGTAATATTTATTGATAATATTTTAGTCTGGCAGAGTGATTGACTTCAATTGTGTGCATTTGCAGGTCAAGGAAGCTGAAGATTGCTATAATACGGCACTGCGATTGTGCTCAAATCATGCCGACTCTCTCAACAATTTAGCAAATATAAAACGAGAACAGGGATTCATCGAGGAGGCCACGCGACTCTATTTGAAAGCCCTCGAAGTCTTTCCAGATTTTGCTGCTGCCCATTCAAATTTGGCCTCTGTGCTCCAGCAACAGGGCAAACTGAAAGAAGCTCTAATGCATTATAAGGAGGCAATCCGGATTCAGCCAACATTCGCTGACGCCTATTCGAATATGGGCAACACTCTGAAGGAATTGCAGGATGTCAGTGGCGCCCTACAATGTTATACTCGGGCGATTCAAATTAATCCAGCATTTGCCGATGCCCATAGCAATTTGGCGAGCATACATAAGGACTCGGGGAATATACCCGAAGCGATTCTATCTTATCGTACAGCCCTCAAGCTGAAACCAGACTTTCCCGATGCGTATTGCAATTTGGCCCATTGCCTGCAGATCGTTTGCGATTGGACGGATTACGATGTGCGCATGAAGAAATTGGTTAGCATCGTTGCCGAGCAGCTGGAAAAGAATCGTTTGCCATCGGTGCATCCACATCACTCAATGCTCTATCCATTGACGCACGAGTACCGCAGGGCCATAGCCGCGAGGCATGCGAATTTGTGTTTGGAGAAGGTGCACGTCCTGCACAAGCAGGCGTTCAGTTTCCAACGGGAACTGGCCAAGGACGGACGATTACGTATTGGATACTTGAGCTCCGATTTCGGCAATCATCCTACCTCACATCTGATGCAATCGATACCCGGCTTGCACGATCGCCTAAAGGTCGAGATATTCTGTTATGCCCTCAGTCCGGATGATGGTACGGCTTTCCGTCAGAAGATCAGCCGTGAAGCTGAGCATTTTGTGGATCTCTCTTTGATCCCATGCAATGGCAAAGCAGCCGATCAGATCTACAATGATGGCATACACATTTTAGTTAATATGAACGGATATACCAAGGGAGCAAGAAATGAAATCTTTGCCCTACGACCGGCTCCGATCCAGGTGATGTGGCTGGGCTATCCGGGTACGAGTGGGGCAAGTTTCATGGATTATATTATCACTGATGCCGTCACGAGTCCCATGGAATTGGCCTATCAGTACAGCGAGAAGCTATCTTATATGCCTTACACATATTTCATTGGTGATCACAAGCAAATGTTTCCGCATCTCAAAGAGCGCCTAATTCTGTGCGACAAACAGCAATCCTCGGTGGTGGATAATGTTGCGGTCATAAATGCCACAGACCTATCGCCACTGGTGGAGAGCACCGATGTGAAAGAGATCAAGGAGGTCATCAATGCAAATAAGCCGGTGGAGATTACACACAAAGTGGCCGAGTTGCCAAGCACCACACAGATTGCGTCCATGATTGCCACGGGACAGGTGCAGACATCCCTGAATGGTGTCGTCGTCCAAAATGGACTTGCAACAACACAGACAAATAATAAGGCAGCAACGGGCGAAGAGGTGCCCCAAAATATTGTTATAACCACACGTCGTCAATACATGTTACCTGATGACGCCATCGTTTACTGCAACTTTAATCAGCTCTATAAAATCGATCCCCAAACACTGCAATCCTGGGTAATCATTTTAAAAAATGTACCCAAATCCGTTTTGTGGCTTCTACGTTTTCCAGCGGTTGGCGAGCAAAATATCAAAAAATCTGTCAGCGATCTGGGTGAGTATTTAAAAATAAGGCAGAATGCAAGAAAGCCACCGATCGATTATTCCTTTGAAACCAATAGATTTTTAAGTTTTATCAAGACTGGGAGAGAGAGAGACATGCCTACATCGAATCGGATAATATGCTGATCAAGAATATAGATATACTTTATGAGGTCGGAAACGACTTTTTCAATGCGTTGCTGAAATTATAATATCCTTTGCAAAGCATGATCATAATTCCCTGCTCAACTGCTGGAGACCGCAATAGGTCACAGCACTAACAAAACTGAACCGATTTTCAAAAGCAAACTTTTATATATGTATTGTATATTAGCCAATTAATAATTATACTTCATCGTTCTTATACAATACTTTTGTAATTTTTGTAGGCATTTCGGCGGATAGAATAATATTTTCGAACGTAGCTGCAAAGGAAGAACACGTGCGCCGTGGCCAATTGGCCGATATTTGCCTGGACACTCCACTGTGTAATGGTCACACGACATCAATGGACGTCTTGTGGACGGGAACTCCAGTTGTTACCCTGCCCGGAGAAACATTAGCTTCCAGGTATATTGTGTATTTAGGTTGTCAATAAATTGCATAATAATTATAATCAATTTCAATTGCAATTTCAGAGTTGCTGCATCACAATTAGCCACACTCGGATGTCCGGAGTTGATAGCACACAGCAGAGAGTCATATCAGGAGATTGCTATTCGACTGGGCACAGAGCGGGAATACTTAAAAGCCTTGAGGGCCAAGGTGTGGAAAGCACGCGTCGATAGTCCATTGTTTGATTGTTCACAATATGCCAAAGGCTTAGAGAATCTGTTCTTGCGGATGTGGGAGAGATTCCATCGGAGCGAGGAACCCGATCACATTTCGGCAGAATAGTTGGAAAAAAAAGACTAAGAGAGCTCTATAGTGCACCGACTAGAGAGAAGGAACAGGAACAGGAGGCGGGGGATAATGTATTTTATTTAGTTTGATTTTTCTTTGACATATACATATATAAATATATATGCATGTTTCTTAAATACCTAAATAAATAGTTCTGTATAAGAAACAAGTGAAGTTTAACTATTTATGTATTTACTTATTTTCGATCGATTATTGAACATGCTTTCATAACCAATTTGACCTATTAAAATAAGACGTTACCTTGTTTAAGAAATACAAAAAATAAAGTCGCTTGATATTGAAAACAGCATGTAAACTTTATGAAACGTACAACAAAATATAATGATCTTTATGTCGTTAAAATTGTCATTTTTCAATACACATATGACGGGACTAAGCTGTTATATTCAATTTCAAATTAATAGTTCTCTTGCGTGCTTGCTCAAGGCAGTAACAACTTATTTTATTTATTTTTTTAACTAATATTGACAGTTGATCGATACTTTTGACTTTCCCTTAGACAATTGCTTGCATTTATATATTCTATTTTTAGTTTGGCTTGTGAAAATGCTTACGAAAAGTTGAAATATATAGAAACAGTAAAAGTTTGACAAATCGCTTTCGCAAAACAAAACAAAGCATTTCCTCATTTACTCGTCTTGAAATGCTTATATATACATATATATATATATATATGCTTAAGGGACTTGACTTTATTATTTTGATCAAGTTAAAAATAAAACAGAGATTATCAATGCAATAGTTTATGCAGCGGCAAGTGAAATTCTAGAAAAAAAAACAATTATATTAGATGGAAAATTCTATAATAATTGATTGATTGTTTGGGGTTCCAATTAAAGAGCAAAAGGCACTCCTTTCAAACTGCCGATGAGGTAAAAAATTACCTTAATGCCACTTAAACGATGGATATCAGATCTTATCGTATGAAGTAAACCAAAATGTTTATGGTAATATTTTGGATGCTACAATACTCCGAATATGAGATGCCACTTAAGTGAGTCTTCCAGCAAGGCAATGGCCCCAAGTACACCAACAAGAATGCAAAGGAATGGTTTGATAAAATCGGTTAGCATTTTGAAGTGCAGACCTCATCCCAATTGAAAACCTGCGGACTGATTTTAAAATGTTCATCCGTTTAGGTAATCATACGGGATTTCTGGAGCAAAATTCAGCTGAATCTATGACAGGATTTGGTGGATTCACATTTGAAAAGTGATGCTATTTTTAATTTTAATAAAGTTTCTTAATTACATTGAGAGAGATGTTATTATTATGTTTTTTTTTCTTTGTGAGAGTCGTTTTATTTGCTAACTGAATATGCTTTATGTGGTCAAGGAAGTCTTCTTCAATGCGTTCAAGCAAATACATCAATAGCGTCTGCTGTTTCAATAATTTTAAAGTAATACGGCACATTTGTATGAATGTATATTTATTTAGCAACAAAGAAAAAATTGTGTAAGCAAAAACGTTGTTTACAATATTTTAAAGACATATTTTGTTTAAATATTTCTTGTTCCCCAAAAATATAAAATAAGATAATTAGATATAATAATAATTACAAATTTTATTTGGACATTTTATATTTAAATTACAAATATTTTTATTTTTTCAATTCTCAGATATATATCTATGATTTATGTCGTATTCTTAAATAATTATTGTTGAATTGTTTAATAATATGTATGCTTAAGTAAGTAATAGTATGTATCAATTTCAACTGGAAGCAAAAAGTTAATAACCATGCTGAACGACCAATGTTTGCATTACTTTGCGAATTTGATTATTTGTATTGAGGCAAGACCTGATGCCAAGCGAAAAGGCAACACATAAGATTTCAACAGCGTGCTCCTGCAACAAAATGCACATCTCAAGCAGATTATCAATGGCCGTTGCTGCCACAGACGAGTTCTCATCTCTCAGGCATTGAATATATGCGTTTAGAGTACACTGATTAATATCCGAATTGCCCGGATTGTGCTTTAGGTGTCGTATTAATATGATAAAGGCAATGGATCTGATCTGTGCGCTGGGCGAGAATATCAAATCCAAGAGTCGCTCAAATAACTCATTGATAAATACAAATCGCTTGGATGTTAAACATTCCATTTCCTGCAGCGGCCCCAAAATCACATCCTCAATATTCGACTGCTTAATGATCTTGATCAAGTCTAGAAAATGTGGAGAGACATCTGTTAAATTTGCCTTGCCCGCCGTACCCAAATTTAAAACCGAAAACGATCCCCGGCCAACGACATCTTGTACATTTAGATTCCCATCCAAGGGCTCTATATCGCTAACGACAGCTTTATTGGTGGCCGGCTTTGTATCCGACGAATGGCCATCGAGTTCATATTCCAATTTGACTTCTTCATCATCGAGCTCCGACAAAGTATTCGATTTGTGCTGCAGCAAGGCAACAGCTTGAACCAAGGCTTGTAGCTTGCCAATTGAGGTGTATTTAACAGCCAGTTCCGTCAATATGCCGACATATTGCTCGATGAATAACAATGCGCTCGAGGGATTACAATTGATATAGGATTGCAGGACCTGAACAAACTTGACGAGCATCTGACAGGCCTCCTTAACCGAACTGTGGTGCTTGAAGAAGGTGAAGTAGCACGATAGAGTCGATTGAATCTCATTCTTATAGGCATCATCAAAGATCGTGGGCTGCAATAGTTCCAAAGTTCTCAGGATTTGTACGAAACGGTGGAAATGATGATCCTCTCGCAAGGCTTTCATACTGTTCTGGGCTCGTCCCTGCATCGCAGATGATAAGACGCCCAAGTGGCGCAAGAAGAGCAAGGGATGCGATGCAGCCAGCTTGCGCAAGAGGAGTTCCGTGTCCGCTGACAGTGTTTCGAAATCCTTTTTGGCCACAAGACTACCCAGGCAGGTGATTAAATTGTTCGATATTTTATCAGCCTGGCAGCCTTTAAGACTTTGTAGCTTACACGTTTGACCATTTAGTTTACAATACTTGAGGAATTTAATTCGTGGATACATAATATACAGCTGTTGCAACACCTGATCCTTTAAGCTATCGGCAATCGTACTCTTCTCCACATACTCCACAACTTTGACCATTAAGCCCTTTCGCTTTTCGGTCAGTTTGAACAATAGATTCATGCGGAAGCATAGCTGAAATCATAGCTGCATATTATCAGATTTCAGCTCTCCATTCCTCGGACAGGACGAGTGCATAATGGCTCCATTCAGTGGGCTCCATTTGAAAACGAATATGGTTGCACATTTTTGGACATATATTTATCGCGACCCTTCCACAGATTTGGATTTGTTGTTAGTGCCTCAAAATAGTTGAGCACCGTACTGTAGTCGTAATCATGTTTATATTCCTTGAATAAACATTCCGCAATTCCCTCGATTGTATTCCAATTGGTTTGATGATTTATCAGCGACAACAGATAAAATCGAAATTCACTGCACGATTTCGAAAATAGAAAGCTTTCCTTTAAAAGTTTTGTGTGCACTATTTCAGGATCGGCCTCCGCAAGCCAATCAATAAATAAACCATTATGGAAAATTTTTGAATAATTATTTTGTTCAAGTGGCGTTGCCGTTGTTGTTGCGATTGTTGTTGTTGTTGCTTCCTTATCGAAACCTTGGATCATTTCTCGAACAACTTTCCTTGTTTCAAGCGTAGCATTTTGAACTTTTAGTTTCTGAAAGTGTAGCTGATTGGAGCCCTTCACCATAAACAATAAGCTGGCCAGAAACAGTTCGGTTTTAAAATCACTCTTTAAAGCTGAATGCAATTGCTTTGAAAGTCGAACATTTTTTTTCAGCGTTTTCTCGATGCTGTGGTACGATTCATTCGGCAATTTAACACTGAAAAACGCACGCAGTAAAGTTGCTGCGGCCCGATTTACACAAATGCCATTATTACCATATTTTTTCTCATGTGCATACTCGAACGAGGAATGAGCCACAACTTCGCATATGGATGCAACGAAATCGGTGCCTCTTTTGCCTGGTTTGACGACAAGATCCAACAGATTGTGAATTAATTTGCGATATTCATTGGAGGTGTTTACATCTGGATTTGGCGTTTTAAGCAGCATGGATATTGTTTCCTTCGAAGGACTTTTATTAGTCGCATTGGGCACGGACTCGGGATCATAGAGCACGATATGCAGATTCTCTTGGATTTGTGTATTAATCTTTGGTAGATCGGGTACGGTTTGTGAATGGGAGTGGAGATCCAGTGCTTGAACTGTATAGTGTCCATTTTTAGCTCCTCGTGCCTGTTGGATCTCAATCAATTGTGCCAAATATGCTTTATTGAGTATAGCATTTTTAACTAGATCAAATTGTTCCAATACGGCCGTATCCAGCATGGCCAGTAATTTGGACATTGAGTTTACGGGCGTCCCAAAATTCTGCACAAATAGCACAATTTGATCGGGAGTTAAATCATTGAGGGCCGCTTCGATTAGCCGATCCACCGAGGAACGAATCATTTTGAGTTTCAGCCAGTCGGGCAACAGTTGAATCTGTTCCTGGGGCATTGTGGGCAGAAATGCGACGGGTGCCGGTCGTCCCGGTGGAAACCAGTAATCGAGGATCGGTATCGATTCCGACATCTTTGCGTTTGAATATGTGAGCAGTATGATAAACGCATGAATTATATTTATATGCAATGGCAGTTGGACTCCATCATCGAATTGTACCATCAATAGATCTGGATATTCCGTCCATTCGTATGGCTCGTGAAATTCGCGCAACTTGATAATGTAATTGTTGAACATCACAAATAGACATTTCAATGTCTGAATGCGATTCTCGTCGGGATTCAGATCGTAGTCCTCCTGCGAAATGATAATATGCTGAAACATTGTGCTGCGCTCAACGATCAATTGAGCCATATCGATGACATGATCCAGCATTTCATTAACTGGATCGTTGAGAGTATGCGCAGTAATGAATTGTATATAGGCCATGATGAGTTGCGGACAATTCTCGACTTGGCAGGCAGCGCGCAGCTGAGGGATTATATACATTTTGGCCTCCATGAAATGGGGAATTTGTTGAATCGATTTCAGTAGCCATTCGTGTTCGTATTTGCCAACGTTTTTGAAAATGATCTTCAGGCCCGACAAGGCGGCAACTCTCGACTGACTGACAGTGGACGATAAACGACGGAAGATATAGTCCAAGACTTCGCAAACAACATTATAATTATAGCTAGCGTCCGTTATCAGATTTCGAATGAAATTCACTAGCTCCGCATCGCGACTATTCTCCTCATTTATGCTGTTCGCATTAAATAGCAGAAATTCACACAAGCACTGCACGGGCAGGTGACTGAAATCGCCCTCGCTATTTTGAACCAAGTCCGATAGCCAAGGCATCGACTGCGTTGTGCCCTGCCTTTGGATTATATCCAGGAGTAAGTCGGGTTTGCGACAGCGACAAAACAAATGTCCCAACTTGTATGTTTGATTGAGGAACTTGAGTTGCTCTAAAACTAAATTGGGTACTTTTCTTGGGTTTCCCATTGGGTCCATTAGCATCAGCTGGGTAATCAAAATGGCATTCTCCTCAGTGATCACAGCGTGCGGTGAAGTCTGTGCAGCCAAATACGTTTCAAATTGCAGAATATGATCGCGCTCAACGGTGATTATCTGAAAATATGTGCATGAGTATTACTCGTCAGATAAGATAAATCATTTCATCATATCAAACCTGTAGCTCATCTTTGAGTGATATGCAGTTGTTGAATTGACTTGTTATGCAGATTTCCATTAGCATTTTCATTGTGGGATAATGATCCCAGCAGAAGGCCCCAAACGTTGAGGGATTATGTGCAGATATCATCAGTAATATTAGCCATGCCTTCCAATAGAATGCAATTATTGCCAATTTCGGCGGTTCATAGTCGGCTGGCAGGCGAATATTCTCCGGATGATGATATTCCGACATGCTAAACAGAAAGTCAATTATATCAAATTTATTCGCTTGAACTGCCGGATAATCGGTTGCTTTCATGCCCGACACCCTTTTGATGACCAGCAATAGGATGTCGAATGTGTTGGCAATTGAGAACGGAATATCCTTTGTGATGCCAATCAGTATAATCCTCAAGAGGGTCTCTTCGTGTATGGGAGTTTCGGATATTATTCTTAATATAGCTCCCCTTTCCGGCTCCGATGGCCACTGATCACAGCGGGAATACTGTTCCGGATTATCGAGCAATAGAAGCTTATGCAAAGCCTGATGATATTCGATGCCTTGTATTTTGAATAGATTTGGAACTGTTTCATACATCCACGAAACAGAGTCCAATTGTATTTGTGACATCTGATTATAGAGCCGTATCAGAGCTTGATTGTTTTTCACATCACGATTGGTCTTCAGGGATAAACTTCCCTCGCGCGCTTGTGGCGTTGCCGACAGAAACATGCAGAGACACACAATGTCGACCATTGAATGGAAAATACGCTCCTTGAAATCAAATTGTTCAATTTGTGGATTCAGCTCCTCCCGTTCACTTAAGAAAGTCTTACAAAACTTTAAGAGATTGACATCAAAGCGCAACATTCGCACCAGTTCTCTCAAAAAGACACGCAATGTCCTCAGACAATCATCGCGCTGTAGCAGAAACTCCTGATATATTTCAGCTAGATTAACTGCCGATTGATCCGGTGAAGTCTGAAACATAGTCGCTGTGAAATGAAAGTGAAGAAATATTTGTGAAAAGTAGAAATGCAAAGAAAGCATCAGAGTAGTCGAACGCCTTTAAAAAATGAAAAATAAAAATATATACAACTCCACAACAACTCAATCAATCTGCATGAATGCGAGATATTCGTAGGCTTTCTTTCAAACACGTTTCCCGGCAAGTATACCAAGTCTATTCATTCCCATGGCTATTAGTATAATAAAATGGTATATACATATTATAAGGTTCGGGCCTTACCAAGCATTCCCATGTTATTTGGATTCCTTGTGTTCGACAACTCATTTTGTACAACTAGCTTCATAATTGTGCCCAATATGTCGGGCTGCAGATGTATCATTTCCTTGAGACACGACATATAGTGATTGATCAGGGGTTTGGTCTTCAAACGCATTTTGACCAACACTTGGAGGACTTCGTTGTCCTGTGTGTTTTTGCCCTTTATATTAAAACATATATACGACAACAGTTGCTGGGCGAATTTAACAAGCTTGCCATTATGTATCCATAGCTCCAGACGAGAGATGCTCAAACAGCGGACCTCACCAATTCCTGCGCTGCTACACAGGAATTTGAGAAAGTTTCTCGTATAGTTATCCTGTTGTTGGCGTTTATTTAGTTGATCGCGAATAGCTTCGCTAACTAATTTATGAACCATATTATCGGGAAATCTTCGCTTGACAGCACAGATTGCATCCGTCGCTTGATCCAGCTCCCAGTTCAAGAAGGGACTTGCATCCAGGCTTTGCGTGGAATTGTCCCCGGAATCATCATCGACTGTAAAATTCTCCCGATGCGTTTGTCCAGGAGTCACCGCTGTGTTCACATCCCAACGCAGCAGACTCAAATGCGGAGTTCTCGTCTTGAAGGCGGCACAGATATTCTTAACGAACGGTGCACAGTAATCATTATCAGCCCAGAAGCGTTCATTGACTGCATCCTCAATATATGTTCTGAGCAATACTTCCGGCCATTGGGCAATATCCGCAAATCCCCGAGCCAGCAGATTTGTGAAAAGAATATGCAGATTAATGTTATACCGCATTTTCATATTCGTCTCCCTGCGCAAAAATGATAAGAGGGCATAGGCAACAACATCATTGTTGAAGAAATTTGGCTGGACTTTTGCCACGAACAACAGTGTTAAATATGCCACACTGTCCACCTTGGCTCGGGAGGCAACCGACGTGGATGTTGCATGCCGAATGACACCGCAAATAATTCGCATAACTGCCTCATTGTCGCTCTGTTCGATGGCCGAGTAAATGCATTCAATGACATTGGAGAGATCGCACTCTTCGGCCAATTGTTCCCAGATCTCGTGTTGCACAGTTCCGCTTGTGCTGGGCATTTCAGTGGCTCCATCTTTGAGGCCAGCACGAAATCTTTTGCTGGGATGATTGGCGAGGCTCGAAGAAGCATCTCGCTTTCTGTCAACGGAGCTCGAGCTGGTGCTTGCTATTCCCTTGATTGGTAGTATTTTCTTGGGATCATCGCGACCAGTTTTGGTACCAAGTGCAAATAATTCGGCACCTAATAGTGCCTTTTTCTGACCCCTATTGACGGCGCTTGATTTGTTACGATCCATTTTGGTCTCTGTTATTTACTAAAATACGACCGAAATAGAGATGACAAATTCTCGCTTATACTATCGATATAATTGATTGCTTATTTTGCGATTCGATAGTCGCAATTTGTCGTGCGAGCTATCGATTACAAAAAAAAAAGCTAGACTAACGACTAAAAATAGCTATGAATTGCTGAAAACAATAAACAATAAGACAAACATTCAAAAATGTACCAATGTTTTAATCAATAGGTTATGGGAGATGTATCTCAATGGCTCCATGAACAAATTGCCATTCAGCTTGTCGATTAAATACGTTTTAATAAGGCTTTGGGAATTTGAAGTCTTAAAAGATATAATTAGCTGAGCTTGGCAGAGAGCTACAAGTCAGTTTTCTAGTAATAGTGTCCTATCTCCATTCATCCATAGTAAATATTCCGATCAAAGATTGCTCTAAGTATATAAACAGCATTTGCAAAAGAACAAAATAACAAAGGCAATAATTTGGTAGCCAAAATGTAAGTATATAATTTCATATTATCATTATAACATTAGCTTAAAATAAACACATTATTTTGGAGGACTTTCAACATAAACAGTTGTATTATCTACACCTAGGAATTGAGTTATACTTAATGCAGACAACATTTTCATCTGTCCCTGATAAAGAACATCAGCAATAATTTTCTCAGCATAAATAGCTTGTGTATTTTCCATCGATCGCAACTTGTGCGCAATTACTTTTCCAAAATTTGTGAAATGATCATCCAACGGACCATCCGCATTTTTAAGCGCCAGTGAAAAGAGCCGATCAAAATCGATGTTCGAAATGTCCGCCCTGCATTTTCCTGGCGGCGTCGCTTCATTGTCATCGGATACCTGGGACGATGCTGATGACGAACGCTTCCGATTGCTCTTGATGTATTTGGGACAGGTGGGAACGCGTTGGTTTCGGTTTGATTCCACTATGTGTACGGTAGAGTTGATTTTATCGTTCAGCGAATTTGTGATGGCAGAAGGGTTTAATGATTTTCTCCTTTCGGCGATAATGTTGTTCTTGGCTGGCATTATTACCTCAACTTCCTTAATGGATGCCTGATTGTTAGAATTAACGGTTTGAATACTGATAATGGGATCAACCTCGACCTCCTCAAATAGATTGGCACAAAAATCGTTCGCGCTTTGATGATTGCTGGGCGATGATTTGTTATCGCTTTTCGTTTGTTTTGGCAAACTCTCCGCATCGGAGAATTCCTCACAAGCTTCCTGTTGCGCTACAGTGATGTCTGTTGTTGATGTCTTTTGTAAGGGTTGGTTATCTTCAACTTTTGATTTTTTTTCGGGGTTCTCCTCGTCCTTTAAAAACATAAGAGATTCAAAATATCTTCGCTTTGGACAGTATGGTTCATACTTTTCCCCTTTCTTCTTCACTTCGTTATATTTGCGTAGCTGATGACGAAATGCGCATCTCAGATTGTTAATCTTTTGCTTGGTCCTTTCAACGTTGTACAGTTCTCCATGTTTGGTGGCCACAGCAATTAATCTTATATACGCTTCTTGTCGTTTTATTCTGTTTCGAAAATCCACCGAATCGGCTTTCCACAAGCACGGATTGCTCTTGTACTCATCGATGAAATCGTCAATGAAATCCATGTTTGTTTACTAATCCAACTGAGTTCCAAAATTTGTAGAACACTTTATTTATGATATAAATTAACAACTGTATGTTACTAAAAGCAAACAATGGCAGAGCTGCAGAGATTTTACTTCAATTTATTACACTTTACAATCGATATACAATGTTGGTTAGCGTAGATTGCGGTACACTGGGAATGGAATATCTTTTTATAGAAATGGAATGCAATTACAACAATAATAGAGAGAAACGTGAACTTTGATTACTAGAGCGAAATCAGCTAATTCTTGCGAATTAATTTCTATATATCTTAGATATATATTTTACAACAAATATTTCACAATTTTATTGTTTGATGTTTCAATGGATTTTTTAAAGGTTAGGAAGTGCTTCTGTAAAATTAACGAACGACTTTTAAGATTTAAATCAAAGAATATATATATTATTATATGTAATTATTCGTATTGATTAAATTCGATTGTCATACTTTTTGAATGTGAATTTTTGTTCTCATTTATAGCTTGACATAAACTATTTTTAATGAATTCAATAAATAAGTTGTATTTACTGAGCATCAATTAAAATATTTCTTACTGAATGGAATCTAATATTTGGGTACAATAATTTTGCAAGCGATTTTATTAGCGATATAATGTGATTTGTAACTGTTATCCGTGATTTTCACGATCTTAAAAGTAGCATATGTAAGTAACAGATACGATAAAATACTTCAAATATATACGCAACTGTAAACGGCATTTGCAAAGTCCGTGTTCAAAACAATATATATTAATAATTTGAGAAACTAAAACATAATAAAACTTCACCTATTCATCGTAATGAGCAAATAACTAATATTTTAACAATTGTTGTATTTCGTAGTGCGTTACAAATAGAAATATCGTGTTCGTGCCATAAAGTTTACACCCTAAGAGAATTAATCAAGAAATTCGTGAGAAAAACGTAAACATAACACATATTGTACATACCACAGGAGCGAAATGGCAGATTTGGAGGCTGTGCTAGCTGATGTCAGCTACTTGATGGCTATGGAGAAATCCAAATGTACACCAGCTGCAAGAGCTAGTAAAAAATTAATTCTACCAGATCCCAGGTACCCCATAAAAATGTATTTATTCAAATAGGTGCATACCTTGTATGTATGTATGTATGTATGTCATTTGATTTGTGACTGTGTGTGTATGTATATATGAATACTTGTGTATTATCCTCGGTAATAAATTTCATATTTTCGCAAAAGTACTGCCCGAATTAGCTGTATGTATACAAATAGTCATTTGATATTGATGCACACATACATACACACATGGGAACATATGTATGTACATTTCATATATTTTGTATACACATGTCTGTATGTATATATTTACATTTGTATGTATGCAGGTGTTTACTCACTGCAAATCAATATTTAAAACCATTGTGAAGCCAATATAATAATTTCGTTTTGAAATTAATACACAAATAAATTCCCGTCGCATTTGAGTACAGTCAGAAATATATGTATGCATCTTCTTATAATTACATTAATTTATTCGCATTAATGTACCTTCAAATTTTTGTATATACCCTGTACCCGTTAAAAGGGTAAGATGGGTATGATGAGGCTGGGAAATTGGATGTGAATAACTCACATAGATATCAACAGATGTCGATTCTCAATTTCCGATTTTTATTTAAACATATCTTTCAACATTATTAGATTTGTGGCATATAAGAAAACAAGCAATTTAACAATCAATTTGTATAAGAAGGGAAATCAATAAACAAATAGTACAAAAATGGGTGCCGGTTGTATTCTATTTTAAGCATTTAACGCCCCCCTAATAGTTGAGCCTATGTTTAAAAATACAGTTGTATGAGTCGTGCCCGTTTTAAATAATTAAAATAAGATTGTAAACCTGTGCAAAAAATCAGCTGTTTTTGTTTTTGTTACCTGTTATTGTGGAACTAAACTAATTGGAGGCTTGGTATTAATTTTGTTTAGATAGCTAGAACATTTTTTTATGTTTATTATCTTTAAATTCGATTTCACTTTTATTTTCTTAAAGGGGCAGACTATTATAACACATGAATGAAAATGAGATAAATAGTTGAATTGCATATCAGTGTGCGCATCTGTTGAGAATGCATATATTTTAACCAAAAACAACAGTAGACGGCTGGAAGCTTTGATGTGGATGCAATCGATTGTAAAAACTATTATATAGAAAATTGGCTTACTCTTTATTTTAATCAAAAATGTATTTTAATTCAAATAGGTAGAAAATAGCAATTTAATTTAAAATTCAACATTAAAATCAGTAGTAAAACGATTAGATTCACAGCTCTGAAAACATAAATATAATAATAATAAATATTTAATGAAATTGTTGAATAAAGACCTTATGTTATTCTTATTTATTATTTGGATGTATGGTTATATTTTATGAGGTGCGATCCTGTTTCATGGGGTGCTATTCCCTGGTTGCATATATATTACAACTTTGCAAGAATTATGCTGTAGGCATATTTAATAACGTATAAATAATCTTTTCAGTGTACGGAGCGTTATGTACAAATATCTGGAGAAGGAAAACGAACTCAACTTTCACAACATTTTTAATCAAATTATAGGTATTTTTGTTTTATTTACCTTACAATGAAATGGATACTAACGAGCATTTTCGGTTTAGGTTACCTTTTGTTTAAGGACTTTTGTGAGAATGATTCTGAAGAACCTATACAACAGTTAAAGTTCTATGAGCAGGTATTCCTATTGACACTGAAATGCAAATATCTGTATATTTGAGCTTTTGCATATTATTTTATAGATTAAAAGCTTTGAGAAAACCGAATGTTTCGAGGAGCGAAAAAAACTAGCTCGGGAAATTTATGATAATTTTATAATGGAAGAAATGCTGTCCCACACATATGTAAGTATTTAAGCTTGATAGCTGGACTTATATATATTGAAATATTTATTTTGTTTTGTTTTTTTTTTCATAGGAATACTCCAAAGATGCTGTTGCTAGTGTCCAAAAATATTTATTAAAAAATGAAGTTCCTGTGAATTTATTTGAGGTAAGTTAACAAAAGAATTCAATTTTGTTAAAACAATGCTCCTATAATGCCACAAATTTATTAATTTTCAACTTTTTCACAGCCATATATGGAAGAAATCTTTGGTCAACTTAAAGGGAGGCCATTCAAAAAGTTTTTGGAAAGGTGAGATAAAGATATAAATATAAGCATATATATATTATAAGTTTAACCTTTTTTTTTGCAGTGACAAGTTTACGAGATTTTGCCAATGGAAAAACCTCGAGCTTAATATACAAGTATGTACAAAAATAATTGATCCTTGATACACATAGTGATGCTAAAACACTTTTCAGTTATCAATGAATGACTTTAGCGTGCATAGAATAATCGGACGCGGAGGCTTTGGCGAAGTCTACGGTTGTCGAAAAGCCGATACGGGTAAAATGTACGCAATGAAATGTTTAGACAAAAAACGTATTAAAATGAAGCAAGGCGAAATGCTGGCATTAAATGAGCGCAACATGTTGCAAGCAGTTAGCACTGGAGTATGTTACTAAATTTAATTTCAATTCTGTATACCTTTATAACCGCAACAATATTTTCATTATTTACCTAGATTGATTGCCCGTTCATCGTTTGCATGACTTATGCGTTTCATACGCCAGACAAGCTCTGTTTTATATTAGATTTAATGAATGGTGGTGACTTACATTACCATCTCTCACAGCATGGAGTTTTTAGCGAAGATGAAATGAAGTTTTATGCAGCCGAGGTAATTCACAATTATATTATGTCAAAGCTTTGCACAACTATAAATCTCAATATTCCATAGGTCATTTTGGGTTTGGAGCATATGCATAAGCGCTGCATTGTCTATCGCGACTTAAAGCCTGCGAATATATTGCTGGACGAAAATGGGCACATTCGAATTTCGGACTTGGGTCTAGCATGTGATTATTCAAGGAAAAAACCTCATGCCTCAGTGGGCACTCATGGATATATGTCACCCGAAGTATTATCGAAAGGAACCTCCTATGATTCATGTGCTGACTGGTTCAGTTTTGGCTGCATGCTCTACAAGCTACTCAAGGGACATTCCCCATTTCGACAGCATAAAACGAAAGATAAACACGAGATCGACAGAATGACATTGACCATGGTATTCGAACACTATATTCATTGATATAACTAAACTCAGATTCTAATTACTTATATTTTCTACAGAATGTCGAACTTCCAGACACATTTTCCGCTGAATTAAGGAATTTACTGGATATGCTTTTACAAAGAGATGTGCCAAAGCGTCTCGGTTGTATGGGTAATGGGTAAGTGTGAAAAGGCCCAGTTAAATGTCTTTACAATGTTAAATTAACTTGTTTCTTCATTTTTAAGTGCCGACGAAGTTAAAATGCATAATTTCTTCTCCGGCATCGATTGGCATCAAGTTTATATTCAAAAATACACCCCACCATTAGTTCCACCGCGAGGCGAAGTAAACGCCGCTGATGCATTTGATATTGGCTCATTTGACGAAGAGGATACGAAAGGCATCAAGTTAAATGACAGTGATTTGGATCTCTATAAGCATTTTTCATTAACTATATCCGAAAGGTAAATTTATTTGCATCGGGATAGACTAGAGAATGATAGCAAAACTATGTTGCGAATTTATTGAAAATGATTTTTATAATGTTTATTGCATTCTCAAATATTAATTAAAGCGTATTCTGTGTTTATTTAGGTGGCAACAGGAAGTGTCTGAAACTGTATTCGAAACAATCAACGTGGAAACTGATAAAATCGAGCAAAAGAAGAAATCGAAACAAAAACAACACTTTGATACAGATGAAAAAGAATCGGATTGTATACTGCATGGGTACATAAAAAAATTGGGAGGATCATTTGCGTCTTTATGGCAAACTAAATATGCCAAATTATATCCAAATCGGTATGGTATTCAAATTACTTTATATATTGGGCTAAATCGTGTATTTGGTTAATTCTAAATTAACAATTTGTTGGTGCTTAATAGTAATAGTAATAAGAATAATAGTTATTTGCCTCCATAATAATATATATATTTTATTATTACAGCTTGGAACTTTACTCAGAGAGTGGCAATAACAAACCAGAGCTTATATTTTTGGACCAAGTCGAGGATATTTCACCAGATTTCATTCAATATAAAAATGAACAATGTATTCAAATCCGTGTTAATGATGGCAGTCGAGATGGTAGAATTATTTTAACAAATTCGGTAAATGAAAAATCGAGAACTTTTATTGATAATTATTATTCATGTTAAATATACGCATTGCATTTTAAAGGATGAAATTGGCTTAAAGGAATGGTCGTTGTCATTGAGATCGGCCTACAAAATGTCACAGGACCTGCTAGGATCAATGGCTAAGAAAGCTGGAAAGATTTATGGAAGTGAGCGCGATGCAAACAAATCAATGTACATTCTTGGAGGGAACTGCTCTACAAAGTCTTCAAATGGCTCTAATTAAATACTAGATCTAATGACATTTATTATAACATAACTTATAATAGGTTTCCTGCTTTGAAACTCATCAAATCAAACATAGTTTCAATTAATGCGAAATAAATCCTAATAAAATACATCTTGTAAAATCACCTTAACAACCGGATGCATACTGGCGAATTTGTAAAAAAAAATCCCGTATTTATTGGACACACCCACAAAAATACTTCATTGTTTTCGATTTTTTATGTTTTTATTTAATTTTATTATAATGTATGTACATTGTAGTAATACTTATATTCTGATTAAAACTGTCAAAGTATGTAACGCATGCATTTTCCATATTTCCAAGCTATCATTTATAAAACACAATGGGAAGTATCAATTTTACCGAGACTCTGACCGACTGCCGATATTGCGCTTCCGTATTAGTACTTGTATGTATATCATTATTTGGTGTTTTTAGTTGTAATAGAATTAAAAAAAAATCAAACAAAAAAAATCGTATGTAGCCGTGTATTCTACTATCAAATCAATAAAACTACGATATATAAAAGAAATTAAATATGAACTAAAAAATGTTTTCGGTAAATTACCTGCGGCACTCTTTTTAAATGTTCTTTTAGATTTCCTCACGGGAAATTCATTTGCCTTTAGTATATTTTGATTATCAAGAAACCTGGAAAATTAGTTAAGGCTACAGTAGATTTGGGAATTGGGTAAAAAGTTTTTATCGAACTCAAAATACAATGAAAATAAACGGATATAAATGGTAAACAATAGTTAATACTTTATTGCTATTATTCCATATTCATTTCATTTGATTAAATTAAATTTCTAACGTTTTCATCCCAACACATGCATTCTATAAATACACCATGTGGGATAAGAGTTGGCTTCTGCATGTTACATGCATTTACACAACTTCACTAATCCATTTTGAATGTGTAGGATAGAAATACTTAGTATTGACCAAACATTGCGATTTTATTTAGCTAACTGATAAACTCCACCGGAGAATAAAAGTTTATGTTCGCGAACTTTACGTTGCAAGAAATGTTTTAATTCATCTTGCGTAAATTCGACTCCTCCGCTGTGTGAAGCAAATAGCTTAAGCATTTGGTGAATCCGATCGATCGGCATACAATCTAGATTTGTAAGCATACCAACAATATAAGACCAGAAAACCTTAGAAAATAAGATAAATGGTTAGCAAGCAAGTCTTTTAAGAACATCAAGAATAATTTATTGCGTACTTGAAGTTCTTCTTCTCTTTGATCACTGGCCGAGGCCATAGCTGATTCCAAGTCCTCTTCGTCGGCATCTGTGACATTCATCTCCTCAAACTGTGTTTTCTCCGATGCCTTCTCCAAGAGTGTAAAAATACCGGGTTCTGTCTCTGAAATCAGACCATGATTTTGCCAAAAGCTTATGCGTCTTCTTAGCGCAGATGGGGGAACTTTAATAAGGCTACTCAATTCGTCCACGCTCCACTCATCTATAACAAAGAAAAGTTTGGATTAAATGTTACAATACACATAAAACTATAGCTTATATACTTTTATGTTGGAAGTGGTAAATGATTATAGCTTGTGTTGGCGGGACCGTCATCTCCAATACTCTCTCGCCGATTTCGATAACTATGTTGACACGTCCGGTCACCGGGCGCCAATTGAGAGTGCGGTTTCCCTTGTAAGATTCATATGCTTTCGTAAATTTCTTAAATTCATTTTCCAGCTCCTCGGGCAGCTGTAGACTCTCCTTATTAAATGATGGCCAGAATTGCGCCGAAATTATCATTGACGAAATGTCAAATAATGGAGCTTAAAGGATTAAAAGCATTTTTTCTTTTATAGACTTATTGTAAAGGTATTAATTGTAATTTCACTTACTTTCATCACAGTTGCCATTGCTGTGAATGTGCGCATTAATGCGTTTTGAATCGGTAACATCCTTTAGCATCACCTCACAGCTATGTAGAAGCGATTCACCGAATCTGATTTTAAGCAATTCAAGATTTCGAATTTCTTTTTCCGAATTAAAGTCAAGCTGCGACAATAATCGATCAGCCATCAAGTTGCGGTATTCAACCATAAATAGCTCTTTACTTCCATATATATCGACCACCATGGATATAATATCGGCAGATCGAATAATTTTCGAGCTACTTAACTCCAAGACATCGGGGTCAATGCCAAAGGGATCCGGTTCCCAATTTTCCCAATTACTAAATTCATTGAGTCCAGCATCTTTGCCATCTTTAATAAATTCGCCCTTAGCCAACTCTTCGGAAAGGTCCGTTGGTCCCTCCTCTGTTAAGCCAGTAACAACACGTCGCACAGTATCATTGCGCTTGCGTAAGTAATCTTTGATTGGAGCCGTAACTATCTCTAATATCACTCCTGTGTTATCTAGATGCCGTATGGCTTTAATTGCTGCTACGTATCCCGTCAATATATCCATAGTATTGACACCGGGATGCAAAATCCTTGCTTCCAGCGAACTTCTCAATGATTCAGTTAACAGAACTCTCATATCGATTTTCTCCATACAAATCTTTAAATCGTCTATGGCAGGCGTTGAGTCCGGGTAGTCTAAGAAACATTGTATCAAAATTGAAAGTGATATAAGAAACTTGCATGATAAAGCCAAAATATATTGCGTACTAACCTATAATTATACTGAAAAATTGACTAATTACGTTTTGTGCAAATGTTTCATACATAAAATAAGTTAGTTTCACTTTAAAAGCCTGCACAGACTTTGGTATTTTCTCTTCAGAAATATCATCCTTCGATTTACATTCTGAAAAAATTGTAGTTAGCCAGGTCATAACAATATCGTTGATCCACTGTGAAAAAGTAAAGGTTTTAATAAGTTTTTAATTAGATTTGAGGAATTTTTATTACCGTTTCTAGTTTTTTGAGGTGACTTCTGTCAAAAATTCCCAGGCAGGTATCGTTGATATGTTCCTTGATTTTTAGCTTGATTAAAGCTGTCAAAGCACTTCCCGCTAAACGATCAATTAAATCCATCTTTGCCAATTTTCGATTCGTTTCATTCACCATTTCAGTGAGTTTTTGACAACAGCATTGCTCGTGATCGAAATTACATCCGACACATGGTAGCTCTGAAAACACTTCTCCATCTACAAAAATGTTAGTTACCACATTATAAATTCGCCTCTATTTATTTAAAAAAAACACATACCAAGTGTGGTCGACGATAGACTTGTATCTTTAGTGAACAGTCGGAAATGTACGGCGTAAAAGTCGCAAACGAAACTATTAAATGTTGGCGCCAATTGCGCCAGCAAAGCATTATGTAAATTGGTCTTTCTATCGCCCGACTTTGGAAACGCCTGGGCGCCTTTGTTTAGACGTGCTAAATTGGGCTTTATTTGCTGTAAGCACTGATAGCCATCATAAAGTTCATCAATTGCAGCGATAAATTTGAAGAACAACGCATTTGAGTCAGTGAGTGCTGGAATATTTGAAGCTGCCTCCGACTTTGCCTTGGTGGATTGGCTGTCAGTAGTGAAGTGTTTCCAAAACCTCGGAGCAAGCGTATTTCGAATGGTCGACTCAATTTCCATTTCCAAAATAGTTGCCAATGTTTCAATGCCTCCAAGTTTGGAGAGTTGCCGGTAAGCATTTTCAAACAATTCCTCATCAATTGGCTGTGTTGGAGCAGTTATCTACCAAATTGTATGTAATGAATGTACAGAGTAAAGCACAGCAATTTCAACTTACTTTTCCATTTAAAATTGGAAAAATTTTCTGTACATCTAACCACAGATCATTTAAATCGCTCATTCTCACTTCGTATAAACAAATTTCTGTCCTTTAGTGATGCACATATTATTCTTATCGATATACGAGAAACTATCGATATCAAAAAACCAACTACTAAAATGTATAGGCGAATGCGCTTTGTACGGAATGTATGGAAAATGATACAGATGCGAAACTCCGTTAAAAACTTCAAATAAAGGGTGGGGTCTAGCAATTTACGTAAATTTGTAAGTCTAAAGATTAGAAAAATATAAAATAGGGAATCAATATTATTTATAAACATTTTAAAGAATAAATTGAATTGGTAAAGCTATGCGATATGCAAAATTGTATTTTCTCCCAATCTGAATAAGTACAAAAATTTTAAGTAGACTCGCAAAAGATTTTATTTATTTACATTATATGCTGTAGCTATGGAAATATGTACAAATTTTTAAAGTATTTACAAAGTAAGTGCAATACAAATGCAGAAAAACTGAAGTATAGATTTTATGATTTAATTTTTATAAAATTGTGAACCTCATTTACATACAATTGATCTAATTACGAACAACCTTCAATTGTTTACAGTGTTGGAAAAATAGTCAAATCACTTTAAAAATGTGAATTTTCAAAATTTGTTGCTATTAAAAAGTTTTTGGTGCTTCAATCGGCACGCCGAACATAAAATACCCTTGCAGATCATAGTCCACCTGCACACGTCTTAATTAATTTATTAATATAATTAATACATCACGTTATAAAAAAGAAAACAATTCATTAATTTTGCGAACAAACTCAACAATCGAGTATATTTATTGATGTAAAATACTAATTTGCGCAAAAACCTTTCAGGTACAAGAAATATGTTCAATTTTGTAGCCCAGGGCAATTGTTCATATAACAAAAACTTAATTAACGACCTGTATGATTTTAAAGCTGAGCTTTAGTGTGTTTTGTTTAAAAGCTAAGGCAGTGTTTATTGTCGTGTCCCCTCTATCTGCAAGGGTACGAGCTTACTTACAACCAACCAATACAAATTCGATAGCCTTGAAATAAAACCTTAACCTATGTGCCAATGAGTATTCGAATTAATTTTCAGTGTGTTGACAAAATTGCATTTGTGTGTGTTTTTGTTTTGAATGGAAAGGAAAAATTGTGGAGTTTAGCCAACATATGCAAATGGAGGATATGGGGGTGGGTAGAAGTTTGGAAATGATCCTGAGTTTTGAATTGGAAGAGTTGCTGTTATTAATTTAGTAACTGCCGTTGGAACAATTGAAGTTGAAAATATGGTTGTGAAGGCCGTTTTTGCACCAAATGTTAATTTCAGAATTTTGCTACTTGTTGCTGTGACCAATGTTTCATAAATTTGTGTAGATGTGATCAACTGCTGTTGTGGCAGGCCTAGCAGTGGATTGTAAAATGGATTTATCGGATATTGTGACATCTGTGGAATTTGAACTGTCGACAACTCAGTAACATATTCAGTTTTTTCAACGACACCCACAGATTTGGACAATGTTCTCAATATGCTATCGGTTCCTCTTACAAGAGGTACTATGTAAGACTCCCAGACTGTTTCCAGCTTGATGATTGGACGTGTTGAAGTTATTATACTGTTCGGTTGGCCTAACAAATTTATTTGTGGAATTTCCGGCTTAATCAATTGCTCGGGGCTATTTAACTGAACAATGCCATTAGCATTTGTCGAATTTTTGTGACCCGCATTATTATTCGGGTTTGGCTTTACGTCAAATTGTCCAGCATTGCTTTCATCACCAAATTCAAGGTCCAAATTGATTTCAGAACCGGCTTCATCCAAATTACCTTCAAAGTCTTTGAAGTTTTGTGATGGAACAAAATTGTCTCCGGATGGCGAAACTGTCTGAGTGACAGTCAGGAAACTTGTATAACCATAGGTTTGGACTAATGTTATCTGTATTGTCTCATTTTTCTTTTCATAAATGATCGGTAAGATCTGTGTTTTCAGTTTGGTCTGCGTAAATGTGAATGATTCGGTTATTGTCTCCAATTCCGGAGTTTCAAGGTTATCTGTGTAATATATGGGTTTTAAAGTGGTTATACTTCCATCCAAAGATGGTTTAGTTAACTGCGAAGTAGAATCTAAAATGTTTTCAGTTAATGGACCATCATCTGCTGAATATTCCTCAATCTGGTCATGTTTAAGCAATCTCTCGATAGTTGAAGTAATTGTCAAAAATCGAGTTTTTTTGACAACACCAGCCTGGAATCAAGAGCGAAATTATGTTAATACGTAATTAAGAAATTTAGCTGAGATCTATATAAGATGTTGCAGATACGTATATGTATATTAATAATTACCTGAAATACAAATGGACTCTTGATTGTTGCAATTTCATAGTAAGTGTCATCAAAATTATTTGGTGTTGATATTTCGACATTTAATGTTTGCACAAAGTTAGCAGACTTAATATCATCATTATCGGAGACAACGCTGTTTTGTGAACCGACAGCATCCAAGTCTTTTGATAGATTAACAACCTTCAGTATTTGATTGCTTTCGGGCGTATCCAAAATAGTATCGTTAACCTTGACTACATCAGTTTGTGTATCGCTTCTCGTAACGTTGCCTGAAGCTTTTCGTATATTCACTTTTGGCTTCGGCGATGATTTGTATTGCCAACGACCCGGTCGTCTGTTTAGTTTCAGAGTGTTTCCCCCAATACTTGGTATACTTGGTGGTAAACTTGGTATGCTATCCTCCACTGGTGAGTTACTCTTTGTTCGGAACGAACGACGAACACTTGACTCCGTTGACGATGGCGTTATTTGAACGCTGCTGGAAATATGTGTACTACTACTACTTGTTTTATTTCTCCTGCAAGCAAAAACAATATGATATACAAATTTTATATGCAAATAAAAACATTAGAAAGAAGATATAGTTTAATTACCTTTTTCCCTTGTGTCGCGACGATTTTCTTTTTTCGCTTGTCACGCGGCTATTTTTTGAACGATGACCTTTGGAAAATCCACTTTGTGGGGTTACTGACTCCACTGGGGATTTGTTAGAGTGTACAATAGATGGTGTTATAGTTTTTAACACTCTTGCGGATGAGTGCAGGCGTGTTTTACTACGCCTCTCAACGCTGCTCGTTGACTGAAGGCCCTGCGAATATTTGCTCGAAGGCTTCACGCCGCTCCTTTTGGACAATAATGCCGTCGATTGGCTATAATTATTGTCTCGCTTTGACATATAGATCTTCTGCCTATCCGTATCAGCACGTGATTTTAAATTAACCAAACGAAACGTTTCTTCGACAAACTCTTCGGGCTGACGCGAAAGTAGAGCGTATTCGGAATAGTCAAGGGTTTCAATTGGTGTGCTCAAGAGACTAACTTGATTTTTTGTGGCAAATGTTAAATTTGTTGCCGATTGCACTTTTGAACTGGTTGCAATCAGTGGCGTCGGCTTAATTCCAATTTTACTCGCAACATTTTCCTTATGGTGCGGTCGGGTCTCAATAATATTAATTGATGGACTGGTCGTCTGGTTGACCGTAAATTCTGTAATAAATATAAAGCGTATACAAGGCAAGTATTATCCATGTTAGGTGATTCTTAATCATTTTACAATATCCCCTTTGCATGCTTCAAGTGCATCAATTATTTCCTTTTTCCGATTTTAGTACTCACCAAACTGAGGTGAACTTTGTGGTGAGAATACCATAACTGTATTTCCAATGGTAGTTGTAAAATCCAAAAATCCATAGACGGTTTGCGTTAACTGCGGCACTTCAGAACCAGATGCTAAAAATACGATTACATTTTAGGTAATGCAGGGTATATTCCAGTCGGACACACTCCACTTTGGCCCTCTTACTTACCACAGTTGATCAATACAATAGCAACCAAATTAAAAAACATATTGAAACATGAACGTCTCCAGGGGACTTCAAATTTACAAATCCCAATCATTTCGGTTATGCTTTAATCTGAGAGATAAAAATTAAATATGAATATTTATTTAATAAAAACACAAACTATGCAAGTTTATTTATTTGGTTTTGTTTTAATGCTGAAATCAGTATTCACATTTTGAAACAACTTTTAACCACTTCAACACGTCACACAATTCGTTACAAAATCAAAATACACTCTGCAAGGGTAACAAAACAATGCAACAAATGAATAAATAATGTATGTGTATTGTATCTGTATATGTATGTGTGTAGTTATGTTCACACACTTTAGTGTTACCACACTCACACATTGACAAGTATGTAAATCTACATTCCGATATACATACAAAAATAGATGCTTGCACAAAAATAACGTAAGAAATTAACTATGATTGCAATTAAGTATAATTAATGCACAGATTTCACAAAACTAAAATACATTTAAGTTTACATTCACTTATGTACATACACATTGTATGTATATATGTATGTATACGCAATTGTAAATTGTACTCACTAACAAAATAATTACACATTGTTAAAAACCAAAAAATAAGAAGTAATAAATGTGTAATTATTATGAAAGTTATTTGAAATATACCTGGTTTTTTTGCACAGATTAATGCAGACATATAAAATATGTGTAAAATTGTATACGGGTATAAACATACACAGAAAACACCATCAAATAGTATAAAAGTGGTCCCAAAACTGGTTGTGTGTTTACCAAAAGCAATGCACACAAGGTGCCAGCCAGCTCCTAAGAAACAGAAGAACGCCGTGATTGAGTTACATTTGCTTGGCCAGTAGGGTCACTCATGCTATGAAATTAGTTTTTCTTTTGTACAAAACTGTTCGCAATTTATATGCAATATTTTCTTGATTATTTTTGATTTTGAAAAGCTTAAACAAATCCAATAGCATTGTTTCGCAATATTAGAGCATAAATTAGCCGACATTTTACTTATTTGCACTTGCTTGTCGTCCAAAAACCATTAAATGTCATATGGTAGGGTGTACCAGGTAAACAAAAAAGAGCAGCAACAACAGAAGAAACGGTGTTAATACAATCATCTACGATTTCACTTTCACTTTTAGCTGATTTTATCTCGAACTAAAGTGGAACTGACGCATTATTATTAATATTCAATTATATTAATTTTAAAAATAATTTATATATTTATATTTATATAATTTTTCGCTGGAAATTAAATATTTTTGTAGTTTCTACAAAAAATAACAACTAATTAGCAAGAGGGAACTTAAATTAAGAAATGACAATCAAGAGAGAATGCTCCAGTCAAAAGGGCCCGACTACGAGATACCCTATGTCAAAATGGAAATTCTAAGTTATTTCCATACCTACCTATATTTCTATGAATGCTTCGTCATGTAAATTATATGGGCTGAGTATAGTAAATATATATAGTTATTTTGTCACTGTTTCACACAGCTAACCCCAATGCCACTGTGAAGAGCCCATTTGAACCGCTCATCGATCCCATTTGACGAGTTTATTACAGGCCTTTACCATAGTATTCGTTGACGCATTCTTGGCTCTTTTGAAACTGACTAAGAAAGCAACCAGTATCAATAATGTTGGGGTTAAAGTGTTCCGGAAAATCAATATAAGGGCGGTTTTTCATTTTGTTTTAAGGATTTTGAAGAATTCTTAGACCGCAGTATTTTTTAACTATTCGTGTATCTTCGTGAGTTCCCAGAAATTCGTCTTGGTCCGTCACTTTGGAACGATCTTATCTTTGTCTGACATCCAATGGAATTGTAGTGAAAAAGCAAAACATATTTGAAAATCAAGAATGGAGTTTAGATGAATTTATAAAGATACAACCTAACATAAATAAACCTCAAATAAATGATTAAATATCATTAAATATATGCAAAAATGTTTATTTTATATTAATACAAAATATAAAACTTTAAGATCTAATAAAATAATTTGCACATAAACATTTATTAATTTATTTTATACCATTCCAAATCATCCGGTTTGTGGGAAGACGGTGGATTTATGATTGTTTGGGCATCGTTAAAAATATTGTTGCAAATATTATCCCCAATCTGAAAAAAATAAATATGAATAATGTTAAGCAGAGGCTTTAAAAATATGAAAATATTTTCGAGTCAATTCTCCTAATAGTACTACACATAGAGAAAAAATCGCTGTAATTCGGATTCGGATTCGTATCCCCGTGAAAGTGTTAGTTCTTTCAAGTTTAAATATATAAATTTTATAACCTATGTAAAATAATAAGAATCGTAAAATAATATAAGTAACAAAAGAACTTATATAAAAAAGCTTCAATTTACACGCCCAGGAGATTCGTAGGAATTAATCGGTGAACAAATCTAGGAATTTAAAAATGACAGAAGATATAGATCTATGCTCCGCACAGTTTGGTTTGCTTTAATTGCTTTAGTTTATTTAATATTCTTACTATGCGAATATTTACCTGAAGAGACGATACTAAATTATCAGGGCAGTCTAGCACGCTCAGTCCAGATTCTAAAATTAAAAATGAAAAAAATAAAGAGAATCATTTGATAAATCTCATTTTATGAATGTAATTAAATGTGATACTTTGATTTAATGCAAAATGAATTCCAATAATCATTAGAATATTATGTGGATTACTATAGAGCATTGTTCTTACGTATTCTGGGATCATTCCATGAAGTCGTACGATCAATATGATTTATAAAATAAATATCTCCCGACTCGGTAACAGCTTGTTCCCAACCATCCGGTAGTGGGCCAATAAGGTTAGTAATTGTCGGTGTGCTAGTTTGCTTAGTTGGTTGTAAAATATCTGCATAAAGAGTAAATAACAAATATAAATTGGTAGGATTCTTGTTGTTGTCATAATCCCATATGGTTACGGATGTAATCGAAATATATGTCAAAGTGCCCGGTTTAATTTAGGTCTCTATAAAGGTAGATAAAGCAGAAAAATTGTTTTCAAACATTAGTAAGGGGGGAGTGTACAATTATTTTCACGCAACAAATTTCTACAAAGTTACATTTTACGATATTTTTGAAAGTTTTGAGCCAGAATTAATTTTTAAATTATTACTCAACAAAAAAATTCAAAATCTTTTCATTTTTTTTTTTTGGAAAAGTTAAATGAATTTCTAGATACTCGGGCACTTTACATGTCAAACAAATAAATAATAAAGTTAGCTTAAATAAAAGTCGTTTATTGCATACCATTTGGCTTTATCCGATCGACAATAGCTCGTTGTTGTTGTTGTTGGCGAAACTGAATTCTTGGATCCTCCCATTGCGTTGTTTTTGTGGTGTGGCTAAAAAAAGAGAATTTATGGAACAATATTTAATAAAAGAAGCTAAGCAGAAGTAATATGTCGAGAGAGCTCGACTAAGAAATACCCTGACATCTATACCCAGACATAATGTGTATAGTTGCGAAAAAATAATAGCAAATGTTAGTTTGTAATATGTTGTTTAGTATTCCTTCTATAAATTAAAGTTAGTACTGCTCCCGGAATTCTTTTCAATGTATATAAATATATATATGACTTTTTTCCTTTGAAAAGAAGTTTGCCTTTATAGAAATAGTTTATTTATTCATAATTTTCATAAATAAAAGAGCACATTTGAAAAATGCTGCTATTATCTGGTTTTTTCTTACTTTTCGTCCTTTTCATACATTTAATAAAACATTTTAATTGTAATTAAAATTAAATAAGTTAAAAAATATGAATAAAATTATGTTTCTTTTTATCACTTTTTATAAGTCTTCTAATAGTCCTAAAAACGCATGTAAGTTCCGTAAACTTACAAATTTAAAAAGATAATTAAAAATATTTCTTGAGAGAGTGGAATTTTAATTTTGCTCATGACTGTATGTATACATTAATATATATCGGGGCGTTGCAGAATATCGCTTCGATTATCAAGGATAAAAAAAATAATTTATATTGTTTTTGATCAATAATATGACAATTTTATTGCTATCTGAAATCGATTTGTATCGATACGCGGTGAGTTATCGATATAAATTAATAAGCTCGATCTGCGAACTTAACTTGAATTGAATTTTAAGTCCCTTGTTCTAATAGTCGAATACATCGACTCGGCTATTGAAGCTAATCAAGAATACCTGTTGCATATTTGTGCACACTTCATAATACCCTATTTACATATTGCCAGTGGGTACAGGGTATAAGGGGAGAGCACATAAAATAAGGACAACTTTAGCCAAGCAGATGAACTTATTGATACTTATTGATTGTGAAGCAGGTGAAGTAATTGGCTACTTTAGGCAAGTTAAAGTCAATTTAAACAGAATTTAAAAGAAGGCAGAATTGTGTACAAGCTAGTCAATAAAGAACAAAGAGCCCATTAGAGATAATAATTGTGGTGAAACTTAACTGCAAAGTATTTATTTGAAGCTGGTTTCTTCGTACTCACTTTAAATAGTAAATCTGACCATCGTTAGTTTTAGCTTGCTCCCAGCCCGGAGGTAAGGCACCCAATTGACTCTGTAGCTGAATGGGGCTGACAACGTCATAGGATCGCTGCTTTTTGTGTATGGTCTGTGTGGATAACGAGGGGGCATCCTGCCCCTGGCCCATACAGGTGTTAAGGACATCCTCCACGTTGTTAGCTGGACTGCTGTTGAATTCGACGTTGTTGTCGGGATAGGCTGGTCCTGATTGGCCCTGATTGCTTGGATTGTTGCTGGCACTCGACTCTGCGTTCCGCGTGCGCACATTGTAGTTCGGCTGGAGGGAGGCGGGGCTGCTCCTGGCACGAAAGTGATGTATTGCTAGACTTCTGTGCGATGGCTGACTCTGTTGGGCGAGAGATGGCTGCTGCTGTTGCTGTTGCAATTCGGACTGGACGCCAGTCTTGTTGATATTCGTCTGGGAGCCATCGTATGTCGAGTCGGCGCTGTTTGCCCGCGAGTGCAGCGGAGCCGGGGGATTGAAAAACGAATTGGGCAGCTTGCGCATACGAAATGGGATCTGCAGTGGGAGCTTTGCATCGCCCGGATTTAACACACTGTCAAATAGGGCCTGCAAGTTGTCATCCGAGTCCTGATTGACGCGCACAACTAGGTTTGTCGATAATTTTGTCGGGGACGGCGAGAGCATGTCCTCATCGTCGATTTCCTTTTCACTCAGATTGCTTTTGTTGTTTAATGACATCGTTATGGGTATGTTAGAAAAAAAAAAACTATTTGTTTATGTACACAAATATGTCAGAGCCGAACAAATAAATCGCTTTAAAACTGCATTTGCATTTAAATGTGGACGTACGCGTTAATCACTTCATTTTCAATTATTTTTGAAAGCCAAAATGTTGCTTTAAATTTTTTAATTTCGTGTTTTTGTATGATTTAAACAATATTTATATATACATATGTATATATACCATACGCTACGGAACTGCCAACATAACAAACCAAATTATATAAAGGGTATCATTCAACACAATGCACACTGAAAATATATCGATATATTTCACTGTTCCGATACTAGCGGAACACACCTTAAAATTTTAATAAATTTTGATTTGCGACGTTTATAAGCCCTCATGGAAGTGGCAATAAATTTATTTGCTTCAATTTGTAATCGGGAATATAGAAATACATCTAGATAAAGAGATATGTAAATATTCGCAGTCGGTAAGTTGTTCTGGCGTTTGATAAAATCAATTTATTTTAAAAAGATATATGGATGTTGTAATAAATAAAAGTTGGAAAATATCAAAAAAGTAATATATACAAAGTCAGCAGGTGTAATTGGACATTACCAATATTACACATCCGGATAACAATAAATTTTGCATTCAAAATCATTCCCAAATTAATAGTAATACACATAATCTTTCAGAATGTTCTATAATAATATATTTAAAACTATGCATTTATAACAAACTTATATTCAGAAATAAAATACAGTTAATAATATTATATCTTCTACATTCCATATTGAAAAGTAATAATATCTGCGATTAGTTTCCATCGATACAAAAGTGACGATACTGTGACGTGAATATATATTTTTTATGGACGTTAACGTAAGCAAAATCTATCGCGTGGCCGATTAGCTCGATAACTCACATATCTATCTAAGCGAACGATAATTTCTTTTACAAAGTAGATACATAATTGTGGGTTTTTATATACATTGTCTACATTTTTTTGTGTAAGCTAGTAAAATTAATTGCAAGCCCTAAGATAATATATAGGTTTTGTTTACACTCCAATTTTGAGCTTTCGCAACAGGAAATACACAAACGAGATTTGTGGAGAATACAATTATAGTTTATTATTTGAAGACGAGAGTGGCACAAGTGTAATTAAAATGAAATATTTTTGCAGATCGAGGCGCATGTTATTGAAACAATTGTGGCAGGAATGAATCGCAGAGGTTTGAATGCGGGCAATGCGATGGCTTCTCAATCGAATATCGACGAGGGCAGCTGGAAAGGCGTCACAGAAGGCTCAGCGATGTTGCCATCATCGAACTCATCGTCCCTCAATCCGGATGCCAGCAATCAGAGTGGATTCCCCCAAGGCGGATTACCATACACTTCGGGCGGCAATCCATATCCTCAGGCCGGCCAGTCCTCGCCAGCTGGCAATCAATCGCTAGTGTTTCAGAATGCAGCTCAACCCGGATCGAATACGCCGCAATATACTTCGTCACCCGCTCCATCCGGATCATCGACGCCGGGTCCGGTGGGCGTTGCATCGCAAAATATCCAGGGCAATTATTCACAGTCGTCGACGGCGGGCAATTTCAATGGGCCAGTTGGCGGACCATTTGGCTCACCCTCGTCAGGATTGGGTCAGTTTAGTCGACCCGCCAGTTCGGGCACCCCATTTAATAGTGGTCAAGCCGGACACTTCTCCTCGCCGACCGTCTTTGGAGTTGGCAGTCAGTTTAATCCCATGCCCCCGGCATCTCCCTTCGGGCATGGCGGCAATCATCCCATGATGGGTGGCCCACAGCCAATGGATCGTATCGATCAGGGATTTAGGAGACACAACTCCTACTTCAGTCACACGGAGCATCGGGTCTTTGAGCTCAACAAGCGCCTGCAGCAGCGAAACGAGGACAGTGATAATTGCTGGTGGGATTCGTTTACGACCGAATTCTTTGAGGACGATGCACGCTTAACAATCCTCTTCTGTCTGGAGGATGGACCCAAGAGGTATACGATTGGCCGGACACTTGTGCCGCGTTTCTTTCGCAGCATTTTCGAGGGCGGCGTTTCGGATTTGTATTTCCAGCTGAAGCATGCGAAGGAATCGTTTCACAACACATCCATCACACTGGACTGCGAGCACTGTACGGTGATCACCCAGCATGGCAAACCGTTCTACACGAAAGTCTGCGCCGATGCGCGACTTATACTCGAGTTCATGTACGACGATTACATGCGCATCAAATCCTGGCACATGACCATCAAAGGACATCGCGAACTAATTCCACGTTCCGTTATCGGGACATCTCTGCCGCCAGATCCCATGCTCCTCGATCAGATCACCAAGAATATAACGCGTGCGGGCATCACAAATTCAACATTGAATTATCTGCGCCTGTGCGTGATTCTCGAGCCGATGCAGGAGCTGATGTCGCGCCACAAGGCGTACGCTCTGAGTCCGAGGGATTGCTTGAAGACAACGTTGTTTCAAAAGTGGCAGCGAATGGTGGCGCCACCGGGCAAAAAGGACCCCCAAAGACCGCCAAATAAGCGACGCAAAAGAAAGGGATCCAATTCGGGCGGTGCCAACAATTCAAACACCCCACCTGTGACAAATCAGAAGCGTTCGCCATCGGGTCCCAGTTTCTCGCTATCTTCGCAGGATGTGATGGTTGTGGGGGAACCGACACTGATGGGCGGTGAGTTCGGGGAGGAGGATGAGAGGCTTATCACACGCTTGGAGAACACCCAATACGATGGCACCAATGCCGTCGATCACGACAACCATACGGGATTCGGTCACGCCGATTCTCCCATATCCAGCTCGAATCCGTGGAGCATGGAGCGGGGCGGTGCTATTCCGGCTAGTCCTGGCAATCCGTCGGGACCACAGAATAATGCCAATATAGCTGATATAGATAAAAAGAGCCCCATTGTCTCGCAATAGAATCAAACGAATAGTCCGCAATTATGATTTAAACCCCTTTTCGATATGTGGTGAAATGTATTTTCATACTTGCATGTAAAAAATACTTTTAAATAAAAATTTCCAAACATTAGGAAATGTAATTAGCCTTATTCCTTTCAAATTTACTCTCTTCTGCCCTTTTCAGTGTTAATTTTGGATAAGACAACTCATCCCTCAAATCAAACGGTATCATGAAGTCGTTATCAATGATATCCATAAGAGAGCTAGAGACTTTGGAGACTGTGAATAGTTTTCGATAACTTGATATTCCTCGACTATTTACTGTTACAACTGTAATCACTAATCACACAGATGTGAAAAACTGTTCACACATAAAAACGGGTGTTGAGGAATTAGTAGTTGCCATTTTGTTATTTTTGTGGATTTGCACAATAAGATAGAATATTGAATGGGAAGAAACTCATGACATATTATTATATGAACTCAGTTTTTAGATTTTAATTTGGAATTTTTTGTACCTGTGAGCACACAGCATGAAACAATGAATTAATTTCTATTGCATGTAAATTTGTAATTCTTATTTCTTATGTTTTCGAATTAATTATTAATATTTAGGGCTGCTGTTAAATATATTATATATGAATTTTTAACAAATTTAATTTCTCTCGATCTCGATTAAGATCTCTCTCGCATCAATTTATGAAAGTCTAATTCAACAGTTCCCATTTTATATTTTGCTGTTCTAAAAATCCGCCTTCGAACCCTGTTTAAATTTGTACAATGCATGTCAAACTTTTAATGGTGGACCGAAATATCGAACAACTTCTAAGTGTATGAGCTGCAGCAAAATGATTTTAGAACCATTTGCCATTATGATGAACCATTTGCCATGATGAATTAACAGCGATGCAAAAACTTGAGGAGCATCTTCAAAAATATTCAAAACTCCAAATGTCACTGTGCATTTGTGTCGTATGCATCAAATTTTAGATGTATCGAAATTGTGAATCTGCGAAAACAAGTCGATAAATTGTTATCTTTTAAGTAGTCTGTCACTTTTGTCCGTCCCTAATTTTTGGTAGACAACAAGCTGCACTTTATTGATGCACAAAAAAATAGAGTAATAAATACATATATTAACAATTTAATTGATATTTAAACATTTATACCGTAATATAAGTGTAATTATCAAAGTGCATATACATTGCAATTAGAAGCCGACTAATACTTTCTGTGAAAAGTCATACTGCAGGTGAGAACTCGTGTTGCTATTTTTGTCGATATAATGTAATCATATTCAGCCATTCTTTACTTTTACTATGAATTGTTTACAATACTGTTTATATTATTATTTATTATATTATCTAGTTTATTAAAACACGAAACACAACATTCTCCTTGCTTTTATGAAGATGTTCTTGCATGTGTGCACGTGTATATGTATATGTATGTAAGTGTGCGTGTGTGTGATAGATACGATCGAGACGCTTTTAATATCGAATATCCTTGAAGAGAGTGCTTACATGGTATATGTATGCGTGTGTGTGTGTGTTTGTAGATGTGCATGCACGTAATGTCTTCTGATTAAAGAAAATTTATCGGAGTTGAATAACTACACTCAAATTTAATAAAGTGAATTTCTTATATAAACCACTTGTTTATAATAATACTACTCTAAATATACCTATATGCTACGAATGTTTTCTAGTATATTTCCACATTTCTAATCAAATTCACTTGATTGTAGACAATAATGCCGTCTGAATATTGGGATCGCCTGAGCGATGTCGAGATACAAGGGAAACTGATACAATTTGGATATCCACATTGTCCCGTCACGGAAACAACACGGGCCGTATTAATTAAAAAACTACAGAAGCACACAAGAAAGGAGGAGCTTAAAAAGGGAAAAATCCCAAACTATGTACTTCACTACAACGGTGACAAGCCAAATACAGATGCTATTCCAGCACCACACACAAATTCAATAGAAAGAAGACCGAATCTCCATGAAAATGGCCTGAGAAACAATAAGGTTGACATTGGCCGGACTCTTCAACCTTCAGTTTATCGCAAGAGCGATGCTGATGTAAGTCCATCACTTATGGCAGCATCTAGGATGTATGTACCACCACCGCTTTTAGCGTCCGACTATGAGAATGAGAATGATGCGCATAATTTGAATGCGGCTCGCAAAGCGTATCGCAAACCTTTGCCATATGCAGCCGATAATTCATCGTCGTATATCAAGTTGCAGCATGGCAAATCGAATGCCTGTGACGGAGGCGTCGTTAATCGATTACTCAGCTTCCGCGATACATCGATACAAAAGAAGTCAATCTCCAAAGATGGTTACACTGTACACGCATCCAGATCACTCATAATAAAGAATGGCATCGTACAAAAGATTCTGACATTTGATGTTAAATCGTTTTTCAAAAAACCCGATGTTAGCCAATACATAATACCGCACGTACTTATTGCCATACTTGTGATATTCCTGTCAATGATATCTGTTTTATATATGGCAAAGAAATTTGACCTAAGCCCCATTACCGAAACCGACATTAAATATACAATGTGTAATGGCAACGATGCCGATTTTAGGGGCTTTTCGTCATCGTCGCAGTCGCAACCGACAATTAAGTGTATTAATGAGGATCTGTACAATAAGGCGATCTACATCAGCAAAGAGCTATTTAAGTACTTAAACGAAAGAGCGAGACTCCATCACTGCATTAGCGCAGATCATTCCGCCGCGCTCGACATGAACGAGTTCAAAAAGGTTCTGCTCAGCGGCAACAGTAATTTGCAGCAGAATGGCAATCTGCATACGAAACTGCTGGCAACGCAATATCTGATTGCCCAGAATCCGCAGTGGATGATAAAAACGATAACTACAACCCACAATTCTTCGGAGCAAATCCTGTCGTTTGAGTTAATTGAACCAAGTCTTCCATTGAAGTGCATTATCCGTAAGAAAGTCACGAGATTTTTCACAGTTATTGGACTGTTCTTACTTGTTGCTGCCGGTTGCCTGTCGTTATATTTATTGATTGTCGGGTATCGCTTGAAACAAAAGGAATCGCTGCTGGCAATCGAGCAGTTTACAATGGATATCATTAATGAACTAGTCTACCGGAGCACACATACCGAGAACTCGGAAGTGTTAATAAATCAATTGCAAGAGAAGTTTTTGCCTGCGCACAATCGAAAGAAACTCTCGGGTTGTTGGAATAAGGCACTTAAGAACTTAGAGGCAAATGACAATATCCTATTTGGCATAGTTGCGCGAAATGGAGAACAACTGCGTACGATGACCTGGAATAAGAATACTGCCAATAATGAACCCAGTTCCACAACAACAGCAACAACAACAAAGAAAAAGTGGCAAAGCTCTGCTTTCGATAACTCCAACAAGATTCACAATCCGCCAGCATCTTGCTTGAAAATCAGGCATATGTTCGATCCATCAGAAATTAACGATCCCAATTTGAGGCAATTAATGATTGACTCAATATTGGAGAAAGTTGGCTCTCATTGCAAAATTTGCGACGTTCAACTGGATACACAGTCCTGCTGCGTCTATATCCGTTGTGCGAGTGAAGCAGACGCCGGAATTGTTCACAATGAAATTAATGGCTGGTGGTTCGATAAGCGGCTGATATCGATTAAGTTTCTGCGAATTGAGCGCTATTTGAATCGCTTTCCAAAATCATTGTCTGAATCATTATATTTAAAATCATCTAATGTGAACTAAATTTTTAATTGTTTGTATTGAATAAAATTCTTAATGTGATTTGTACAATTTGTATTTTATATTTGGGGATGTAATCGGTTTTTATATTTTTATTTATTATTGGGCAATTGACAATGACAAAATACAAACTTGTGCAGGATAAACACAAAAATGCGTCACTAAATATTTATAAATTAAATGCCTTGAAAGTTATTTGTATCTTAAAAATTAATTCTCAAAAATTGTTCGCGTTTCAACACCGTCGTTCCGTTTGCTTTCACCAATCATTACATATACGGTCACATCGATGTAATCGAATCGAATATCGATTTTCAGTGTTATTATTTTGAATCGTGCGCATGTGAAACAACGGAGTAATTTGCAATTACAAATGATTGTGCCAATGGGATAATTACGACGGACGATATATATATATATTTGAAAATCGACATCAGTTTCTACTGTCGCAAGTAGTCATATTAACGGACATCGAAATGGACTGTAATCACCGCATTGAAGTCCCCCAGCGCTCTGGCGGAGGCAAGAAAATGAAGAAACGGAAAGAACTCGATGCTCTGATAGCACATTCCATAACAAAAAGAGGTTCCCGCCGCACAAACAATTCACAGGATATGTTGCTATCAGTATCCACCGATGACCTTGATGATTTCGCTTGGGTAAATGGAAATACTTTGAGTACATTTCTACATCTGATAATCAATGTACACACACACACACATTCGCACATATGAGTGGCTGCCCCTGAATAAACAGCATGTGTTTGTGTGTGTGTGTGTATGTGTAAGTAATGTGTGTAATTGCTTTGTTTTGGTTTTTTTCTTCCCAGATGAGTGTTGCCAGTACGCGCAGAAATAATAGACAGAAATTAAATATTCGCAAGTGTGGCCCATTTGTATTCGGAATAACGACAGCTTTGTGTGTGGCCATTTTATATTGGCTCTACTTTGATCTGCGTCAACAGATTTCCGATTATCAACAAAAATTTGAAGAAGGTAAATACAAATACATACATGTATTATAAATGTTATCTGTATGCACGCGCATGCAACAAAAATATAATTTGCTGCTTGACTACGACGTGCGAATACCCCGTTTCCAAATGGGTCGATTAAAATCCATTTTTTGTTTAACTCGGGAACGAAAGTATTTGTTTTATGCATGTCATGCTGTCGGACGGTGAGACCGCAACTTTTCTGATTACTTTGATACACCTGATGCTATAGACTTGAAACCTATAATCTGTATTCCCCTATGCGTCCTTGACAGTGTTATAAATTTGGTAATCGATAAGAAAATAATATCACCAAACTTGGCGGATATATTGCTGGTGACGTCTTTCAAATATCGTCTGATCATTTCGCTTATCTAGCAGTCGATGTATTTCACTAATTTAAAGCTTGGCATTAAATTTTATGTAAAATCATGGTCCTTAATGCATTATTTAATTAACAAACACAATGTTTTCTAGTATCTGCCATAAATAAAATCTTCCCGGATACACTTCAACAATGGCATGAGACAACATCATTCCTGATCAAGAATCAAACATTTGTCATAAGCCAAATAAATGAATTAACGCAATGCGTCGAACAGCTTGGATCGAATTTGAGCAGTCTGCAAGCAACAGTTAATGCTCAACGAAATTATGGCCAAGATAAGAAATTGGTGGCCGACTTTGGCGCCAAACTGGAAGCGGTTATCGCTGACATCGAGGTGATGAAAGAGCACTACAACAACTACATCGAGGTACAGAAAAGTCTCGAGCTTGAAACGGAACACTTGAAGGTAAGTAACCCATATATAAATATTTCAAGTTGTATTTTATTATAGAACTTTATTTAATTCTTTAGGCTAATATGAGTCAACTGTCGACCGTTCAGGCGAATCCGTCCGAGACGAATTTCACAAGAGATGTTGACTTTCTCAATCAATCAATATCAAATTCTGTCAAAATATTAAACAGCAATATTATGAATGTAAACAGCACTCTCAGTCAGAAGATACAAATTCTGCAAGGGGAAATACTGGCACATAAGGTAAACAAATAAGTCCAACGATTGTATTGCTTCAAATACCATAATAATTAATGTATATTTGCAGATCAAGTTGGATGACTTACTGGATCGCTCGCAGAATATGATATCCCACGTCGCTACATTAAGCAATAATTTGCAACAATTTAAGCAAAAACTAACCATAGTGGATGAACAGCTAAATAAATTGAATCAAAAGGTGGTTTATCTTAACTTCATTTCATCTGGCTTACGTCTAATTAATATTATTCCTTTCCTTTTTAGAAGAGTGAACCCGGCAAAGATCAAATTGCTATAGGGGTGAGCCCACCGTGAAGATAACTTTGCCATTTGCACTGTTTGGTAATGATTGCGTCCTGCAAAAAGGAGATAGGAGATAAGCCCATAGCATTGGCTCGGCTTGATGTGCAATAGAACGTATACTGTTTTCAGTCCAATTACTATATATGTTGAATAAAAAAAAATCTAGTCGCTTGTATCTGTAAGCCTCACATTTAATACAAGACAACATATCATTTATCTGTTCAATCAGTGAGTATAGAAACGTTGAAATCCACAAACTGAATTTACTTTTAATTCAGGGCTATAAGATTAGTTCTTGCCAGTACCATTCTAATATTTATATATTTAGTATCACAAGCAAGTTACCAAATTTCTTAAATAAAGTAGCTTTAAAAATGAGAAACTAGCTGCCGTTGACACCTTTTTGATTTGTCTTTCGATGCTGACCATTAATTATATACCCTTAAGGGCAAAACCACATTTGAATTTTATATTTGTTTGTTTAATGTATGGTTAGTTATAAGAATAAATTGATACTGTATGATGTTATTTACGCAGAGTCACAATATAACATAATGCTTATTAATAGTATTTGCATATATTGTATATTGGAACGTTTACGTCAGTGTTTCTCCTTGGGTCACACAAGCTTCCAAGTAGTCTATTCGCCGCTCCAATATCGTAAGTTTCTCATTGAGTACAGCCAGGCGAGATCGGCAAGACATATCTGAAAAACAAATCGAGTATTATTTATATATATTTGCATAGCGTCTGCAAGAAATAAACTGCGTCGCACTGTTGATAAATTGTACACACAAACAATTTAACTGGCAATTAATTAAAAATACTCTCATCTGACAATTGATAATTCCTATTTTATCTGTATGTATGATATGATAATGATTAAGACCGGTCATTTGGAACAAGGGCGTCATCGTTAGATGACTGATAGATGAACATGCGTAGAAAGCTCACTTACCAAAAGAATTTAGAAAGTCTGTGATTCTTTTGATGCTTGCTGTTATAACTTCAATATACTCGCGATTTGCCCAATCCTGATGAATTTGCTTCTGAACTGCTTCTCGATGAGCTCCGCTCATTTTTAATATTTTTGTTTATATATATTTTGCAATTTATATTTATATACATATAGAAATACAGTGTGACCGTTTTTAGAATTGTAAGACTACGAACATTTGGTGCACATTTGAAACAGTAGAATAGAACACAGCGTTTTCTTTTCCGTTTCATTGCAAGGCCCATCACACCATATATCAGAACAATAGAATTGGAAGAAATGGTTTCTAAAAAATTTATGAGAGGATGTCAAAGTCACATGCAAAATTAAACTCAATCTTATGAAAACTACGCCTTAAAATTTAATCATGATTTATTGGCCCCAGTTTTTGGATAGAACAACGGACAATTAATTACTGTTTTCAATTCAAATAAGGAATAATAAAGCAATCAATCTTGAATTCATAATGGATGAATTTAAGAAATTGAATGACGAATGGCTTAAAGTTTTTACAAAATATTCACGACACTTTAAGCAAATGTGCTTGAAAACCTTCTTTGTTAGCATTAATACTTTGTTGGTGTTCCCTATGCAACTCCAACAGTTCAAATTTTTTGTTTCTCCCGTCCAAATAGTGCACCAGCCCCCAACGAACCAATAAATGAATCAAATGACTGAGTCGAACAAAAAGATTTAATGATTTTTCGATAAAATTATTCAAAAGTTCTACAAATTTCATAAAAATGTCTTCATAACAGTTAATTTGTTGATAAAGTTATTATTTCAAATGTGGATTATTCTTATAGCGCGCAAATATTTCACTTTTGAAGACTTCAAATTTTTTTCTATTTGCATTATTTTGTTGTTCTCTCCAAGCCGGCCTCGCTTGCTTTCTTTGTAGGCCCCAGTGGCATGTGAATACCGGTGAAAGAACGTAGAACTTGTATCCAGCCACATACATTTCATATACCTGCAAAACACAAATAAGATCAGTGCTCTCGTAAAAACCAACTATGAGACACTAATTACTTGAGAATTTCTCGTAAATCCATATCCAGTAAATCTTTCGTCATGCGCGGGAGCGCTATCTATTGCTATATAAAATGGTTCATATAAGAACTCAAAATTTGTGACGGTGTGGCTTATTCTGACTGCAGTCTCACTACGATTCGTTGATAACCACCTGAAGTTTATATAAATATATATAAGGAAATAAAAGAAGTATTGTATTTATTTTGAATAAATTTTAAATGCATTTGTAGGGCTTACTTTGAAAAGTTTGTCGCATATTGGTTGTAAATGAATACTTTTTCATGAAACGGTCTGGCCAGTCCCTTTTTAATTAGTCCCCGCAGAAGGTCCTTGGAACGTGGAAAGGCTGCACGAACATCGATTTCAAATGTGGGAATCACATAGGCGCAATATCCTTCGCAAATCACAGTTTTAAAGAAGTTATTGAGCTCAACAACACTGTTGAGACTAGGTATTATGTCGATGTCAGTTAAAAACACATATTTCGTTTGACATCCTTTTCGCGCTATATTCCGCATATGATTCTGAGGATATATATTCTTTTTACGCCACTCCAATGTTTTAATTGTGCGCAATTTCAAAAGCGACTTTAATGTTTTATCAGGATTTTGGCAATTGAATTTTGCCTTTATATTCAACGATTCCGTTACGATTCTTGGCAGTTTGTCATATTCCTCGGGAACTAAGATATGAAAAGTCGCATTTGCCTTAATATTCGGAAAGCAGAGACGCAAATATGTGACAAAATATCGCAATATAATATATTCCTCGTTTCCCGCGGAGAATAGTGTCACTGAAATCGGCGCTCGCCAATTCGCAGCAACCTGGGGAAAGGAATATAAACGCTCCACAGAACTTTGCGTTGCCAGGCAGATCAGGCTAATCTTGGACGATTCCGAATACTGATCTCCAACTACGGCGAAATCCTTTATCTTATACTTGTGTTGATTATCCCAGCGTCCATAGCTGAAGTCTAAGTTCTCAAATGTTAATTTTGAATTATTGCTTTGGGGTAAAAAATGGTCAAAGATCGGCGTCTGCAGTTGAGTCTGCTTCTGTTGATATGCTGTATTCTCATCATGGGGACAGTTCACAGTGCCAGCAGATTTTACTTTGGTCTGAATACTCTGCTGTGTTGTGCTTGCATTCCCATAATAACCGGAAGAAGGCGGATAAACTCGGACTAGCCACAGTATGTTAACCAATAGTAATACAAGAAAAAATTTGATTGATCTGCCTTGTGGGGCTCGAAACTGAAAAATGAGATTAAAAGTTAATTGGAAATATTCATTTAAAGTTTTGTTTAGTTTTTGGTAAATTTCAGTTAATTCCCTTCTCATTTATCACACATTTTGAATTTTATAAAGATTTTTATATGTACACAAATATATAATATAAATGCATTTAAATATGTACCGACTCACAAAAATATACAAATAATTTTTCTTCACATGTATTTCATGATTAATGGTGAAAAATAGGACTATAATTTTATTAAGATTTGCACAAATGCACAAACAACGTATCTAATGGTAATTGTACAAAAAGTGTTCACTTACCATACTTAAACACACTTTGAAATGTGAAAAGTGCAACAAATACCACAAATACACATTTGTGTGTATTTATATGGAAGTCCTTTCAAAGGACACTTTGTGTGTGACCGTATTTCATTAACTACAAAATATCTAAGAGCTGCTGACAAATATATATATAGCACAGAAAATGATTAGGATATCTTAGATAAAGTTATTGGATCAGGCAGAAGCTGTATATTATTTCCTAGTAATAAATAATAAAATAAAGTCATAAAAAGTTGATAAAAATCTGTTTGATTGCTCAAGAGTATATGTATGTATATATACACTCAAAATGACATGATGAACTTTAGTGTTACATAATTTATTAAGAGGTTGCCAAATCGTTCATAAGATATTAATCAGTCTTTTATCTCTTCCAAGTTTCGTCATTTGAGAAGGTTAACTGACAAACTTGACGCTCGTTTAATTCAGTGTTCTGATTCCATATCTCAAAATTGATAAAAGGAACGATAGTTTCTGCACCCAAATAAGGTAATTTAATCGATGACATTTATTTATCTGAACCTGTTGTTATTTGCATTAGTTTTCCGTGCTTATTTGCAGCTTTGTCGCGGAGTGTATTGCTTTAATTATATATACTGTATTGGTTTAAAATAAGAACACTTAAATAGAATGTTTAACGGAATCGTAGATGTTTGTTGGATTCCGTTTGCTGGTTTTATATCATTCTTAATTATATTATCGGCAATCAACAAATCTGTTGGTGTTCGAAAGGCATACGTAAATATTCTCTTGCGAATATTTGAGGTAAACACAAAGCTTTAATGCATTCCTTTCAATTCATATTGGTATAAATGTTCATATTTAAATCTATAAAGCCAAATACAATAATAACTTATACTCTTAAACTTCCTAGCGATGGAATTGGATGAATTAGAAAGTTCATAAATATAGCTAGTTCCAATCAAAATATTAACTTAGTCGAATATTGAAGACATTGTACATATTATTGGCTTTTAAGTCAGGAGAACTTTCTAGATACTTTTAACTGAATTTGATTGTAAATGTTTCATATTATGATTCTTGAAAAAAGCAGCCAACGGTATTTATATATATACATGTGTGTGTGTGTGTATGTGTACGTATATATTGTATATGTATGTATTTTCGAGCCGGGTAGACCGGTACCAAAGTCCTTTTGTTAGAATGGTGAGTACAAGGATGTGTACAAAATCTATTAAACTTATGGTCTGGCTACTTTTATTATTTGAGTGGTGCATAAAATCCAGGAATAGTGCTATAATTGCATGCTGGTTAAAGCTTAAAACTGTGACGTTTTGTAGCTCTCAACCTTGGAACCTCATCGTGACTTATGGCCGATTACTCAATAGCTAGATTTATTGACGGCAGAATCGTCAATGCTTATCAGAGACGTAACAAATTTTATTGTTGAACTTGAACCTTTTTTTTTTATCGGAAAACAAGTGATTACATAGTAGATGTTATCCGTCTTTGTGCTTGTTTTATAGGTATGTGTTTCCAACTGCAACTAACATTTATTAATTATTTTATTTTAAGTATGGTCGAGCTAGCATAGAATCGGCTTCAAAGGAAAATACACAGAGTGTCCGAGAAAATGTCACTTCTGATCAGAATGCTAGTGTGCAACCTGTGAAGGACGTAGACGCAAATGAATCAACTAATGGCGCAACGCTTATAACGCGAGATGCCGTACTTCTTCCGCAGGCACAAGAATCAGGCAATGATAAGCCTCAAACATTAAAAAAGGTAATTAAATAAAATTATAAGTATTTAGTTATTGAATAAACACAATTTTAAGTGCTTATATATAATTGTTATGATTTTTCTTTCAGGAGGAATTCAATTTTGATTTTGAAAACTGCTTAGACTACGTGAAATCTGGCGTAGAAGCAATTATCGAAGACGATGTTACCTCCCGATTTGAGGCCGAAGAGCTAAAGAGCTGGAACATGCTGACACGAACGAATCGACATTATGAATTCATATCGTGGAAAATAACACTTATCTGGATGTTTGGGTTTGCAGTGCGCTATTCCATTCTAATGCCACTGCGCGTCCTCGTCTGCTTTATTGGAGTACGTACATATATAGCGTAAACAGTATCCATGATCAAACAACTCATATCCTCACTGGTATTTAATAAGTTTTAAGTATAATTCCAATTGGATAATCAACTATAATGGAATATGTCTTAAAAATGATCGATAATTATCGTTTTCTGATAGCTCACAGCTTATAAGAACTACACGCACCAGATAAAATATGCACGCTAATTCCCATTCCCATCGATATCTCACCTCCGATCTGCACAAAATGGGGTTAAATTCATTATTATCCTTGTCCATACCTCCATCCGTCCGTGTGTTGAATCTAAATGTAGATTTGTGAATACCATAAGTAAATCGATATATATCGATTGCATAACCCGGTTTTTGAGCATGTCTTTGTGGTTTAAAGAACTAGAGACACTGATTTAAATATGAATGTGATTGTTTAGTAAACACAAATAATGAAAATTTCACTTTTTTGAATACCTCACCACGATCAGTCTGAAATAATTAAAAGTTCATATGTAGAGATAAGATAAGATATCATTTAAGTACATACAAATGACTTTATGGCTGGGTTAAGGGTATTTTCTAGTCCGAGCACCATCGGCCAGATTAGCTATATTTGTCAGTCGGGGTTTTTAAATTAAGCCCATAAAACAGCACGGGACTCTCGCTAAGAAATTCATGGTTACTTTTCATTGCATGAGATGTTACCATCTATATGTCCTGTGGTTAGTCGTACAATACGCATAGACAACATTAAATCCAAATATCGAACATTTGTCAGCCCCTTGGAATCAAGTAAAATCGATTCATATTCGAATCATCTCATAATTTCTCTTACGATTTAAAAAAAAAATCATTTAGAGATCGTCATTTGAAAAGTGTTTGGGAATTGAATTTGTCGATCATCATCGACAAGAGCATTCAAATGTGTTTCTTCATGCATTCATAATTCTCTAATCAATATTTCAATTTGATTTTTAGGTTTTATTTACAGTTATTTCAAACACATTTGTGGCTTTAATACCCATTCGATTTTTGCGGACCTACTTAGCGGGCTTGTGCTTCAAGATTACCTTCCGTCTTATATCAAATTCCCTGTCAGCACTAATAGTCTTTCACAATAAGCAATATAAGCCCAGCACTTCTGGGTTCTGTGTAGCTAACCATACGACCCCACTCGACGTGGCTATTTTATCAACAGACTGTACATTTTCTTTGGTGAGAAAGATGATTTTTATTTAACTTGTAAAACAGAATTAATTGTTGAATTGTATGTTAAGCATACGGTTCGCAATTCTTACTGATTGTCCCACTTTATATCAATGTGCCATATATATAATGTTTATAAATCGCTTCAAATTTGATCGCATTATTTATAAAATTGATTCAAATTGAAAACAATTCGTTCGATTCATGCAACAAGCTTAAATCAAGCTTAATATTTATTAAACGCAGCTAAATTCAATTAACAATTACAAATAAATAATTTTCAAAGAGGTGTTTTAAAAACGTTTATACATTTTTTGTTAATTTTTATATATGTGTTTATTTAGGTGAATGTGTGTGCGTGTGTGTCTTTGGGAGTGTGTTACGCTTTTAGCTTTTGTTATTGTCCTCGCTGCTGGCTTGTTCGATTTAGTAACTTTGAATAATGTTTGAACATTTTTTTGTCTCTGTTCTTAGTCAGCGAGAATGGTAAGCAGGTAAGAAATTCTCTTGAAACTGTATTTACTTGAATTGTAGTGCCCAGTAATGTTTTATTTGTTATGAAAATAAACGAATGATGAAAGATGAGTAATGAACGGTCCTTGACTTGTTAGTCAGCCAGAAAGCTGCAACAATGCGTACGATATTCGATCTTGAGATCGTTTTCATATTGGCCTAAAGCGATTCTGATATTTGCCAATAATTTCAAAATGATCAGATGCTGTTCGCAACAAAACTCGTTTGAATACACGAACCGATCAGCCGACTCAAACAAAGTTTACTCAGTTGAGTTTATTCAATGATGACATTTGTTGAATTACTGCATGTGAGTAAACAATTTAGTGCTGAATAAAATCAAGAAAATAGTGATTTTTGGCATGTTACGAAAAGAGATTGAGACATTTGTCCTCTGTCTTTCGTAGTTTGTTTGCACCGCTCAAAACCAGTTCATATATTTCTGCTATGATCGTGTTGATCGTTATTTTCCATTTTGTTCGACCATTGATCCTGATCGAAGCAGCTCTCTGGTGTGCACGTAATTGGTCCAAGTCCTTACTTTTTCAGATGTTATGCTTGGTATGTTAAGATCTTCATGTTGAATGATCTCTGTATGGTTTTTGCTTGCGTTGACCCATAAGACTGCGTCCCATGTCCTGATTATGATTAACACAGTTTTGTAAAGAGATTTGTGTATATTTGCCAATTTAGTGGAATCGATGGGAGGTATTCAAAAGTATATATTTAAGATCTGTGTGTGCTATTCAAACTCTACTCGAAACTTCAAGAAATGTTGTAAAAATCAAATCGAAAATGATGTTTTTTTTCCCAAATCCTTTAAGATACAAAATTTGAAGTTATTAATGGTGTGCAATAAGTTAAGCTATTGAATATAATATGATTATTATACTATTTAAATTAAAGAGCAGTGACAAACAATTCTCTCACAACAATCAACAATATCAATTCTCCTACAACATTTTTTTTTGTGCCTTCTTGTTCCATGCAATCTTCTCAGGTAGTGTGGTTAACGGTATGCACAGCTGCTGTGGGAAATCTAAAGGATGGAAATAAAAAGCGTGCAATTGTGAATAATGTTCTTGGGCAATGTTTCGGTGTCTTGTCCAGCGCCATTTCCGCTGTTATTACTTACCATAATGAGGATAATCGACCGTCATCAGGTATTTGTGTGGCTAACCATACAAGCCCTATCGACGTACTTGTTCTGATGTGTGACACGAACTATTCTCTGGTAAGACAATTTCATATTAAGAATTTCGTTGGACCAAACACTCTTGGTTTCATCTTTGTTTATCCTTTTTATTGTGTTGGGCTTAAAACTCTTTAATTAACTACTTTTAACCCAATCAAAGTTATGCTGTATATAATTTTTCCGATCAATTCTATTATTTGTTTTCAATATTATTGTATATTAATATTTCACAGTTGAAGTGATCTGTAGTGAAATAAGAAAATATCTGAATATCATACATTTTAGATACAGAATTATTATATCGAAAAAAACACACCGATTATTCAAAAAAGTTGTAAATATATAAAGCCTAGTATCTTCGAGAAGCTAGTAGAAGTAATTGATTTGATTGTTATCACGGATCAAAAATATTTATATTTTTTTATTGCTTCCATCCTCTTCCTATATAATTGGAAAACACGTATTTTTTTGTAGATATGATCTTGCAATTTGAATGACATCCTTATGCTCCACAAAGTTGGTATTTAATAATTACATTTGTGTGTGTGTGTGTGTGTGTGGGTGTGTGGGATCTTGTGTGTTTGTATAGCGTACAAGGTATCTCATAGTCGGCCAATGTCGACTGACGCATTTCTATACCCTTGAAGAATTTTGCTTTCACGTTTATAATGCATTGAAGGAGACGTCTCCGACCCCATTAATAATAAATATATTCTTGAGCAGCAACAACAGCCAAGTCGATATATGCATGTTCCTCTGTCCTTCAGTCCGTCTGTTCAATTGGTTTATATGCGGGCAAACAGCTCCAAATCCATTTAATCTTGACTAATATAATTAACTCCTGTCTGCAAGGGTATATAATCTTCGGCGTGCCGAGTATAGCCGTTCTTTCTTGTTCTTTGTTATTTTTCAGTTTACTTTTGTTAAAAAAAAAATTGTTTATTGTTTATAATTGGTTGATTGGCTATTTGTATCGCTTTCTGTATACCCTGTACTCATTTAAAAATGCTATAAAAGTGTATATTGAAGTTGTGCAAATGTCTGACCCCGTAAAGATTATGAGTTGTTTCTAATTATATTCTGAATTAAGAACTGCTGGTACGTACCTGTTTAAGTCAAAAGTTTGTTTAATAATAATAATATCAGTTCCGGTTGCTGGTTCCTAAGAAATGTTGAATTTCGCTGGTCGGTTTGATCCTGACAGACATTGCACAAAACCAATATGCTGTCCCAAATGCCCTTTGAAAAGTGACTTAACATTTGTTAGCTTGTGTAATCTTTACAAAAATTGTTTTGGTATTTATTTTTTGTTGGCTTTGGTTTGCTTTTGTCCAATCCTTACCTAGCTTAACGCTGAATATATAATTCATAGATTGGTCAACGACATGGCGGTTTCCTTGGCGTACTGCAAAGAGCCTTGGCGAGGGCATCTCCCCATATTTGGTTTGAGAGAGGCGAAGCTAAAGATCGCTTAATTGTTGCCGAAAGATTGAAACAGCATGTGTCCGACCCAAATAATCCACCAATTCTAATCTTTCCGGAAGGAACCTGCATAAATAACACATCTGTTATGCAATTCAAAAAAGGCAGCTTTGAAGTTGGCGGCGTTATATATCCTGTTGCTATTAAGTAAGTTCTGAATGTATGCCTGATAATACTTGAAGCTAAAATTGAATCTTTTCGTTTCATTTCAGGTACGATCCCAGATTTGGTGACGCTTTCTGGAACAGTTCCAAGTACTCAATGATGCAATACCTTTACATGATGATGACCTCGTGGGCCATTGTCTGCGATGTTTGGTATCTCCCGCCCATGTATCGCCAAGATGGAGAGTCGGCGATAGACTTTGCTAACCGTGTCAAGGGTGTGATAGCGAAACAGGGTGGATTAGTAGATCTGGTGTGGGATGGACAGCTCAAGCGAATGAAGCCCAAAAAGGAATGGAAGGAGATACAACAAGTTGAATTTGCAAATCGATTAAAATCGGATTAACACTGAGCCTATACATTTTATTTTATTTAAACCAAAAACTGAGAATTGTTTAAATATATGAGACTTCTTTACTAAAAGTTTATCCTACTCTCTATTGTACCTGAATTTTATTGGTTCCTTAGTTTTATACCCATTAAAATTGGTTAAAATGTGCATAATTATGTGTGTAACAGACAGAAGGAAACATATATATATTATATACTGTCGATTTAGATGTCTTTATATAATTATCCGACTTATATATATATATATATCAGGTTACCTTCCAGTCGAACTCTCCCATCTAGAGTGAGCTGACGTGTGAAATTTAGAAATTATTGATAATTCGCTTTACCAGAGCAATTTTCCAAAAAAAAGGATGACATAAGCGAAATGGAAATAACTTCCCCAAAAAGTCAACAGCAGGATCATAATGCTCGCATAAATATAAATACATCTAAATTGTTGCCATAGTTACGAGTGCTTAGCAACTAACCTTATTGACATGGCAACTATAATTGACCTTAAGCTCCATAAAAAATATTGAAATACTATATTTGAAATTATCCAAGAATGTGCACAATAATCAAGAATCAAGATGTGGCTAAGAAATTTGTTTTTTGCCTTTGTTTTCTACATCAATTACAACTTTCTGTACATGTGTGTTAATAGCGTGGATGCACCGTTTATTCATATACCCGGAAATGGAATCGTCTCCGGGACGTATTTAAAAATGTATCGAACTCAAAATATTAAAGCGTATCTTGGAATTCGATATGCACACGCCGCAAGATTCTCGCCACCCGACATTGAATTGCCGCCATGGAAGGGCATTTTTAATGCAACAAAATTTGCAGCTAACTGTTGGCAACAAGGTCCTTCGTCCAGCAACGTACAGTTGGATAAAGTATTAGAAATCATTTCAGGTGGAATGTTTAACAAATCGGCAATGCGAAAATATGAGGAGAATTGCTTACATCTAAATGTATTTGTACCTGACGGTCCGTTTAAGATATATTACAAATTTACACTAATAAAGTTAATAACGTCTGATAATTAATTGGTTTTTTCGTTATTTTCTGATTTTAGGGCTTCCCGAAGTTGATGGATATGCCGTAATTGTCTGGATCCACTCTGGAAATTTCTCGACAGGCAGCCCATTTGATATTGATCCATTTCAATTGGTTTTCAAACAGAAAGTTATTGTGGTTACATTCTCATATCGCTTAAACATTTTTGGATTCTTTTCAACGGATGACGGTGAAGCTCAGGGTAATTATGGATTAATGGATCAGTCGGCCGCACTCTACTGGGTGAAGAAAAATATCAACTATTTTGGAGGTGACGAGAATCGAATTACATTAATGGGCCACGATGCTGGAGCTGTTAGTGCCGCTCTACATATGACCTCTGGGGAATGGTCGAAAGGCGCCTTTCACAAGGCAATTCTGATGTCTGGCAATCCTTTAACTCCTATTCGATTGCCACAGGAATTCAACAACGATTTGGATAGAATAGCAAGTGTTTTTGGATGTGCTCGAAGACCGACGTCATTGCTCATGCAATGTCTGAAGAGAATTGACGCACGAGTATTGGCTGAGAATCTACCAGCGTCAATTGAATGGGGTCCCATTGTAGATTTTGGATTGAGTAATACCTCTTATCCATTTATTGAAAGCCAGCCCGAAATGTTATTTAAGAGTGGAAATTATCACAAAGTTCCAATCATTATTGGCATCACTGACATGGAGGAAGTTCTGACAATATTTAATGATTACCTATCATTAGAATTGAGTGCAGATGATCTTAAGAATTTCTTCGCTGACATCGCTGTAAATGATATTCATAAAATTAGTGGTAACAATGAATGGTGTACAAATTTCCCCATCATTTCTGATGCCATTGATTTTATGTATACCGATAAGGGTAGTGAAGAAAATGGGAATATTAATACAAATTTAATCAATGCACATACGGAAAAATCATATATAATGCCATTGGAAATGTTTATAGATCTACTTAGCAAGCACCAGAGTATTTATAGCTATATATTTAGGTATCGATCGCAATCTCTAAGCGGTGATTTACCCAATTGGATTGGAGTACCCAAATATTTTGATCAGATATTTGTTTGGGGCATACCATATGTAAATAATATTGTCGAATGGAAGTCGACGGATAAAAAAATGGCAGATATTGTTATGACCTTATGGGCAAATTTTGCTAAAACATCGAATCCTACTAAGGCAAACGTGTATGTTAAATGGAGTGCTATTACGCCACCCAAATATCCATATTTATCGATTGATGAAAATTTCAATACCGATTATCTTTCCAACAATCAAAAAGTGAAATTTTGGAAAAACTTGTATCCAAAAATTCTACACTTTGCTACAGAATGCTGCAATTCTACGAATTCAGCAACAAAATATTTAATGACATATACAATTTATTTTACTCTCCATATATATATATTCTAATGTAATCCCAATGATCTTCCCTATATGCGTAGTTACAAGTTAGAGTTAAATTTACAAACTATGGGAATTAACAAAATGAAGGTTTTATAATACTTAACCGAAAATATATGAAATGCAAACATTTAAAATGTTTTATTTGGCTTTTACAAGGGACGGTTGAATTTATTTTATTTTGTTTTTATGGACTCAAAGAACAAACATCACCCAAATGTACAAATTTAAAGCATATCTTTGGGGTGCATAATAAAGTCCAAGTCTGTGGATGTTGACAATTTTTTCGTTGGAACCACAAGAATTTACACTGTCGAACTGCATTTAAGGATTATGGGTTAAGCTAAGAACCTAACCACTTCCAAATATTTATTATATTTTTTTTTTGTGGGAGTTGCATCCATTTTATTGAGTTATTCAAATTGGCAGGCCAAGGTTTATATGCGGCGCAGCGGACTTCCCTTTAAATTGCGAAATAGCTCTAGTTTTTCAAGGGGCTTGGGGCGTTAGAATCACAAGACATATTTATTTGGTTACGAAACAGCAGCCCCTTCCCCACTATTTCCCACTATTTAATCCACAGTCAATATAACATATTGTTTTGTTTTTTACAGTACACATTAAGAGTTTATTTTAACTTTAAGCTTATTCTAGTTATATTCTAGTATTTAAATCTTTTAGCTTATGCTTGAACTTAAAGCCAAGGATGCCAAGCCGGATCCATGCGACACAGATTGTCCACATTAGTTGCGGATTGAATAAGAGCCGAAACCTTTTTCTTTTCAATGTTGTCGAAATAGGAGATCTTATTCAATCGCAATAATATAATATCCACAGCCGAATTTACAGCTCGAATTGTGTTTTCCATTGAGTTGCTATCAATACAAGGATCATCCGATGCATCCAGCAGTTTACTTCGTATTCCTTTCTTTTGCAGGGTTATGATTTCATCTCGAAGAATCGTTTGTAATATAGAACTAAGTTTGTAATTTGGCTGAATGAAACAGCGGGCTGTGGCCACAATTGCCGCCGATAATAGCCCGGATATTCCAATGTTTGTTATGAATTCACCAATATTTGGGGTAAGTCGGAATGGTACCGGACGATGTTGATTGAACTGCTCCTTATCATCGTTTATATCAAATTTAAAGTATGAAATATTCATGAGTCCAGAGTCCTGATGAAGATACATCATATCGGGATTGAGGCGCGTCAAATTTAGAGCATGCTCACAAAGATATGAAAGCGCCAACTGAAGTGTTAACTGCAAAAGAAAAATATATTAATTTTAAAGAGAGCTCATTGGAGGATTTTAAACATTTTCGATTCCCTAAAGTATGTACATATATTCTATATGTACGAAGACTATATTAATTTTTTACAGAGTGAAATGATTATTCTTACCATTTTTCTAAACTGCCAATAGTCCGTGGCTGCGGCAAATGTGTTTAGAGCCCATTGACGTAGCAGTGTTTTTGAGACCATCGTCCATTGAACTTCAGTGAAAATCTCTCTTAAAATTGTGTGTGAAATCGGTGTACCCTGCGCTTGAACTTCCGAGAGGCGTTCGTAATACCTGACGATCGGCATGTCATAGTCAATTTTGACATTATTACAGCACTTTTTGAATATCTTGAGCAAGGAGACACTGTTGGGGTTATCTTCGGCCAGGCGCATTTGTGGTGAGATCGGAACCACTCGCGGCACAGTTATGTTCAAAAATCGACGACTGGTTTCCTTTTGCTTCTCCAAATAATAGTTAAGCATTCGCTTCAGCTGTAATACTCTTTCCTCACGGCGAGCATCTCCAAGTCCAGAATCGAGAACCACCAGGTAAGGGTATATTTTTCCATTTGTACCTCTTATGTATAGCCTTCGAGCGGCAGTATTATTTTTCTGCACAATTTCGACTCGTGGCATAAATCGCGCAATTCGCACATAATAATGAGATGAGGATGGAATCAACAATTCTCCCGGAAGTTCGACCTCTGCGGTCTTTTGACTAAAATTGGAGAGGAACCTGCATTTGTCTTCGATTAGGAAGGATGTCGGTAATTTTTTAACCTTCGCTTCCAACACTTTGATCCACGTCTTTAATTTTGATATTAGATTGTGTAATTTCATAGCCCCGGGCTTTGAAAAATCGAAATCATTTGTGAATTGTTCTTTCATCTTTTGGAAAACGGGATCTTGGAAGGTAACTTGAGCGCGGCGTGCCAGAGACTCGGATGCAGCCGAGTGAGATATTGATGAAGTGACAGATCCGGGCACATTTTCAATTCCAATGCCAAAGGTTGATCCCAGTTTCTTGACAAAGTGTAATGTATGTGGTGTTATCGTTGCATTAACCACAGTGCTTCGATTCTCAAATGCGATGGCGTAGCATTTAATCAAGCCTTGACGCAGCTGACGTAGAACTTCTTCTGTCCAACTCTCCCTAAACCAAACCATTTGATCCACAATTCCTTCGAGTGAGCTTAAGATCGTCGGATGAACTTCACGCTGCAGTTGCATTACTTTTGAACACCTCCACATAGGTGGTGTGGCTTTGATTGGATTAACGGAGGCAACCGTCACTTGATTTCTGCCACAAATTGAAGACATATTTTCCAAATTCTATAAATACAAATTGATTAATTAAATGAATTGTACAATAATATTGGCGTAGAAGTGATACTTACGGTTGATGTTAGTTTACCAGCAAATACTGCCTGTTCAGCCGATTTGTGTTTCTCCCGCTGTTCAATCTTTAAAGTAAGATATAAGGTACGAATCGGAAAGTATACCGCTTGAGGATAAAGTCGTCCAATCTGAAAATGAAAAAGAATTAAGTTTACTTGATAATGTCATCTTTACTAGATTAACATTATGACTTACCTGACTCAATAGATTTAATATAACATCGCCGTCAAATTGCTCCAGGCAACACAGAAGTTGCGGTATCCATGGCAACCAATAAGGCGGAGGAATCCCCGAGACATATTTTTCAAATGTGCTTATTAAAGTGTCGCTTGAATTATCATATGATAAGAACCACAACACTTTCGCAATGTATTTCCTGGTTTTACTTTCATTTTGATTGCGACACGCATGCAGATAACAGATTAATGCATTAACGCCAATTGATATTTGCTTTTCCCTCAAATATATCTGTTCCATATATTCGCCCCACATTGCCCAGGCTTTTGTGAGTCCATCGTGAAGTTGAACTGCGGCACTAAACGATTTGCCTGCCTCATCTGTGCGTCCAATTTGTGCCAACAGAAGGCCCTTCAACGCATAAAACTCCGCATTCATTTCGGGTGTGAAATATTTCAAATTTGTTGACTCAATTACTTCGAGAGCCTCGTTGATTTCGTTGCGTCCCGATGTTGAGGGCATTTGTAAGTAGCATTTTACTTGCTGGCGTATTTTCTGTGGACGATATAAAATTTTGAAAAGGATCAAAATATATAAATAAAAATAATTATAATAATATTGCCATTACCTGAAAACAATCCACAATTGGAACGGATGGTATGGTATATATTCTGGATAATGTTTCCTGGCATACGCCGGTCAGGTTATGTTTTCTAGCAATTCTGCCAAATGATATAATTGCCTGCGCTGAAGCATGAACTCCCAGCATAGTGCTTCCCTGATCCGATTGTTGTTCCAAGTGCTGGGTGATTATTTGATAGTGATGCTGCCGCCACGTAAATATATCACTCCAATGTGATAAATCGTCAGAGATGACGGGTAAACGATTACGCCAGGTCTTTACAATGGCTTTCATGTCATGCAAGGATGAATTTCTCGATTGCGTTAGGCCCTGATGAATTTGACTTGCCTCGTGCAGCTCCATAATTTGCTGCGAAGCCTGAAGATATGGCAGATGAATGTGTGAAACGATTTTGGGAAGGCGACGCCACTCCCTAATACATAAGCTGGAAGCGATTTCAACATAACGCTCGACACTGGACGCTTGTTTATCCTCTTGATACAGTATCGATAAGTATCCCTTATACAGATTCAATTTAAATCCATATTGCTTTGAATAACACTGCTCCGTTTTGGACAATGCGTTCTTCATTAGACTCCAGTCAGGTACTCGCCACGAACTTTCCAGGATGAGGAACATATTTTTCTCTCGATTTGTTTGCGCATAATCCAATAAAATATCCCATTGATTTAGTTCCTTGGCGCAGCGCATCCAATGCTTCTCCCACAACAATAGTTCGCTATTAACATCAATATTAATTAGACCACTGTTTAAATCCTGCTTGAATTTCGTCATAGCCAGATCATAGGCGCCTTGTGCTTCCTCAAAGAATCCCATCTGTTCATAGGATATGGCAATGTTTGTTTCGGGATAGTGTCCGAACTTTAGCCAAAGACCCGCCCACAGATCTTCTTCGTGCATGGCAGAGTACATTTTCGAGAGCGAGTCATAGATGTTATTCAAATACTGTTGATCGGACTCTGGCTGACTAACTTCCGCCACATCATTTCTGGCCGAGTGGGCCAAGGCCAAATCCTCTAACACTAAAATGGCACGATGCCAAAGGTTATGCGATTTACCCAAATATGTCAGCAGGTTCGGTGGAATATAAATCGAGGGTGTACATTTAGTTAGGCCCTCGACAAATGTATTTAGCGTGCTCGGACTACAATCTTTCTGATTAACGTTTGTGCCCGATGAAAGGAAGGGTATCAATTCCTTTGATATATTCATTCGTTGATCTTCCGTAAATATATTCCATATACTGGGGAAAATTGATAGCCAAACGCTTTCGGCCAATTGTGTATCCATGTGGCATAGCTGTGATGTGGCGACAAGCATTTGATCTGTTCTTATATTTCGATTTGCTTCGAGGAATTCGGCCTGCTTGTAAATTAGTTCCACTAAAGTTTCGCGTCTTGTCGGAAGTATTTGGTGGCAGTCTTCTTTGCGAACGGAGGTGAATTCCAATTTTAAATCAATATCGAAAACGTCGTCTTTGTCATCGACACTTTGCACGTTTTCAAATGATTCCGATTGTGAGGATAGAAATGATACAAATGAATTTTCCTGAGAATCAGTTGAGCTTGTTGGAATCACAGAACTTATGCAGGGAATTTTGAAAGCTTCATTCGAGCATTGAATCTGAGTCATTGTGTTTGCTGTTAAAATCAGCAGCTCGATGCACTGCTTTATCCAATAATGCGATCCAATCGTATCCCATGCTTGTGAGCACAATATGTACAGCAATCTATCGTGCAATCTGCGACGCATTGATGAATCTAAAATCTCAAAGAACTTTGCGCGAATATGGGGATTTTGGAAGCGAAGTCCATTTAAAAAGGCACCTTCCAATTTGCTCGTTAACTCAGTTTGCTTGAGAACTTCGTCACGATATATAAAGTTGATTATTTCCAAAAAGTGCACATTTAGCTCAACTTCATCGGCGAATTTCTTCTCAACATATTGCATTAATTTGACTAATAACGCGGACTTTTCTCTTATCGATGGAACGTGTGTTGCGATATTGGCATCCTTATTTTTTACCCAATCATCAAGCATTTTAATTATACATTTTAGAATTTTCACTTCAGAGCTCTTCTCAATTAGGCTAACCAAAATAGTGCCAATGAACAGTTTCCGTATTTCAACACTCATCACAATCACTCTGTTTTTGATCAACTCCAATGATAAGACCAACAGTTCCAAAGCCAATGAATTGGAATCAGTTGGTTGCGTGGTAGCGCCACTATTTGTATTAATATTAATGTGATCCTTTGTAAGACGATTTAGGACGCGAATGAATTGCACTAATATGCGATCAATATAGCTTGGATTGTTTGTGGTGCAAGCTTTTAAAATCATTAAGGTGCCAAATAGAGATGACGCATTTGGCTGTGGACTTTTCTCATAGAATGTCAGATTGTCCGTTATCATTTTGCTAATGGCGCTATATAGAACATCCAGATCATTGTGTTTATGCTGTGCATCTGGGGGAAATATTGCCATAAGTCGTGTTAGAAATATATGCATTAGGCGCACAATCCTCGTATTCTGGTGTATAATGCATAATGAAAGGCCCCGTTGAACTGGCCGCACAATTGTCACCAATTGCTCCGAACTTAGGATTGTGGTCAGGAACGTGAGGAAATCTATGGCAGTGCATATATTACTCAAGTTGTGATGCGGCGTCTCAATTGTTGTCAGCACTTTATCCAGCCAATTAATTTTGATATCAAATGGTTGCGGCCAAATTTCTGGACGCATTGCCGATTTCAGCAGCATGACACATCTAAATTGAAAAGGTTTCACAATAAATGCAATGAATACATCGAGAAAGGAATCAAATGAAAATAGTTCTTTAGATTTACCTTCTTGATAAATTTTCGCCTGGTGAAATGATTCCCGGCTGTGGATCATTGACTTGACATGCCAAACGGATTAGGAAATTGAGAACAGTATCGCAATACGACTTATCGATGGATCGCAAAACGTCCTCAGATTTTGTGTGACTTCCCACTCCTAAAGAAGGTGTGAGCATGAAATTATTTGAATTTTAATTGGCACTCAATGTGTACACTTGCCTTGCACAGTGGATGGTGTTGAGCTCTCAGCTGATTTTTTGCGGAATTCAGATGCTTCGGTGCCCGGACGCTTATGTTGACCTTCCCTTAGGTTATCTTCAGATTCTTCCGCTTTAACATCTCTTTCATCCTGTTTTATACGATGTAGTTCCCATTTGATTATAACTTCCGCTAAATCCACAGCCAATTTTTTATGTTCAATAGAAGCACTTGGCGGAAATCCCAAACGTTGCATATAGTTAATAAGATGCTGCACCAACTGGTGTCTGACAGGGAAATAAACCTAAGGATTGGATTGCGATTAGTGTCAATTTGGCAATTATAAGACTCCTTATTGCACTAACCTTATAATGACGAATAATCAGCTGAAGAATGTGGAACAGCTGCTGTATCGCATGACCTTCTTCAACGATAATCTTCTTTGTCCAGTGAGTTAACATTGTGTTCCCATCTTCCATGCGCAACGGCATTGCTGGCGTAAGGACATCGAGAGCCTGCTTGACAATGGGTCTTGCCTCCAGGGCATGTCCCTTTAGCAATGAATGGAAAACTTGTAGTACGATTTTCTTATGAATCGCCAGTCTTGAAATGATGTGGGCAAGCAGTAAATGTCCATGATAGCGTGCCGTTGGATCTACGCAGTTCTTGCTTAGTAGACAGGGCCAGGCAAATGTCATCAGGCGTCTGAGTTTATTGCCTTGCCTCTTATTATTGGCATCGCCGTCGTGTATGTGTTGAGAAGCACGTTCTACAAGCAGGCAGGCGAGCTGTAACAAAGCGATTCTCACTGCATCATCGTACTGTTTGTCGGGATCAAAAACTTTATTAATGAACACCGAGACAATATTCTTTTCATCCTCTTGATAGGGTGTTGGTGGTGCTCCAATCAACTTATTTCCTTCACCTTTGTCAAAGCTGACGGTAAAACATGGAATTATGACTGCTGTTATGATTTTTGCTTTCAAATCCTCGGAAAATGTGTTGTTATTGAAATTCTCAACGAAATGGAAAAATGCATTTCTTTTCCAGTTGACGGTATAGCTTTGTGCCACTGTATTTTGCAAGAAATCACGCAGGAAATATGTATCAGGTATAAAGTGTAAGCATAGTGCTCTCAACAGTTGAAATAGCAGATCGATATCATTTGTGTTGTTCGAAAAATATAGCAGGAGTATTTTGCCCACCAAATGCCATAAATCACAGGCAACGTTCTCCAAACAAGTTGAGTACAAACTTATGCGCCACATGTTTCGCAAAGCATCGACAATGTCCGGCCGCGTTGGTATCCACTGCTCATCTAGTTCCATGAGTGTGTAGATGATGAGGACCGCTTGGTGTTGGACATCGTATTTCTGAAGATTACCAACATCTGTTGTCCAATTTAAATACTCCAAAAGGATGGTGTACTTCGAGTTCTTCACAACTGTTCGGAAAGGTTGGCCATTTTTGTGCTTTAATAAAAATATAAAAAAGCGATTCCATTGCGAATCATTCATAAAGGAATCAATCATAAATAAGTCCACGGTCTCCACTGGGAAACGTTGAAGGAACATAATCAATGCTTCGCGATATGGGCTAGATGCCTCGATCATTAGATTCTTTTCAGTTTGCAGTACCAGTTGACATAACTTTTCGATATATTTCGATGATGCTGTTATATGGTAAAACATTTCGATGAGAGTAACAATTTTCTGTTCGTACTCTCCGCCTTTCGATGTGGCAAAGAAATTGATGTTCTCGTTCGTGCACTTATATTGGCCGACAAATATTTCAATGATTTTGGCACAATGCTGCAATATTTGCTCGCTTAGTTTTTCATTGAACATTTGTGGAAAAAGTTGTGTGAAATACGATAATCGTTTTATTGCCGGTATGGACAAGTTTCTGTGATCTCCAAGTTTGGCCAGTAAAGGTCGCATTGCCGCTTGAACCTAAAATATATATATATTTCTTAGAAAGAAACCATTTAAAATATTTCAAAACTTACCTTCTCTCTCTCAAGCGTTATGCCAGTAATAAACGTTTTCATACAAAGATAAGATGTTTCCTGCAACTCCGATTTATCATTCTCCATGACTTTAAAAATAATGTTTATTATCTTTTCTTTATATCCAATGTCGTTTATATAGTGGCAAGCTGCCAACGCTCTCAATGCACTTATTCGTAGTGGTATAAGGTTTGTGACATTCTTATAGCAATCCAATTTGGTCAATGTGGAATCTTCGGCTTCACTCAAGGTGAGCAGCTCGTGGAAGAATAACTTGTGGTACGTATTTGTTAAGTCTAAAAGCAAACATTTCAAATTCATATAACGGAATGCTTCCCAGGTATTTGCCATTACTTACCAATTGTAAAGAGACGTGGTTCCAAAGTTGTACAAAACGTATTACCATCCATTAAGCCAATTTGAGCATTGGCTGGTTGATGTCTTAATAAATGTTTTTTCGGTGGTATAATATCGGCCAGGACGTCTTTATGGGGGTCCATAACCTCAGAAACAGTCTTTTTTTGTATAGATCCAATGTGGTTTAATAATACCATGGATTCTTCTCTCACAATGGAATTAGGACTTGTTATATGACGGACGAGCTCATGAATCACTTCATATGTGGCCTTCGATTGTAACTCTTCCAGTTCATCATTTCTAGAATTTGCACTAATGGGAGACAGGCAAATCTCCAACATGGTTTTCATATAGCTTTTTGTTATTTCAAGTGCACCATTGGAAACGTCTCCCTCGAGATCCATCAGCACAAACATAAAGGCTTTCAGGAAGTTGAATAGATGCTGGTAGAGGGCACGTAGAGACATATGCTTGCACAGGAACTGAATGGCCTGGCAACCGCCAACTTTTGCATACCATGGACGGTCGTAACACAATGCTGTCATTCTCTCAGCCAAATATTGCATTATGGGCAATTTGCAAGCTCGCTCTTTATTGCCCATTATATTTGTGGCCGTGTGCAATATGATACCCATGCAAACAATTCCGGGCTTGCACAACTCCTTCTCTTCATGGCCCATGCAAGCGGCCAGAGCATCAATTAACACCATCGGATCAATTCCATTTGATATATAGCTCTTTTGTGGGAATGGCCCGGCCTGTTGAGCAATTGCCACCATTGTGTAGTGTCTGACAACCGCAGCCATTACGGGACAGACTGAATCGCGTAGATCTTTCGTAGCTGAGGCAACCAACATTCCAATGAGAGCTGTCAGATGTGTTCCGCGCACACTCGATGTGTGGATTTTGTTGTGAAATATTGGCCAACTCATAATATTGCCTTCGACAAAGTCCGTATGAGTAAACAGCTTTAACAACGTATGTTTCTCATCATCTAAGCTAATAAATGCTGCGAGAAAACAACGGATTACTTCCCAACTTTGTCGTCGATAAAACTGATCTGTTGTGTTTGAGCTCAATGCCTTAAAGGCTGACTCGATTGCATAATCAACGGGGAATTCAATTGGTTTCTCATATTCTTGGAAATACGTAACTATCGAGATCTTTGGCTTTTCGTTCTGATCATAGTGCAACGTTTGCGGTTCAACCATCATTTTTCGGTTACCTCCACCGAATTTTCCAAGAACGCGAAAAGCAACAAGCGCTGCATTATCCTGGTTTCGCAGTGTTTTCCATAATGCCTGCATTAATGCTGCCCGTACGGGTTGTATATGATCATACAAGAAATCTGGTTGCAAATTATCCACACACAGCTCCAAAGTTCTTAAGCCCTAAAAATAAATGTTTGTTCATAAATGAATTTAATCTCACTTAACTTATTATGTCTCACCTGGCTTATAAGCGTGGGGGACCCGTTCAAGGCCGATACCAATGGATCCATAAGCATAGGTAGATAGGGCAACAAAGATGAGAGACGAACAGGTACTGTTAAGCAAAGTTCCACAAATAGATCTCGCATATGTTGCTTGTGAAATCCACTTTGTAATCGATTTAGGCCTTCCAGCAAGTTGGGTAACAGGGGCAGAAATTCTTGATATAACAGATCATGGCTTCCACCGCCAATTGATCTGAATAGTGCCCTAAGCAGCAAGAAATAGTTGTAAGGCTCATCTGAAATCAATGCCAACTCCATGGAACGAATAACAATTTTATGTAAATGGGGGCGCAGCATTTGTTCGTTTTCCACTGGAAATAGGCTTACGCTTCCGAAGACAAGCTTAAAAAGTCTGAGATACAAATTAGATCGTTCAACGTTCGAACCCATTTCTTCCATTTTCTCCAAAAGATACTCAACCAGCACGGTTGCAAAGAGTGGCGACGTTGTGGGATTCGCCAGAAAAGAGTTGGCTATTACTTGAAGAGATTGATTTTTGTAGATTCTTTCAACCAGAAAATCAATTGAGGTGGCAAATATTTCTTGGAAATTCTGAGAATGCATCATGAGGAACTAAAAAAAGTTTAAAATTATATTATTATATTTATAGTTTACTTAGTGTTACTTACAATGCCGCTAAAGTGTTCTAAAACCTCTTTTTCCTCTTTACTGCGTGAAATTAATCCAGATGAGCGCTGTTGATTTGGGTTAACATTTATTGTATATATATCCAAAGCTTCCATTGCATAATGCACTAGATCAATATATGTGCATAATATCTCCGGATTAAATAGTTTATCCTGTACGCTTGGTTCTGCAACCTGAGTCTATAATATAAATCAATTACTAACAAAATTTCAATGCTATTACATCTCAATAAACATACCTTTGAGTTAAAAAATCCCCAAGTAATTGTCTTTACTCCTCCAACAAGTGTTTTGACCAAACTTCGATATTCAGCTACAGCTGTGCAAGCAATTTGGTTGGCAGTCGTCGACATTTTAGCTTGGTCGCTCCCCAGCTGATCCTGAGGTTATATTAAATGATAATAATGAGAATCACAATACTAACAAGCATAACAAACAACCAGCAACTAAAGTGATCTAAAAAATATATATCTCATGCCACTTCATAAGTTTTCCTTAAACATACCTCTTTTAATTCTGTAACAGGTAAGGAAGGTAAAGTAAATGAACCAGTCATGTTTGTTGAAGCACCAGTTGGAGATTGTCCCTTGCTGATTATATAGAAAAATATTGCAAATATATTGGAAATTTGTACATGTAAACATATATTATTTAACATACCACTTTTGTATAATATGTGGAAGCTGAATTTGAGCAATAGTTTCGAACTTCTTTACGAACACTTTCAGAAGCGTTCCCAGAATATTTCTCGATCGCACAGGCTCAAGTTCACTGTGATGTCGCAAGCAATCTACTAAATTCAATAAAAGCTTACACGACATTGTCTGTATGCCCACAGCAAGAGTCTCATCGTGAACATTTTTTGCAAACAAATGTACTGCTTTTATCAAGACATCCAAGCTCAAGCTTTGTCGGACATGATGGGCAAGATCAGCTAACGTTGAGTACGCCAATGGGCGAATGGAGTCCAGAGTAACACCTTTGCCAATCAGTAAATCTTCATCGAACAATTTCTCAATCGATGGTATGAATTCTAAAAGCAATTAATGTGGGAAAATGTTACTTTTGATATTACGAAATGGCTTAAGATATACTAACTCTGGCGTAAGTCTGTGGCGAATATATGACGTGCAGCAATTAAAAGGTCTTTTCGAAGATGTGCAGCCTCTTTTGGGCAATGTTCCATTAGATTCAGCATACCATTGGATACAGATAATGAGTTAGCTATCACCACATCCTGAAAGAATTAAAACATTTGTCATACTGATAGAAAGAAATGAAGTAATCTGAAATTACCTGATAAATTCGCACAATATATGCTAAAAATGAAAGCGTTTTAACTTGTGCCCCCATAAAGTCCACGAAAACTTCCTTTTGTGCAGAGTTTCTAGCAGAATCATTTTTGGAATATGTCAGATTATTTCCTGTGTGTATTCAAAGTATTTATAAAGGTCTTACCTTTGAATTACAGTTGGCTGTAAATTGATAGTTGTTAATATCAATGGAATGAATTCGGCAACCTCTTGGTGGACAGCATTTTTATATATTTGGTACATCATCACAACGATGATGGGCAACTCTTGAAGAACTTTCAAGGACAGAATACCACGAGGAAGAAGATTATACTGAAATATAAATTAATAAGTAAATATATAACAGTTTAAGCTTAAAACAATAAAATGTGATCTTTACAATCATTTGCTGAGAGTGCTGCTCTTGTGGTTTCTCTACATGTATGGTTTTTATTGAATACGTTTCAGGTAAAAGCATTTCTAAATCCAAATCCTTTAAGTCAGTTATCCAAATGTCGTTTGTTGTTTCAAATATTGATGTTAGGTTATTCGGCAGATTTGTATAAATTTCCTTGACGAACCCCAAAAATAGCTGAATCTGTAAAATAAATATAAAAATATTAAATAATATTAATGTTAAATATCTATTATAACAATTGCTTCATACTTACTTCGGGATTAAATGATGGCCGAAAATGTTTATGCAGCTCAATTATTATACGCAGACTTATGAGAACATTTTCTTCATTATCTGTTTTTAATAGTTTGAGCATCATTGTTATGATTGATTTGACATGCTGTCTTAAATTCTCCGTTATGGGCAATCGGTGTATCATCTCCAAAATCAATTTGCGAATCTGAAAATAAATAATGATTTTATATTCATTTACTTATTTGTAAAAAAAAAAAACAAGTAATAAGAATACAAATTAATAATTTAAAATGAGCGCTAATACGCCTCGATTAAAATATTAATAAATATCGACTTGTGTTTGCTTGTGTGTGTGTTGTGCATCTTAACATATCCATAGGTAACTTTGGGCAAGGGGCAGGGTATCTTCTAGCTGGGCCTTCTCGAATGTCTTCTGATTCAATCAACTTGTTTGCATGTGCTCAAAACAAACCAGCGAACGATGCACTACAAGCGAATGCAGCTGGGTATCTCAAATCTGAGCACTCTTGACAAAAAGATTGTTGCACACTTTTAGTTAAACCACAAACAATGCGCACAAGCATTTTGAGGCTCCGCAGTACACACACACAAACACACATGTGTATGTGTACGTGAGTTATTTGCAGTGCAGAAAATATTGGAACTTACGTGTTGAATTGTATTTTCCTGCACAAATTGTGGTTCACCATCTTGCAGGATGCGTGTAAAGATCTTGAGAGCGTTTTCCAAGAAAGACGGATAAGAGGGAGAATTTAGGATCATTTCGAAATGTTCACTCAACTCCTGTGTGGCTTTCAGCTTGATTTCATCGTTCGCTGCCGGATCATTTAGTATATTGAGGTAATTCCGGAACGTGTTAACCGGAATATTTTCGGTGTGTGCCATTTTAAGTAACCATTAATTCAATCCTTGCAAGAAATATGCGTTGTTGCGGACCGGTGTAAACAAGCGAAATGCGAATCTTACCACTCACACAGGGTGACTCGGGCACTGCAATTTAGGGGCACAAGCTTAAGCGATATCGATTATGAGCACATTGATCGTGATATCTTTAATTAACTTTAACAATGATCAATTATATATTAAAAACCATTTTATGATAATTTACAAGCAATCAGGGCAAATGGAAAACGAAATCAGAAGAAATATCGCATGCAAAAATAAATTTTGATGATATCGTCATGCAATAACACACTCAAAAATATCAATACTTTTGTTTATCGATATATCGATAAAGTGATAAATATTCCACAATCCCACTTAGTGAAATAAAATTTGCACCGAAAATAAATATCTTGTAAGTTTCAAATCAATAATATGTTTAATATAATTGTGTTTTGCCTTATGCGAAACGGCCAGTTGTAATATCCCATTTTATTAGGTTAATTGAGTGCCTTTTTGTTTTGGTTTTTTAGATTCTAATTCCTATGGCTATGTACATACCTACATACATACATACATAGATGCATGCATGTTCGTAATTTCATGTATAAGACAAGTAATATAATTACACACCCCTGTGAATAACAAAGACTTGTTGTAGCTAATAAAATAAATGTGCAAGTGTTTTGCCAAGCGGGGCTCACAAAATGCACAGTGGAGGGACGCCTAAACGCATCCGACAACTAGTCACCTCTGCATTTATGTATGTATGGCTGTGTGTATGTACAGATGAACGTATGCATGTATAACATGGTTCAAAGCGTAATTGAACCAAAACATGATCCATACTTAACGTAGAACAGTGGGACCATCTCATTCTTTTCGTTAACTAAAGTCGTTCACTAAAATCTTAATTAATTCTAAAAAAAAAAGAAAAATAAAATGTATTAATTCCTGTAGTGTCAGATCTTATTGGACTTTATTAAATGGTTGACAGAGTTGAATTTTATTTAAAAGCTTCACATCATTACCATCTATTTCCACCATAGAAGTTCTAATTAAATAATTAATTTAGTCATTTGATTATTTGCTTTTCTTAAGTGGAAAAAAGAATCTTCTTTTATATTTAACTAATGATTTTCACTTTGGGTTACTCACAGATAAAATTTCAAGATGAGGGAGTCAGCTCATGACATCAGTATGGATACGTGGAAACAGTGGATACTTGAGGCAATATCGAAGATTCGATCTCAAAAACAAAGACCGAGCGTTCAAAGAATTTGCCAGGCTATTGGCACTCATCACAAATTTCACGAGGACATCGTCGCTGAAAAGTTGGAGAAAGCTGTTGAGTCTGGCGCAGTTATAAAAGTATACAATAAAGGATTGCATTCGTATAAGGCTCCAATGGCGAAAAGGCGAATTAAGGTTGATAAAAGTACAAACCTTTACAAAGTGGTAGCGAAAGCCGTTAATGATTTGGGCGAATGCGAAGGGTCTACCATCAAGAATATAGAAAACTATATACAAAAGTTTAACTGCATTGACCTATCGCCTAATGTTGATTTCAAAGCTATCATTAAATTGTCAATTAAAAAGGCAGTTGATACTGGATTCCTAGTACAGGAGGGAAAGCTATATAAAAAGGGTAAATCGTTAACAACACCACGAAAATCTGTTGTCGAAGCAGATGTACTTATAAAAGGAGAAGAAACCTGCACACATTGCTCGGGCAATTCACAAAAGAATCTAAATGGCATTCCAGAACCCTTGAGTTCCTGCAAACAATGTGGCATATCATTGCATACAACGTGTGCAAATATCGCAGGCAGATGCAAATCCCAATCGTATGTCCTACTCTATATGCTTGTTACGAAGGGAACTCTCTGGAATTGTCAGAAATGCGCAGACTGTGTTGTCTGCAAAATACATAATCGTGGTCCATGTTTGCTACAGTGTTTTGCATGCAAAAATCATTTTCACCTGACGTGCCTCGATACGATACCAGATAAAAAGCCAAAGCACCCATATCGGTAAGTTAACTTAAACCCAGTAATACGAACTCAAATCAAATTGATATTCAAAATCGCTTCAACGTTTCCCTATTTCAGATGCAAGGCTTGCTTAAACATTGATCATCCCAAATCGTTAAGGAGAGACACAGGCAATATCAAATTAGAGCTTGTTGGAAATGATAAGTAAGTGTCAAACAAAACAATTCTTGCAAAATTAAAGCGTTAACACATGCCCTGTGTTATATTAGTTTATATTCGATTTATCTAATTATAAATTTTCAATTCTAATTTCAGAATTGTCCAATATTCAAATACGGCGCAAAAGCCATATAACAATTGTAAGCGACAGATGATCAAAAGTGAGGGATTTATTGAAAATCCGTCGACGTCTCAACATTGCATTAGTGGTGTTGCCGGCAATAATCGACAAAAGAAAAAGAATGCCGTCGTTATGAATAAATTTACTACGCCAATAAAGCAGAAGAAAATCTATCGTGACAACATTGTTAATCAACTAAATCGCAAGCGGAATTATTCGGATTTATCATCGTCAACTTCATCGAGCGACAGTGATGACGAAGAGGAAGATGATGATAAGAATGCGGGATGCGAAGATCAGGATGATAGTACATCATCCGACTCGTGTACTTCTTCAAGCTCCGAGTCCGATTCAAGCACTAGCTCGAGCGATAGCTCTGAATGCGATGACGATAACGATGAGGAGGACTATGACACAGATCGAAGTACATTGAAAGAAAATATATTTGAAAACGAGAAGAAACTCGAATTTCGATCCTCGCCAAATGACAATGAGAGCCTAATGGATGTTACTTCGGATAATTGGGGTTTTGCTGCCGTTGCAAAAAACCCTGTCGACAACAAATATAAAAATAATTTCAAAGCCATGAGCTATACGAAAAAAATGTCGGACATTTATCAACTATCACCAAATGTGGAAGCCAATAAACCCAACAAATATGCAACTGATAAATCGGACAATATGGCCGCAAAGTCCACATTGCCTTCGTCGCGAAACAATTCCATTTTGGGTAAAAAGAGGACGATCATTTTAAAATCTATGCCACTTGAATCTACTAAATCATACGTAAAACATGATGATGATATTCCATATCTAACTAAGGAAACTGTTTTAAAATGTCAAATGATTAATGAAATAGAAGAATTTCCAGAGCCAAGGCAGCAGACTCTAGATGCAAAACTATCTGCCAGAGCTGAAATTGAAGGCATTGATGGACAATCAATGGACAATGACAAGGACCGCAGTGTTAGTCTTATAAGCCGAAGCAAGCCATTTGGTAAGTTTGAACAAGGAATTCGAAGCAGATAATGCTTCATTAATTATTGATTATGAATATTATTATTGTTAAATTATGTTTGTATACACTTGCAGAGGGTTAGCTAATTTTGTTATGAAATTCTTAACGCGTCCTACCCCCATAAATATATTCTTGATCAGCATCACTAGACAAATCGAATCGAGTGATATACTCCGTCTGTCTATTTCTAGTATATATATATATAGTACATATCATAGCTGTTATAGGAACGATCAGCCGAAACATAACTTATTGTATGAAAAATGTTCTTGTTTACCAATATATCCATTTCTTGTTTTATATGGCGTAATTTTTTTTTTAATTTATTTGTGTTTGAAACACTAAAGAAGGTCGGAGCTCAACTGCCGACTGCTAAAATAAATTATTAATTTAAATATTGTGTACATATTCAGTTGATTGCAATTGATTTCAACCAACGGGTTTTCGAATCTTAAGTTCCTAGCTAGTCAGTTTCTGATATTGACGGACAAACAGACCGATCAAGAATATATTTTCCTAAGTGTAAGAAACAGATTATTAATAATTCCCAATTATAATGTAAGGAATACGTAGGAATACATGTTTATTTTACACAAGCTTATTTACAAATATTTATTTATAGAAAATCAACATTTACCGCCGGGCGTTAATTCTTTTGACGTTGAACTGTATCAAGAAGTACTGCAAAAAGCTGTCATTAAAGTCTATAACAATCCACCCGAAATGGCAACTGAGAAAAACCACTCACTGATCCATTGTGGACAAAGTCCAAAATCCATTGAAATAGGAAAATGGAATATTGACACATGGTACTCCAGCCCATTTCCACAGGAGTACGCGAGGTAAATTCCATTCCATATTATTATTAATAAAAAAAGACTGCAATACACCAAAATCGAATTTTCTCTGAATTTGTTCACGCTTCTTGAAACTTGTTAAAACCGGCTGGTTGTTCAATTTCATGTACTCAGTTTTGATTCGTCATATTTTAATAGAAATAAATTCCATTGTTAACTATCCCATAGTTTATATATATTCTTGATCAATACCATAAGCATAATCAAGTCCGCCTGTCTGTCTAAATGAACGCATCGATTTTGAAGAGTATGAAAGCTATAAACTTAAAAATTGCTGACGATCGAACAATAACCGCTGAAGAATCATATTTTAACACATCATTTTTCATGCATGCAACCGTATTTAATATTATTTTATAATTAATATTTGTTTTCATTCTGTTAAAGGCTATTAAAACTTTTCTTATGCGAATTCTGCCTGAAGTACACGAAAAGTCGATCAGTATTGGATAGACATCAAAATAAATGTATTTGGAAACAACCGCCTGGAACTGAAATATTTCGGCAGGGCGATATATCTGTTTTCGAAGTGGATGGAAATGTTAATAAGATCTATTGCCAAAATCTATGCCTGCTTGCAAAGTTTTTTCTAGATCACAAAACTCTGTACTACGATGTGGAACCTTTTCTATTTTATATATTAACCAAAAATGATCAAGTCGGATGTCATCTCGTTGGATATTTTTCGAAAGAGAAGCACTGCTCTCAAAAGTATAATGTCTCATGCATTCTGACTCTACCCCAATATCAAAGACAAGGATATGGCCGATTTTTGATCGACTTCAGCTATTTGCTAAGTCGCGAAGAAGGCCAATTGGGAACGCCAGAGAAGCCACTTTCGGATCTTGGACGTCTATCATACTTTTCATACTGGAAATCGGTTGTTTTAGAGTATTTGTACAAGTACAGGAATAAAAAGACGACAACGTTTAAGGATATTGCCATAAAAACCGGTTTGGCTGTTTCTGACATTGCATTAGCATTTGAGCTACTAAATTTCATCAAATTGAGAAAAAATGATGGTGACATTCGATTCCAAATCACGGTAAAAATCGATTGGAAAAAGGTTTTATTGCACCATAATAAGCGAAGTCAAAGTAAGACTCGAATTGTAATTGAAGCCGATTGCCTGAGATGGAGTCCCTTGATGTCGATTTCCAGATCACCCAATAATAATATACGACCAATTTCAAATCGTGAATATTTGAGTACTCAGCTTATTGAAAATTCTGATAGCAAGGATATTTTGTATGAGAACAAAATTGAGAAAATCATCGAACCTCAACTAAATTCCACCATTGAGCTTTTCAAAGATACAAATAAAGATTGCACGAAGACGACAAAGTCAACTTCTCAGAATATCGATAAGGATGCAAGTTACTCTAAAAAGAATGCATACAATAGCACTGTGGAATCAACGCACTCAACGCCAATGCTCAATGATGCAAAACGTTCGAAACGTCCATTTGAAGATTTAATTGAAAATTCCGATTCCTCTGATAGTAAATATTCGAAGAAATCGTTAGAGTCTGCGGAATACAATATTTTAACCAAACGAGCACTGCGTCTGGCTAAGCGCAAAGATGTTATTCCACATACCAACAAGAGGAAACATTTCGAGCGTAAAAATAATATTGATAATGTGGAGCATAATGTGTCGAATCCAGTCGATCAACCGCACACTAATAAAGAAATCGTAGACAAATGTTCTTTATCGCTTGGTGCTGCTGTACCAGAAATTAACAATCGCAACATTAAGAAGCATGAGTCAATTGACAAGCCAATAAATATCGTACCCAAGTTGAGAGGTAAAAAATCAAATGGCAAACGAGATGAAGAAGCTGAAGAAGCGCCCGCTCAGCCCAGCACCGCCGAAGTCCCAATAAAAGAACCTGACAATGAAAAACCGACGTTGAAAACACCTATGGAAGTTGTGGAGACAACCGAAAACGAAAAGGAAAAGGAAAAACGGCTTGTTGAGCCTGCACCGCAGCTGCCGAAGGAAAGGGAGATCAGTGTTGCCACTGATCATTGCACTGAGCAAGTCCTCGATGCCGTTGCCAAGAAGACAAAGAAAGCACTGTTTTCGGACACAACTTCATTTGAAGCTAAAAACAGCGAGACTAAAATCGCGGAATGTAAAATTGAGCCAAAGCCGGTTGAAAATACTTTGAATAATGCTGAATCAACATGTCAAGTTAAGGAAATTTGTGAAATACAAAAAGAACCTATTTTACCGGCTCCTTCTACGGTTGAATTGAATATTAAAGAAAAAGTCATTAGCACCGACTCATCAACCACTACTGAAAAGATTGATACGGTTGCAGTGCCAATCGTTGAGAAAACTGAAACTAAAGTACTTAATTTGAATTGTGAAAGCCTGAATAAGGGCAATGAGCCTATAAAGGAGATCTCCGATGATCAGAACTTGAAACCTTGTGTATCAACAACGCCAGCTGTGGCTGTTGAACAACCAGCGCCAGCCGCGGTGCCGCCACCATCATCAACTGTCGTTGATTCTACCAAAATCCTTGAAGAGTGCGCCAAGGAAACCAAAGTTGTTGATAAACCTGAAACTAAGAAAACGATTACGCCGGAGAAAGTAGAGCCTAAAAAACCGGATGTGCCCCAGGTAAAAGTTCCTTGTAGTTTGCAGCAAGAACAACAATCATATTATACTGAAATGCAAAGCAAAGCAAACACAACAAACGAAACGAAGAACATGCTAGCAAAAACTGAGGCATCAATAATGCACGAAACAGAAGTGAAACAGAAAATGCATAAGAAGCCCAATTTGGAAGTTCCCTCAATTCCAAAGGCCGAAAATGTGAACACTTTATGCAAGAAACCGGATGCAATTCATGCAAATAAAATCAATGTAATTGCCGAGAAGGAGCCACAAAAGCCACCACACTTACTTCAAGTACAAGTTAAGGAAGAAGATAAATCCAATGTGCGTCCTCCGCCGTCCACTTCATTGCCCATACGGGATAAGATTCAATTAAAGAATAACGATCATGCTCAGTTGCAGAACTCGCTAACTTCTCAATTCCCGATTAATCAAATGCCCAACTATCATCATACTTCGCAATATTGGCAGTGGGACTATTACAGCTATAATCTCTGCAACCTGGATCCAGCAGCACAAAAGGGTCAAAAGCAATTTCACAAGGACCTCGCAACAACCATGGCCTATACGCATAATTTCACCCAAAATCTGTATCAATCGGCAATGCATGCTCATCACCAGATGCATCATCCGAAAGATAAGCAAAAGGTGGATCGCAAGAATAGCGGTAAGAAGGATGATCTGTCCAAGCCCGTATCCAATATTAGCGCTGTCAACACTGCAAGAGATGGCGATGGAAATACGCTCAACTGCAATGATTATAATGTCAATAATCAGTCGAATATGTTTGATCAGAAGTGCGGCAATCAGCAGAAGCAGTTCAAAATCACCGATCATGCACAACAAATCAAGTCGATTGGTAATCCCCAGAACTCAGTGCCCAGGCACACAAATTCTAACCAGGCGGAGTCATCAAATTTATTACCAACTTCAATGAGTCGCGAGGCTCAAGCAGCGCCTCAAAAACCAAAATCGGAGCACAATGTTAACAACATACCATTGGTGCCATCCCACCCATCAAGAGAGGAAAAAATTAAGGTATCGCAACCGATATTACAATCGGCTCCACACTCTAATTTGCAAGTCGCTGGACAACCTGATGTTAATACCAATAATATGGCTTACAATAATTCGGAGGCAGCCTCAAATGCACCAATCCAGCAGCAATATGATTGTGGTATTAATGTGCAAATCAATCTGGATTCACCCTCTAACATTGGAGGTCCCATTAATCATGGACCGGAAAATCCCAATGGACATATGCAAAGACAGTTTTCAGACTGTTCCATGCAAAATCAATCGGCAACGACGCCCATGCACATGTCCATACAAAATTCGCACATGCAACAGCAAAACAATATAAATATGAATTTGAATTCTGAAAGTTCGCCCAATTTAAATATAATCGGCAACGCACAACAGCACCAGCATCAAAACAGAAAGCTAACCGTACAGGTAACTTTTATAACATGCATATATATATTGACTTGATTTAAATATTGTTATCTTTGTTATTTGTTTACAGCCGGATATTGTGGCGAGTTCACCGACAGCAGCGCATCGAGCACCGACACCCAAGCAAATTCGCAATGCAAGCTCTTCGAATAATGCTCAGCAGCGAGACGCTAAAGTGCCAGCAGCAGCAACAAGCACTCAAAATACTCACCACCAGCATCCGCAGAGCTCTGTTTCGAATATTTCCAAGGGGCAACAGGATGGAATTGGCGGAGGCTTACAGTTTACACAGCTCGGCGGTCAGCATGGTCATCAGCAGAATATGCAAACATTGGACTACATACCGATACCGCAAATTTCACAAAATTTCTCCACGAATCCATCGAATTATGACATCGTTGGTATGCCGGCCGTCATTCAACGGGGCATGTCTCTAAATAGTTCCGTTCATTCCCTACCCAACTCGCACCAGCGCATTGAGCAGCCAGCCTCCGCGTGTGCTGTAAATAATTTTTACTTGCAAAATAACATGCCATCAAATGAAATAGTGTCGAACGCACCACGAATACCGGTCTCCACCACATTGGGGCCACCATCTTCCGCCGCTAACAATGATCAGTCTATATCATCGAACAGTGGTGGCAGTACACCATCTCTCGCTGGCAATTTATGTAGTCTATCCAAACTACAGCAGTTAACTAATTGCCTGGAAACTCAACCATGCAATACATCGCCAGGAGCTCAATCGAATTTAACACCGTCGCCACATCATCCGATTCCACCCAACTCAATGACACCGCCACCACACTTATTAATGCAAAACCGGAATATTTCCACGCCGCCGAATATGTTGCAGACGCAAGTGACGCCACTACAATATCATAAATATTACACCAGCAACATGAATATTCCTCCAATTTCATCCACCCAAAATACAAATCGGAATACTCGGAACACACCATCAGCACCCATTCAGCATGCCTCATCGGCAATCAGCAGCAGCTCAAATAATCGCACAGCCAATGTGCACATCAGTCCCAATCTGATGTCACATTATGGAGCTATTAACAGCTATCGAATGTCGCCGCAGCAAAGTCCTCCGGCATCTGCATATAGTTCCGGTGGTGAATATCCCAACTCGCAAATTCCAATGCAAATGGGTGTTATGAACATGCAGTCACAATATCAAGATGCATGCGTCCTGCAAAGGGCTGCGCAACCGAATTCAATGTATCAAACGTATTCAGCATACTTGCCGCTGAACGGCTCAATACGCAGATAATAAATATATCTACATCTTACACTAGTTACACGTTACTCTATAAAGTATGAATTGCTTGTACTACTTGTCTTGTAAATGTATCATAAATTTTGTGTATTTAAAAATAAATATGAAAACAACAATGTTCATTTTGGTGTTGTCGATTTATGTATTTGAAGTTTACTGTTTACTGAGAATAACAATACGATTACATTACAAGCACTAAACTTAGACATTTTGATATTTTTTTATAAGCATTGCCCAGACATCCGGGTAGCGAGCTTGCAGGAAGGCTGTCAATTTTTGTGCACTTTGCGCCTGCTGGGGAGAACAGTTGCGGCATTTCCTAGTTATAACTTCTGGAAGAGCAGCTAATAATAAATACACACATATATATATAATTGATTAGTTTTATATGCTTCAATAATTTCTCAATTATGTATTGTGTCAATTCTATAGATTTTTAGCTTTCTGTGCAACATTTTTGGATTTGATTCAATTAATTTAAAATGTAACTTAGAGATTAGCTAAGGTTTAGGTGACGAATGCTCTAATCATTATGAGAATATATATTTTTATTTACAATATACCTTTAAGTTGTCGCCCTAGTTGGTCACATGGGCTCTTTTCAAGAATACACATTATTTGGCGACTGACAACGGCTTGGTTGTTTAACAACTTATTAATATTCCTTTCTTCAGCATCAACTTTGGAAGGAATTATTATTATAAAAAAAAAGATAAAAATCAAAATTTCTTTTTGCCGTTTTTTGATTAAAAACATAACTACTGTGTTTTAATGTATGCTAGATATTATTTTTGTGTATTTGTTAATTTTCAACGCATGCGCTTTGCAACTCAATTTCAGGGGTTGTAATAACATATTCTGTCACCTACTATTTAAGAGCGATTAAAACACTGTAAACTATACAAAATATCTTTTGATAATTAATAAATATAGTACATACATCATTATCAATTTAGTTTACAAGCTGTAATTAATATGTTTGATACAAACGTTCGAAAAAGATTGAGACATGGATCAAGTCTTTCGACAGCCAAATTTGCCAAAAGTGAGCCAAATTTCCAAAAGCAATGAAGTTTTGATCATGGTTTCGCTTCTATATTAATAATACATATATGTTTAGAAAAATGATTTTACTACTCTAATAAAAACCACGTGGGGATGAGTCAAAACTTTTACTCTTTAATCTGCCGATATTCATTAAGTGTTTGCCATAATATATATATAACATTTAACAAACTGTTATTGAAATTTAATCATCGTTGTCAATATTTTCTTGGGAATCATCGTCGTCGTAGTCATGTAAGTCTTCTCCGACAGGTTCAGATTTCTTTTGTTTATTTAAAAGCCATTCCTTGTAAGCGAGTTCGTCTTCAACACTTGGATCTGTAGATTCAATAAAATCCTCGATGGTATGAGGATATTCACTTTGAACAGGCGGCAAATGGTTAAATGGTATATTGCGTTTTGAAAACTTATGTCCCCAGCCCATATATATAGATTCACAGGTATTTTCAAAAATAAATGTAAAAGCCCCGGGCCAAATATTTGATTGCATTATCAATATGCGTTCCTTTTGATTCGTGTGCTTGCTGGTAAAACGGACTCCCCAGGGTATGGAACACACATTGCTCATATCACCGGCACATGAGGATAAGATGTTGGGACCCGTCTCTGGATGTATGAACCCTTCTAGCATATCTTCTTCCTCACCATCTTCTTCCTCCTCAGCGTCTTCTTCTTCCTCGAGCTCCTCACCCATTTCCTCCAATGCTCGCATTTTCAAATACATCGCAAGTGCTTTCTTTCGCTCTTTGTCAGCCAGTTCCTCATCGTACCACACAACTCGTCCTTGATTTAAAATATTGGATCGAACGTGTACCCAGGCTGCGGGTGTGGCCAAGGTGCTCAAAGGTTCTATCTCGAATCGTTCGTTTCTCATCAGCTGTATATCATTATCTGAAAAGGGTTTTTGAGACATTGAAATAATTAAACATGACTTAACACCACCTACCTTGTGATTCTTCTTCTTTACCCTCATTGAAGTCATCCTCTTCCTCTTCTTCCTCCTCTTCTTCTTGATTAAGATTGATGCCATCATAGAGATTCTTTTCCTTCTTAGTCATACGTCTATAATATCCCTGAGGCGCTATATAAGTACCAGCCGTAATACGACCAATCACAGCACGTAAATAATGTTTCTCTTTGCCCGGAAAACATGGATATGACACAACATCCGCTTCCAAATCTCCAGTGAAAAACTTTTTAATCTGTCGCGAAACAACAATTTGACGTGGCGTCACAATCGGTAATTCAATCCAATCATTGTGCAAACAATTAACCACAAAATATGAAAATCGATTGCAACCATTTCCAATATACTCGGGTGGTATATCATAAACTTCGATTTCCTCTGCCAAAGGCACTGGCTTCGCCTTTGGCGTCATCTTCTCTAACTCATCCTTGGCATACAGTTCCCAACCATAAGTGCCTGGAGTTAATTCTGGTCCTATATGTGCTGGTGCGGGCTTTGCCTCTTGATTTTTTCGCACCTTAAATGGCAGTTGCTTTTCCCTCATTTCCTCCTTCATCATGGTCAATCGTGATGCGATTTCCTCACGCGAAAGCGAGGCTTCCACAATATAGTAGGATGCTTTCAATCCACTTATACAGCCCCAAAATCGGCATTGCATTATCGATGGATGTGTCTGTAGTCGATTAATGGAACTTGCCAACTGGAAGATATCATCTTTGCTAATACTAAAGCCGCATTGATTCCAATAGAATTGCAATTGTTCGACGCGTTCATTAAATGTTACAAACATTCGCATAGAATCATCAATATTTATTCGTAGTTCCGCCTCAAATTCCTCACCCCCGAGATCCTCATCACCCTCAAAATCAAGGTTTTCACCACTGTGGGGTAACTAACATCACAAATTTCAAGTAATGTCGCTGAATTTATGCCTATATTGTTATTTTCAAAATATATATACCTTAATCGAATGAAGTATTTGCTTGGCTGGACGAAACATTCGACAGTCGGCAAAAACCCCATTTGGGGGGAAACGTTCAGGTACATGAAACTTCTGTTCGCGTACATTTCGACTGAACTCTTCAAAGAAATCGATAACATTTGGGGGACGCTCATCGACGACTCGCTTCACAATATCACTGATATGATCAAATCTATCGGGTTATTGATAAAATAAATTAATACTTGAACATCTTGAATGCTGCCAAACACATATCTTCTATGCTAAGCCATATTTTTTGAATATAGTTTGTTTTTAATTTCAAGTTTAGGTACGTTACGGTAGTAGTATTGGAACCCTATGCTCAAACTGATTATTACAATCAATTCTTTCTTGGACTAGCTGAAAGTTGAATTTCATGAAATGCCATACTTACAAGTTGTCGCCACTTAATGTACTATATTGCTTCAGTATCGATTTAGCTATGTTTAGTTCATAGCCAATATTTGGGGCTTCGTGTCCTGGAGCTCTTTGAAATTGTGTTTCCGAATTAAAGGCGGCCAAGGATATGGTCGTCGTTGAGGATGACGACGAACTTGTAATTATGTTGGAACATTGTGGTGAAGATTCCTGTTCAGCTTTTTGCTTTTTAGTTAGTGGTTTTTTTGACTTCTTGCTTGGAGAGCATAGTGGAAGATTTGAATTAACCGTTGAGCTTGAGCTGAGCGAAAAATTTTGGCATGATAGATTATTGGTATCCATAATATTACAATATTTATATGTACATCTGCAGTTCGTACAGTTCGTTTTCAACAACGAATAAAAAGGCTCTAAATTAATAATAAAGACTCGAAACAAAAATATTACTATGTATTGTATTTTCTTGATTTGAAATCAAGTTTCTTAACGAAAATCTCATCAAAAAATTAGCTGGAGATATTATGGATAAGTAGGTTATGCTGTGATATGATATAATTTTTTTAATCGAAGCGAGACATTTGAGAGCGTTAAAAATTTATTAAACCACCCTCGGCAAGGTAGTGCAAAGAGAGAAAAATTCAATTTCCATCTGAATATGTATATGTATATATGTACATGCATACATAAATACTTAGGTATGTGTACATACATTTTATAAATATCATGGGTGTCAGAAGGGTGGGACAGGTGGCATTCGCCCCTTCCAAAAATGACTGCAACATTTTGTTAACCAAAAAAAAACCGTATAATACTTAAATAGATAATTGTGACGTTTAAGAATCTTTTTTAGTTATGTTTAATGGAAGCAATAATAAGTTAATGTATAAATATGGCAAATTATCGCTAGACGATCGCATCGTTTCTCTCTCTATCTCTCTCTCTCTCACTCTCTCTCTCGCTCTCTCTCTCTATCTCTCTCTCTCTCTCTCTCTCTCTCTCGCTCTGTCTCTCTCTCTAACTCTCTCTCTCTCTCTCTCTCTCTTAGATGATTTATTTAAATATTTTTGAGAGATTGATTAATTGTTTTCAAGTATTGGATTTGGTTCAAAAGTAATAAGAGCAACTGAAATCGTCGAAAAAGATTAACTCAAGTTTTCAGTTATTTTTAACGTATTTTCTTAGATAACCCCAATTTTCCACCTGTACACCCCGCCCACCAATAAAAAAATTTCCCTTTACACGCCCTTGTTCAAAATACTCATTCGCACGTATATAATATAAATATTTATATGCAATATTTATTTATATTCGTAGGGAGTCATACACAATTTGAGAATCAAATATGAATATATGTATGATTTCATATATATATGTTGTATATTTTTACTTATGCATGCTTGCACATAATACTATAATTATAGCAACCATATTGCTCTGGCTGTACAAAAGGATATATGTATATTAACCAAAATTACTTAACTACATTTATGTGATTATTAATATTTGATGCAGTAGAGGGGATGATTGTAATTCGTTGGTAGTTTTTGTACGTACATATAGAGACAACAAAACAAATTTCGATTATATTTAACGTTTTATTGCTGTATATTTAACACACACGTACACATATACACATCCACACACACAACATGTATTTTTTGTTGTGCCGTGTGCATCCACAAATATAGACTACCAGTGTACAGAATCTTTCCAGTTTAGTCTGCAGCGTCTTTAACATACAGGAACTTCTTTACAAGTGTACCTTTTGACGGTATGTATGCTAAATACATACGCATATATATATATATATATATGTATACATATATATTATATTTACTTAAATTACTTAATGTTACCTGTTGCAGATAGAACATAATGCCTTTTGTTCCGGTTGAGACTCCCAAGTGCCCCGCATGCGGCAAATCGGTGTACGCCGCCGAGGAGCGTGTTGCTGGTGGCCACAAATACCATAAGACTTGCTTCAAGTGCAGTAAGTACATACACACATACACACACACATGCATACATGTGATCTAAAAAATTACTTTTATAATTCCTATCAAGGTATGTGCAATAAGGCTCTGGATTCGACAAACTGCACCGAGCATGAAGCCGTGCTGTTCTGCAAAAATTGCCACGGTAGGAAGTACGGACCCAAGGGATACGGCTTCGGCGGTGGTGCTGGCTGCTTGTCAACAGACACGGGTGCACATTTAAATAGAGAGTGAGTATTCAACTTTTTAGATTATATTTTTCATTTACAAATATTTATATAGTATAGAAAATATGAAGAACCTATACACATATTGTTAATGCTGCTATATAAATATTTTTTATATACAATGTATATTATGTGTGACTAATTGGTTGTACACATAAACAACAATAAGAGCATTATTTTTATTTAATTATAATTGATTGAGCTCATAATTAATGATTTATTTCTCTTTCACAATTTCAGTTAATATGGTTCCTGCCAATTGCCATTTGCTTAATTCAATTGTATCTGCGGGACATGAATCAGTGTTCATGTCTTGACCCTATGTGTTATATTTATCCTGATATGTGTGAAAATTATGGTAAAAAATATTTTTGTATTCATTTTCATTACTGACTGTAAATTAATAAAAGAAATTTAAAAAAAAAAAACAAATAAAAAAAACACTTAGTATAATAAACAGAAATATCAAAACGAAATCTTTAATATATCTATAAATAAAATACAGGTTATGTACACATTTGTGTGCTGTAAAACTAATGTACGATAAAATATGGACACACAGACTTGACTATGTAAATAATGTAATTCTTGAAGAGAACGTGGAATGAATAATTCTGTATATAATATGCAGAGCACGCTTTTTATTTATATGACTGATAACCAAAATATCGATAAATATCTATTTCCACCACTTCTTAGAATTTGTTGAGACTATTTGGGCTAAATATAGAATACAACTAAATATAGCAAGTAGCATACAGATAAAAATTGATAATAAATCAAAAATATTTTACATTTTAAAATACCTTCCACTGAAAAATTCTATTTTTGACATATGAAACATTTGAATACCATCTATATGCTCTATTGTCTACATGTATATAAATATTATTTATAGAATCACTTTCTAGTGTAGGGTAACGCCCACCTGAAGGGAAGGGTATTAAAAAACGATGGAAACCGAAGATATGAAGAAACTTGACCAAGCATTAAGTGTTATGCTTCAAGACACAGACTAAGAGTGAAATCGTAATATTCCAAAATGCTAAATGCGCTTCTACCCTGTATCCCGTAAAATCATATAATTATTGTGTACTTGTAATAAATAATTTTATTTTATTTATGTACATTTAAACACACTCTTTATCCACAAATTATTTATTGTTTTAATATAAAACAATCTTGAGCTGTATAACGTATGTGAGAATCTACTAGATTTTGGAAGAGCGAAATACCTCTTGTAAAAGTTGCGGGTCTCATATATGATTCATGTGGGCATACAGGGTATACATATCTTTTTTAATACAATAAATTTAAAATTAGTGTGGCTTGATTAATTGTATTGTTGGTAGCAGATTTTAAGCGGATTTTGAGAATATATATTATTAAATAAAACATATGTGAACATTAACACAACCAATATATTTTCCAGCGAGGCGTCCTTGTTTGCTAGTAAAGAACAAATATCAACATGTTCGGAAAGCCCTTTCAGTCATTTAACATTATACATATTTGCATAGGTAAATATAATATTTTATCTATAATATAGTATTCATGATATTGGCATCGGTAATTGTAATATTTAATCCATAAAAATGTTATACAAAATAACAAATATTAAATATAAATGATGCAATGTGTAAAAGTGAAAGTGAAAAAGAAAGTGAAGAAACACATATTTTAAATATCTTGAAACTTACCAGTCCCCAAAAAGGAAAGCCTGTAGACAAAATGCTTTTCTCAACCCATCAACCAACTAACCTTAGCCCTTACACCATCTAACTATCGACAAATATGAAATTTTCTTGAACAATTGTATTATATTAATTTGATTTCAGGAACTATCATTATTTTATCAATTACAAAGGTGTGCTCTGACAACATTCGATACAAAACCGGGGTATGTAAAGTTATGAATTTTAAGTGGCCAAAACATGGATTTAAATACATAATTTTAAATATATTAACAACTTTTTTTTTAAGATTTGGTCCATTGATCCGAAAGCTTTATATTTATACAATCAGCCAAGTAATTTTAGAAAACTATACTGGTATGCGACAAGAGCTCCACAATTTCCAACTAGAAAACAACGTATGGGGAACTTGCAAATAAAACATGTATATAGAAATGCTCCGCCTGAAATTGGTGCATCTTATGGAAAACGGATGAGGTATTGTCTTAATTCAAATCTTTATGAAAGCATCCTATTTTAGCCGAATTATTTCATCTCACAAACAAACCTACGTATACAATTTTGTGCTTTTCTCTTTTGCAGAAGTCCGTTTAAAAATACTTACGATGACGCGTCATTGTCATCGAATATTCTGAGAACATATATGACATCTGTTCGAATATCATCGACATCGGCAACAAAAACAACACCAAGCACAGCGTATATCAAGCCAAAACCACCTGTCTATCCGAACATAACGATTTGCAAACACAACAAAAATATTACTTCACATGATGAAGTGAAGGGCAGTATCAACGTAATACCTCAATTTCGGGGTCTTGAAACTATTTCGAACAGCATCAACGTGTTGCCCAATTTTCGGGGTCTTGAAAGTATATCAAATAGTATCAGTAATACAATCCCGCCAATGATTGAACCCCCATTCCAACCATATACAACACATAGCTATTTTACTCTTGACGATGTCATTGTTCCCAATTCTGCCAAGAACTTAAATTTCAATTACAAACCAGCTGAGGACAAAATTATATCTTATGACTCACAGCCACAAAATAGTTTTATTACTAAACAAACTAAACTATTTATTAGTTCGCCCATCGACATCTTTAGTACTACAACTAGTACAAGTACTACTACTATGGAGCCTGTTAGATCTACAGAACCTATACTACAAACTACTATTGGATTCCAACCTACGACTACAACTGTTCTACCAAATGTCGAAACAACTAAGGAATCTTTTAGCTTTTCAACTATAATTCCAACAGATATACCAAATGCAATGACTGATAGAAAAAAATCGTTAGTTGTTAGGGAAATCTTAAACGTTTTGGCATTAAATCGTACAGTTACCACGAACATACCACATACGATATTTGATAAAAAGAACTGGTCAACAAAAAAGAATATATCATTCCGAAAGAATCTAATGCCGATCACATTAAATGACGATTTTTGCTATAGCTGCGGCAGAAGTCCGTTAAAACTGGAAAACATAACCTTGAGCGATGTCCGATTCCCAAATATAAATGCATCGAAAATTAAAGAAGAAACTAACTCCACAAACGATTTGAAAAAAAATTATAGAAAGAAGATGAGTATAAAAATAATGGGTACAAAAATAAAGGCGACACAGAACAAAACACAAACGTTAACTAAAAATCAATACATACCGAATATATCAAGCACCACTGAATCGACACCAATTAAACATAGGCGGAATAGAACCAATTTTATTCATGTGAGGCGCAGAAAATTAGAAGCTAATGCGACAAGATTTAAAGCATACAATATTAGCCGATCAAATAGCCTGAATTCAAAAATATTGAAGCCCAAAACTGAATTAAAAACTCCAATATTAAACACCACAACTGAAAAAGTAATTTTGCGTGAAACAAGGAAAATAAATACAAAACCCAATAACAAAACTTTGGCAACTACAATATCTACTATAAGCGAAACAACAGCGCTAGCAGCAGAGTCGGCTATAATGACTATATCGAATACTAACGGTAGATCTACCCGACGACCAATGCGAACATTCCGTAAACATACTCCAGATGCCGATATTGCTGTTAGCCCCCCAATAGATATACTTCGCACCACTGATGTCCCACAGCTACCAATCGAAGTGTATTTTACCAAAATTAACAAAAATTAAATTTCAACAACAGATACGAAAATTATTTATCCAAAAACATATATGTATTACTAACCAAAGATTAGAGTATATTTATTTATTTATTTATTTATATATAACTTATTTTATTTGTAAAAATGGTTAATGTCTTCAAAAATATTTAATAAAAATTTGTGAAAATGTTTGCCTTTAGTCTGCCAATTAAAGAATAAAAAAATACCTTATTCAGAAAGTTTTTTGTCCAATTTTTCGAGCAGGTACAGGTACACAAGCCACAACACTTATTTTTAATAATTTCAATTGGAAAACAAATATTTTAACTTGCGAAGAATCATTGAGACTAGTTCCAAAATATTTAGCAAAGATGCACCGATAAAAAGGCCAATAACTCCCCCAATCGCAACTGAAATTAACCGAAATGAAATATTTATATATATGTATCTCAATTATTGCGATCAATATTGTAAACTTGGCTTTCAGTCACCTATGAGATCCAATGTGGTTTGCGTAACACTGCGATGGAATCTAACAGAAGGTGTACTGGCAATTTCTATTTCAACAATGTAATCATCATGCACTCCATTATATTCAACTGATCTAAATTGGGGGCGAAAAAACGGAGTTCTTACTTTAGGATAGCAAATCAAATATATATTTTTCCTGGCCAGATTGAGATCATCTCACCCAACATGGCTAATTTGTTGTTCCACGCACGAGGGCAAACAAACTAAATTGGCTCCCACATACTGCTTCACACGTTCTGAAATATCGGCTGGAAATATAGAAATAATCTCATTTTTAGTTGTATATTAATTTTTTAAAATAAATTGAATATGTTACCTTCCTCTAAACATTTGATTCCTTTCATAGAGCAGTCATTTTTATCTGTAGTAACAAATATATTGTAATAAAGACAAAAGTTCTCCAAGAGTAACAACATTTTTACCCGTTAAAGGATTAAATAAAGTACAATTACATGCTTTCATTTCCATGTTTGTTCTTATCTGAGACATACAACTGGAAAAGCTGAAATTATTAATCAAATACAGTTGAGCATTTTTAAAAGCCTGCAAAAATTGTATAGTCATTTTTTGCTTGCCTGTAAACGAAATGGGAATTGCTGCTTTCTGAAGGAAATTTGCACATACGTTGATCAACGTTTACTTCAATGACATCAGCGTTGTACTGCATCTCCTCAATATTAAAGGTGTGCGCAGTAATCTTATTTGTAGTAAGAAATCTCACTGCATTGAAATAAGGCACGTCCTCGGGACTATGAACATATACCTTTTTTTTTTAAATAAAAATTATGAAATAGTTACAACAAAACGATTTACAAATTGTTGGAGTTTTTGCTATAGTTTTGCGCAACTCTAGTGCACACTTTTTAAAGCCTATACAAAATCTTACTTGATATTTGAATATTAGTTGACCTTGCATTACTAATTTGAGTATCGGATGATGTTTTGTACTTGAGAATTTCAAGGGTAACAGATCCATATTATCACTGAAAATTGTTAAACACATGAATTTATTGCATTTAATTAGGCAATAATAAATGAAATACTTACTAATCCATTAAGTTGTTGGCCAAAAAACAGTATCCCATTTCCAGCTCATGAAATTTGAATATTGTTTCGCAGTCAGGCACCAAAGCATCCGAATAGTAAACCTTAATTATATTTTTACAAGAACGCGGTAGCAACTGAGAAAATAGTTATTAATAATTGGCACCAAAAGATTGGGATTAATATTCCTCTATCATTTTTTAGCTACATTGTTTCTCGAGTTTCTCTATTTAAGATGATAACTAAAATAATGTAATATGTACCTCTCTTCTCAAAATTCTTATATCAACGCCACATGTTGAATTATAGCCCCGACAATATGCTTCTTTAATATTCATGTTCTCAGGGCTTAAAAACAGATAGTCGAAGATATTTCGACGATAAATAGCTGTCTGGGTTTCGTTTCCAGGAATGCGTTCTTGGATGAATTCTGCAAAATCTTCAGTTATCCTATTCTTCACCAAACATATGCTAACCGATGGAAAAGTGTTTGTCCAATGAATATAGCTCGTTGTTACTCCGATGCTCGTTAAGTCTGTATGAAATCTGGCCATTATAAGTATAAATATTGCAGCCATATTCCATCCAGAAGCACTTATGACAATTAACCAAAATAATCTGTGAACTGAGTGTTATTAAGCCAACCAGATATGACTGTACATTTAACAAATTACCTTTTGTTATAAAAGTTAATTTTAAGAAAATCAATGCAACTATTGTGTTTCATCGTTAAGGAAAGCCTTCCGACTGGAAAAAGCTTTGAAAAATCTATAAATTTACCCCGTTATTGTCGGGTTTCGTGTGTAAAATAGTGGATGGGGCTTAATGCAGGAATTAATCTACTAATTGAACAATACTATATATAATTATTTCAGTTATTGCATGACTTTTATTCATTATTGTTTGCTTAAATTATAAGTTGCCATGAAGAAAACATATGTAAAGTTGACAATTATCAACGCTTCTAATTTATTAGTAGTTATTTCTGTCATTTAAAATAAACATATATATATATATATTTAAAAATGGATACAATTAAAGTATTACAAGCCAACTGAAGGAGAGAATAGCGATATCGATTTCTTGCAACCTTAAATCAACCAATGCTATTAAATCGATTTTAATCGAACGATTTATTTTTCACCATGAACCATGGCTTGAAGCGACGTGAAGCAGTTTTAAAACATCCATATAACTTTATATTGGCCATACAAAACAAAATTAGAGTATGACAATTGAACTCTAAGATATTAGATTTAATTGGAATTCCAGTAAATCGAATGGCAAGAGAAGGGCCCATAGAAGTTAAGAAGTCCTCTTCATGCTGTAAGCAAATGTTGAGTAGAATACATCTTTATGAAGAATTGGTAAGCGAATAGTCTGTAATCCTTAAAAAAAAAATGCAACTTAAGTATTCCAATTACGTAGGCTGAAAATATACCTAATGTGGGTCGATCTAAGTCAAATAACGGGTAAGTAGATAACGGCAAGGTTTCAAATTATTTCTGTATTTAATATATATTTTTAAATGTTATATGGGATATTTAAATAAAAAAGATCGATTTTCCTTAACCGTTAATGATAGAGTAATTCTCGATAGCACTTTCGAAATGATAAAGGAACTTATCTATAAGGAAGAAACTACCATTTTGATATGCTCTCTGGCTCTACACAATCCACCGAATACGCCACGATGCACAAATTGCATCTACTGCAAAGGTGTACAAAAATGTCTTTCAATGAATAATATCAGTTCGAAGCGCGTTGAAAAGAATTTAACGTGTCAGTCACGCGATCATATTGAAAACATTATAATAAACGATTTATATAATGAAGACGCGCTTTGGCAAAATGTTCATTGTCAAGAGGGCGAAGTTCTTAAATTATTAATTGAGGAGCTGGTAATACAGTATATATATAAAATATTAAATAAATATTAATTAAACAAACATATGAAGTTATGAATGTATTGTACAACTAAAATATATTGAACAATGTTTTAAAAGTGAAAGTATTATCTTAATGTTGATTAATTAATTGATTACATTAGTTACCGCTTCATCTCACAAGAAATTCACATTTGTTCTACATATTTATATTATCTATGTTTATTTATTGGATATACATTTTATCTGTTTTGGAATGACAATCTAAGCTTATTTGGTATTTAGTGCTACTTCTCAAGAGAATTTTCTAGTCTAATAAATAAATAAGTCAAAATTTATTCAAGAAATAATTATTAAAATGATTACTTCTTTTATTGGGAAGACCATTCATTAATGGAGTAAGTACTTCCCATATACGGTTGCTGACGAATCGATTCGTTATTTGTTTGATGATTTCCAACTGCATTCCATGGTTGTCTAGGAAACGCATTCGAGTTAATGTATGGTGCGGGATTGCCGCTGTAACCAGCCGTCGTGTGAAAGTTGGAATGATAAGGGGCAAAATTAAAATGTCCATAGGGCGCATAATTATTAAGATGATAGTTGGTTGTTGAGGCTGCATTCTTATTTTCATAGTAATTGTAATATTGGGGAGGGAACGAATGTTGAACATTTTTACTTGCAAAATATGAGTTTTCCGCTAAATCATTATTGGGAATCATTGTCTGCGGATGCGTTGAATTCGATGGGATACTATTAATGGAACTATTATAAGATTCGACGCCAGGCAACTGTGCTTCGTGCTTGTACGGCTGTTGGTGTTGTTGCTGCTGTTGCTGTTGTTGTTTCTGATAGTCTACATTTTCCGGCTGCTGGTGCAGAGTTGGTGGAATGCTGTTTAAGCCTTGAATTTGATTACTGTTTTGCATTATTTGTGGTTTAGTTTGCTGATGATTTTCCAAATTGCTGGTTCTCGTAAAGGCTGGCTCTAAAGACGGTTGAATGGGTAAGCACTCTTTGCTTATCGCGTCTTTTGTGTTTTCTCCAGTTGATGTGGTGTCCATCGGTTTTTCTAAAATTAATTAATTACAAATTTGAAGTCATTTTGTGCTACTTGTTATATCAAAATGTATTTTCATACCTGGCTCAGGCGTTTTCGACTTCGGAACATCAGTATCGCAATCGGATGTAATATCAATTACGTCTTCTTTGCTGGTCTTTTCATCATCCGGGCGCTTGGATGTTGTTCTGATTGCGATAATCTTACCACTATCTAATTGCATATAGATTCCTTTCGCTGACTTCAGCACCATAACTCTTTGTCCAGCTTTGAGTATTATATTAGATTTCTCTGATGAATTTGTTGGTATGACAACGTCTAAAATAATAGAATCGTATCATTAATAGAAAACGTTAACTTGCCAGCCTGTTTTTTAAAGGTGTCCTTGCTTACCAAGGGGTAACGTCATTTCCTGAGCAGTCATTCCCTGTCTTTGCCACACTTCAGCAGGAATCCAACGAGTTGACCGACCTCCACTTGGAGCGTTTGTTTTCTTTGCTTGTATGGGTTTAATCTATAAAAATGATATAAGGTAAGTATATCTCACAAACCAAAATATTTGTTACATCATTTTTAGCTTAAAGCATATTTGTTTATCTATTTTTTGAATACTTACTGAGGCCACTGGGCGAGTAATAACAGTACCATCCTGGTTAACAATTTTATATTGCATTTTTCCTGAGGCATAGGTTAATTTTTGATTTACAGACGCCTTCTTTTCGAGCTCGTAACTGCGGTGTGCCTGTCTTTTTTCAGCTTGTGATAGCTTTCGATCTTTTTGATCAACTAGTAAGCTTTCATGGAGGAAAGGATCTTTTGTTATATAGTTTTCATGTAAATCAACAATTGTATTAATAATCGGATCCAAATGCGTCGTTGAGTGAACAAATTTTTCGTCTTTTATTTTAGCAGTCGTTGCTCCAGGAGGTTCGCCCAATTCATTATTTTGTGTGGTGGTTGCTTCATTAGACTTCTGACCTTCACCATCCGTTTGCTGCTCATCATCTGAGCTATAATCGTGGCACAAGTTGGTTATCTCTTTCATCGATAAATGCGCCTCTGGATTACATTCATCAACGATTCGATCAGACATTCCTTGTTTCTTAATTTGCCTGTCATAGATTTTCTTTTCCAGGCATTTATCCATTACAATTCTGTACACATAGCATTGTTTTGTTTGTCCGTATCTGTAATGCAAAATATTTTTGGGTAATTCCAATAAAATAATTTAAAAAATATATATTATTTAAATTGTACCCACCTATAAATCCTATATACAGCTTGGGTGTCATGACAAGGATTCCAGCTGGCATCAAATATGATAACTCTGTTCGCACCAGTCAAATTAATACCCAAGGAACCGGCTCTTGTAGATATTAGGAAAAGCTTAATATTACGATTCGCATTAAACTCATTGACGAGCCTTTCTCTTTCTTGCGACGAAGTCGAACCATCTAAACCTGTAAATAAACGAAAAAGATAAGTTTAGATAAGTTACAATTCTTTCGATTCGAATACTTACGAAAATATGAAACATTTCGCATCCAAAAGTTTGTAGTGCATGGTACAAAGCTTGATTTGAGAAACCCTTCGATTAGATTTAGTGTCAATAGACTTTGACTGAACAACAATATTCGATCACCCATAAAAATGCTCTCTTTCATAATGCAAAAGAATATTTCCATTTTAGGTGATGTCGATATTTGGCCAGGGACGTAGTTTTTCATTATGTCCAGTGCCCAGGAACATGAAAATTCATCATTAATTTTTTTTGGCTTGAACGTTTTTTTATTCGTGTCGTTAATAATACTGGTGGTAAGGCCTTGTTTCGTTGAATTGCTATTTTCGATGGACTTTAGCTTTTCGCAATCAATATTTTTTTGGTGATTAATGGAAGTAGGCTGAACGATTCTTTCAACTGTTTTGATTTCATTCGTATCCAAGTCGACTATTTCGGAAGAGCCGGGAATAGTTTCAAAGTCCTTAGCCATATTCGAATCGGTTTGCTTTATGACTTCAACATAGCTTGGTTTCGGTAGTATATTTGCATCCAACCAATAATTGCCTCCTCCTTTCGCTTCCGTGCTATAAGTACCCATATTGAGTTGATGATCCTCTTTTTCGGCACCATATTGCTCGCAACTAAACATAAAAGAAAAAAAACATATAATATAACATTATGAATTTGAAATTAAAACTAATATTACCTTTTATTAGCATAGATTTTATTTATCTCTGAGGTATTATTATGTACACGATCATTGCTTCCATTGTTAACTTGCGGAGGAATCATTGGGGCAGTATTTGTGTCGATGACACCAGTTGGATTTGGATCGACGACGGGGATTGTGGTGTTGCTCTTGGTATCTTCATCAATTTCTAAATCTAAATCAGTCTCACATTTTTTTAGAAAGTTGTATAAAACATCCGGATGATTCCATATCTTACAACAGACGGCAAATGCCTTCAATGGATTTGGAAATGCCTTTTTGCGCACAACATCCGTCATAAAGGTATCGTAAAGCTTTCGTTGAAATGGAGTCATTCGCACAAGGATAACATATTCCAATTTCTGTGGCAGAGTGCATTGCAACACAGTATGCGAGCGGCGTTGAACGAACCCCAAGAGTAAGGAGTGAAGAACATGAGCTCGATATCTCATTAGCTTGATATCATCGGGTGTTGAGTCGACACACTGACCATTCTGTATTGGCCTCTCGAACATATTGCAAAACTCCGTGCGTGTGCCCAAATAATTTGGCCGTACAAAATCCACCATACACCAATACTCGAGCAGATTGTTCTGCAAAGGGTATCCGGTTAAGACTATGCGTCGACGGGTGCGTATTTGCTTGAGGGCAAGTGAGATGCCAGCATGTGAATTTTTGATTCGATGTCCTTCATCACAAATGACCAAATCGGGGCCAGGTTTAACCAACGCCTCAAAGACCAGGTTCATTAAATCTTTACTCGAATCCATTGCATCGTTGTACGAGTTTTTGCCTTTCTTCTTGCGTGTCGTGACCAGCTTCAATGCCAGTAACCGAAACAGTTCGTAACCAATTAGTAAAACTCCTCCCTTGTGCACCCAATTCAAGATGACCTTTGCCCGTGCAGTGAGGTTCTTCTGTTGGTCGTTTAGCACAAAGATGTCAAAATTGCGGGGACGCACATTCATGTCGCCAGTTTGTCGTGGAATCCACATGTTAAATTCACTTAACCAATTTTGTAATGTATTTATGGGCATAACGCATAGAACTGTCTTTGCGGATGTGTGTCTTAAAAATATATCACAGAAGGAAACAACTTGTAAGGTTTTGCCAAGTCCCATGGAATGAGCAAGGATACACCCAAATCCGCTTGATTTATTGAATCGACGCGTCGATTCAATAATATTGTCATATAAAAATCGTACACCGCCGATTTGATGGGGTTTGATTACTTTGGCTATCTGTGGAGCCAAATACAATGTTTCTTCACCTTCAGGATGTGCAATATTAACAACAACGCGTCCATATTCATCGGGGATATTATATATATCCTTAACATGCATCCCACTGTTTGTCGCATCTTCGCTTTCATTCAAATCATCCTCCTCCTCTTCCTCCTCCTCCTCGGACAACAATATGCAATCATCATCGGAACTATCATCGATTGTGACAACTTCGTTTGAGGGCTCGGTGCCAGTTTCCTTATCGAGAACCTCATCATCATCAATGCTGCAGCTTAAACTACTATTTGTTTCATCACACGTTACGGATGCCAAATCATCTTCGGGTAGGACAATAGTGTTATTAAAGTGATTTGCCTGCGAGTTACAGTTCACATCATTCGACTCATCGATATTTAAAATACGAAAGATATTCTTGTGTACAACAGATTTTCGGATTTCCCGCATCGATTTCTGCTGTCCGGCAACGCGGGCCAAACGTTCAGCTTCCTCTTTCTGGGCTGCCAGAGTAGTTGTATCTAAATTATTTTCATTCATCACATCTCGGATATTTTTCCGAAGATGATTATTTTTCTTCTCCTCGATTGCTGACAATATGCCCTTCTTAGTGCTTGTACTTTCATCCGTTACAACGGAATTCTTTCGTTTCTGTCCATGTCCATATCCATGGGGTGGAACAATCGAGTTGTGTATCAAATCTTTTGACACTGCTCCACCACTACTCACACTTTCTATAGTATTAGTGTACGACTTTAATACTGCGGGCATCATACTACTACTACTACTACATTCACTAATTCTTTCGATGTGATCCAAGGCTTGATTTGCGATTGGGATTGGGATTGTGATTGGATTTGTGATTGGGTTTGGGATTGGATTTGTGATTGGATTTGTGATTGGGTTTGGGATTGGATGTGTGATTGGGTTTGGGATTGGGTTTGTATTTGGGTTTAGATGGTTTGGTGGAATCACATCGGAAGTGCTCAACATCATTAACGGCGATTTATAATTGATTACATTTAAACAAGACGACTCTGACTCATGCATATTTTGATTTGGATTTTCGATAAGACTTGTATTCTGATGATGAGGATGAAGATGATGAACCAACGACTTATCGATCATATTTGCATTCTGATGTTGAACCAGCGACTTTTCAATTAGACTCGCATTCTGATGATGATCCAGCGATTTTTCGATTAGACCTGTCGTCTGATGAACCAGCGACTGATTTCCATCCTCCATGTTGGTGCTGTTTTTTTTTTTAATATTTTGCTTGCCTAAAAATTTTAAAATTAAATTAGTAACTCATTAACATTCCAACAAACAATTTTACACTTAATTATAACAATGAGAAGTTAGTAAGGAGGACAGCGGAGATATTAATAAAAACACCTGCATCTCATCGGCTGAATATTTTAAAAGACTTAATCATCATCTAATTTAATACCTTTAACTTTTACTTTAAAAAGAGTATTTAATTTTCGGCACAGAAAATAAAACTCTTCTGTGAAGACCTTGTACCCAAAATCATATGTTTGTATGCATACTTAAAACAAGTATACAAATTTATAATCTAAGTCTATAAAGTTTGTAAGGCTCTAGCTTATCGGCATTTTTCTGGATATATAGTAATTAGTTGATTAATTTGAACGTAGGGAAATTGATGCTAATAGGCTGGAGGTTATCGGGAATTCGACTTACAGGTGACAAACTTTAACAATTCAAAATGCAACAAAGGTTTGCCTTCCCCTCCAAAAATATACCCGTTCGACATAAGCAAATTAATAAAGTCGAATATCCAATTCAGTGAATATTTAACGAAACTCTAACAATATATATGTATATGAAGAATTTAAATATGCATATGTAACTACATTGTTTATTTTGAAGTGAGTACCTACCAAATGCAGATTATTTATAGAACACTCCTGACGTCGCCGTTTACATACACATCAATATATTTTCTGTCGAATTTCTATATGGCATTTTGTTTGGATATTATGGGTGTTTGCTTGGGCACACTTAAGCACATATAACATCAGTTTATATATACAAAATACATTAATTGCCGGCCAATCAAATTAAAATACAATTTTTAGTTTACACCTATATATGTATGTACGCATGCACATATCTGTTCAAAACTATGCAAACACATCGTTTCTTTCGTTGTAATCTTGGCGTACACATATAAATAAAATGGTAGACCCACAATTTGTGATAAGTCAGATATCAATTGTAATTATCTTTTAGTTTCATGTAGATTTTCTTTTTTCACTGTGGAAATATGTATATCCACTGTATTCTAATAATTACATATGTACACACAAACATGGCCTGGAAAACTATCGATATATCGTCTATCTCAATTCTATTCTTCTTGAAATTTAATTATATAGTACTTGGTTCCGACCAATGAGTACTTGTCGCATTCCCTCTTCAAATTAAAAACACAAATTTCGATTTTAAAATCTATTTAAATATAACCATTGAACATATTACACTCCCATAAAACCTACCTGGTTTCCAAAGCAATGATTTTTAAAATGATGTTCTCACATCTTCAAAAATTGTGCATTTCAGTTAAGAGCACGAATTTTGTCTGGAATAAATGCACAAATTCTAAACCAAAAACTCCACTTGGAGTTGCGAAATTTCCAGATTCATAACCTATTCCAAACTTAAACGATTTTTAAAAGTAATAACTCTTTTATCATTTCTTATATGCCCAACTTAAAGTGACAAACCCTATGTTCGGTAAAATTTAGATATTTTAGAACTAATAATAATAATGTAAGCTGATTTAAATACTAAATTTAACTTTAAATTTTAAAAACATATATTGACAATTTGATGATTTGCTGAAGCATCTTTAAAGGTGTTTCATTCCATTTTAGATTTTCTCACTTTGACGATATTTCGATAACTATATGTATTTGCTGATCAACTCTGTGTTTGACAACCGGAAGGTGACAAAACCCATCTCTTTCCTTTCCTTTTTAATATTGGTCTGTAAAATACGTGTTGTATTTTTCTTGGTTTTGTAAATAAGAAATACAACGTGAGTAAAAATAGCCGATTAATTGTGGGATTCATGTTAGTAACGCAATATATTTCCACACAGATGCCACGTGAAATCAAGGAAGTGAAGGATTTTCTGAACAAAGCTCGGCGCACCGATGCTCGTGCTGTCAAAATAAAGAAGAACCCAACGAATACCAAGTTCAAGATCCGTTGCTCACGTTTCCTCTACACGCTTGTGGTCCAAGACAAGGAGAAGGCCGACAAAATCAAGCAGTCCCTGCCACCAGGTCTGCAGGTGAAGGAAGTCAAGTAGACGCGTCTTAACCTATCTTCTTCGGGCATTATCTTTAAAAATATGTTCTGTATGGAATAAAACACATGGACAAGATGTAAAATATATATTAATGGGATCTTTATTTGCCTGTTTAAAAATTGTGAGAAATTCATAAAATGGTTCATTTTGCTGAAAAGTTCTTATTAGTGAAGGCGACATTTGTTTTTGAATGATAGTTTGTTTTTTCACCCGCCGCAATTGCTTTCCAAAAATGATTTCATTCCAGAGCCCAATCTATCCAGTCAAAAATATTATACTATTTATACCAATATTGAACTGAGCAAGTAAAGCTTTCAGTCATAAAACTCGCTATGCGTTGACTATGAGTATAACTTTCCTCCTTTTAAAAAGACCTGGGTAAAAATTTTAATATGCTTGCAAACATTCCCTTAAATGATTGGTACTCAAGTTGTCATTTTAATTTTCTTTATTTATACTGAAAATACAAATTATGTAGAAAATTCTCATACAAATTGGCGATCTTGACCGGATACAAATTGTAAATCGCTGATACATGCATGTTAATATTTTTGTAATTTAAAATGCGCTGCACAGAGATTTATGTGTTGTTCCTGCAGTCTATTGACGATCAGTAGCACGAAGCTTCTCCTCGACAGCTTCACGGGAAGCCTCTGATAGATCAGTAGCTTGTATATACTTTTGGACGCCGACCAATGATTTCTTCAAAGCATCAAAGGAGCTCGAGTACAACATCTTCTTCTTAACCTGTAAAACATAGATAGGAGCGTTAATATGTTGGGCAAATATTAAAAAGAAAAAAATTAAAATACCTTAGCAGTATCGGGACACCATGACATGAGGAACAACTTTTGTTTCTTTGAGCTCTCTGACGTGCCTTGGCATTGGTGCATATATTCAAAATCGAATAGACCATATCTGAAAATAAAGACACAAACATGTAAATTATTAAAGTAAAATATATATATGATATATATATATATGAAAGCTATATTTTGCAATTGTAATTTATGTCGGATTAAAGACTTTTATGGATTGTGATTTCTTACCGGCATTCTCCAGGTCCGCACTTCTGGATATCTTCTAGAAACTGATCGTATTCACTGTTCCGGTCACCAACAGTTTCAACATCAATTTGCTTCTCATCGCGAATGTAGAAAATAACATAGCGGTGTTTTTTATCCTTTTTGATTTCCTCGTATGTTGTTTTGCATACATCCGATACAGTAACTCCAGAAGCCTGTTAACAATAATAATAATAAATTAAAAATAGTAGCGTTTTTTTTAACCAAATATAAGAAAATTATTGTTTGTCTAATGGAAAATAAATAGTAAATCGATAGCTAAAGAGTTGCAGACATACGGTATATATAGATGCTGAATATATATACATATATTTTATAGCAACAGAAATTTCTCGTGAAAGTTGCGCACACATTTGCACGTTTTAAAACACCCCTTCAACCGTTTGGAATGGGTACAGGGTATACATACATACAACATATGCAAAAAAATTGTGTATGTAGTTGTAATTGTACAGTAAAATTTGCCGGCAAAACGTGTTTTAAGTTTGTATATATATATATATATGTATATATACATACGATAAGTATGTTTGGAATAATTTACTCATCAATCTCTATACAAATGTACATAAACAAATTTCTCATTTTTTTTTTTACATCTTTGTTTGCAATTTGCGAAATGCTTACCAAATATGGACATACAAATGTACGTTTGTGCAAAGGTAATCGGCATTACCCACACACACTCACTCACAGCCACATGCATACACTTGAGAAAATTTTGATTTGTACGCATAAATACACATATATATATATATATGTATATATTTTTATACATATTCCATAGAAAGTTACATCTAATTTGCACCTGCAACAATACGTCTGCAAAAAATATGCACGCAGACGTACATATATATGTTTATATATATATATATACATCTTCGCCTACTGGCGGATGTACGTAACCGCCGCACATATTGATATCTTTGGAATTAAATACATATGTATGCCGAATATTACTCAGCCTGTTCTGACTAATTCCCCCGTGTATGTATATATAATACATATACTTGATACATATGCATGTATCCATAAATATACATATATGTACGTACAACATTTTATATGTATACATACGAGCATATATATATATATTTATATGTATTTGGATTATTGCTGGCTCTCTATGCTCTAAAATCATTATTACACACACATACATATATAGTCGGCCTTTTCTGGATTCATATAAAAATATATGTACATATATATACGTATATATATGTATGTACATTAACGCAATTAAAAATATTTTTAGTGTATAGCGAACCGTTGCCAATCCATGTATGTACATACATATTTATGTGTAAATGAATCATCGTATTTTCTGCACGATGTATGTACATACACGAATGTCTGTAGACATACATGTGCATATATACACATCTCTTAAAATTAAATGTTAAATTTGATATGTAAGTAATAAATTACGCTAGATGCCCTTACCATTTTCTCTTTCTGTAGAATGCGAGTACTTTTATTAAATTTGAAAATCAATTGCAATCTGTGTATGTATAAGTATAATACACAAATACTATTTAGCCTTTCGACCGCAACGAACAACCGGACTAATCAATTTGGGTGGTGGTTCCAATGCATCGATTTACGCATGAGTTGCTCCTCTGATCGAAATCGTATGCGATATATTTCCCTCAGTTGAAACGAATCGACAAATATGACGCTTCAGGCCTAGGCGACTCAACGTCAAAAACAAATGGGAACATTCGAATCGAAACAACTTTTGTAACAACATTTACAAATTAAGTTGAATACTTTGCGTTAATTTTTTTTGTAGACATTTAAACAAAATGAAGGATATTTCTTATAATCGGTTGCAGATCCATCTAGGATACAATCGATGTTTCACGTTTTCATAAAATTTCAATTAACACAAACTACCAAAAATTATTCTGACTGCGTTTGCTAAAATCTATCAAATCTGTCTGAAAAGTGACCATGCGTGGAATTGCAATCAGTTGTTAATAGTTTTGGTTATTCTGTCATTGAAAGGCTAACTGCTACTTTCTAATTAAGTTGATTTTAACGACTTATAATTTATAAAATTGAAATGTTACTGTGCCGTGTTATAGCTAAATTCAAAAGTACACAAGCATGTGAACCATTCCGAATGGTTGACTTTTCAGTGTTATTAATATATATATATTAATATATAAGTTAATATTTCTACGTTAATTTTCACCTTGTTTGAAACTTTTTGGGTGCACTTATATATTAGACTATAGTTTTTCATAATATATTTCTAAAGGTATCCATACATATTCTTGCATGTTCCATATTCCATAATCCAATATCGGCGCTAATTTTATTGGTTCACGTGAAGTAACCAAACACTTACTTGGACCAACTCCGATTTTGAATAAGTATGCAAAAAAAAAATAATATTGCCAAAGTATTGTTCGAGGAGGCTTAAACTCAGATCTAGATTCGTGTCGTTTTTTCAAAAAATATGTATATAAACATATCTTACTGGTACTTCTAAGGTGGGTAACTGAATCAATCCTAATCAAAACTGTACTTAAAAGTACGTTGAACATAAAATAAAGATACAAGTGCATAATTTGTATAGATCTTTATACATGTATAATACATACGTGTGTATTTCTATGTGTATGTGTGTGTAAAATGAAACATATTCAAATTTATAAACAATGCACAAGCTGTGTCAAAAATATCACACTTAACTTAAGACACCAAAGTATTTGAATGCAAAAATAATGGTTAGCTGGTAAATTTGTATGTACATGCATTCATACAAAAGAGTGACTGTGAAAAATCGATATTTCTTAGCATGTACATTTGTACGTATGTAAGTAAAAATATATGTATTTATACATACTGTGTATTTACGTGTAGTTTCTAAAACCCGCTTTATTCAAGTACGTATCAAATGACTCAAACCAATTGAAGTAATTACAATACATTAATTAACTATTTTCCTTTTATACATTGTATGTGTTTAAGCATTTATACATTTGTAATAATTGTTCTTTGTGTAAATAGTTACATCAATTGCAAAGTATGTCTGTACATACTCATGCACAATTGTCTATATGCATATTATTTATCTAAACATGTACATATGTACATTACATGAAGGGGCGTGGCCTTCTGTGTATGTATGTAAAATCTGCTGGAATACGAATATATGTACATTTGTACATCGCTTGACAATGTACAATTTACAGTGACTCATAAAGTAATTCGACCAAACTTTTTTGATAAAATCATAGTTTAGCGGCTACAAAAATAAAAAACCAAAAAAAATTAAAAATTAAAATTTTAAGTTGATTTTCAATTGTAAGTTGCTCTTTTCTTCACCGAGTAAATAAATGGTATTTGCAAACCCAAGGAAAGTTGGTCGACGATAAGATACCCCCTAATTCTTAGACACTTCCCTAAGGCAATGGACTTCATCGTTAAGATGAAAACTGATACTTGAAATGTAAACTCTATAAAACTACAAATTTTCCGATATGGGGTTGATAGTAAAACAGTACAATATTCATGATCTTCAGAATATATATAAAATTTTAAACTTTAAGATATGTGCGATATTTATAAATTTTTTTGGATTTAGCCGAGTTATAGAATGAATAAAATAAAGGTTTCCTTTCACTCATAAGTATTGCATTTTCAATATAATATTTTAATTAAATATGTATTTTACATTATTGGAAAATGTGAGCGGAAGTGGTAAAAGGCTATTCTTATTATTATTATTTTTATCTGTATACGTTTTTATAAATATTTTGATTTACTTCATTTGTTGCAGGAGATTTCGAGAACTACGTCTAAGATGAATTCGCAACAAAATTCGAATATTGAGCAGTCGCTGGTATCGGAAACGGGTCATGTCCAGACCCAATACACGGCTTTTCAAAACTTCGAGCAATACACAGCAGCCGGGTATACAAATGCACCGTTGTATATATCGAAGCCGACGGGCATGGGAACTCTTACGCGTATAGCTCCGCACTGCTCGACAATTGGGTCGCAAAGTAAAATCGAGACATCGACTCAAGAGGTGAGCATGCCGCCGGGTATGGAGGGACATACTTTGGTCCCGACCGTCAGATATATACAAGCTCCACAATTCGATGAAGCACCCGATTTTGGAATACCTGGCCTACCGCCCTGTGGCATGGTAGAACCCCATTACACAGACGAGCCGGCAATACCCTATGGCTATACATCGGATGCTGCCAATTACGGCTTGCCGGGCGTCAGTGCAAATATGAAACAGTTTGCAACGCGACCCTTTGACAATAATCTAAATGGATCCGAATCAGCTATCGATTCGCAATGTCGCTCTTTTGTTGAGGGCCAAGGTGATTTCAAATTGACACCATTTGCCACAAACTCACTGAACACGGTGCCGCCCCGAATCGCTGACAAAGAGGATTTCATCGGTGGCTCCGACAGTGATCTGTGCTCAACAATGCGATGGCGCGACCCAAACCTATCCGAAGTAATTAGCTTTCTCAGCAATCCTAACAATGCGATCAAAGCAAATGCTGCTGCATATCTGCAGCACTTGTGCTACATGGATGATCCCAACAAACAGCGGACAAGAACATTGGGAGGAATACCACCATTAATACGATTGTTGTCATACGATGCCCCAGATATTCATAAGTAAGTTTTGGTTATCTTTTGATATTTGTTATAGACATACACTAGGTCAAATAAGTGTTTTGACAATGGAAAATGTTAATATTTTCCCATTTCCTTTGCAAAGAAATGTTCTTAAAAATTGTCTGTTTATTTTATATTTTTTTTCCCCATTTTTCAAAAATGTAATGAAGTTTTTACAACTAAGTAAAAAAAAATGAGTAAACTGAGTAGTTCAAATGAACTAATTCAAAACGATTCGACACATCTCCGGTATTGTTTACGTGCTTTGATTGACTAACACGAAGCGATCGCTAACACACTCAACGTACAAAAGAGAAGATAACATTTTATTACCGTTACCCCAGGCTCGTAGCATGCTCGTGACGAAAAGAGATGGAGACATTTGTTTCTCTCCCCTTTTGGTTTTCGTGCTTCGCTTATAATCAGTTCATGTCTTTCAGCAATGATCGTTCCCCTTGATTTTAATCGTCCCGTCCGCGACTCGTGAGCGAACAATTGATTGAATTGTATTATACCAAAAATATTCAGATCATGATCAAGCACGATCTATAACGCATACCTAATTTTAATAATTTTTATTTTGTTTACATATCGAAAATGGTTATTATATTTTAATTTGAAATCTAAATGGATTATTTTAAATAGAAATGCTTGCGGCGCTTTGCGCAATTTGTCATATGGACGCCAGAATGATGAGAATAAGCGTGGCATAAAGAATGCTGGCGGAATCGAAGCATTGGTGCATCTGCTATGCCGATCGCAAGAGACGGAGGTCAAGGAATTGGTGACCGGAGTCTTATGGAATATGTCCTCGTGTGAGGATATTAAACGGTCAATTATTGATGAAGCGCTGGCTGCTATAGTTTGTAACATTATAAAACCGCACTCGGGCTGGGATCCCATCTGCTGCGGCGAGACATGTTTCTCAACAGTATTTCGCAATGCATCCGGCGTACTGCGCAACGTCAGTTCGGCCGGAGAACATGCCCGAGAATGCCTTCGTAACTGCGAGCACCTGGTGGAGTCTCTGCTCTACGTGGTGCGATCTTCCATTGAGAAGAATAACATTGGTAATAAGACCGTTGAGAATTGCGTTTGCATTCTTCGCAATCTATCGTATAGATGCCAGGAAGTTGAGGATCCCAATTACGACAAACATCCATTCATTATACAAGAGAGGGCGGTTCCATCGTCTTCCAAAGGTAAATACGTATACTTTTTTTTTCTTATATTATTTGTTTTTGTTTTTATTTGTTAATATATATAAATATATATATTGATTTTGATTTTGCAGGCGAAAATTTGGGCTGTTTTGGAACAAGTAAAAAAAAGAAGGATGTGGCCTTAAGTGAGTCGCAACAGGACTACATATTCTCCACCGAATATGCAAAGAATGCTGGAACCCATAATAAAACAAACAAGGGATATGAACAGCTTTGGCAACCGGAAGTGGTGCAATTCTATCTCTCGCTACTGCAAAGTTGTTCGAATCCGGAAACACTTGAAGCCGCTGCTGGCGCAATACAGAATTTATCCGCTTGCTATTGGCAGCCGAGCATTGATATTCGCGCTACCGTGCGCAAGGAGAAAGGACTTCCGATACTCGTCGAACTCTTGCGGATGGAAGTGGATCGTGTCGTTTGTGCAGTTGCGACTGCATTGCGCAATCTTGCTATCGACCAAAGGAACAAGGAGTTGATCGGCAAGTATGCAATGCGTGATTTGGTCCAGAAATTGCCATCCGGCAATGCGCAGCATGACCAAAATACGTCCGACGACACCATCACAGCCGTATTGGCCACAATCAATGAGGTCATCAAAAAGAATCCAGAATTCGCACGATCCCTTTTGGATGCCGGAGGTGTGGATAGGCTAATGAATATAACCCGACGCAAGGAACAATATACGACTTGTGTGATCAAGTTTGCCAGTCAGGTGCTGTACACAATGTGGCAGCATCACGAGCTGCGCGAGGTCTATAAAAAGAATGGATGGAAGGAGCAGGATTTTGTTAATAAACATTTTGCAGCACACAGCACCCCGCCAAGTTCACCAAATAATGCTAACAATACACTTAATAGACCAATGGCATCTCAGGGACGAACGCGCTACGAGGATCGAACGATTCAGCGTGTCCCGAATTCGGCATCCTATCGAAATAAGGATGCATCTGGAGGAGGAGTAGGTGGTGGAGGAGGAGGTGGAGGAGGAGCTGTCATCACCAACAACGATTCAGCATTGTTGTCGGAAATGGTTCGAAAACAATTATAAAGTGTATATTTGTTTGTTAATTATTTTATTAGTTATAGATACATACTCACTATATAGTATAACTCTTGAAATTATCGAGAGCTGACAAAATATTTGTGGTTTTACTCTGGGGCTTTATAGTTTTTCCAAGGTAAGGCGCTAGTTGTACGAACAGTTGGCATAGTTTTCAAAATAAGAAAAGTGTTCTTTTTCTTTTCTATCTTTTTATTCGAAATTCTAGTTGTTCCATTTCGAGTGTCATCATCATATATAGTATACATCAATTTACAATTTCAAGCAATTTGATTGAAATGAAAACTTAATATACATATCAACGCAATTTAAAAAAATTTATTATATGTGTGGAAAAGAATGTTTGGCTTGAATAAACCCATCATTTGTTTAATTCTTTAAGAATATGGCGAACCATTTGAACATTTTGTAACATTATGCAAACCCAAATTTAATTTTATATGTTGAAAAATATCTTGGTTGGGTTCTACGAGCCATTTTATTGCACAGATAATATAATCGTAAATGATGAATAAATGATTTTTTTATTTTGCGTTCATATACAAAAATAAATGGAGTTCTGCCGAATGCCCAAAAACCCTTGGAATAAGTATAAAACCCCGATAAAAAAAAAGAAAATAAAAATTTGTGTTTCCTAAGTTATTGTATTAAAAATTCATCGTTTATTCATATGTATGCATTAAGATTTTATAGCATCGATTAAAATAATTGTAAGAGGTGTCATTTATTTCACACCTATATATGCATTTGACTACAAAATAAAATAAGATTATTCGTGTAGATTTATTTATTTCGTTTTTAATAGCCGGGAATATTTGCTCTTTAAATAGGGTCGTCAATAAATTGACAACCTCTCTAAAAATTGTCTTCACTAACATTTAGAAGGAAGTACAAATTTCAGTGCTAATTCATACGGAACCCCTCCTTTTTAATTCGAAATTTGTTTTCAAATAGATTCACAGATACTCAAACATAATTCTCTTATACTCGACATCTTTTTTAAACAAAAACGAATTGATTTCACTTATCGAAAACGTGTGAAATATGGAACATGTCTGACAGGGCCTAGTATTTTACTATCGGCTCTATAAAATAATCGATTTAATTATATCGACGAGTTTTCAGGTCAACTGTGAATATCGAATGCTTAATGGCAAGTTCCATCCCTGGCAGTATAAGTCGGCTTCTACATTGTTTTTCGACTGCTTTGTGGATATGATTTGTCAAAACAAACATTCATAAAATGGATTATGACACATTGCCTGAGCTCGGTGGTAAATAAATTCAAAGTTGATAAGTAGTTGCACATTATCTACTTATTTTCGGAAACGTTTAGTGTAAATGTATAGTCTTGCATGCATATTTATTCCCTTTATATATATGTATGTATATATATATATATATGTGCTCATTCACTATTGTATATGTATGCATGTTGTGGATATGTATGTGTATTTATTCTGATACGTGCAAGCAAAATTAAATAGACGTTTTGGAAATACATACAAATGTGTAAAGATGCAATAAATTCTACGAGAACATAAGCACTTATACATTTGTATGTACGAACGTCTGCAAAGATGAACGTATTTACTTGTGTGTAAAAGATATATGTGTACATACATATGTATTCTTACTTTACATACATATATTTGTGTGTAGTGCTACCCGGCATTGTTCGGGCCAAATGTTTGCCTTTAAATTATAATTTCAGTTTTATAAGTTGAATGCTGCTCATACATAATTTCCTTTCCAAAGTGAAATCCATCTCTAAGGAAATGTATTATTCGGAGACAATATATATAGAAAGACGGGCGTAGTATAAGTAAAATTGGGCTCATATAATATGTAACCATGTAGAAAAGTGTGACCTTCCCAATATAATATTCCTCCCTGGGGGTGCATTCTCCAAGGAAAATTTGTGACACATTTCAAATGAACTTCCCAATTCAACGACAAGGCAAAGGTTTCGAATTCTACTGTAGCCAAAGTTTTGAGTTCTTGATAATATTGAGCATTTTGAATTTTGATTATTTTTATTATTGATTTATTAATTATATTTATTTATGTTTGATACACAATAAGTTTACAGTATTTAATCCAACCCTTCTGTAAACATACTACTTTGTTGACTTTGTGTAAATCGTAGACATAAACAATTGAAAATTGGTATTAATTTCTGATATTTTTTCGCCAGATCTGCTCACATTGAGCTGCAACAAGAGGCTCGAGCTGTTGGGATCCCTACTAAGTGAACCAGATGGCGACAAAATGTTGCAAAGCTTCAACTTGGAGGATAAATTCAAGCGGCATCAATTCTCAATGGATGCTTTATTGGATACGTTTATCCTACTTTATGATGAGTGCACAAATTCATCGCTTCGCAGAGAAAAGAGTGTTTCCGATTTCCTCAAGCTTGGTAAGCAATTTATGATAATTTGCCAATTAAAACACAGACTAATTAAAAATAATTGGCCCTTCAGCTAAACCATTTGTCCACATTGTCCGCAAATTGCGATTGACTCGCGAAGATTTCGAAATATTAAAAATAATTGGACGTGGAGCATTTGGGGAAGTCTGCGTTGTTCGCATGCTTTCCTCGGAAAACATTTTCGCAATGAAAATCCTGAACAAATGGGAGATGTTGAAACGTGCGGAGACAGCATGTTTTCGGGAGGAAAGAGATGTCCTCGTCCTTGGTGATCGTCAATGGATAACAAATTTGCATTACGCTTTTCAGGATAATATCAATTTGGTATGTTCTCTCGTCCCGATGAAGATCCCGATATAGATGAGTAAACAATTGTTTATATATTCATTTTGTTGTAGTACCTGGTTATGGACTATTATTGCGGTGGCGACTTATTAACATTATTGAGCAAATTTGAGGACAAACTTCCCGAAGACATGGCCAAGTTTTATATCACCGAAATGATATTGGCCATAAACAGCATTCATCAGCTCAAGTATGTGCATCGGGACATAAAGCCCGACAATGTTCTGTTGGACAAACGTGGCCACGTACGATTGGCCGACTTTGGATCGTGCCTGCGATTAGATAAAGATGGCACAGTTCAGTCGAATGTTGCAGTCGGCACACCCGACTATATATCGCCAGAGATCTTGAGGGCAATGGAGGATGGCAAGGGACGTTATGGCACAGAATGTGACTGGTGGTCCCTGGGCGTTTGTATGTACGAAATGCTGTATGGCGAAACTCCCTTTTATGCCGAGAGTCTCGTGGAGACATACGGCAAAATAATGAATCATCAGAATTGCTTTAATCTACCGTCACAAGATACAGCGACGCACTGCAAGTTATCGGAGGCGTCCAAGGATCTGCTTTCCAAGCTAATCTGTATACCCGAGAACCGACTCGGTCAGCGGGGATTGCGGGATTTTATGGATCACACATGGTTCGATGGAATCGATTGGAAGAATATTCGATCTGGTCTGGCACCCTATATACCGGAAGTCTCAAGTCCAACCGACACATCCAATTTTGATGTGGACGACAATGATGTGAGATTAACCGATTCCATACCTCCATCAGCGAATCCGGCATTCTCTGGCTTCCATTTGCCCTTCATTGGGTTCACTTTCTCGCAGAACTGCAGCAGCACAGACTCAAGAACCGCCGGTGCCGATCTGCTGCCTGACAATAAAAATCAAATGTCGCTCGACAGTTCGCCGCTGTCCACTGAACTGACCATGTCTAAAGAATCTGAAAAATCAAACGAATCTCTCAACAAACAATTTAAGGCATTGACCGAACAGTTAGTGCTAACAAAGCATGAAAAGAACGAACTGACCGTTAAATATAATGAGATAATGGAACGTCTGCAGAGTCAGGACTCTGAACTGAAGGACACAATTGCGCAGCGCAATGCGGCAATGATGGAATACTCGGAGGTCACCGAGAAACTAACCGAGCTGCGAAACCAAAAACAGAAGCTCTCCCGCCAGGTGCGCGACAAGGAAGAGGAACTCGACGCGGCAATCCAAAAAAATGATAGCCTACGCAACGATCTGCGCAAGTCGGATAAGACAAGGCGAGAGCTCGAACTGCATATCGAGGATGCGGTGAACGAGGCATCCAAGGAGAAGAAGATACGCGAACATGCCGAAGAATGTTGCCGCAAATTGCAGAACGATTTTCGAAAATCTGTACCAAATGTGGATGCCACAGCGACGACAAACATAACATCGGGCATCGCAGCCTACGAAATCGAACGCATCGAATTGCAATATGCGGAGAAATTGAGTCATCAGCAGGCGCGCAACAATCTCGAGTTGGACGCACTCCGGGAACAGCTGAGCGAGCTGGAAGCTTCGAATTTAATACTCTCCAAAGAGCTTCAGCAGGCACACGAGAAATTGAAATGTACACCGATCGAATCGATTGCCGATTCGGCCGAAACAATCTTGGAGCTGAAGAAGCGCTTCGAATTGGAGAAGTCGACGTGGAATGAGGAGAAGCAACGCTTGAGCAGCGAGGTGAGCGTTAAATCGAAAAATTTGCGTGACATCCAGGCGGATGAGATACTAATCCTGAAGGAGCTGCAAGTGAAACGCGATGCAATCAACCACTGGGAACTCCAGATGGACGAGATCATAAAGTGGGTGTCGGATGAGCGAGATGCCCGCAGCTATTTGCAGGCGCTGGCCACGAAAATGACCGAAGAAATCGAATACCTCAAGCATGTGGGAACGCTCAACAATAATGCTGTCGATCACAAGAATTGGCGCAATCGCCGCTCACAAAAGCTCGATAAAATGGAATTGTTGAATCTGCAAAGCGCCTTGCAGCGTGAGATTCAAGCGAAGGCATTCATTGCCGAGGAACTTAGCCAAACGAGAGCTGAACTGATGTCCACGCAGAAGGAAGTCGGTGAATATAAGAAGCGATGTGATACCATTCTGTATGACTACAAGAAAAAGGAGGTAGAACTTCGCGACTTGCAGAAAATGGAACTGGGTGGTTATTCGGAGTCGTTCTTAAACAAGGCATCGCATCACAATAATGCCTTCTTCAAGGATATGTCCATGAACACCGATCTGATTGACGCCGACGAATCGTATGCCAACGATGCCAGGGATAGCATTTCGTCAGCCTCGAATCTGTTTCAGACATCGAACACTGGAATGCTTTTCAACTACGAATCAAAATATTCGCTCAAAGCCGCCAAGGATAATTTGAGCGCAAAGAATTCGACCATGAATGATGACATTAGATCAGAGAGTAGTTTAACCTACGAGGAATCGAAAAAGAAACCGAGCAGCAATACAGCAATTCATCAGTTTCTTGTACGCACTTTCAGTAGTCCAACCAAATGCAATCATTGCACATCGCTAATGGTGGGACTGACGCGACAAGGCGTTGTCTGTGAAATATGCGGATTTGCCTGTCACACGGTATGCTGTCAACGAGTGCCGACCATGTGTCCCGTGCCCATGGATCAGACGAAACGGCCCCTGGGCATTGATCCGACACGGGGCATTGGCACCGCCTATGAAGGCTATGTCAAGGTGCCCAAATCGGGTGTCATCAAGCGTGGTTGGATACGCCAATTCGTTGTCGTTTGTGACTTCAAGTTGTTCTTGTACGACATATCCACGGATCGCTGTGCCTTGCCGAGTGTAAGTGTGTCGCAGGTGCTGGATATGCGTGATCCTGAATTTTCAGTTGGCAGCGTTCGCGAAAGTGATGTAATTCATGCAGCTAAAAAGGATGTACCATGTATTTTTAAGGTATGAGTTCAACTTACTTGCATCTAAACATTATTAAACACACTTCTCGTTTGTGGTTGCAGATTAAAACTGCCCTTATTGAGGGGGGAATCTCGTTATGCACTTTAATGCTGGCCGATAATGAGTCGGAGAAATCAAAATGGGTCATTGCATTGGGTGAACTTCATCGAATTTTAAAGCGAAATAATTTACCAAACACGGCCATTTACAAAGTCAATGAAATATTGGATAATACCTTATCGATAATACGCAACGCACTGTGTTCTGTTATAACTTATGCTAATCAAATATTGCTGGGAACTGAAGATGGCTTGTTCTATCTCAACTTGGATCAGTATGGTGAGTCTATCTATAAACACATTAAATTGCTGCATGTTTCAATTATTATTATTTCTGTCTGATAGAAATTGCTCGCATTGGCGAAACGAAGAAGATTCTGCAATTATGGTATTTGGAAGAGGAGCAGATTATTGTAATTCTTTGTGGTAAACAACGCCATTTGAGGCTGCTACCGATAAGAGCATTGGAGGCCAGCGATGTCGAATGGATCAAAGTCATAGAGTCTAAAAACTGTATATCTGCTTGCACCGGCATAATTCGGCGTTATCCGAGTATTGTTTATTCATTCATAATTGCATTGAAACGACCCAACAATCACACGCAAATCATTGTCTACGAAATAAATCGAACGCGCACTAGACACCAAAAGACTTGTGAGTTTACCATCGGATATTTGGCCCAACATCTGCAGATATTGTCGGATATGCGACTGGTTGTTGCCCATCAGAGCGGATTCACGGCATACTTTTTGAGGGGCGAAGCAACAGCAATGTGTAAGTTAACTAAACTGTGAACATATATATATATATATATATATATATATAATTTATTTTTTTATATTAGCTCTCGTTCATCCCGAGAATCAGTTATGTGCATTTTTAAATTATTCGGGCGTTGATGCTGTTCGAGTAATTGAAATACTGTCCCCAACCGTTGGAACCTTTGGCGAATACCTATTGGTATTCCAGACTCTAGCCATATATGTGGATCTACAAGGACGAAAATCACGCGATAGAGAAATAATGTATCCGGCTTTCCCTACTTATATAAGTAAGTATATTTATTTATAATATTATATTATTGATCTATTTATGAGTAATGAATCGTCTATTTGCTTGTAGCATATTCCGATGGTCATTTATTGGTATTCTCAGAGACTCATTTGGATATATTCAATACACAAACGTCTGAGTGGGTTCAATCAATTGGTATAAAACAGTCGCTTCCTCTGAATAATATTGGCAACGTTGTTTTAACATCCATCAATGATACACCGTTGATTGTTTACTTGGCAAATATTCACACAAGTATGTTATACTTATATCTTGTACTTGATGATGTTGATTAATCAAATATATGATATCTATATAGAGGGACTATTGCAGCATCGTGATGGTGACCAAAAGGGACTCAGCAATATTAAACGTAGATTTTCTATTAGAGAAATAAACAAAACAGTTAAAAGGTAAGTAAACAACATCACTTATATATAGGATTTACGTAATTATTATTTTATGAACACTATTTCAGTGATCGAAGGTCAAAAATGATATCTGGTCCAACGAATTTCAACCATATTTCCCATATGGGTCCTGGAGATGGTATTCAAAATCAGCGTTTACTAGACTTGCCAACCACTTTGGAGACAGCCGAGCACACAAGCAAGTCGCTCATAACTTCGATAAATTCCGTAAACCAAACAAGGAAGTCCAACTTTTTGGATCAAGGTGTGTATTAGAAATGGTTATAAACATTCTACGCATTTAAGATAAAATAAATATTTCTCAAAATCTAACTTTTGCAGCTGATGGCAATTCTGAGGATTTCGGTAATGATAACATGCTCTCTAGGACTCCCAGCCCAATTGGGACACTGCTTTTTGATGACCTAAACAATATCGATTAACTTGTAATACTCATATTAATTTAACCCCTATTGTCGAATAAAATTTGTCAAATCTCATTTCTGCATGTTTATTGATTTTATTTATAAGATATAAATACAGAACTTGAAGATAATCGTCATGATTAAAGATAGACACTGGTGTTTATGTAGTGAAACTCTGAGAGGCAAGCGGTCCGTTTAATTCCTTGAATGGATCTGCAAATTCATGCAGGGGTTAGTCAAAATGAACAACAGAAATTACTTGAAATGAGATATGGCTTGGTTCAAAAATTCACAATCATAAAAAAGCTGAACCGATTTTCAACATTTTTCATTATTAAGGAATGGCCTCTAAAATAATACTCCAATAAAAATTATAAAGAGCCATTTTTCTAGTTGCTTGCTTAGTCAAAGTTCGTAATTTAAACATCGTTTTGTTTGATTAATAAATGTGTTTCATTCTCGAAATGGACCGATAAATTGAATATCGATAATTTAGTTCCTGGAAATGTATAAATCAACCCTGTGAACGCCAAATCGGTTCCATATAATTAAACTAGTTCGGTTTGTTTTGACAAAACTCAAAATGATAATATAATTCTATCTTATCAAGTAGTCGGAAAAACAGAAGGAAATTATTGTGCTGTGCTATCATCGTATGTGCTAAGAAGTGTGAGTATATTGTGCAAAAGATTAAATTCTCTTAATTTCATGTGCTCTGCTCATTTGAGCATTGCACATACAAATTTATGCGGATACATACATGCATACAAATTCGGCCAGCGACCATGTAGATGTAGCATGTATGTATGTATATTTGTATGTGTGTGTGTATGTATGTATTTGTATGTGGTCCGGCTATTCATCTGTGGTTGACCGAAAGTAAATAAATGTGTACAGTATGTATGTATATATAAGTTTCAAGTGCAATTATGATGTACATAAGTGTCTATGTGTACATATATGTAAAACACCTTGATGTTTAAGCATGTGTACATGGGCTGCACCGATATGTAAGTATGTAACTATGTATATGCTTACATACATACATGTAACATACATACATATTTACATACTAGTTGTTTATTATAATAGTGAAAATATGCTTTAAGCACAAGTTCTGTTTCTCGGCCAACATGCACATTAATTAAAGCTTAAATGCCGGCTTCAAAGCGATCCAGCTAAATCTGATCAAGTGAGCCTTTGTTCTTTTACTGCACGTGCTATGCGAATTATTTTCTAAATTAAATTCATTCATTCAGACATTTTTGTAAGCAAATACTGTGAATTGTGATTTAAATCGTTGGCGTTTTTAAGGTCAAACTGGAGAAACATCTGTGCCAGTTGTTAAAAATCGTATCTTTGGTATCCATATTAAAAATCGTAATGTGCTTGATTTACTTTTAGAAATGTCAAAATGTCGGTACATTATAAATTCAAAAGTACCCTTAATTTCGACACAATAACATTCGATGGACTTCATATTTCTGTTGCGGACTTAAAGCGAGAAATAGTGCAGCAGAAAAGACTGGGTAAAATTATTGATTTTGATCTACAAATAACGAATGCCCAAACTAAGGAAGGTAAATATCGTAAAATGTTTGTCCTTAATTGGTTTTCTATACATCTGTAATGACTATTTTTCTGATTGATTTTTAGAATACAAGGATGACAACTTCTTGATCCCAAAAAATACCACATTAATTATTTCACGCATACCCATTGCACATCCAGTTAAAAAAGGATGGGATCCGCCCGCAGATAATGCGAGCTCAAATGCGCCATCGAGCAAGGCAGATAACATAAATATGGATTTATTTAAGATGCAGGGAAGTGAAGAGGACAAAATCCAAGCGATGATGATGCAAAGTACAGCAGATTATGATCCTAAAACGTAAGTATCTTTTCGTTATGAATTTGTCTTTAAACACTTGTTGGTCATTAGGCAATACGTAGAGAAGATTCAACATTGTACTAAATGACTTGATGTGTAGGTATCACCGAATTAAAGGACAGTCTCAAGTGGGCGAAGTTCCGGCCTCCTATCGATGCAATAAGTGTAAAAGAGGTGGCCACTGGATAAAGAACTGTTCTTTTTCATCGGGAAAAGAACAATTTGAAGTCAAGAGAACTACAGGCATTCCGCGATCATTTAGGGGCAAAGAAATGTAAGTGTTACTTATTTCCCGATTCCATTATCTATTTCAATTAAACCGATCCTCTTGATTATTGAATTTCAGTCCAACAGAACAAGAAACATCAAAATTCATTGCATCTACTGAGAAGGATCAAGAAATTCCAGAAGATTTAATATGTGGTATTTGCCGAAATATATTTGTCGATGCCGTAATGATACCGTGCTGCGGCAGTTCCTTTTGTGATGATTGTAAGTATACAGTTTACATCATTATATTTGAGATGCATTAAATAATTAACAACTAATGTTAATTGAATTTCAGGCGTCCGAAACTCGTTGCTGGAATCAGAAGATAGTGAGTGCCCGGATTGCAAGGAAAAGAACTGTTCCCCGGGTTCTTTGATTCCAAACCGATTTTTAAGGAATTCAGTAAACGTTTTCAAAAATGAATCTGGATATAAGCTTGCAGCATTTAAGCCTGGTAAGATATGAAGACAGCCTTTTAGTTTATGTAATTCCTTTTAATATGTTAATCGTAATCATTTAAATTGAAGACTACAGTTTGAAATATAAATAATATAATATAATTATTACTTTAATAATTTCGACATTTCGCTTCCAGTCACTAAAGTCAATCCGGTAGTTGAGAAAAAAGAAGAAGACCCTGTTCCTGAGCAAGAACCTATTCCAGATGAGTCCAAGCAAACAGAACAAACGGAAGCCGACAATATATCTCAACCACAACAACCGATTAAAACTGAAGAACAAAATGTTACCAAAAACATAAATAACACTAATACTAATTCTACGGACTCGGTCAAAAAAGAAAAAGATAAATTTGATTCAGATTATGAAGACAATATAACAATAACAATGCCACAAAAAGTTAATAACACACTACTGATCAATGCTGACACAAATAAAGAGCAAGTGAGTAAGAATTGTGAATTGTGATTAGTGCTATTATATAATTCCATTTTGTCATTTCAGTCTGTACCCTCATACTCACACAAGTCACATGGCAACAATGTTCATCCACGCCGTGAAGCAAACATTGAGTATAAACCTGAGATGGAGAAAAAGCATCAGTCGTACGATAATAATGAAAGGATTCGGCCCCAGAATGAGCGAAGTCTTTTACCCACTCCAGTTGGCACTCACCACAAATATGCAAATATGAACATGAGCGAGCAGAGAGAGCCGAACACAGATCAGAGTCGTCATATGGGGCTATATAAGCCAGCATATATTCAAATGCCTCCCCGATGTCCAACAATGATTCATATGCCCCCCTACAATAACAATGGATATAATAATATGCCCCACAGGCCGCCAATAAGGTAGGATTAAATAAATGATTAATCAGACTATGACTTATCATATAACGATATTAATATTTTTCAGCTTTGGCCACTATCAAAACCAAGCACCTGTACATCAAATGAATACATCATATATGCCAGGTGCGAACATTAATATCAATCCATCGCAAACATTTCAGTCCACGAATTTGGCATCTATATATCAAGGAGTCGCAGCCAAAGTTGGCACTGGGTAAGTGATGTCCCATATGCTTATATTTACCCACCACTTATCTATATATATATATATTTATGTATATATTATATAACTATTCTGTAAACTTGTTGCAGACTTATAGATGATCCGCTTGAAGCCTTCAATCGAATCATGAAGGAAAAAGAGAAGCAGAAAAGCGATCGTCGCCGCAGTCCAGTGCATCACAGATCTCGATCACCGGGAAGACTGCGGCATCGGTTCAAGTCGCCGGTGTACGATAGAGGCTCATCCAGAGAAATGATCATTAAGGAAAAGAGACCACGCTCCCGGGAAAGGAAGCGTGAATATAGCTATGAAAGACGGCAGAGTCGAGCTACCCGCCATTCAAGTCACGGATCGAATTCACCAAGCGACAAGAAGAAGAGGTTATTCTATACATTAAGTTACTTTTACAAATACATATCTATCTATGCGTATTATCATCCAAAAAGGAAAAGAAAAATCAATGGGAAAGTTATTCTATAGAAACGCAAGTTAGCTATTTGATTATTTAAGATACATCCAAACTATACCGATATAGTATACAGCGTTCACCTTAAGCCAGATGGAAAAGTTCTAGTTTATATTTGATTGGTTACTTTATTTTCAAATAAACGATTCCTGTTTATTATTTACTTCGGAGTCTCAGTATTGACTTGTATCCAGCTGGAGATAGATAAACAAATAAATACATGTTTAATATATTAAACATAAAAAATGGATATTAGACCAAAATGGTAAGCAAAAACATCTCATTTTTGTTTTGTTTTACTTAAGTTATAACAAACGTGAGTCATTCTAATTTTTATTTAAATGAATTGATTGAAGCTATTTAAATAAGTTTACAGCGCAATGTTTGCTAGAATTTAAATGAAGAATGAGATGTTATTGTTTTTTGGTCTAATAATAAAACCTTTTATTTATAATATATCAACAATACATTTCGATATATATATATATATATAAACATTTTTAATCTATATTTAAATTAGTTATTCACAACATAAAATAAATTATTTACTTAATTATTTCAGATTTCTCCTAAGAGGTGCTTTCGATCATGTTTTCTACCTATTTTTTATTATGTTTAGAGTCAATGTCTCATTTAACTTATTTTAACATTTATATGTTTATTTTACAGATATATGCATAGACGTTCACCATCGCCAAAATCAAACTATAAGAGTCGACCAAGAGAGAAGTCGGTAACCAAACCGTATGCGCCCAAACCAGACACAGTTGAGCCACCACCGCCTGGTTTTGAATCATTACAAATTGAGAGTTTAGCGGATAATGATATGAACTTTAATAATAAGGCAATAGATACTGATGTGGATAGAGATTTTCATGGGCAAACTCACTCCGCAAAGAGGCCAAGAACGTATAGCAGTAACAACGTAGACATCAAAACTGTTGATCACATTTCTAGAAGCCTGACGCCACCGGCAAAGTCAAGGATTCTAAAGGCTTCTCGAGATGAAATAAAATGTGCGGATATGTACGAGAGTCCTCCAAAAACACCCGACAGAAGAGAGCAACATATTCACATCAAATTGGAGAAACCGCAAAGTACTCAGTTGCTAAATCTGGAGAATGACACAAGCGCTGTACACTCCGAGGATCATTTGGAATCCAATAACAATATGGAAAAGGAAAATAATATTCAGTTAAAAGACCGAAAAAAGAAGAAAAAAGTCAAATCGGAGCGCAAGAAAAGTAAGAAAGATAAAAAGGAAAAAAAGGATAAGAACAAAAAGAGCCACTCGGAAAGTATTGAGCCTGCACCAGAAAAATTCTCTGTGGACAACTTAAATATGAATCCGTGCGACGAAATCGCTGAAAGCCACACAAATCATTCAAATCAAAAGATACTATCGAATAGCCTTGATCTGGACACTTTAAAAAACAATGAACCTATATTAAATATAGAGGTTACAACAGATCATGATTTAGATCGCGATAATATCGATGTGAATGATGTCCAATTATCAAAATGGGAACTAGACGATTCTAGCTTAACCAGTAATTTATTTGATCCCTGTCGAAAAGTGTCTTCATCCAATAAAATGCAAGACCATTCTGAAATAACATCTGATGTTATACGCAAGGCGGAAAATGCAATTTTTGCAAAGGCAATTAACGCAATAAGGCCCGTTGAGTTTAAAGTTGTGATCGATACAAAGCATAACAGTAAGGACACAACGATTTCATTGAAAACGGATTGTAGAGATCGCTCGCATTCCCCAAAATCATCAGCTACCAGTAAATCGGTAAAAGAAAGGCTAGGCAACAAAGTTGTTCGGGAGCGAGACTATTCTTCGGATCGATCCAAGACAAATCAAAGAGAGAACTCTGGCCGACATGTTAGCGTTGAGAGAAACAAGCATAGTTCGGGCAGTTATAGCTCCCGGACAAGGGAAAAGGATTCCAAAGAACGAATTAGAGTAACAACCGAAAGAAAGTACGAAGATAGCCGAAATCCACGCAAGTCGTCGCATGAGCGTTCCGACAGTCAGAAACACAAGTCCCAATTCAAGGACAAGTCATCCACAAGAGATTCGTCTAGAAGTGAAAAGAGAAACTATGACTCAGATCGAAACTCGCACGGCAGTCGAAAAACAGGAGAGACGCGTCTAATTTCATCGATTGCTTCCAGACCGTGTCGCCCGGACAATCCATTCAGAAAATTCGATGAAAACCACTCAAGTAGTAGAAGTAAAGTCTCCAAATACGACAACTCAATTAAGAGAGATGTTACACCCCTGTCACCATCCGATGAAACTGAATATAAGAAACGTAAGGATAAAAAACTTAAGAAACTAAAAAAATGCTCGTCGACCGAATCAGTGAAAAGTGAAAAACGTAAGGATGTAAAAAGCAAAAAGAAGAGTAAAATCTTGAAGAAAAAGAAAAAGTCCAGGAAATAAACGGCTGAACACAAAAATCAAATCAAATAAGGCAAATCAGAAATATAATTTACCTAAAATTAAACAATATTTTAGTATAAGAAATAAAACCTATTGTACATGTACATTAAAAATATTGTAAATGTGAAAACGAGTGTGTCTTCTTTTCTCTAAATAGTTGGATAATAGAACTTTCTCTTCCAGAGTGACATCCACTTATTAACCACGAACATTTGCTGACAACTCACCTTCTAAGGAGCAGCAGCAGTATTAAATTTATATAAATACATATATATATATTTAAAATAAAAATTGGGAATGATTGCAGACCGGAGTTAAACTGCTGAAATTTAAAAAACCAACCAATTGTTCCTATGACAGCTATATATTATAGTAGTCCGATGTGGATTTTTTGTTGAAATGTAAGGATAAGCATGTAAGCATGTATGCATGTGTTTTTAATGAGTTTAGTAAGCAACCAAGTTGTTCAAGCATCTTAAGTCTGATCACTCCAATGGCTGCTATTTGATAGTGAGCCGATTCGGATATAAGATGCACATAAATCTATAGTCTTGTCTATTGCATACTTTGCGGAATATATCAATAATCCCATAAGCTCAAGAAAATATAAATAGATCTAATGCATTTGAATAAGTAAGTATTATATTTGATGGAGATAAAGAAATGTTTGTAAAATAAAAAAATCTATTACGCATTTAATTATTACCTTATTTTGTTATACAGGTTCGGGCATAAGCTGTGGGACATCAATTAGCAAAACTGCAAACGAGTTTTTGCAAAATAAACTAATCTTTATTTATTTTTATGTATGCAAACTATACTAATGGCAACCTAATCAAGCGCGTAAATAGTATATACAAATAGAATATCATCATGGCTGTGACCCGACTCAACATTATATAATGCAATGTATTTTTTCGTAAATATCTTAAGCGTACTCGAGTAAATATATGCACACATCCATCCATACATAGATGGGTGCATATTGAAACCACTCTCACTTTCGTTAGGCCCCGTAAACGAGTTCCACTTTTGCTCTCAGTGGTGTGTGCGTGGTGAGTTACTCAATGTTGTGTTGTAAAGCTGCTGCTGCTGCTGCTGCCGTTGCTGCTGTTGCTGCTGCTGTTGTTGCTGGTCCGTTAATTAGGGCCGAACTTTCAGCCAGCACTGAGCTGCATTGTGGCACAGACAAATCGAGATCTAAGCACGTATCGCGTCGTCTCTTCGCTTCTCGTCTCGTCGCGTCTCGTCTCGTTTCGTGTGTGCAGAAAAGTTTCACCTACGGATATGTTCGGTTGTGAAATATTCAATAACAGAGGTTTTTGCTTAAAAACACATACAATACCCAATTCACCACAATAATTACACAGATCTATTAAACCAATTAGTGAGCTCGAAATGATTCTCGCCAATAATAATAATAATATAGCCAAAAAAATGTGTATGTGATGTCATGTAACTTGAGTGCCACAAGATATCTGTTCAATAAGTGCAATTACATTGCACACACACACACACACACACATACGTATACATAGGAAAATGTATGTTGTGTGCAACAAAAAAAATTTATACATGTATATATAGAAGTATACCTTGATGCAACAAACCAATATACTTTTAAGAAGTGAAAATATTCCAAAAAACAAAAATTCAATAGATTCCCCCCAATAAGTTAAGCTTTAAGTTACTATGTAACAAGCAACAACCCGCCTGCAGATCGTATTTATGAAAGTAACATTTATGAAACCAGACTCGACTCACATTCATGAATAAGCTCTTGCAATGCAAAAGCTCGTCTAACAACCAAAAAATTGTATAAAGAAAATATTAAAAAAAAAAAACAAATAAATTGTTGCCTCATTTGGCAATGATGTATTTACTTCATTTAGTAGAATAGTTTTGCCCCATTAAGTAATTGTTTATAAATTAATGAAATTTAAAAATAAAGTAAACGATATAATTGTCAAATTAAAATTAAATCATAACAAAAAAGTTGCAACGTTATTTTTTCTATTTTTTATAGGTTCGGCAAACACAATGAAATTATTAAAAATAACTAAATAAAAGTGCAAATGAAATCATAACAAAAATATTGCAATGTTATTCCTTTTATTTTTTTGTAGGCTCCCCCGTAAAAGTGCAAACACAATAAGAAACAAATAACAGAGTGTTGCCAAATAAAACTTTATAATTGAGAAGAAATAAGTGCACGGCATTTGGAGTCCGTGATACGCCGTAATGGTGCAGTTACGGTCACGGTTCAGTGGCCCAGCCATACTCTTAATCGTAGCAATAGCAACCAATGCATATTCGGGAGCATTGGCAGCAAGCAACTCTGGCAATGCTGGCAACCCTGCTGGGACGGGGCGATCCGTTATGGGCAGTGGCAATTCGAATATACGCTTGGCGCTACCCCGAACGAGTGCTAGCCAAATAAATAGTGGCAGCAATGCAGCAGCGGCGAGCTTTAAGCTCGCTGCAAAAACATTAAACTCAACGCGTAATGGAAACTTGCGAACAAGGTGAGGTCTTTTTTTCTTATTATTTTTTTTAATAATATTACATACTGCATAGATGTGTAAGTACATACATACATACATACATATTTATATGTATTTTTCATAACTTTGTAGCAGTTTTGATGTGAGTGTGAGTGTGACTGCATTAGCCTCTTTATATGTATATATATATATAATATATACGTATACTTTTATATTTGTGTGCGCTTTTGTGTGAATTCAAATGGTCAAAACAAAAGATTGCGGCAACAAACTGGTTTTTGCATACTGGTTAACTGTATAGTCTTCATAAACACACACACACACAGACACACACACACAAGTGCAATCAATTGAATGAATGAAAAAGAAAATAAAATTCAACAATTCATTACATGTGCAGATATATACAGGCAGACACCCGGACAGACAGACACACGCGCACAACACAAATGCATAAATATATTCGATCATTTGTTAATTGCTAGCCAAAAAATTTAAGTATGTGTATAGATTCTGTACAATTTTTAAATAATACATAAATCAATTTTGTTGATTGTTTTTATGCATACCCTAAACGCATTCAAAATGTTCAAAAAGGGTATAATGCTCTCCAGCAAAAGTTTGCAACGAGCAGAAAGGAAGCCGACCGATCTCAAAGAGTATTTGTGTATTCAGAGACTATCAATTTGACATATAAATCCATTTAATTTCTGAAAATATCGATAGAAATCGTTTTATGATAGCAATAAAAATGACCACATAAATTATAGTCTTCTAATTGAATACGTTGGCTTAGAAAATAACCAAGTTATTAACTAAGACGTATTTAATATTGACAAATAAAAACTGCTATCACCACTTCCTCATAAACACATATAAATACAAACAAATACGCGTGCATGTGCCAGATGAGAGCAGTTAAATAATCAGCACAAATGTGTCACGTCATATGTATATCATCCCCTGATCTGCATTTATTTAAATATGTATATGAAAAAACCCGACGATTTCAGTTTCGGGCACAACAACAAGAAACCTGCTCGAGTCAATAAAATTGGGAACACTTGCACCTGCATAATTACCTTTTTAGACTTGAGTGTGCCAAATTAGAATCGATTTTATATTTTTTTATTTAAGACATTACTTTCAGGGTATCTGCTAGTCAAGCTCTCTCTCTCTCACTCGACTTGAGCTTTCTGGTTGTTGTTATTTCTGTTAAATAAGTGTATATCATGCCTAACAAATTATAAGTAACAAAATAGTGGGTCATTGAAAAATGTAGACAAATAATGATTGCAAGCACTCTCGCACTAGTTGAGAAAACAGAACTCAGGCATATACATAAATGTATACAAATATATATATTTATAATACATAAATTTGGTTGACCTCCACAAATGAATTACGGCTGAAGAATTAATTGTGCGAACGTCTTCTATACAAAGGAAAATTAGCTGAACGCCAGCGAAGCGTATTTTCTATTCAAAGCCAAAATATCTAGACTCTAGATTGTTACAGAGCCAAGTTGTGAAGTTGTGTCTGTAATAATAATAATAATTTCACACACACAAAAAAAGCTGTTTTGGTCTGCCCCTTTTTCGTTTCTGCTTTACTTTCTGTTATTTGCCAACATTTAACATTTTTTAATGTGCAAAAAATATTGTAAAGCTGAAGTTATTTTACCAACTCATTTTTTGTAGTTTTTCGAATTCATTTGAAATTGGTACAAACTTTATAGCTCCTCATAAGCTCGGCGAGGAAATCACCTTACATATTTGTAAGACTATTATTTTTTGTTGTTGATTATATCACAATAAAGTAGGAAAAGTGTTTAAATTGCTTATAATTTAGATAAAAATAAATTGTATTTAATTAAATAAATATAAATAAATAGTTAATAATTATGAATAAATTAAATTTGATACAGTATATAATTTATTCAAATAGTTAAAATGGACGAAAATGCTGACTGATAAAATAAATCGGAACGAAAAATTAAGTTATAAATAATAAGAATAATCATATAAATATTAAGAATAATAATAAAACAAATACAAATAAATAATGTATTTAAAAATAATATTTAAGATACTAACATCACAATTTTATACATTTTCAAAAATTATTCTTTAACAAAAATCTTTGAGCATTTTACAAAAGTCATTTTCTATAATGCAGTAAAATATTTCGGTCTCATTTTGGGATAAAGGTTATATTACAAGTTTGTTTGCTGTCAGCTTATATCAGTCGACACAGAAAAATACAAAAAGTAATAAATAAATTAAATTAAAGACACAATTTAAATTTAAATGGAAAATGAAATATTTATAAGTTAACCAAGAGACTGCAGTAAAACGTGTATATAGCAAACTCTATGGTCTGATCGACATTATAATACCTATTGATCCCTTATTTTGGGTACAGGGTATATGCATAAACATATATACAAATATAGAGATATATACAATATATATATATATATATATATCTATATATATTTGGTGCATGCTCTATGAGTGTGGTGGTGTTTTGTGCTGTGCTTTTCGTTGGTTTGGCTCGTTGGCTGGTTGGATTGTTGGCCCGTTGGATTGTTGGGCTTGTTGTTGGCTCGTTGATTGGCTAGCCAGCCAGTGGCAACTGGTGGAAAACCGGTCTGCTGTTGCCTGCGAGTGTGGGAAATGGGCAAATGAAACCAAACTGCGCGTTTATGACGGCTATTTGGTGGTGGTGCTGGACCAAAGTGAATGTGATGCAAATTATTAAATTTATTTAATTATACCACAACGCAGTGGACAACAATAGTCGTAGTGGCTATGGCTATTGAAAGACACACATGTAAATGTATATCAATATCTTTCAAGCGATAGCCTTGCATTGATTTGACCATAAACCAAACACCATACAAACACCATACCAAATACCAAAAAGGTATACGAATAAAAGAAAATGCACTGTGAGATACTCGAGTATATGGGAAATTGTCGCAATTTACGCTGAATTGGGAGTGGCAATTGTGGCACCCTTTTAAGGAGATATTCAGTCTAACATAACAAATTACGTGATTCGGGCTTTGAGGAGAGTTGTGAGTCTTATTTCACACATGTTTGGATGTTTGGGAGTGTAAGCGGTCATTTCTGGTTTTTTTTTTGTTGTACGATTTTTATTTAGTTAATTAATGGAAAAAACAGTCGAATACAATTCATCAGCCTAAGGTAAGAAAGCTGTAGAGATGTAATAAAAGATCCCATTCAAATGGTTGAGGTATTAAAGAGAGTTTGGATTGAGCAAACTCAGAAATATTTGCCATCAGCTAGTAACAACAAGTTTTTTTTTTATCACTTTCGTTTCAAATGCGTATTTCCAAACAAAAAATGTTAAAGAGTGATTTAAAAGTTCGTTATAGTCTTTTAGCAACGTTTTAAAGCTTATCGACTCTGGGTCAATGTTGGTTGTTAGTCTAAACACGGTAACAGCATGTCCGTATTTCTTTTTCAACATCATATTCATACTCAATAAATATCTATCCAATAGACCTGCCAGCTTGAACAGCTTTGAAAAAATTAAGATACAGAAATTAACATAAAATATATATAAATTAAGTTCATCTTTATAACTCAAAATCCAATTAATGCTTAAAGTCGAGCACTCTCGACTATGACTCTATCCTAACAGTTAACTGTAAACCTCTAACGATTCGGGCTTTTTACGTTCAACTCTCTTTCTCTTTATTCTTTGTAGAGAACAACAATTGCTGAGTATATTTGAGATAATAATAACAACACTCGAAGGAAAATTGAAACGAATTGATAATCTGGGCAGATCCGTTGAGGATCTGATGGGACATATAGAAATATTGGAGAGTCGTGTGACAAATAATGTCGAGAAAACCGAAGAAGCACTCTTAAAGCTAAATAGTCTTGATTCAAAATTATCAAATGTGGTTTATGTGCTACCGGAAGTGACTTCCTCTTCCGACAACGGAAGACACGGATCAAAGAGTGCGACGATATCACCAAATATCCAACTCGATAGCCGACTGATTCGATTGGACCAGAAAGTCAGTGATATTGATACGAAACTGGAAGTGCTTAAAACCCAAATCGATAGTAACTTTTTGCAAGTCGACGAATTCAATGCCGAGGCGAGTGAGAAAAAACCGATCACAATGAATGTCGTCGAGATTACAAAAGCAATGACTGCCGAAGTAATGACCCATGTATCATCAGAAGTCAATCAACTGCGCGATTCCACCGACAACATTGACAAAAAGCTGCAGTTTCACATTAATATCGAATCAGAGAATATCGGTCGAATGCTGCGAATGATGAGCGATATTCACGATGCTGTTGTCGATCACCACGAGCAATTAAATGGTTTCAATGTCACAACAACCGCCTTTCCAGCGATTAAATCGAGCAAAATCGATGCTCTGGTTAAACAGATGCGACCCATGGTATCCGTCTCGGAGAAAATGGATGAAGTATGGGATGTGGTGGTGGGCACCAAGTCTTCGGTTGATCATCTATTGCCCAAATCCGATGCACTCCTCACACAAACGCAGCGACAGGAGCGAGCTATTGGTGAAATCCATCAGGATCTCAAAACGAAAACGAACTTGATCATCAACAATTTGGATATGGTTGAGAAACGCTTAAAGAAACAAGAGGACGATGTCCAAATTTTGGCTCAACGACCCACGGATCTTTTAGTCGACCCAACTATTGATCGTTTGGTGGAGTACGATCCAAGCAGGTACACAAATATAATCCTTAAAATCGTTGCGAAACTAGAAAAAACTGATTTTTGCTTCATAGAGAAATTTATATTAAGAATTAAGAAAACTTAAACTAAACTTAAAATCGTTGCGAAAACTTGAAATAATTTAGTTTTCTTAATATATCAAATCTAAATTTATGAAATTTATTCTAAAACAAAAAAAAAAAACAAAAATTTCAAAGTATTTTGAAATGTTATTTCTTATTTATTTAACACAATCCATTATTTTGAGCAGGTACTCGGTGATTGAGGAGAGCTTAACGGATTTGAATGAGCCAGCAACAACGCCAGCGACGTCAACACGAACATCGACATCGTTGAATGCGTCAACGACACCCTATCCGACACTGAGTACCCCTACCGCTGCTATATCAACGAGCAGTGGTCATTCGACTACATCGAGCAGCAATCTAAACAGCATATTGGGCATTGTGCTGAACGCAACTCTGACAACATCCGCAACGGCTACGTCATGGAATGCCACACCAACAAAGTCGTCTTTCCGTAAGGGCGGCATTATCTTTCCTAGTGTCAAGAACAAACCAGCTGTGGTGAACAACACCTTTACCACCGACATATTCTCCCTAAAGGATGTCAAGGTAAACACCATATTTCTCTTGATAATCCATATTAAAATTGAAACATATTTTGAGATTTACTAGTGATTGTATTATAAATATTGTCTTATCATTTTATAAACAATCGGTGTAGTACAAAATACAGAAATTGTCCTAAACATGCTAAGTGTTTTGTGATACAAAAGGAGGTTCATAATGGGAATACAAATTGTAATATCTAAAGCTCATCTCTGGGCAATTTTTCTTTGCACGAGCAAGTGTAACTAGAATTAAGTTTCTCCATGCCTGGGAGTATCTCGACAGGTGCCACCAGTCGAGTGCTCCATTCCTTAAATAATACTGCGTGATAACAATAGATATGTTGTGGCAAAAGGTGTTCATCGACAAATGCTCGTGCATTTGCAATAATTTCCTTAACACGTAAATCATTTTCTTTGGCCCAAGCAATTTTTTCGATTACGTCACTGAGATCACGCTTTATGGGCACATAATGCTTATATGGCGTTAGCTTGCTATAAAAATGCTCGTAATAATGCGAGTCTTGCTTGAAGACTAACGATCCACCCGCCAGTAAATAGGGAAACCGATATGCCGCAACAACTCCATCAATATTCAATTGATATTTGTACTGCAAAGAAAACAGTGAAAATAGAAAATTTATTAGTATATGAATACTTTATGGCAAAATACTTTTGTGGAAGCAATATACCTTAAAGAAGTCCATGAATGATATGTGCGGCACCTTCGGACCGTATTCAGCCTCTTCATTGCGAAAGAAAAAGAAATTCGTAATGGACGCATTTATCGCATCGGGATATTGTCTAGCCAGATCGATGAGTTGTAAACGTTCTCTTCGCGAATCACGGCCACGAAAGAACGCCTTCTCATCCTTCTCTTGCCATGGATAAACATCCTTTTGCACTGATAACATATCCAGCATAACTCGCCCCATATTCTCAACTGTGGACTGGGTTATATCATATGTGGGCAGTGTTATATCATAAGTATCGTCACTTCCACACCAAGAAAATATAGGATATGGTCCAGATGTCCTTTGTTGCCCTCCCTTCTTCGACAGCGGCCAGTCACCCAGATTCAAATAGAACTCCATATCGGGCAGGAGAACAACTCGAGATAGCGCCGACAACGTTGCATCCATAAACATCTTAAATCCAGTATACTTTCCATAGCAAGTTCTCCAAATCTGCTGGTTCTTCACAACATAATGGCACAACGAAATGCTCTCCGGTGCATTATAGCGCTTCAAGAGATTATCCCGTATGGCGCTGAAATTCACTCTCTTAAACGAGTGCAGATCCCAGGATATCTGTTTATCCGCAGTAAAGGGCGAACAATCATTGTTCAGCAGCCATAAATTTAACTCCTGCGGACAGTAGCATTGCTCCGAGTACACCTTGTTGCGAATTAAATACGGAGATTGTGCAACTTGAGAGTTATTATACTGAACAACAATCTCCACATTCTCACACCAATCGGCGATCGTATAACGAACAATTGTCGATCCATCTCCGCGATCGATTTGATTTATGTTCGATCGGCATTTGCCATGTGGCGAATTTCCATTAATCTCAACTTTGAAATCAAGATGCGTGCGCGACACAAATCTGCAAAAACACGATAAAAGCGAAATTAAAAAGGAATTCAAATCTCTCTCATTAATTATTCATTTGATTCTTACTTGTTCCCACTCCTGTCGACAGCATGAATAAAAAAATATCTGGCTGGCAGGACAATATCATCCGGCTTTAGACCTGGCCCCCAAACGAGAGTTTTCTTAGCATCCAAAATTTGCTCTTCGCAAGCCGTAACCGAAAATTGCAAAATAAATACGAGTATAATACATTTTGTTGTGGTAAACATTGAGATTGATAAAAAAACGCTAGAAAAAGTATCAGTGTGACCGACTTTCGAAATGCAAAAATGTATGACCTTAAAAAAATACTATAAAAATATCGTAAAAAATAAAAGCTCAAAAGCAAATGAATTTCAAATATAATTGTAATATTTATATTTTTAAGCTACCACCATTCAATTAATTCAATTATTATATTCTTTCTTAGGGATTTTCATGTGTAGACATTTTAAATGCTGGCATGAAACAATCTGGAGTTTTTTATCTCCAAATACGTGGGACAACTTATTGGTTCCTGAAAGTGTACTGCGAACAGGCCATCTCAGATGGTGGCTGGACGGTAAAGTATTAATATTATTTCAATCAAAAACCAATTTTGAATTCTATATTAATCATAGGTCATTCAACGGCGCGATGATTTTGGAGAACCACGGGAAAATTTCAATCGCGATTGGGCGGATTATAAAAATGGTTTTGGCGAGCCAGCAAAAGAATTTTGGTTGGGCAACGAAAACATTTATATGCTGACAAATAATGAAGAATATGCCTTGCGGGTGGAATTGGAAGATTTCGAAGGCAACAAAAGGTGAGTACGGTTTTGTATGATTTGGAACCTTAATTTATAAATGATACCATTTACTTTTGCACAGATATGCTCAGTATTCGCATTTCAAAATACATTCCGAGGCAGATTATTACAAATTGGAAATCGATGGTTACGAAGGGAATGCGGGTGATTCATTAAATGATCCATGGTATGGATCCAATAATAGTCCATTTTCCACATACAACAAAGATAATGATCGAAGCTCACTCAATTGTGCAAGCATGCTAAAGGTAAATTTAAATTCAAAATTCAAAAACTAGATTACATATAAATCTGATATTAATTTTAATATTTTGCAGGGCGGTTGGTGGTGGAAATCCTGTGGTCGTGGCCTCAACGGACTCTATCTGCATGATCCACAAGATTTGACGGCTCGTCAAGGAATCGTCTGGTTTCGCTGGCGGGGTTGGGATTACACACTGAAAAAGGCCACAATGATGATACGACCTCGAATGCCACAGCCACAGAGTAGTAGTATGCCCCTGGGCCCAGTGACTGCAACTTAAACAAAAAATTTCTTAACTTTATTAATGTAATATACAAAGTTGAATTACTGAAACGAAAAGAGAGAGAGAGAGAGAGAGACGAATTTCTAGTAGATGATGAGAATATCCGTCCATTATAATAGCAAAATCCATGCATTATAGCCAATTTTATATATGCAATGCCTTCTGTAATTTTAATTTTGTTATCCTTTACAAATAATAACTTATTTCTCTAATTTTTTATTGTAGCGACATAAAAACTAGTTAATTCTTTTAAAATTGTTCAATAACGTATAAGTATTATTCATAAAACGCTGCGCTGCAATCATCCAATATAAATTGTAAATAGATTCACTGTTATAATGTCCTTGCATTTCCTTTATTTCGGATCGTTTTAATAAAAACCAAAAATGAATCGTAAGTATTTGTAGAAGCAAATCTGCTTCAACTTTAAATATCGATCTACCACGATTTATCGAATGTACTGGAGATTAATCGAGTTCCATGTATATCGATCCTTGAATGAGATCGTAAACTGTGTGCTATCGATATATTAATAGCATCCAGTTGATCGTTCGAATGTATGGATGTGTGTGTGTGAGCGTGCATATGTATGCATGTTTGAACGATTGTGTATACCTGTATAGAAAAGGTGGTGTGTGTTAGTTCCTTCTGAGCGAACATCTGCCGCCGGCTTGTAAAATGACCTTCCCCTGGAAGTATGTGCGTAAGCGATGTATTGAAGCCAAATTAAAGCGGAAAAGGAGTTCAACCACACAAAAGGCGCAACGTTCTCAGTGTCGAAAAATTGCGAAATAAATGAAATAAATACTCGAATTGTAATCTACGAACAAATATCAGTGCAGAAAAACACAATTAAGTCATTTAAATGTTGCTGCAAATATTCACAAGGCTATTTATTATTATTATCGCTGATCTGTATCAAAATGCGAACGGTGCGCATCATAGCCATGAGGAACACAAGGGTTCGGTGCGGCACCAGAACTGGCAGCGACTGGAAATGATGGACGCCAATGGCCTGTACTGGCTGCAGTGGGGCATCCAAGACAAGGATATTCACTTTAAGGTCACGGTGAACACGCGTGGCTTCATCGGCCTTGGATTCTCGCGCAAAGACGGTCGCATGTCCAGTGCGGACATGGTTCTGCTATGGGTCGACGATCACACGGGCAAACCCAACGCACTGGTGAGTGAAAACGATTTCTTTCAGTGTATGCTGGCTGGAATGTACAAAATTAAAATATTAACAACTTAAATATATACACACTTTCAAATTGAGAATTTACAAAAAATATCATATACAAAAATAGTAATATCAACTTGATCAAACTTTTGATCACTGTTGTTAAGTATAATATTAATTAATTAAATATAAAACATTACAAAAATGCATTTTTTTTTTTGTTTTTAGGATTGTCATGGTTCGGTGCTCCACCCCCATGAAGCACCAATCCAAGATGATACACAAAACTACCACGTGATCGATGGCTATCAAAATGGAACCCACACATTTGTCGAATTCAAGCGTCTAATTGAAACATGCGATCCCTACGATATGCCCTTAAGCGTATGTACAGTAAATCATGTCGAAATTGGTATTTAAATAATTGAATTTTGATGATATTCCAGGATGACACTGTTAAAGTGTTGTGGTCCTTTGGTAAAACAGATCCTATACATGGTAATTTAGAGGGACATGGAAGGAATCGCGGTGCCAAACCATTGCATTTACTTAATCCCGTGTTTCGCAAAGAAAGCATGCGCAACAAGCAGGAAACTCATCAATGGGACATTACAGTCAATAATGTGACGCTTGAGCCCACAATGGATACGCTCTATTGGTGTAAAATCTTAAGCTCCCCGAGACTGAATCACAAGCACCATATTATTGGCTATGAACCACTATTAACTCATGTTGCGTAAGTACAGAATCTAGTTTCATCAACAATCAATAATACATTTAGTTTTTTAGTAAATCCGATGAAACAGTTGTGCATCACATGACACTATTTGAATGCTCAACGAAATCATATCCGGGTGCCGATTCAGCCTCGTGGGACGTTTGGGTCAGGAGCACAGGGACTGTGTGCAACAGCAACTCGTTAACTCCCAGGGATTGGGATTCGTGTTCGAACCCAGTTGCTGTTTGGTCTGTGGGTGCCAGCGGACAGTTTCTGCCTGCACACGTCGGAATACCGATGGGTGGGCCAGCCGGAGTCAAGTATTATATGCTCGAAATACACTATGATAATCCAAATGCCTTAAAGGGTAAGCAAGCAAATCATTCCTCTTCGAATATTTAATGTATTTATTAAATTATAGCCGTTGATCATTCTGGATTCCGTATTCATTACACGCCTCAATTGCGGGCTAACGATGGCGGTATCATTATAAGTGGCGTTTCTATTTCCGATACCCAAATCATTCCGCCTGGTCAAAAGTTGTATCGAAATGTTGGCATTTGTGGACCATCTTGTTCAAACGTGGTATGAAATTTAAAACTCAATTCTATTAGTTTATTTGCATACCCTGTAACCATTCAAATAAGGTGAAGAGTGCTACAGTTATGAGATAGTTTGTAACAATCAAAAGAATGGTTATATATCCTTGATCCGTCTGAATGTGCAAGCCGATCTCAGAGACTATAAGTACTAGGGACATCAGATATGGAATATAAGCTCTCGTCTCCCAAAGTCAGATGCATTTTTTTATTTTATTCTACATTTTTATTTTGTTAGACAAAGCGTACTTTCATATTGAACAAATAAATAGCAAGCAAGTATTTAAAAAATGGTTTCAGGGTATCTACTAGTCGAACTGTCTCGACTAGAACATTCTTATCTGTTATTTAACAATCAATGAGTCTCTTTTTAGTTGTTTCCTGACAATGGAATTAAGATCATATCGGGAACGCTTCATACGCATCGCGCTGGTCGCAAAATGAGCCTGCGCCATGTTCGAGGTGGCAAGGAGTTGCAACGGATCATCGAGGATGATAACTATGATTATAAATATCAGCAGTTTCATCAGCTGGCCAATGAAACGATCGTTCTACCGGGAGACTACATTATCACAGACTGTGCCTACGATACACAGCATCGCAAAAGGGCCACATTTGGTGGTTACTCAACGAAGCAGGAGATGTGCTTGTCTTTCATCACATACTATCCGAAAATCGAACTAGCCGGCTGTTATAGCATGACGCCAGTGCGTGAATTCTTTGAGATGTTTGGCATCAATGAGTTCTACTCATTGAATATGACAGATGTGGAAAACCTATTTCTATACAATGGCAATCTGTTAGATTATATGCCCAACACTATTTATGGAAAAACAAAACCGAACCGAAGCAATTTGACCGCTGAAGATTTAGTCGTCGAAGAGTCTTTATTAAGTATGGCAACAATATTTAAGCATATAACTATCATTTCCTTTTAATTATTCAACTAATTTCTTATAGACAAACTTCTTATTTCGGATCCCGTGGAGTTCCATGATCGGACATTCCTCTCGCACATAAATCAGCTCCCTTGGTCAGAGCCCCTATTCACCAAGCGCGTGGAGCATGCCATGATAACTGGCAAGCATATGACTTTTTGTCGTGTTGCCAACGAATCTATTTCGATTGTGAGTCTCAGCTCTGATATGAAAAGTGTTGTAAATTGTAAAATATATTTTCTGTTTTATTTATAGCCCTCGGAGATTATTCGTTATCCCAATTTTACGACATTTGTGAAGCCACCCAGCAGTTGCACATATAATCTATTTATTGACAGCATTCAATTAACATCAAACGCTTCAAGAATCGTGGCTCACTTGTCATTAAGTTTGCTACTTGTTGGCATTTGTCTTAAGAAACAATACCAAATTTCCTAAAAAAAAAAAAAATCGGGGTTCTTGGTTGCTATACTCAGAGTCATTGTAAAAACAAGTAAAGTCCGAATGAGCACACATTAATTTTAGTTTTTAATCCAAAGACTTAGTTGCTTAAAATACAAATTTTTTGTAATAAATAGTATTTAAATTAAGTTATAGTAAGAAAACTTTACTAAAATTAATATTACATATAGTTTTGAATTTATTTTTTTAATTGAAATAAATAATAAAAACTTACAAAACTACATGAGTTTTAAAATAATAAAGGGTTTTACAATGTGAAATGGGTATTAAAATTAAATAAAAAAAATAATTAGAGATAATATATCCAAGTTGAATTGTTTTTTTTTTTCTTTTAATTATGATTTGGCCCATAGTTTTTCAAATTTTATGTTAAGAATCTGTAAAACAAAAAAAAGGCAAAGAACCATCAGTGTTGACAATTACAAAAATAACAGAGATCGACCCGGAGAAAGACAAGACAAGATGAACAAATTATGAAATGGATAGAAAAGAGATATTTTAATATGGAACTCTGTCTGATTAGGATGACAATGAATAGTATAAATATAAAAATATACAGTTTGTCATCCTCTGTGTCACATAATATTCTTTAAACTATAAAGTTTATTTTGAAATTTATACTTGTTTTGCAATATTTCTAGTAAGCATTATTGGGCTCGCTAAGTTAGTTGAAAAGCGGATAGATTTCCGGACAGTGGCTGCTTGCTAATTCTTTCTTCTAACCAAATTAAGAACGGAACAGATCTCCTCTGGTAAAGGATAAAACGATAACACTAAACTGACCGCTCGGCAGTGGATTTTTTTCTATCGATACTGAAGGTGATTTTTATGGTTTGCTATCGATATTTGACGATAGTTCATCACTTAAACTACCATCCACAGTAATTTTTTGCCTTCGTCGACAATTGGCTTAAATATTGCTCTTGTGAAACAAATTTGACATATTAATCTGCATATTTCATTTCAAGCTATTATTAATTATTTGTTATGGGTAAAATAAGCGGCTTTATCGATAAGGATACCTAAAAATCACCCAGTGACATGGATGTCGATGACTGTTTTTACGGTAAGTAATTATGTGCGTATGTGCGTTTGTATATGTGTATGTGTATGTGTATGCACTTTTGCATTCACAAATAAACCCTACGCATTAGTTACTCATGCTGGTTGCGGTGGTAAATGTACATGTATGTGTGTGTACCCCAGTTAAAAGTGAAAGAATTGCGTTTTTGGCCAGCAAGTTAAGTGCACACACATACAATGCACATATGTATGTGTGTGCATTCACTTGTTATTTATTTGTACTTTTTTTTTTGTTTCGGTGAATGTTGATGGTCAGCATTAAAATGCAGAATACAAATGAATTCTTCAAGTATGAATATTGCTAGTTATTTAAAACTTGGCCTTAATTTCGACACAAACTGTGTGCTTAAGACATTAACCGTTAATTGATCACAATTTCTGTTTGTATGCCAATGCATATTTTTATTTATATTATGGGGTGTAAACTGTGTTCCGGCTTTGCCCGGGCACAATGCTCCAATGTGCGATATAAAAATTTCCCTTACCACCGAAATAGACTAAAATTGAAAAGTAAAAGTTAAAAGTGAGCAAAACTTGCTTGTCGAGTTGGAATATTAAATAACACGTGGTTAATATTTATTCAGCCGAAAGTGTGTCTTAGGAAATTTAGCTGAAGGCCATATGTGATGATGATAAATATTTTTCACAATGTATAAAAGTCAGCAAGCTAAATAACATAAAATTGATTAAAAAGTGTAAAAGAGGCGATTTGTTCTTAATTTATTCGATTGTGTTGATACTCAAAAAAAAAGTCGGTTCAAAAATAATGCTGGTAACATAAATGTATATAATTATAATATATATAATTATCGATCATTTAAAAATTATTAATAGTTTTTTTTTAGTCCAAGTAAATTTGCTATCGTTAACAGAAATTAATCATTGATAACCCTCATTCTTTGTTGTATTTCCCGATTTTAATCAGTCAAAACAAAAACTATTTTGTTCTTCTTATAGACGAATTGTCGTCGTTTATGTCATCGCCCAATGACTATCGCATAAACCATCATGATTTTGACGAGATAATAAGCTCGACGGTGTCGCAGCTCGATTCATCATTGGACCTCAATTCGTTCTTACCGCAGGGTCGTGAAAGTTTACTGCAAGGTGACAATTTGTTCTCAGAGCTGTTTCAAACGGCGCCCGATAGTCAGCATAATGGCTTGGAGCTTAACTTTAACAATTTGGAGGCGGGTTCCACACAAAGCTGGAACACAGATGACACTTTCTTTCCCTCGTCGATGGCATCGATGGACGATTCGATGAATGTCTGCAGCGTCAATACAGAAATTGAGAAACTGACACGCGGCAATCTGTTTGAGCAGCATATGCACGATCGAGACACGCCCTCGCCCACGGAGAGTTGTGGCAGCTTCAGTGGCAGCTCGACAAGCGGTGTCCACAGCGACACCTCGGACGCCTGGCAAAATCGACAACGGGAACAGCTAAATGATACGGCACCATCTGATATGATGATGCTGCTTAGTGTTCCAAAGTTGCACCCGCCGCCGCCACTTGTTGAAAGCTTTAAGATTGAAAATGAAGACAGCAGCAGTATTCAAAATAAAAATGTATTTCAAATGCCCGAACTTTCACCATTAATTTCCACCTCAACTCTCAACGAACAGCAGCTTAAAGAGAAAACATCGATTAACTGGAATCCGGAAATAGTGCCTCAGTTAAAAGAGGTGCCGATTACATCACCAACAGCAGCAGCAACAACCACAACTGGAACCACAACACCATCTGCAACTGGAACCGTTTACATGCCCGTCAATGTGGATGCAAAGTTTGCACCAAAAGTGCAAAAGCCCGCTCGAGAAAAACTGCTAATTGATGCACCAGCGGAAAGCGCGGGCAAAACCAAAACCATTTTCCTATCATCGAATGACTACAAGGCTCTAATGCAGAAAATGAATTTGAATGGTGCAAAGGGGGGCGCCAAGATCAACGGCAGTGTTAAGACACAAATACCCAAAATCGTCATGAAGCAGGCAAATTGCAAGGCACAAGCCCAACAACAGAGCTATCAACAACAAAATGTGGTCCAAGCCAAAACGCAAAATCAGTCGAATTTGCTCAGAAATCATGCTCAGCATCAACCAATTCCACAGTCGACCATCAATCGTGAGAGCTCCTTGGAACCCGAGCAGAGCTCGCACTACATCCGCAAGAGCACGATCGATGAGAAGATGTACAAAAAGCAGCAGCGTATGATTAAAAATCGACAGTCGGCTTCGTTGTCGCGCAAAAAGAAAAAGGAATATGTCGTCTCCTTAGAGACGCGTCTAAATAATCTGCAGAAGGAGAACTATACGCTGAAGGGGGTAAGCGAAAGATAAAAAAAAACTACGATTTTTTGCTCAATTGAAAATAAACATCTTAAAATCACCTATTGTACTCCAAATACTGATAAATTAGTGCTCTAAGAAATCGATAAAAATCGATTGTTGTAAATTAAAATCTTATTACGAATGTCCTTCGAGGATTTGTACAAAAAAAGTAGCTGGTATTATATTGATAACAGAGTATTTCGCAGTCGTTTACGCCCGACTCAAAACGAATAATTCTTTTGGTATGCAAATCAAGTGATCTGACTTTTTTCTAATGCAAATGTCAAGATTAGAAAAAGAAATCAAATTGTTGACACCTGAATGTGTTATCTCCAAGACTCTTGAGCACATTGTGCGAGATGAAACTGCGCAATAGAATGCTCCAAAAATATTGTCTATGCTTGCAAATACAACTATTTAAATGTGGTCCATTTTTTTTTTTGTTATAAAGAAGACAAATATTTTTGAACTGTAAAAGAAGTCGACCCAATATTTATTTAATGTTCTTCTGTTATCTTGCCTTTATCTGTGAACTCGTTTCGTTGTCTTACAATAAACCAACACGCACACAAACCTATAAAAAAAAAATAATGTTTACGCTGTTAACCTATATTTTGAACTGGCTAATTGCAGGAAAATGTGACGTTGCGCAATCAGCTGGTTGCTCTGGCCAAGACGTGCAAGTGCCGCAAGGGCAGCGTCTGCGATTTTGTGCTGCACTCGCTGAACTCGAAGCCGGCAGAGCAGAATATTAAGATTGCCCCGAAGCCAAGCTCGAAGAGTTTCAAGCAGCACATGACTGCGGCGACCGTTAAGAAGAATGTGGCCGTTCTCTTTGCCATGGCATTCATGGTCACACTCAATGCCGGCAATTTCCAATCGTATCTGAGCAAGCACAGTCTTGAAGCCGACAGCAACACAGCCGCCTCCGTTTCCGACTCGAATGTGAAGGAAGCGATGTCGATGCCGATGCCAATTAGTCGTCGTCTGCTTTGGGTCGAGTCGGAGGAGGAGTACAACGAGAAGCTGAACCGAAACAGCAGCAGCAGCAGCCGTCAGGCGGCGGAGGAGCTGGTGATGCCACCATTGCATTTCCTAAGACCGAACAGTCGCAGCAGTAACAATGCCACACAGGGAGGCGGCGTTGATCCGCCACCTTTAACCTTTCCAGCGGCGGCAACAACAACAGGCAAATGCAATGATTCGAATGGCAACCAAACTGAATATTCGCGGCTAATGCTTCATCTGGAGAAGTTAATCAATGTGAGTGGCTACCACAATTTGAGCATGAGCACGAAATTTAATATGGAATCATCGGACAAAGGACATCGCTTTAAGTTTTCAACGGACTATTTGGAATTACCCGATATGGTTGAGGGACAAACTGGAGGCCTGGGCAAACGTAAGAAATTTATGGGCGGCTTATCGCACATTGGACACAAGCAACAGAAACTGGACACTGATAAGAACATTTTTGGCACTGGCGAACCGGATCTTTTCAAAGGCATCAAGCGACAGGATGACACATTCTATGTGCTCTCTTTCAATACGGACCACATTCTGCTATCGCCAGCGGCGCATAATAAAAATGTACGTCCGAAAATGTCGCTGCTACTGCCCACAGCTGATCCATCGAATAATGGCGATATCATGATGATGCAGGTGGACTGTGAGGTGTTCAATACCAAGGAACTGGAGCTCAAGTCCCACATGATACCGGCTAGGCTCCGCCCAAATGTAACCAAGTGGCAAATGAAGCCAAAGCACTCCATGTTAAACAGCAACAACAACAGCAACAAGACGCTGGGAAATATTAAATTGCAGGATAGAATGATGAAACCGGAGAAGCCTCGAGTACGCACCTATTTTATGGTTGGCCCCAAAAATCAGGCAGCAGCAGCCGTGTCGCAGGAGAAGCCACGCCTGGTGGAGTTCAACAAGAGCATGGTTAACAACAGCAAGCCACATGCCACAGATACCACAGATTATGATTCTCGTTTACATGGCTAATCCACACACCAATATCTATTCAATATATGATATGATATCTATATACCCTAGCTTAATTCCACCCATTTGAAATGTTTTATGTATTCGTTTATGTACAAGATTATTAAGCACTGTTATATAAAAGTCTGGGGACTAATTGTAAATGTTTTCGCTTAAGTAATTATGGTATACAAATATATATATATAGTTTAAGTCACTTTCAAATTGTAATCCATTTATTTGTTATTACTTCTGAATTGTTTCTGTTTTTTTTTTTATTTTTACTTCTAAGACCGGATTATCCATGACCAGCGAATGATGCTCAAAAAGATTCCGACTACGGCGTAAGATTTTACGTCTGAGCAGTAAATCAATCTTCAACAGTTTTTTAATGATGGAAGTAAAAGAATAATAGCTTAATGATTTAAAGAGAAGAACCAATCAGCTATTTTAAATTTATATATACCTCTACATATATTTATTGATTTGTAAAATGCAATCAAGTCAAATGGTTTGTGTTTTTTATTGCTTCCCCACCCTTTTAACAGTTTTAGAAAAAATAATACAATTCGCATAACAACATAGTATCCATAATTATTTTGTACATACAAAAGTGAATAATTTTCGTGACAATTAGAGTTAACAATAGAAAGTAAGCGATGTCTGGGCCAAAATTATATTTAAAGTGTGTGTTTTTAGTACGCATTATTTACTGAAACAATTTCATCAAAGTTTTGTATAATTACTAATGCAAGCACAAAGAGATATGATACACATTAGTGAAATTGTAGAAAAATCAAAAATAGAAATAGCACGCATTGGCCTTAGACTACGAAGCGGTGCACATGACTTGGATTGAAGGATGGACTGCGTACAATAGTTGTGACATTTCTGTGTTCGTTGCTTTCGGCATTATTTCTAGGACTCGTAATACCCGAAGTTCCCGGCACTACGATCCTCGCATTGAATAGAGATGGCTTATTTGGTCGCCGGTGTCCGCGTTTGCCCTGAAAATAAAGGAGAAATGATGATAAAAAATATATAAACAAATATAAATAAAAAAATAAAGATAAATATAAATATATGAATATAAATATGAATGAATATGCATAAAATGAATATAAATAGAAAATACCAATTTAAACCTAAATATTAATATATGAATATAAATATACACAAAAATACAAATATAAATAGAAAATACAAATATAACCATAAATATAAATATAAAAATAAATTGAAATACAAACATAAATATAAATATATGAATATAAATACACAAATATAAAAATAAATTAAACATAAATATAAATATACAAATAAATATAAACATAAAAATAAACAAACATAAATATTAAAATAAATTTAAATAAATATATGAACATAAATATAAATTATAATTATAAATACAGAAATAGGAAAATAAATACCTGTCGCGCTGTTTGATTACGTGATTCTGTGATCAAATTGTCGGGCACCTGAAAGAGACTCTCGCTTCTGGTGATTAGCACGTTTGTGAGGCGACAACATAATGCTGCCATTTTGACCTGCTCCTCGATGCTATTCTTGTCGATCGGATGGATATAGCGTGGGGGAAAGAACGAGGGTGCAATGATCGTGGACACATTATGCAAATTCATTTTGTTAATATCCTTCAGGTCGATAATCGAGTTGAGGAAGCGTAATATCGAGCGCAGAGTGTTGCGATTCTCGTGCGGCAGCATCTGACACAATATGGATAAGGCACGCATCTGATCCGTTGGCGGCAGTGTGTGACACTGATAAAAGAGCTGAATGAGCTCACTGGTCAGCAGTGGCTGGGGCAGTTCGCGCAGCCAACGCTTTAGCAGCGCACTCAGCTCGTGAACGCTGGCGCTGCTCAGCAATTGGGCGAATTTTTCGGGCTTTTGATAAAAACTTGATTCTAATTCGTTGTAAATTAATTCAGTCTACAATTGAAAAAAAATTGAATCGTTAATAAATACTAACTAAAACAGGATCAGATCTTTCGCTCAACCTTGTGTTTTTGTCCAGCTACACGCAGAATGCCCTCTTCTCGTGTGCCCCGCTTCGAGAGCTCCTCGAGCAGACCCTCCAGAAACTGGGGCACCAGCGTCGAGTCCATGCCGGACAGTTGCTGATCGCGGCGAATTAGCGCATTCAGCGACACCCCGAAGAGGCTGCCCTCCTCCTTGCGACGTCGCTTGAACGGTTTCCGTTTGTCCAACAGCACTTGATTGCGATCGAATATGGTGGCCAGTTCCAGCCAGAAGATCGGCTGCAAGCGCTTCAAATCTGTCTCATTTATGGTATTTATGTCGGAGTTGCTGTTGTTGTATTCCTGTTGTATTCCTAGAACGTTGCTGTCCACGGTGTCAATGCCGCCATCATCCTGACTAGAATTTTCTCGGCACATGCTCTCAAAGCTGATGCCGTCTCGCGACGAAGGCGAGGAGTTACCCATTTTCTGCTGCTGCTTCTGCTGATGCGGCGTCTCCAGGTTCATTTTGTGTAATATCTTTTCAGGGGACGATGCAAGCGTCGTTGAGATGCGAGCCGTATTTGGTAGGTACTCATCGCTGGAGTCACCCGATGACGTATTATTCTCACTCTGCGAATCCTGCATATTTTGGCCACAGACCCGGCCAATCGAACACGACGGATCCGAGCCGGATCGATTGCGCGGCGGCATGTGCAGTGTGCCAATCTTTGAGAAGCCAAGCAGCTCGATGCCCTCCGATGAGTACATGGGTATATCGCAACGCACCTGCGACCCACGAAATATATCCGTGGACGTCGCCGATTTGAGTGGAGCACTCGGCGTACGCCGTATCTTCTGCTTCAGGTGTTTGCTCAGCGTTGGATAGCCGCCGGCATTGTTATAGTTGGTCGCACTGTGATCCGTCGATATGCTCACGAAACTCGGACTGCAAAAATGAAGAGTATAAATTAGTCAATAAGGAGAACTCGCAGCAAACTTACATTGAGGGATTGCCCCAGACATCGTCACCGTGCACCGAATCCAGCGAGTCTGGCGTTGCGCTGCGGGATCGAGTGCCCGTGCTTGACTCCTGTTTGCACATTAAATGCACATTAATTAATAACAAAGAAGTCTCAATTACAGTTAGAGCTACATACATCAAAGTCGCGAAATACATCGCGTATGTCGGGTTTGCGTTTCGAGCGATTCTTGGTGCGTCCTCTCACAGTATGATTGAGTGCTCGAACCCTTTGCTTGATCGCCTCAGCGTGGGGCCTCGAGAGTGTCGCCAGAACTGGCTCCAGCACCGTGGAGCGCAGCTCAATGCCCTAGAAAATGACATCGATTATAATATTATTGATATTTAAGCCAACTCCAGCTACTTACCCGCTCGAAGGGCTTTGTCAATTCGGGATATCCAGCTGAAATTAACCATTCGGCTTCCATTTCGCCATCTGTATAACATAAGCATTTCGATATTAAAGTCAGTTAAGAAAGGATTACTTTCCATTTGTGTGCTTCATCTAATTTCTGCTCAGCGTGTATAAGAAAACTTTGAAATCTATGAAACTTGCTTTATTTCTAACTATCATTTCAGTTATTGTATTTATAATTCATTATTTAAGTATAAGCCAATCTATAACATAAAGAAGTCTTTTTATTTATGTACTTAACTTATTTTCTGGTCAACGAATAAAATATACAATTTGCCTATGTTTATTTATTTGTTTATCATTTCATTTTTTGTTATTTATAAGTACTTCTATAATTAAAAGCCTATCTACATCTATTGTTCTGAACAGAAAAGAAAACCTGATTCGCATTTAGCAAGCCATATTTGGCCACTGTGCACATTAGGTGTGGTATTAATTACAAATATGTCTGTCTTTATTGCCAGGCATAGTTGTACTTACGATAATTATTGGCATGGGTGTAGAATAGAAATAGAATGAAATAATCAAGACGCACCTTCATAATGGGTTTCCGGCTCGTTGCCGGGCAGATTCGTCTGCAAAAGGTATTCGTTGAGAAACTCGGTGTAGTCCTGATCGCAAGTGTTGTCCATCGAAGCGCTGCTGCTCATTTTGATATAGATTTATAGCTGTCTCTTGTATTTTGTGAAATATGGCATTCTTTTTTAATTTGATCACAAGGCACAGAAAGCACTGATAAGTCGCCTCTCACAAGAAGGAATACATTTGAAGTAGTTTCTTTTTAATTTGAGATGTTGTCAACTGAAATAAAAAATAAATGTATATTTTTTATAAATATGTTTGTGTTTTAATTGAATTACAGGGTATCGGGTACTTCTGGCACTGCTCTCCATAAAAGCACTCTCACTTTTTGCCATAGATGTGGGGATGAAAAAGTGCCTTACAAAATGGCACAGCTGATTTTCATATAAGCTAAGTGAACTAGAAACTTAATGTTATTTCGGATCCAGATCATTCGCACTTAATGCAATTGCATTATTAGCACACATACATGCAAGCACACAACTACTAACATACATTATTTAATATGCTGGTCCGTCCTTATACATGCATATGAATGTGTGTGTGTGTCGATAGCAAATAATTTATCGTATATATGAGGAAAAAATGTACGTGTGCGTGTGTGTGTGTATGACTCCTTATTTACAGTCACTCTTAATATACATATAAGTTTCTGTGATCACACATACAAATGCATGTATATATTTGTCATACGTAGTCACTTTTATTTAATTTGGATACAAATTCGAAATATATAACTAGGTTTTAATCTGCATAAGAATGTATGTATGTATGTATGCACACACCAAATACACGTGTATGTGTGCGTGTGTGTTAAATAGGTTTCTTAATACACATACATAGATATATATATACGCAGTGGAGAGAGAGTAAAGCATATGCATAGTATGTATTATGTATGCATGTTATGTATAAATATGTGTATGTTAACATTAACATTCGTAGATTATAACGCATTTATGTTTATTCTGCAGCGGACAAGTACACACCCACATACGCACATACATTTGTATTAGTATTGGTAAGCACAAGTATTTATTTAACAAACCAAAAAAAAAGGGAAATCAGCATACTTTTTTTTATTTAATGTTTAGCCTTCTTTAAGTTCCCTTAATAATACACTTATACAATTAATTTCTATGCACTTAGCGTTAATAAACACAATGTATTTTTTTATATGTATGTATGTGTGTGTTAAACTGAAACAATGGCAATTTAAATACATACACATGTGAATGCATTTGTGTGTGCACAATTTCTGCATATGTATGCGTATATTATAGATACGTACAGATGTATGTGTTAATGTAAACAAGTATGTATGTTATTACAATCCGTACGCACACGCACACAACGTCTCGAACCGAAAATTGAAAATGAACTGATACCAAGAACGACCAACTTCAACTTCACACACACACACATACACACACTCGCACGCACACACCCATCTATTCTTGTATGTATAACTGACTGTACATAACAGTAAGTGTGTGCATGTGAATGGAAATATTTGCGTATGTGTGTGTATGCCTGTTGACAAGATCAGGTTTGAGTTGAGCGTGAGCAACAGGTTTGCATGAATGTAAACACGATTTGAGCCCGACAAAATTGTCAAAACCAAAATGACGTATTAAGCTGCGAAGACACCTTTGGCATGGTCCAATGTGAAATGGAACAATAACTGAAAAGTAGTTATTTATTATTTTATTTTATTTATTTTTATTCAGTCAAAAAGAGGCATCAAATGCTTTCAAATCAGTTATTACATGAATAAAAACAAGGGAGTTATGGCATAACCTAATTATGCAAGTTAGTTCATGTATCTATAAGAAATGTGCACTTTTTTAAGCAAATCTTTTTATTTGCCCTTAAGGTATTATATTTATTTTAATACATACTTCAGTTGTTATCGATATGACGGATATTCGTAGTAATGTGAAATTTGAAATGTGAATTTATTTTTGGATTGCACAAGACATTCCTATTAGATTTTCGGTTAGATTATCCAACATTTAACACTGAAAATATTAAAAACATGTAATTAGGACGATTATTGATTACATTAAAAATATATAAAGGTAGGCTTTGGCTTATAATACAATAATTTTTTATTTAAATTAAACGTTTTCTTTATTTTTTATAATATAAGCGAATGAATGAATGATAATAAGTAATTAACATAGACAAATGTTTCTGGGAATATGGAAATGGGAAAGTAGTAGAAATCGAAAAATAATATCGTTGCAGTTGAGCAGTTGTAAAACTTATCGCTCGGGGCGCTCAATAAAATATCGTTAACGATGACTCACTTAGCTGACTAACATGAACCGATAGCGGTTGTTAATGAAGGGTAAATACGAGTTTGATCGAAAAATGAAGATAAGTGTTGGCCATATGGGCTTAGTAATAATGGAGTCGAAATGCTACTTGTATTTACATATATTTTGCTGTAATTATATACATTTAAGTAGTTATAAGAAAATAAAATATTATTAAAAAACTTTTTGACTTGGCAACATGATGCGAAGCTACAATAAGAACAATATGAGAGAAAAAAATAATCATGTAGATGTTGCTCAACATGAGCAAGGTGCCGCAACAGCTGGTGTTGCCACCAAGTCAAAAATATATCAAAGTTATCGCTTACAACTATCGTAAGAATCGATATGCGTGTTGTTGTTCAGTTATTAACAACTCACCACGAAAGACTTCAATGGCAAACAAGTTCTGCAGTTATTTACAATTTTCCGTTCATCGTCAAACACAGCGCGCTTCTTTATTTTATTTGGATGCGTTTTCTGTACGTTTTGTGATTAACATATACAAACAGACGCGCGCACACACACATACACATACATAAATACAACGCGATGAATTTGATTTGAAATAAATGCATGTAGTATGTGTGTGTGTATGTATTTGAGTGTAACTAATTGATGAATTTGTGCCAGTGTCGAATGCAATAAATATATATATATAATTACATATAAACAAATGTAAGACACACATACAAATATGTGAGATATCAACATAAAAAACATATCAACAAAATATACATATTTACAAACAAATTTAACATTCCGTGTGTGTGTGTGTGTGTGTGTGTAAGGAGCTGTGTATATACATGTGTGTGTATATGTATGTTTACCGCTCTTACAGCAGACAGCTTAAGAATGGTTGTCGTATATGTATTTGTGCATGTGTGTGTATACATGTTTTGAAAAGGCACGCATCTCTTCTTCTTCCCGTAAACAAGTCGTGCAGTTAGTTAAAATACACACACATACATACAAGTGTACAACATAAATACACATACACACTCGCATGTATGTAATGAGATATATGGAGCAGCAGCAGCAGCACCTAGCACATACATACACACACATAAATTTGTATTTCGTGCATGTGTGTCAAATCAGTCCCATAACCAATTACAAATAATGGTAACAAAACCTTTACACACATACATGCATACACTCATACATAGTTACATTCATGCGTATTTCTGTAATTTGTTACCACAATAAATTTACATATTTATGTATGTATGTGCGTGTGTGTGTGTGTGTGTGTGTGTGTGCGTGTCTGTGTTGAAAACAGGGGTGTCTGTGTGTGTTTCCCTGAGCATTTGATTGTGGCAAACGAAAGGATTTTATTTGTATGTATGGATGGGTGAATGTATGTACACTCATACATACATATTTATGTTTGTTGCGCAGATTTCTCATAATGCATTAGTCGCGGTGTTCTTTGAACAAAAGATTACACACACACATACACATATGAACACATATACACACACACATACGCATATGAACACATATACACACACACATACATATATATATATATATATATATATACGCAGGTCGCCTGTGTGTGTGTGTAAAAGGATTATTAAAATGTGTACACACATAGTGTGTGTGAGGAGCATGGCAAATACTGATTTGTATTTTAGATAGGAAATTAATTAAAAAGCAGGTCAATTAAAAGATAAGCAATTTGTTGGTAAATTGTAAATATTCATGGGTTATCCATAAATTTCCCTTTTTATGCAGCACAAAAACTCGTAAAATATACTCATATAAATACGTACAATGTGGCAACTCTCTCAATTTGTAGTGAAAATTTGAAATGTGATGGAAAACGTTAAAACCATTTGATAGAAAAGCATTAATAATTTTAAAAATGTATTTAAATCATCAATAAAATATTTGTGCAATAAATACTGTTTAATAGAGCTGCCACAATTTTTACAGAACAGCTGCGATCAATTCTTCTAAAAGATGCTGCTTCGGCAGGTGCATAAGTAAATACTGTGAAATATGTAATTTGTTTTCTTAATATTCCCCGTATTTTACATACCCAGTGAAGTGGAATAACAAAACGAAAGAAAATATAAACAAAAATACACATTTGTAAGCAAAAAGTCATTGAAATTAATATGTGTGTATTTTTTTGCAGTTGTCTTCAATTGTGTGTTGCGCGAAGTTAAACGAATGAAAAATCAAAAAATGTTTCCAACTAATCCTTAAAAAAAAACAAACCAAACGAAAATGATAAAAACTAATTTTGATCAACGCCCACGGATGCCTATGATAAAAGAACTTGCCATATAACTTGCAACATTAAGCGACGCCGCCGGATCCAGTCCCAGTCATTGAGGAATAAAGAGAGTCTATAAGAACTGTTATATTGCCATTTTAAATCGGTCGTCCATTATCCATTATCCGACTTGAACAATGTCAGTTCTAGAGAGAAAGCATTTTCTCTTCTGCACAATACTAATGACTTTTGTGCTGCTTTCGGCATCAGCAGGTCGCGTTGCTGCATCTGGCTTGCAAGGTGTGCCAACATGGATGTAAGTATACCACATTTATTTAATTTCGATTAATGCACCACATATCAGAGAGCTGAGAAAGCTGAGAGATCATCATCATGATCATCATCCCCTCTAAGAACCAATCAATTAAGCTATTTCTTCGCACACGAAAAGTGTTCGGATTTGTTATGTGATTGTTCGGATCGTGTTACCATATTTACCCACTTTATTGAAGTCGTTTATTTATTTATAATTTTCATATTTATCAGTTCTAATTTTAAAAAACCGGTGCTCTTATCTTTTGTTAATTTTCTTCCTCTTTCATAAAATTTTTTTTTTTGATTTAAATTTTTATTGAATTAAAATTAGTTAGAAACGTTGAATAAAATTATGGTTTTCTTCATCTTGACTTTTTTTTAAGAGTCTTCTGCCACTTGAATTGTTTTTCTAAATAATGGAGCAAAATGCTGACTTTTATTACAATTCTATATAACCCATTACGAACTTTATATATTATATATATATATAGCTAAAGTAGTTGAGCTGAGTGAGAGAAGAAAAGATGGATGAGTTCAAACCTTTAAAAATGATTTACACATTAGCAGGAGAAGAAAATAGTAAAGAAAATTGTTTCTTAGCTTACATTAATTTGCATTTATCTCAATGAAGTTTTAATAGATTTACTTGACACCTGCTTTGAAAACTATCTAAATCAGTTTGTAGTCCGGAAAAAGAGTCAGCAGGCGACAGGCAAAGTTTTACATTCTCGACACCTGAGAGTGACTTATTATAGACTTAGAATCATTTATAAATAACGTGAATAACAAGGGGCCAAGGTGACTTCCTTGTGGTACTCCAACGAATTAGGTTATTTTGAAATCACAGAAGATTAAGTTTGTTTGAGAAATGGCCCAATTTGTTATTTGCTTTACATTTACTCTTCATTTGCCTCTTAGACATCGTAATTGACAAACAATTCTTTACAATTCATTCTTAATTTATTTGTTTGCGTAACCATATATTTATTTTTTTTATCAGTTAACAGCGGCGACTGATGCTGATGCTGATGTTGCCTAGGTGAACATCGTTAAACATCTTTGAAAAGTTCGCATGCATTCCGCCAGATGGCGCTGTGTGATTAGCTTATTGGATTTGTGAAAGCTGCACCGATTTTGAACAGAAATGGCTCATTGATGTCAATCGATAGATCAATATTGCATTCAAATCCGGTAATCCATGTTTTTATTCTATGTAGAAAATAGGTTTCCTGATTTGTTCTCTAAATGAATACTATTCAAATTGAACGTATTTTTTATTAGTTGCCTGGAGATTTCAATTAAAGATTAATTTGTTTGCAGTATAAGAGAAAAGGCGAGAATATGTGTAAATAATACTCTTACTAAGGGTGCTACTCGTTTGTTAAACGCGTTAAAAATGGTATATAAAAATATACCTATTTGATCAGATCGGAGGAGGAGTGGCTTAAAGTCTCTTTCTATGCAAAGAGCGCTTATATTTATAGTTCTTATATAATTATCAGTGAAACATTTGTGAATTGAGTGTTATAGATTTCAAGGGTGTTCCATTTCCGGCCTGCCAAAGACGTATATTTTATTATTTGTTAGGGAGCATTATCATTTTGTCGTGGAGTTTGTAACGCTTGGTTAGAGACGATGTCTTCAAACCCATAAAGCTTATATATGTGTACATTCATGATCAGACGTGTCCATTTATTGTCCGATCTATTTGGTATATGTATCTATTATCTTGTTGAGACTTGACACATATATTATATAGCTGTCATCGGAATAATTAGTAAACAAACAAGTACAATTTATTCTAAGCGTACAAAATAGATAATACTGTTTGTAGAACACTCTGCTAAAAAATTAAGGAAGGGTATATAATCTTCGGTGTGAGGTGATTTCTTGCTTTATTTTTAATTCCGGATCGCTGACGTACTCGTCTCCGCATTGATAAGGTTTTGAGCAATACTTTGACTCAGACTTTGACTCACCAGGCTGGGATGATGAGAGTACATTGAGTATTTCTTCGTATAAGTAAAAATATAATCTGTACCGTTCTCGCTGTTTTCGAGTGCCATCTCAAATGAAAAACAAAAGTAAGAAAGAACCCCTCGTCCAACGCCATGAATTAGTTGAAAATCTGTATTTATGAGGAGCGGCTGTTCGAGCTGTATTCAAAGCGTATACTGAATAATACAATCGAAGATCTCTTTCTACACTACTATATATATATATATATATATATATATGTGTGCAACTAGAAACACATGTTGAGAACACTACGGAATTGAACTGATAACACTCGTAATAATTAGAAGACGCAACACATATAAGTATATATATTTATATATTAATATACCCCATCATCGTCACTCTCCAAGGACACTCGAGAAATTGTTGAGAATATTTCTGGAAATGCTTCAAACTGTTGTTGCGATCGTCCCTTTGGTGTTCTTCATCTGGTTTGTGGCACCTGCTCTATCCGTATCCAGTACATGGGGCAACATTTCGAATTCGGCCCAATTGTTGCACGCTGAGAACGTTGCTCAGGGCTCCTCGCCAGAGAAATATGTGGAAGATGAAATCAAATATCCAACAAATGTAAGCAGCTCCACGGCGACATCATCTGTAATATTTATTAATGCCAACAAATGTGGCAACTGTGCGTTTATTAAATATGCTTTTGCATCATCATCATCAACATCATCATCATCATCGAGTTATTAGGAAAGAAAGCATCTATATACATCTATATATGTATTCATTTTATACGTATCCAGTAAATATAGCCTGTCCACATGCTCGTCTGTCCGTCCGTCTGTCTGTCTGTCTGTCTGTCTGTCTGTCTGTCTGTCCGTCCATTCATTCATTTGTTTGTTTGTCTGTTTTTGACGATAATCGTTGAGGTTTTTATTTTTGTTTTCACGTTTAGCACATGCTGATTAACATTATTTATATATTGTATATTTCGTTCTGAATTCGTAGTACATTTATTTTAACTGTTTAACTGTTAAATTGCTGGGAAAATATGATTCCCCTCGGAATATACTCTTATAGAGAACTAGCTTCAAGTAACTCAATAGTAACTGAGCTCTGCGGAAAAGCTTTTATCGCAGTATGCTTCAACTGCTTAAAGAATCTAGAATCTTAAGACAATTAATTTCTTTTTGTAAAGATGTAAGAGCAAACTCTTAGCCAATCTTTTACGATTTTCACTTCTGCTGTGATAATATCCACTAAAGACTAAACTGCCTAAAAGCATTTCAGATAATTTTCTGGCCTAAACCGAGCTAGACATAATGAAATAAGTCGCCGAGTATATTTGAAATTTTGTTTAAGTGCCACCTTAACTGGAAGTTGATAGCATTTTTATTAGGCTTACCTATCTGCCTTTTGTCGGTTAGCTTCTCCTCTCTTCCCGAGGCAATAAAGCAACGCATCCACTTACCATTAAATATATATATATATATATACTCGTATATATCATATCGGTCCTTAGCTGTTCAATTAGGCAATGGTGTGTAACAACATTTCTACAATATCTGAGTGCATTTTAACAAGCTAGAGCATTGTTCACATCTATCATTCAGCATAAGCAAGAACATCCCCAACAAGATCAAAATATATATATATATAATTCAGTTTTCGCACACCTTACACTTTAGGGTATCGGTAATGGGCGCATCATTACGGGAATCCGAGCGTTCGACCAGGTGACAAACAACACGGGAGGCCATGCTACGATTTATTCTGGAGGGCCTGGTTTTAACTTTGTCCACATCAAGCTACAATCGCAGTATAATTACGGACTAATATTTCGTGTTGAAATTTATGGAAAATAAATAAATAAGGCCAAGTGTTGTTTCACTTGAAGTGTTGTGGTTTTTTGAGAGCAAAGCAATGCAAAGCGTATAATAAAGTTGTGCAATTAAACTGGCAGAAGTAATGTATATATATATATACATATATATATATCAATTCTTGATCAGTTTAAGGCCGAGCCAAAGAACAGAGACTTCCAATTTGGAATTTAACTTCTCGTTCGATCAAGTTGAATTCGTTTTATCGATAATTGACAAAAAAAAGCAATAAGGATTTAAAAGCTGTTGTCTGCTTGTTAAAAACAATCTATATAAGATATGGTGGTAATTGAGTTTGCCGATTTTTAAGCTGTTATGTGAAACACAAGAAACAAATGATTTTTATGCTTGGTTCAATAACGTTAAATATTTATTTCAAGGCACAATTTATGCACCCCATATTTCAATTTCAGACTTAATGCCGCTGCTGCGCTGTGAGGTGAATCTAACTGTGAGTGTCGTGGCGGTCACACCACCAGACTCGATTGTCGCTGTGGCGCCACGTCTCCGTTTCAGATTTCTGATATTGATATAGTGGATGGTCTTCGGTGTGCCCGCCTGCACCAGCGTATATGTTCTTGTCGTCGTCCCGAGCAGGGTTTTGCTGGTGATGATAGTCTCACGGGCGATCAGTTCACTCGTCGCCTGCTTGGCGCCATAGGTGTAATCTCCTTCGGCAGCGTTGCCCAATGCGTTTATGCCAAGAGCCATGCTGGCGCACACGGTCAGAATGAATATCGCACTTCTGGGGTTCATTGCTTGCTGCTCTGCTTACTTCGATGGGCTTCGATGAAAATATTGAACTGTTGACTTCGTTGGAGTGTCTCTCGCTATTTATACCATGATGCACTTTCCAAATCGAGAAATCGCTGCCCTACTTTGACAAATTTGATACCAACCTCGCCGAAAAGAAAAATAATTATAATAAAAAAACAAAAACAAAAACAATAAAGACAAATACACATGTCCCATAGATTGAATGTCGAAGCCACCCCCACCCTCCACCAAAAACTATATATGTGTGTTGAAACAGCTGTAACTGTTCTTTGATGATGTCTCAACAGCAACTTGAAAAACCCGTTTAATCGAACATTATGTTTTTCGAGGGAAAATGCAGCTTTTGTGTTGTGTTCCATTTTACCTTACCAATCACTCAACACATCGGTTACATAATCGAAGCAATTTGCGTCATACCAAACATAGCGGTTGTTTTCCAATATTGGTTAGCACTATCAAGCGACATTAGAAATCTCAGCTATCTCCGACGTATTTTTCAGACAGCATTTTAAAATCCCACCCTTAAAATAAGTATTCGGGTCCTTGGCCTTGGTTTACACTCTGCGAAAATCCAAGCCTGACTGGACCTGGTTTACCTTGCTTCTTCTTCTTACACAGTTATGATTTGTATTGAAATGAAAGTTCCGTTAGTTTTTTTTCCCACCATTTTTTTTTTTGCATATTTGTGTTATTTTTTTTTATCTAGTTTTGGGTGTGAAATGGGATTAAAGGCAGTCACTTTCTAGCCTTCGGAAAAGTAAGTAGGGCGTTATTTGGAATTTCTTTGAATGGGATAATAAAATATAAATATTTATTTAATATTTTATATGTAGAAATAGATAAGATAAGACTCTAGCCTGAGGTACTGGCTAAGATCGTTAATTACGTCTATCGGGCTGGGCTCGATAAAAATGCAACGGCTTCTGAAACTCTATTTGATTTAAGGTTACAAATATTGCAAAATCGTGTTCAATAAATGTTATCAGGTGGTGATCGATTGGTTTGGAAGAAATTGTGGTCAAAGCCAGTATTAATGAAGGCCAGATTAAATGTGGCAAAAGAACACATGTCCTGGACCCTGGATTGGCTAAAAGTGGTATTTTATGATACGAATCAATTTAATTTCGATGGTTCAAATGGTTTAAATTATTACTGGCACTATTTGCAGAAGTTTGAGAGCTTTTTCGTACTCGAAGCTGTGGCGGTGCTTTACTCATGATCCACACAATGAGATCGGAGGGTTATATACATTTGATGAACACAGTTTTTATGGAGCATCAAGCAGACTCAAATACATTATTCAGCAGAATAATGCTCCAATACATGAGTTGCGGTCCTGTCGTGGGTTGTTGCGTGATAAGGATTTTAAACTTTTCGAGCAAAAACTGTAAAAATCCCAGTCAAACCAAAAACCTGTCAAGTGTTAGTAGTTTAAATATGTTAAAACAGAAGAACATAAATTAGAATTAAACAAATATTTGTTTATTAATTATTTTTAGATAGATATTGCAATAATTATTTTAAGATAGACATATTTTCTTCATGGTCGGATTGAGCAACGTGAACTCGTAAAAAAAATATTTTAAAATAGTTTTTGAAAATGGGTGATTAATGTCAATTAATTTCTTGAATATTTCTGACTTTTTATAGATGGAATTCCATCGTTTAAAATGCTTAAATAGAGAAGTTGGCAGCTTGGAATTAGTTTAGTTCATTAAAATTTACCTTTTCCAAAAAAAAATTATATTTTTGTAGGGTATTTTTGATCATTTTGCATTTATAAAGATTGTCGGGATTGATCAGGAACGCCGAGATTGTTGATAATTTCGAGTTTGACTATAATTGATTGTTATTTCCGACACCTCCCAATCTAAGTTATTTTTTGGAAATAATCCGAAGGGTTCCATTTCTAGATTACATTACATTATTATACTTTTTTTTGCCATGTTTTCGCCCATCTCATCAATTGGCCAATAAATCATAGTATTTTCAGCAGTCAACTGTCAACCGTCAAAACTTAAATAATAAATTGATGTCTTCCTATTTTGTTGCAGCTGCTTGGGACTAAGATCGCCGTTTATTGAATTTGGAGCACATGAGGAGCAGCTGTCGAATACGAGTATACCACTGAACATCACCAAAGATGAACAGGCCTATATGCATCAGGAGGGGCTGCGCAAGCTGGGCACCTTCATCAAGCCGGTGGATTTGCGTGATTCGGAGACCGGGTACGTTAAGGCCGATCTCACCAAAAGACTGGAGACGCCCAGTGCCCAGGCACGGCGCATTCATCCCATTCAGGAGGAGATGGACCAGAAGCAAATAATACTCCTCGACGAGGATACCGATGAGAACGGTCTGCCAGCCAGTCTCACCGATGAGGATCGCAAATTTATCGTGCCCATGGCCCTGAAGAATGCATCGCCGGAACTCCGCTGGCCGGTCTCGAATAAATCGCCCGTCGCAGCGAGTCCTCCAAGTCCAACGCGATCTGCGTTCGCAACGGCAGCGAAACGGCGGAGTACAACAGCAGCTGTGTACACAAGCACAACGCCACCGCCCGATCCCACATCGAATATCGATGATCTTAAGAAGCACATCCTGTTCCTGCATAACATGACCAAGAGCGATAACAATTTCGAGTCGAAATTCGTGAAATTCCCCAGTCTGCAAAAGGAGAAGCAATCGGTGAAGCGTCCCCAAAGACCCGTGCTTCAATATGCGGCCCCAATTGCGCCGCCCACACGCAAAGTACCGCTGGGTGCACATACTCCGGGCCAAAGGCCATTCGGTGGCTACTATCACAACGAAGAGGAATCAATTGGTGACTCCATTTCCAAAGAGCGTGGCAAATTCGATGTGCATCTGCTAAGTGATGATCAGTCGACAACGACGACGACAACGACGACAACAACGACAACGACGACAGCGAAAAGTGTGCCGCTGACAACGATGCCGACTCTCCTCCCGGATATGGCGGCATCGGGCGCCAAGCGTACAACAAAACGTCCAGCTTGCCTGCGGAATCCCGATTCGCCGAAATGCGTTCGCCAGCGTCAGCGGGAGGAGCAGCAGCGACAACGAGAACGGGATGAATGGTTTCGTGGCCAGGCGGAATTTATGCGACCACGCTTCGAGCCCATCATCCAGACCATAAACAATACGAAACGGTTTGCCGTCTCCATTGAGATACCCGATTCGTTCAAAGTGCATTCGGCCGATGCACCCGATCTGCAGATCCTCTCGCGCGTCACCCGCTCCCAACACAAGCGTCGCAATATTGGCGGCGTACCCTCCGACCAGGAGAAGCTCTCGAATCCAAGCAATTACTTTGCCCATGACATTATTATGACGTCGGCGGGCGTAACCAATGGTCGCGAATTTATGCTAGCCAACATGCAACAGTTCGGCATGATGGTGCCAAATAGTAGTGAGCATGAGAACGAGACCACGCCCACACCCATCGCCTATTCAGAGACTATCGATCTAAATCCAGATAATTGTTACACCCTCGACGGGCTAACGTATGGACAGAAAAAGCTATGCGCCCTGCACACAAGTGTTATGCCCGCCATAAGTCGTGGGGCGCGTGCTGCCATCCAAGTAAGTCAATTGAGACTCAGCTATTTATAGCCCAAGTCTGGCTAGCATAGATGAGTGATCCGTCCAGCACTCGGTTTCTATCAAAAGCTCAGTTCCATTTTGTCATTACTCATTACTAGTTTTATTTTGATTGCTTTTCCTTGAAATACAACTGTTTTATGCTCAATCCATCCTTGTCGCTTGTATAAGTTGTTAGTCGCTTTCTTTCAGTTCAAGCATCCACAGTAATCAAGTCAGTTTCTTCATGGTTCTCTCTTGTTTAGAATTTATATATTATTATATTTCTTGTTGAGATTAGTCGAGTTTCTCAATTCTTTAATTACTTTTATAATCTTTATAAGCTCGATTGCATTAGTAAGAATAATAATATTGTATTTTATATTTGTAGGAATGCCAATTTCAATTTAAAAATCGTCGCTGGAATTGCAGCACACCAGATGATGTAACCGTTTTTGGTCCCATGACTGGCTTGGGTAAGTTTGTTAATATTAGCTAGAGTTAAGGTAGACTTAAGATTTACTAGCACCAAAAAATTTGTAAATATTATTTATATAGTCTGCAAATATCGTAATTGATTGCGCTATTAATGCCCATTATCGATTCTACTCCTATTCCGTTTTGTTTGTTCTCATAATATCTAAATTTAATGATTTTAATAATTAATTAATAATCGGTTTGTAAATTTGTAAATAGTATTTAAATAATTATTATCAAAATATTTAATTAATAACCCATTTTGTTTGTTTACATTTGTAAATTTTATATTTGTAGTTTGACTTATAACTAATTTAATGCAATGCCCATAATCGATTCTAATACTATTCCATTTTGGATCTATTTTAGGGTCACCAGAAATGGCTTTCATACATGCGCTGGCGGCCGCAACTGTTACCAGTTTTATTGCCCGCGCGTGTCGAGACGGCCAGCTGACGTCATGCGGCTGCTCGCGGGGCTCTCGACCCAAGCAGTTGCACGACGATTGGACCTGGGGAGGCTGCGGTGACAATCTCGAGTATGCATACAAGTAAGTGCAGAAGTGCAGCCAACCTGCTTAAGCTAGTCTAACAATTTGTACTTCATTTATGTTTGTTTTGTTGTAGATTTGCAACAGATTTCATTGATGTGCGCGAAAAGGAGACGCGTCGCGGAACTCGAGGTGCCGGCCATCCCGAGCGTCGTCAAGCACAACAGCAGCAGCAACAGATTCAGCAACAAAAACGTAAGCAGTTGGAAGCTATTGATAGTACGAAGGAGGCTAGGGAGTCGGATATGGCGACTCCTGGAAATAGTAAACAGTCGAAATTTGATCATGAGGCAGATAATAAAGCAACGGTATCCGTTTTGTATGAACTCCCCCCCAAAGCCAACAACAATAAAAACAAAGAGCAACCGCATCCTGATAAAACATCAACAACAATACGTCCATCGGCGACGTTAGTCTCATCTTTGGCACCGCCCAGGCAAGAGGACTCCAGCGGAGGTGCCGATGGAAACGAGCCACGCATCAATCCAGACGATTTATTGGAGCTGCAGGAGCGCATTACAAAGGAGATTCTCAATTCAAAATTGAAAGAAGCTGAAATGCTTGAATTACAGGTGAGATTGATGCTAATAATAATTGTGAATTACACGAATGATACGAACATATGCTTTCCATGACAGGAGAAAATCAATCGGGAAATTTTAAACTCCAAGCTTTTCAATGGAGAGAATAGCGGAAAGCGTCGCAAACGCAAGCGCAAGAATCAACGGGCCGTCAGCGGAGAGGCACCTGTACTAACGAATACTAATTTAAAGGCTCGCAGTCTTATGAATTTGCACAACAATGAAGCCGGCCGAAGGGTAAGAAAATAAACAAATTCGAATTGGAAAATCAATTTGTAAACTAAATTCAATTATACAAATATTTAAAAAATGTGCGAAGACAATTAAATATGTGCATAAGCATACTCAATTTCATGATAAATCCTTATCGATACCATTCGACAAATTCGTTGTTAATTAAAACTTTGTTTCTCCTTTAAAAAAAAATAGGCCGTCATTAAAAAAACACGCATTACTTGCAAGTGCCATGGAGTCTCGGGTTCTTGCAGTTTGATCACGTGTTGGCAGCAATTATCCTCAATCAGAGAGATTGGTAAGTCCATAATGATGATATCCTGTGACCCTACAAGAAATTATAATTCAAACGATTTTCATTTTCATAGGTGACTACTTGCGCGAAAAGTATGAAGAGGCTACTGAAGTTAAACTTAATAAACGCGGTCGTCTACAGGTGAAAAACAGCCAGTTTAAGGTTCCCACGGCGCACGATTTAATTTATTTAGATGAGAGCCCCGACTGGTGCCGCACCAATCGTCTCTTGCAGTGGTCAGGTAGATTTCATTTCATGAGATTCGTTTTCTGAACATTTTCCTTTGCTAATTGCTTTTGGGTATTTTTGTTTTTTTGTTTTTAAGGTACGCACGGGCGCGTCTGTAACAAATCGTCGTCGGGGCTCGATGGCTGCGGTATCCTTTGCTGTGGCCGGGGCTACAACACCAAAAATATAATCGTTCGTGAGCGCTGCAGTTGCAAATTCCACTGGTGCTGCCAGGTTAAATGCGATGTATGTACAAAAGTACTCGAGGAGCACACTTGTAAATAGGTTATACTATAGGCAGCACACAGAACAAAATGTCCATTTGATCACGATTCACATAACACACATAAATTAAAAGCATATTTATATATATATATATCGATTTAGAATATTATTTATTAAATTTAATTAAGTTACGTATGGCTGTTGCCAAATGGATTTATTCTGAACCACCCACTCATTTACAATCACGGCTATTCCATAAGGTTTAAACTTTAAAGTGTGTCTATATATATATGGATGGTACCCATATAGACCAAAATATAAGTATGTAGTATAAAATTAGTGCAGTAAACAATTTAAAAATTCTTATGACAAATTATAAAATTGGAGAATTCATAGAAGTGATTTTTATTTTGGAAAAAAAAAGAAATGCTTTACATTGAGTTCCGAATTAAATTGTTGCTTTTTACTTTTATGTCGTATATGTATATGTACATATGTATATTGATTAGCATTGGGAATTGTATCAATTGATCTTTATATGAAATTGTATATATGCACTACAAAACATATATTGAATTGTCCGAATTGTGGGCAGTGTTCATCTGTGTGATCTTTTTGGATATTTGAAAACCATGCGTAAGTACAGAGTAACGTAAACATATATATTTTTTCATTATATAGATACAATGTTGGGCTCATACTTGTATTCAGAACAATGATGTGCTTTTCAAGTTTTAAAGTTGCTCCAAACTGGCATCAGGGGTCGGAAGGAATCGCTGGCAGCGGATCGCTGGAAATACGCATTGTTCGCGGCTTAATTTGCGCATACCTCACACTCTCCCTCTCGGCGACAGATTTACGAAACTCACAGCTCTCATATATGTCATATTCTGGCTGTTTGGGTGCATCTGTTTGCGGTATCTTATCGAATGTCAAATAAGCCGGTATAATCTCATAGAAGTTTGGATTGATATAGCTGTCAGTGCTGTCCAAGCTCGTCGTTGAGTTGCTTCGCGAAATCTTTGAGTTAAAGCTGTAATTACAACAATTTTGCAATAGTTGTTAGTCAGATGTAGATACCTATATATGTATATATATATATATATATATATATCAACTAACCCTTGCTTTTTTTGTGAGATAAACTCTTCGCTTTGCCGTAAATACTTTGCGGTGTTTGTGCGTGGCAAGACAACAACTTCACCGGAACTAAATTTGGGTTTAACGATGCGCTTGCTGCCCTTCAACCAGATTGGTTTCCGCCTCAGAACCAAAAACATTAACAATATGCCCAAGATTAAAAAAATAACGACGCCAAAAACCATCAAAGATATGCCCTATAAAAAAATCATATTAATCATTATGCATATATCAAGTGTGTGGGAACAGGCAAGTATTATGTGGTACTGTATTATACTGGTACTTGCACCACATAATATGTTTATAATTAAATGTATTTACTTTGGCACGCATGCTTTTCGAATAGTTGGCATCGTGGATTGTCTCCAGATTTCCGCTAATATGAACCGACTTGCAACTGAAAGGTGAAACAGTGCTCTGCTGATCATCGATCAAACAGAAAGTGTAGGCCACATTTGGCATTAGGTTTTTGACAATGGTCTTGTGTGGCATCGTGAAATAACAACCAACGCCATATTCATCCTGTGACACGTAATATTCCTTTGTAGTGCTCGGGAACCAAATGAGACCAAAAGTACTGGAACTATCACTCGGTTCGACAGTTACTTTTACCATTAGGGGCCCATAATATTGGGGAATGAAATATAGTTGGGGCCATTGAATGTTCTGTTTCTTGCCATTTAATATATTTGATATAGGCAAAAAGCACTCCAGTGAGACTATTTCGCTGTCCTGAATTGTGGTGGCAACTGTTGTTGCTGTTGTTGTTTTTGTTGTTGCTGTTGTTGTTTTTGTTGTTGTTTTTGTTGTTTTTGTTGTTGTTGTTGTTGTTGTTGAAGTTGAAGTTGAAGACTTTGTTGTGGACAACGATGTTGTTGAGTCGAATTCATTCCCTGTGTACTTCGTCGTTGTTGTTTCTGTTGGTATACTCGTAAATATTGGAGGTGGAGTTGGTGGCACCGGGATTTCGGATTGACAGAGTCGCTCGTCAAATACCATCCAAGTGCGGCACTCGTCAGGCGATACACAGAATATGTCCAGTTTTGTTTTCTGATATTTGAAGATCTCGCTCATTTCTGTTTGCAGCTCACAGTCGCAGTGCCAGTCATTGTCGTTGGCAACGATTGTTAAATAGCTCGAAATATCCGAAAATCCAGTGCCAAATATCATCGATGATATCGTTTTCAGCTTATTATTTGATATGTCCAAATGGCTCAAATATTTCATACCTACATAAAGCAGAACTTTAATAAGTATTTATTTGATTTATTTAATGGCAGTCGACACAAAAAAAAAAAAAAATACAAAACGTAAAAAATGAATTGAATTCAATTAAATATCAAATTTAATATTTAAATTACAAAACAAGAAGATGAATTATACGATTTGTGGATATTTAAATACAAAAGCAGAGAAAAACCTGAATCAGACAACAACAAATTGTTAGTATAAATTAGTGAAGATGCCTTGCTAAAATGTTATTCACGAGAATTGAGTTCTTAATTAATTGCAATAGAGGACTCTGAATTGATTGCACGATAAAATTAATTGCAATCATTGCAGAGTACTCAAAAGCGTTAATTAGTATTGCAGCGATTATTCTCAGTAAGAAACTCTACACAAATATTAAATGTTGTGATAATAATTTGAAAATTTGCTATTTTTATAAATTACCTTGAAAAACATAGTTGGGTAAACAGTAGATATTTGAATGAGCCAACTTCAGTGTTTCAACCATGGTCAATTTAATGAATGTGGACCAAGTCAACTGGTCCCGAAAATCGTTGTAACTCAAATCGACGTAAACAACTGCGCCTAGAATCGGACCCAGTTCAGTCACATTGCGGACACAATCGATGCTCATTTGCATAGTCAGGGTTTTAAGTTGAAATTTCACATAGTCGAGAAACTCCGGGTACACAGTCAGCTGGGGTACACTATGCTGCTTAATATAGAGATTTTCCAATTGTTTGGAGATATTTTGAAACATTTTTTTGCCGAAATTCTCAATATTTAAACTGTACAGTTGTATAGATTTGAATTTTCCGTCACCAAATGCACCGTCCTCGATTTCGACAACATTTGAGAGGCTCAAATAAAGTGATTCGATTTTATCTATATATGTGGATAAGAATCCAACTGGTATAATACCATTCTGGAACTCATAGTTGATTAGTTGTAGATCTTTAATGATGGCACACGGATAGCTCTAGTTCAATAAGGAAATTATATATTAAGTTTCACTACTAATATTATTATATTATATTATACTTACAATCGATGCATCGGCCAAGGCAATATCATTTGCGATTTCGTCCTGTTTTCCATTGAGACAGGTAAAAGAACACACGAACTTAAAGCATTTTTGGTCAGTTGCTTCGGCATTTTTATGTGCAATATCCAAACTGAACTCAAATAAATACAGAATTCCATAAGTAATACTATCTGATAACAGGTACCAAAAGGAGGTTTTTATCTAATCTATTCTAATTCAAATCTAATTTTAATGCATTTTTGGGACGGGATTGCGCATTGGAAGTGTTGGAAGAGTTTCCTGGTAGCCTTCCCTCCATTTTTGGTAACTGTAGCTCTTAAATTATGGGATATTTAGGCTTTTATCTGGATAACTTGTAATATAACTTTCAAATTTGATGACTAGCTTTCAAATTGTGTGATTGTTTTGTCGATTTACACCAGTAGATGACGATTATGGGCGTATGTCCATCCAAATAAATTTGGTGGCTATAGTCTTAAAATTGTGGGAAATATATGATTTTATCGATTTGATCGATTCCCTAGTCTCCAAGTGGACGCATCACCCCCAAGTTTCAAGTCTCTGTCTTTAATGGGGTCAAAGAAAGTTGCGTTCATACAGACGGATAGACGGCGACAGCTTGACGGCCATTGAACAAAACCAGTATATTATGATATGTATCAAGGTATAAAAATATCGTTAGATTAAGCATCCATTAGGAAAATCACAATGGCAGACTGTTATCGTTACGATAAGGGAAACATTTAGTTAAGCTTTCCGCACAACTACTTGCCACATATTTATTAAAAACATTCGAAGGAATCAATCATTTTCCAGTACGCATACATTATTTTATTTGTGTACAGGAACTTGAGACTTTACTTTATATTTATAAATATTATATTGTTATTAAATATTTGTTATATTTATACTTTATGGCTGTGCTGTAAATCGTACCCTTTGCTTTTGATTGCGTTCAACAAACTTGCACTGCCGTAGTTCTCCATATCACAGGCTACAACCCAGACATGAAACAGGTAGAAGACTACCAAATATAGTGTGGGATGTGTTGACAAAGGATTCGGCATAATTGATTTGCTTTTCCATAGGTTAACACAAGGAAACATTAGTTTTAGCAAAGTTCACCTCGCGAGCACCTAAAGTTGACTGCTGTTAACTGTGCGTTTAACTGTTTATCGTCAGGCGTTAATGATTTATCCTTATCAAAACCAATTTGAATTTGCAGTGGGTTGTAAACGACTGGGCGATACTCTGATCACAGCTGAATTTCGATGGAAAGTCGAAGTTATTCATAATCTGGTAAGTTTTTCGATTCCCTTTTAAAGGGAGTTTTTAAAAATGTACTCTTCAATCTTGAATACTTTTTGATTTATATTAAGATATGTTTTATTGCAGGATATTATTATTCTTAAAAATGCACAATTTTATGTTTATTTCTGGTATATACGATTATGTATTCGATACGCTCTAAATCAAATCGGAATAGTTCGATTTTTGCGAGCATGAGATAAGCAAAACTTGTTTATTGATTTTCATGTCCATTAATAAAACAGTGATCGAAGCTGATAGCAGATTTGGCTGTATATCTGTTTTTGGATAACAACAAATATATGTAGCAATATTAAAATGTACTCCACTCAACATCCCGGCTAAGAGTAAATATATATTTAATGACCTTTCAGAGCGGATTGCAAACAATTCGTAGAAATAGTGGATCGGCCAATAAATTATTTATTTTCCTGTTAATAAATACTGTAATACTCAACATATATATATATATATATATGAAAATAAATAGTAAGTAAATAATGTAAAGTTCCGCTACATTTGTGGGTATTTGTATTTAGTAAGTGTTTTGTGCGATTTCATGGAGTTTCACATGCCTCAAGTGGCTGACCCTTGTGCAATGATAGAATCGAATTACGTTTGGGCAACGGAGGCGGAGAGTTGGGTCTTTCTAGACATTCACTGAGCTTCGATCTTTTGATTGTGAACTGCATGGGCATCTCATAGTCGATGGCACGCATATGAAGATTCGAGAAAGGTTCCTCAAAATAGGTCGATGAGGATGCAACACTAATCGGGCTGGCCATCTGTCTGTCACCTAGTCCTGTGGATACCTCGGGGAGCCTGCATTGAGAAAGCGAACTATTAGATAAGGAATATGTGTGGTGTAATATGTTTAAGAGACGCTTACTTGTGGCTCCTAATATTAAATGAATTATCGTGAATATAACCGTTCGTAAACGATGATTTCATGTACTTTGAATCAGCTATAGTTGATACGTGACATGTTTTTTCTGATTCCTTGACGACCAGCACATTCTTCGAACCCTCCAGCAGATGTGGGAAGGACTTGATGCCTAGATACGCACAGACTGCACCAAATACGGTGGATATGAAAAAGATCAGGCAAAGCATGCCGATTGTAAATTGTTCCTCAGTCTTATCGATCCAGAGTTCATCTGACTCATTACTCGCGCGACTTATGGGCACATGAAGCGGCTGACAAAACAATGGAGATATAACCACATCATCCTTAAACATCATGCAAAATGTATATGTATAGCTGGTTCTCAGTGGATCAGTTATTAAATTTGGATCTTCATATTGCATACAATTGTAATCCATTTTCGATGTATCAGATGAATAGCTATCCACGTCTTCCGTAAACCAAATAATGTTTAGTTCATCAGCAGCCAGATATCCATCAATCGCGGCCAGAACGCTATTATTTGGAAATAATTCTAATTTCAGTTCATAAGGGGGTGGTTCAAATACAAATGTATTAAAAGCCTTGTTATTATCCGTATCTCGTTTTTCTATATTCTCCGCAGACTTCTCCAGATATATAGCTGTTGAGCAGCTGAATTTTAGTGCTGGTCCATTAATAGTTTTTGTTGGATCTACTTCAATTGGTTTCATTTCATCGGAAGTGGTTTCAGTTGGAGTTGGCTCGATGTGAGAATCAGATTCAGAATCAGAATCAAATTGTGAGTCGCAGCTTAGCTCCAGTTCTTCCAATTCATCAAACATTTTGCCATATAGATTCAATGGCGTTCGGCAATATGGTGTACTTATAAATAGATTCTTATTGGCACCATAATATTTGATTAGGGATCGCAGTTGGCAATTACATTTCCATTGATTGGGCTCAACATCGAATAGTCGAAGGCTACCTCCTAATTCGAGTAAATCGGCATTGATTTGTGTTAGCAAATTATGCTTCAAATCGACTAAAATCAGATTTTTACTTATATCTTCAAATGCATCATCGTCAATTGCAGTTATCCGGCAGTATTTCAAGTAGAGATAGGCGATATTTGGAGTTCCGCGAAAAATGCGTTTACCAAGCGGGCCAACAAATGTATTGTGGCTTAGATCTAGATGTTTTAACTTATCAAATTTGATATTATCGAATATGTCCGACTTGCTGTTAAATAATATGCCGCAATTCATTCTCAAGTGTGTTAGAGTTACCTGAACCGGTTGCAAGAAAGTTATTTCTATGCTGGGTGTCTTGAAGTCAAGTTCCAATTTCCTCAACGAATAGAGTCCGAGCAGGGCTCCAGTGCTAATCTCCTTTAGTTCTAAATCGAGCCAATTCATGTGTACAACCTTTGCAAATACTGGCGAATTAAATGCTCCACTCTTGATCTTCCTCAATTGATTTTTATAGAGCACAATTTTAACCACAGTAGAATTCACATCAATCCATCTATCTTCAATGCAATCTGCAATTAAATTTGAAGCCACTAAGGAGCTAAACGCTTCACAGTTCCTGGCATTCATTAATGCAGCTATCTCCTCGTAAATATTATGGCTGTAATGACATTCAATACGGCAGGCTATTTCATAACATCCTTGTCCAATTGGTTCCACCAATGTATCCAATGTGTCTACACTTTTTGTATAAAAAGTTAATAGTATTATTTAGATTAGTTTTACTTTATCATATAATTTACCCAAGTGTTTCAATTAACGCCTGGGAGAAACCGCTAATCTGGTCGAGTTTGTCATCTTCTCTGCTAGCGTTGTTAATGTCCTGGTTGAAATCCTCATTTGTATCTTTGCCGCTTATCCAAACAATTATATATATAGCTGGGGCTATAATACACATGATGCCAATAATCAACAAAATCCAGGCTAGGATTTTCGTGCAAAATTCCTTTTTGGCATTATTTCTTTGTGAACTGCAAAAAAACATATTTTTTCATGTTTTTCATAATGTTATCTCTCTCATTGTATTGTTTCAGAAATGGCTTATGTACTTTGCAAATTGTATTGTTGTTTCAGATAATTACCTTCTCAAATTGGACTCCTGATTTTTCCGTTTACTTTCCCCATAATCCTTTGTCGACTGCATTTCAATTGGAGCTCTTTCAAACGACTGTCAAGCGATTGGCAATCTGATAACTGATTCACTGACAAAATAGCATTTAGTGTTGGCTTATCTGACTGATAATTCTTACCCATTTCACCAATCAATATTAATGTCGTTCTGATAACTAAATGTTTATAGGTTATACACATAGATATGTATATAGCTTAGGTCATCATACTAACAATTATGCATATATTTATATATATTATGGCCTAATAGTATTGATGTGGGATGCTTGTATTTATTTATTCTTATCAACATTGTGCTAAAATTAAGTTCCCAGATACGGTACAAATGTCCTCAATTAAAAAAATATGTGTATTAATATATTAATTTGAATTGTATTTACGATATCCATACTTTATTTTGTTTTCTTAAATTATACTTTTTCTCCGATATATTCCGAATCCCTTCGGTATTCGTCGATGCAGTGAGTCTCTCCCTGAGTCCCGATTCGTAATTTATTTGAGTATAAAAAAACATATTTCAATATTAAAAGATACGCATTTTTATAGTTTTCTAAATCTAGGTTTTAAAAAACTCATTATTTATTAAATACATTTTTTTGTATTTATGCTCCTCATAATAAATTTAATGAATATTAATTTATTTATATTTACATTTAATTGAACTATTATTTTAATTACGTTGTTTATTTAAGCTCCTCGTATAAATTAAATGATTCGTATAAATTAAGATTGAAAGATTTCATAGAACTTTTTCCTTCTGAAGGTGGCGCAGATGGAGCACATTCATTTGGGGGTATACTATACTTATTTGGACCTCCCTTGAACAGTTGGAATTTTTCCAAATGGTAGTATCCCGCATATTCGGCAATTGCGTTTTCGTGTTTAGGATTTCTGCTGAAAAGAAAGATTCTTTGTTAGTTTTCCACATTTAAAACTGAAGACATCTTTGTAAATTTGTTTAAGTTTATTGTTTTCAGAGGGTATATCAATTTTGGTTTTCTCTGACTCCTTAAATTATATATATGTATATTCTTGATCTGCGTCACTATCCCAGTCCATATAGATATAGATATAGATATTGATGAACCTTTTGTATTTCTAGGCAGTATTTGCTGAACGCAGTAAATAGGTCAGATATGTCCGGATTGGAGTACAATACTTTAAAACTGATATTAGAACAAACGGTATCAAAATAAATATATTTTTTTAATTTTTGTTACAAATAAAAAAAAACAGGAAACCCAGAATTGCAATTGTTTTAAAACGTACGAAAATATAGTTGTATTTTAATTGAAATTTGAATATTATTTGTTTCTACTAATCAATTATTTGACTATCATTTATTTTTGAACTTACGCCGCAGCACCATAATGATCCTTTTCACAACTTCTGGGCAACAGGAGCATTCTATGCGATTCACTTTCCGAACGCAGCAATCTTTTACTTCCGTAGAGCCAATGGGGACGCAGCCAGAGAACGCCGTACATTGCGAACAATCCAATAAGCACACTTAGCAAAATGCCGCCTATTGATAGACCTATAATCAGCGAACTATTTGCCGCAAACCAACTCAGTCTCAGGATGGCACAGGGTAATGTTTGATGGGATCGACAGTTGAAAGGCGATGTCCTATTCTCCTCAACCATCAAGCAAAATACGTAGGAGGTACCGCAGCTTAAGTCCTTAATATAAAGTGTTGTCTGAGCCGACTGGTTAACATCATCATCATGCTTTTCCACTTCACTGGTTATTGTAGGATTCTCGAAATATATTAAGGTCCAAGGCTCAAGCAACTGTGTTATTGTAATGGTTAATGCACTCTCAGTATAATCAGAAAATGCAATCTCTGCATTATAAAATATCATTACTGTGCTAACAGTTTCTTTTAAGGCATTAACACATTCCACCTGACCGTATTTATTCTCACTAGTAGTTTCCAGAGGCATTGTGATGGTTGTTGACTCAGTAGTCGTTGATGGCGATAAGGTAGTATTTAGCTCCGGAGTCGGTAATGGCGGTGTAGTAGTAGTTTCCGACGGAGTGGTTGATTGCGGTGTAGTAGTAGTATCCGGCGGCGATTGAGTAGTAGTTTTTTTTGTTGTTCTAGGTCGAGCATCTCTACCCTGCTTAGCTAAAGTAGTTACAGCAAGTGTAGTCAGAGTTATAAAATTGAAGTCCGTTCCATTTGTCGCATCTGAACTATCTATAACATTAGCGTTCACTAAACTTCGTGTATATCCCACCGATTCAGTGCAGGGATTTATTTCCAATGATTTGAAGAGCTCGCATTTCGCATAAATACAATTCCAATTATTATTTAAGAGATTTAAGCTAATGCCCTGCTCCATTGATGCACGTATGAAGGGAGCACTAAGTTTTTTGAGTAAATTTCCACTCAAGTCCAGGTATCGAAGTGCGTTGAAAACACCGTTACTTATTTTAATATCGATACTATTCAGCCGACAATCGGCTAAATTCAAGTATTCCAAGGCAGGCATGTTATTAAAATTATTTGTTTCCAATGCGCCACCAAAATTATTGCCCATAAGATCCAAGAACTGAAGTTTTTCGTAAATAGCCAAGCCGAAAAAGTCTTCTGGCTTATAAATTGCATACTTTGTATACTGTTGATTAATTTTTACCGAATTTATGGTGCGCGAAAGTGGCGTTAAAAATCCATTACATTTCAATGATTTTTGTCTATTGATGAGTGTAAAGTTGAGAAGTTTATTTAGTCCTTGAAATGTATGTTTGGTAGTTTGTTTAAGGTTGCTGTTAATAACCTCAAGATTAAGTAGCTTTCGTAAGTTATTTTGATCGAAGGCGCCATCCTTAATGTGTTTCAGAGGACAATTGTACAAAACTAAACTCTTCAAACTGTATTCACCAGTTGCAAAAGCATCATCTGTTAGAACTCCGTCTGAAAAATTGTACTTGTCAATTCGAAGTAAAAGATAATCACTGCAGTCTATAATGCTATTGCTATTGATTTCCTCCATTCCGATAACTGAATTTGATAAACTCGAATTGCAATAAAGGACTTCATGCGTGCTGCAATTAATCTGACACCATTGAGCATATTTTGAAAATGGGAATCTTCGATTCGATGTTTCCAAATCAATTTCTGGCGGTTCACTTGAAAAGTCTACATTGGCTATAATTAATATAAGCACAAAGCCAACTGCAGCCGGTTGTATTATATATTTCAGCCATCGGGCTCGGCTTGGTTGATTAAAGGTTTCGGGTTGCTTCGAAATTTCGTCATTATTCAGATCGAAGGATTTTGAATTGAACATACTGCGAAACCACAAATATTTACTAGTATTTTTGGTAATGCGATAACCGTCAACTATTCCAGCTTGTTCTCAACGCACTAATCAGATTTGTCATTTGTGTGTGGGTAATTTATCAAATTAGTTAGGCTCATTATCAGTGATGTGGTGAACCGTAATATGCATTAAAATTATAATAATTATTATTAAAATAATGTTGATTAGATAAGGCACCCACAGGAATCGCATGCAGCACATGGAATTATATGTATATGGTGCACATATCAGAAGCAATTCATTCCCATGAAACCGCAATAATATAATTGTGCAGGACTACACAGATCGACATTAAGCATCAATAATCAATTTTAATGATGCTTCAAAAGGTTTTGCCGTGCCGAAAATTCAACTTTATTTCTGCATCGCCAAATATCATTTTGTTGCACTCAAATAATGTCTGTATTTATTTTTTTCCAAATTTTTAGTCGACCGCTAGAAATATTTGACATTTACTGCAAAAATATAAGCAAAGAACGGAAAATACAATTTAAAAATTTATGAAAAATCAACAAAAAAAAACATTTGAAAGCATCAAAAACAGCGAAAACAGAATTCAATTCCTCCCAAAAATCCATTTTAATTTATTTTTGTGTGCAGCACTTTTGTTATTAAGTAACAGCTGTGACTGGGAAGTTGCCATGTCATATTGTTCCAATCGATTAATACATAATAATCAATGGAAAATTAGTTATTATTGTTATTTTTAAGTTATTTAATATTTAGCGACTTAAACTAAATATAATCGACAGGGTGCTTAAGTTTCACATGTTCAGTAAATTCCACTCGTTTCGATGAAGACACAAATATTATTAGGGAATATCATTATTATTTTGCGGTGGTGGCTATCACAATCGGCACTCGATAACAATATTAAGTATATCGATTTCGGCATTTATTGATGTCATCACTAAATTGTTGTCGCTGCAGTCAACAAAATAACACATTTGAAAGGCGAAATTAGGTAAATATTTATGTATATTATCAATAACAAACGTGTCTAAAATGTTGCAAAATGTGTAACAAGTTTTTAATATGAGTAAACACGCAAGTCGATGGTTCTATAAAGGGTGTGAAAAAGAAACATTGGGTTTGAGCGCAATGTTGCGAAATGTTGCACTTTTACATGTATACATTTTTACGGATGTATGTGCTTACACACATGAATGCATATGTACAATATATATTTGTGTGTGTATGTGTGTGTGTGCTTGTCAACAATCAATAACGCAACATTGCGTTTAATTAATTGTGTTGCTTAATGTAGCCGCCCCAAAACTCATATCTAAAAATAGATAAGGGCGATGAGTGCATTTTATTCGTGCTGAAATATTAATAACATCAGAAGTGGCAACAAAAATAGTGCAACTAAAATATAAATATATTTTTCTATTAATTTTATTGCAGAATTGAGATGCCAAAAAATCAATGGTTGAATGGATATTTTGCCAAACTGAATCCAGTGGCCGAAAAGATAGCGTTCGATATGAGTGAAGTGATATCGGCCTACGATCATGTGTGGCTAACACTGACAACAGCCCAGCAGGATAATATTCTGAACGACACGATAATCAAGCCGGAAATAACAATTCGATATTATAGCAGTTCACACGCTGGCAAAGAAATTGCACCTAATTCGAGCGTGGAGAGCACTCGGAAAAAGGGAACTAAATGCCAGAAGCATAATATTATATATGCCTTCGATCGGTTAAATCTGCGCACATTTATTCATCAGAGCATCGGGCTGAAGATTGTACACGATGAAAACATTGGGGATTACCGGGATGAGCATTCATTTCCCTTTAGCTATAAGACCAAATCTCAAATCAATCTAGCTGCACTTGAGAGTGATAGCGATAGTAATAATGATATAACTGCCATTCAATTGAGCACCAAAATCTTGCCACCAATTCCAAGAAAAGATACCAACGAATCGGATCATCAAAAACAAATAATCCCATTCAGAGATGTTGAACCCAAGAGAATTGATATAGTGAAATGCACTGAATCATCTATTAATTCGGTAGCTGCAGATGAGAAACTCAATTTATTATCCAATTTTGGATCAAAGAACACACTACTAAGCATATCAACCGATTCCAACGATTTTGATAATGATACCAAAGAGCAACATTCCGAGAAATGTAAACTATTGCCAGATAGTTTGGAAATGCCCAAAGGATTTGATTTCCTAAGTAATTGGTAAACTCAATTGAGTTCCGATGTATTATATAATGAAACTCTACTCACTTATATATATATATATTTATATATATATTTCACCAAAAACAATTTAGTCTGAATTTATTGCTTATAAGAATGCCTGGTCAAGAAAATGCAATTTTTACTATACGCCTTTACAGAACAACAATGCTTAATAAATATAAAACAGAAATCAAACTCAGACGCCTATCATTTTAGTTAAGATATAAGTTATGTAAGCAAGGTATCTGCAAGTCGGGCACACTCAATTATATCCACTTTTGCTTGTTTATTGAATGAAAATGCATTGGTTGTCTCTCTGTTTTTTGTTGTTGATATATTTATTTAATTGTAGAGAACCAAATCGACTCAAGCATTCATTGCTAATTTAATTAGCTAGATGAACGTGTTTAATTATAGAACTTGGCAACTGTTTCATTTTATTGCCCACGTTGCCACGAAATCTGCTAGATTATTGCCCCACAAGCACGTGAGCTGAAACGTGTGTGTCCCAAACTGAATCGGAATTATTGCAATTGCAATTGCAGTTGCAATTTAGATTTATTTTTGAAACGTTTCTAAAAATACGGCACAAATAAAAACCTATTCCAACCCCTTCAAATATATAATTGTTTCACGATTTTGCAGATAATTTCGTTTCAAATTTTTCAATTACTATGCATCGCAGATGAGATTGTTCTTGCCAAATTGTAAATATTATATTATGCTTATAAGCTGCAGCACATACGCACATTTATAGTACAATGGGCGATAGCCTTACCCAAGATATTAAGAGTCTAATATAGTCGCTTGTGGGGTTGATCCAATCGCTTAACATATTCATAAAGCGGGCATGGCACCGTCACATTTGTCAGAAAATTACATTTTAAATAGAATTTGCTGTAGTGGCTTGCTTGATCACAAAAGCGATCTCTACTCATACATATACATTTGGCTCTTTCACATTGGGCATTACAGTTGATTTGCCCTGATCTATATATATATATATATAAAGAAAACAGCATGAACTGATTGACTGACTGATGCTTGGTTTGACTGACTGACTGATTGACTGACTCTTTGATTGGTGATACTCTAAACGCAAATTTCCCTTTTGATCCAAAAGTGAGTTTTAATTAAGGACGAGTTTGTTTGCAACATATTTAATTTATATAAAAGCCACTTCTATGGAGCTACAGTTTTAGTAGCGCAAACTTCGAAAGTGTTTTAGCATTTAGATATTTTGACCTTGGCATCAGGGTATTGAGCAGTCGGTTACGCCCAACACAAGGTGCCAACAAATTAGAAATTGTTTTTATGAATTTGCATATTTTTGACATTTTGTGTAATTGTGTAAATAAAGTGCACATGTCTGATCCCATTTCGAATATTTTAGTTATCTTGATCGGCATCAAAAGATTATCTGAAATGGGGAATATCGATTTTTTGACCAACAATTTTGATTTGAATAATCTCTTTAGTTTTGACTAAGATTTATCGCTATTAAGCGTGATCAGGACGACAAGTTCCAGCTGTCCCTTGTTTGAACAGAGTATCTGGAAGTCGAGTGTTTTTGAGATGGTAAATTTGTATACATTTTGGTTGCACTTGACTTACGTCCATGTTTTCCGTGACGATTTATAGTGGATTTTCAACGTCGACGTCACAAACAGTTTCCACGCCATTTTTCTGCGCCACAAAATCAATTCGTTTGTACTTACTTGTGCTTGCATCTATGAAGAGTATATGTATGTATATATATGTATATATCCATAGTTACATACATACATAGGTATTTACACATATTCACATATTCACATACATGAGTGATGTGCATGTGTCGCCTTGTGTGAGTCCGATTTATGAATGTTTCCGTTCGTGTGCCTCCATCATATTTTTGACTTGGTCCAGTTAGTTCAGTTCTGTCATTTAGATCATACACATAAACTTCCACGTTCGGACTTATTTCCTAAGGACTTTAATATAGGACAATTGCTTTCGTGATTTATCGACGCTCCTTGCAATTACCAAATAAATAAATCATCATGGGCCTAACTATGGTTAGTACAATTGCCAAGGATACACGAACTGAATAACAAGAGTGAAATTTACATATCAAAGGATTTCATATATATTATATCCGATTAAAGTGAAGTGTGTAAGCGCCTTTGATCGCAACAAATGTACATTATTGTCAGCATAACTACAATCAGAAAATAAATCTCTCTGGAAATAGAAATTAGAAATAAAAGTTTAGATAATTTCACGGCGATTCGAATTCGAAATCCTTCGTTCGCGAGTTGAGTGATTTCCCACCAAGCTACGCGGTCTCTTAATAAACAAGAGAGAACGTTGCAGTAGGGCGTAACCGACTGCGAAATACTTTGCTACTATATGTTGTACCATCTGACAACAGGTGCCGCAGAACACCAAGAAATATCGATCTTTGAAGGAGATTTTTAGTAATCATTCATCTATCATTTAAGTTTGGCTTAAAAGTTGCGGCAGAGATGGGTTTTTGTGAATTTTGTGGCCGGAAGTCGTTTCCTATTAACCTTCTTTCCAAGTTTGGTAACTGCAGCTGTGACTCTAGCTTCCAAATTGTGGAAGATACTGAACATCTTTGAAGGAGGTTACCAGCACGTTATCTTCCACGTTTGGTGACTCAATTTTTTTAAAATTGTCGGAGATAATTGGCGCAGGTGTGGGCGTGGCCATACAATTTTTAATCGATTCTTACAGGTGATTCTACCAGTAATATATCTACAAAATTTGAGTGTTCTAACTCAAAAATTGCCATTTCCCATTTTTAGGAGCTTGCACAAACCCAATATACTTTGATATCTTCGGTTTCAAAGTATAAAAAACAACCAATCTACAACATAGCTTTCAAGAGAGCAAATTGTATTACTAAACATCGGGGTTTGCTCTTCTTCATTTCAGAAATTCATTTATTGATAATTGAAAATATTTATAAGAAATAAAACACTTCACACTTTTGGGATTGTAAATTTTAGGGCAAGCCTTTCTCATTTATTAAATTGTTTTTACTAAAAACAAGAAAAACTTACAAGTTTTCAGATTGAATTTCTTTTCAGAGCGATTTTCTAAAACTTTAATTTTTTGAGTGTAGCCGGAGCGATATATCTATAGTTCTTATCCCTGGTACCCTTAAAGCTATCTTGATGAAACTTGTAATTTATCTGGTTTTATTTTATGAAAGACAGAAACTATCGGTCGAAGGATAATATTTTTTTGGGAGGGAATGGATGAATGTCATATTTTATTTGATTTTTAATGTGTTGGCCTATTGATTAGAAATGCACTTTGAATTACATATAACTATATTATAATGATAGATAATATTAAATTGGACTATCATCTAGTATTGGGGCATTCTGAGAGTCTTTAGTCTGCCTATTGCTTCAGTGAATATGTGAAAATGTTCTGGTTCGCAACTGACAATAATATGATTGTTGAGGATGTATTCTTAGAGACTGGTGTACAAACAAGACTAGTGTGCAAAATTTCACTCATAAGCATTTGCCCACATCTGAATATTAAGCATTTATTTATTTACGTACAATCTACGCGTATACTTGTGTTTGTGTTTTACGATATAAATAAATATTGGGAAGATGCAGAGAATGAATATCGTCTTTGGGAAGAAGAGGGATTTAAGAATGAAAGACGAAAATTTAATGTGACAAATAAACAAAAAAAAAAAAACAACAAAAAAAAGGCACGAAAAAGAAAATATGAAAACTTGCTAATGTAATTTATAGTACGTTGTTCTTCTCGCTATCCCATTCAGGTAAATCGACAATAGCCCAATGCTGCATTGTGTCACCTGCACTGCACTTTGTCGCGGTGGCCGTGACGGGGGCAGGCGCGGTCGCGGGACGAGAGGGTTTTTGTCACCTCTCTGCAAAAAAAAATGTTGCGATTTTGAAAATGCAGAAGGAATTTTTGTTGTCAGCGACAGTTTGACTGCAGCCTGGGCAGAGGTGCGACTTCTTTTGGACACATGGCAAGCGATACTATAAAAGCAACCAAATCATTTTCAAAGTTTTACTCGTCTTCGTTAACTGATCCCCTAAGCATCCTTAGTTAGTTTGCCGTGTGAAATTTACATATCGTGCGTCGTGCAGCGATCCAAAATTCATCAATCAATCAATCAATTATCAAATAATCTGTGATCATGGGTGTAAGATTTTCAATTCAATTATTATACATAAGAATATTGTTCGTGTTTTGATATATACAAAGAATAAGGACCTACAAATTCAATGTGAAAGTGAGCGATTAAGAGATCCTCAGTGAAAGAAAATGTCAGAAACCAAATAAAATATTATTATATAATACAGAATTTTCGGAAAGAATTAAAAACTTACTTCCCGTTCCACATCCAACTTAACGTTTGGAATACTACAATTGAATCGGAACTAAACGTCATGATTAATATGTAACCCAATAAAATAAAAAACTTAGTTCCCGTGTAAACTCCACTTTAAACTATGGACTACTCAACAAAATGAAATTTCAGAAATAATCACAACCTTAATTCCCATATAATTTCCACTTGAAATTTTGGAATTCAACAACTTAATCAATTAATTAATTAAACAGCTTAATAAAAACTATTATAAAAGTTAAAACCTATTTTAACAAGGAAAAATTAACAAAAAATATAAATTATTATATTTTAATTGTGACTTTGTTCACTGATCATTTTTGATGTCGTCGCGGTCCAAGCAACTTGATTTGCATCAGCTTTCTTTTCTAAACTATAATCAGAAAAACAAATTGTACTGAATTTTAGAAATTCGCTATACTTTTCGACACATTCGAGGTTTTCTTTTTCTAATTTCAGGGTGAATTTTTCTTAAATTTACTTTGAAAAACTTACTTTCAACTAAGCAACTTTTAAAGCCTCTAAAGTAGACAACACTTTAACTCTAATAGAAAAGTCGAGCAAGTCTATTTTATTGTTTCTTTCTGGATTTAGAAACAATTATTATCCAAATCTGAGAATTTGCCTTTATACTTTTAATGGCTTTGTGCGAATGTATGTAACAGGCAGAAGGAAATATCTCCGAGCACAAAGAGAGGATATATTCTTGATCAGGATCAACAGCCGAGTCGATACCCGGCGCAGACCAATTTTGCTTTATTTTATTGATAACTGTTTTCGTTTCTCGAATATCGATAGATAACAATAAATACCACAATTGTGAATAAAAAGTAAAATATTTTAGAAATTTCTTATTATATTTATTTTTAAAAATTAGAAATACTTTATAGTTTTCAGAGTGGTTTTAATTTTAAGGCAATTTTCTAAAATTCAGGGCAATTTTCTTTCTGAGTGTAACGAAAGAAATTGCTTTCTTTCATTGTTATAAATTTCTCTTCTAAGGTTAATTTTTTTCAAAGAGCTAAATAAAAGTATTTATTATCTTTTATTCTTTTCTTTCTTATATTCACAGGATGAACTGCCAAAGGAACAAATTGCACGTGAGTTGAAGCGAAGCTGCATATATCTAATGAATGTTTCATTAACTCGATTGTTGTTTTTTTTGTTCGTTTTACGATTCGCAGTGCTTCGCAATGCATTCAATGCATTCGATCCGGAGAAGAATGGGTATATCAACACCACCATGGTGGGCACCATACTGAGCATGCTGGGCCATCAGCTGGACGATGCGACGTTAGCTGAAATCATTGCCGAGGTCGATGAGGATGGCTCGGGTCAAATTGAATTTGAGGAGTTCACGACGCTGGCAGCGCGTTTCCTTGTTGAGGAGGATGCCGAGGCAATGATGGCCGAGTTGAAGGAGGCTTTCCGCCTGTACGACAAGGAGGGAAATGGTTATATCACAACTGGAGTTCTGCGCGAAATTCTGCGTGAATTGGACGACAAGCTGACCAACGACGACTTGGACATGATGATTGAGGAAATTGATTCGGATGGCTCCGGTACTGTTGATTTTGATGGTAAGAGCGATAAGTGCTGTGAACATATATTTGAATAATTTGTCTAAAATGAAATTATTATATCTTTAACAGAATTCATGGAAGTTATGACTGGTGGTGATGATTAAAAGACCGAATATTATGAACCCAGTATTTATGATCCCATTAAGTCATCTTTAGAATCGGCTTTAGTGTATCCAAGCTACAATCTAACAGGATTTATTCCTAAATCTAAATTTAAATTCAGCAGACTATGCATGTAAATCAATTTAATAAATTTGGAGTTTGATGACAAACAATTATTAAATACGCAAACACCAATATGCAATATTTGATTCAAATTAAAAAATTAGACTGGAAAAGAGGGAATAATATCGGATATACAATTTGTAGTATGTTTGTACCATTAATAATATAATATAATATAAATATGTAAATTTATACAAATTACAACCGAAATGTCGGTTTCGAGAGCTTTGGTTCGCCCTTTAACTTAGAAATATCATATACTTTTAGAAACTCATAGATCTCCATATTTTACAAATATAAATAAGAAACTTAATTCATTAATCGATCGATGACTTTTTGGATTATTCAGTTTTCAGATATAAATATAAAAAAGTGGTCCAGATGCGCATAAAAAATATTAAAATATTTTTTAATGTTTATAGGAATTAATACCTATTAAAATGGTGAACATGTTTTAATCACGGTATGTAAATTTACATAATCGGCAGAAGGATGCGCCTAAGAAAGAGATTTTTACGATTTTCACTGCACGTATATGTAAGTCCATATATTGGTCCATATATGGTATTTGTTTTATTTATTTGGTATCTGTGATTAAATTTACACCAAGAAAAAAGTGGACTGTATTTTAAAAAGTGTATTGTATTTCTAAAGCGGAGTGTTGTGTCTTTATAAAATCAAGTGATTTTCTTTTCTTAATCCCAGGACAAATTTTCGAAAACGTAGCAAACATATTTCTTATTTCCAGTATATTTCTTATATGTGTAATTGGGAAACATATTTCTGAAAAATTAAAAACATACGAATTAAATATTATTTGTAAAAATAATAAAAACTGACTTTTGTCATATTTTGATCTCTTATCTATCGAGAGTAAAATATATTTTCGTATTTTTGAGATCAAGGCGTGGTACCGAATGTGCTCGATAGATGGCGCTTTGCTTAACCGCCATTTGTAATTCGAAATCATAATGGAAATAAGATCTTTGAGCAGCTTGGATTGACTGAGTGCTTTCTTTGGGTGCTCCATGAACTCAAAATTCTGATCGCTACATTTTTAATTTTTATAATCAAAATGAAGTAGAGCATTCAAACTTGCTTAGGGTTGAACCTCGTCTCACATTCGACAAAATTGTCAGAGCTTGGACATTTTTGCTTGGCTTTTTACAGAAGATCCGAAAAAAGGAGCTGCACCAATTTTTTTTTATTCATTTGATCTATGGAAAAATGATGAAAGTTTATAGTATTGGAAGAGCATGTAGGTATTTTGATTGATTGAAAAGTCGATGTGGAAATCAAGAATTGGACAAAAATGAAGTCATAAACTTGATGAACAATTGGAAAAGAATTCTTAAATATTAACTATATATAAAATAAATATATACAAATATTTTGAAGTCAAGAATTTGAGAAAAACGATGTCCTGAGCCTTCCAATTAATATTTTGTATATTTTGGTAAATTATTGATCAATTGCACAAATTTAAATCAAGATCGGATTAGAAGGACCCAAGTAATAGTCCAAGTCGAATTTTATATGTAGAAATTAGCGCATTTTCATTTAATAGCCAGGATATTCATAGTTCACCTCACTAGACTACATCACTCTTATTATTTCCTTTTATTTTAAATTGTACATTGATTATTGTTTTTTATTTATAGCTTTTGTTTTAATGTTAAATTTTATCTGAAATTTGTATTTATTAAACCTCTTTAAAAAATGGAGATCTGTTAGGTATGCACATTAAACAAATAAATAAATACAAAATAATTTCTGATAACTTGTTCTCTCTTTAAAGTGTGAATCTTTCGTAAACGTTTAAAAATTTGTTTTGATTCGGTTTTATCTAGGTTTCCTTCAATTCTTGGACCATTGATCCATTTTACATTTTAATGCCCCAGATTAAATATATCCTAATATTTTATGTATATATTTCGTATTATTAACCACATTTAATTTTACATCATTTTATTTGGCGCAATAGTGTTAATTTTATATTCGAAACTCTTAAACCTTATTTAGAAAATTAATGTTTGATAACTGGCTTTTTAGAGTGTGACTCATTCATTTTGTTATCAGCAATGCTGTGTCATCGGGTCGCTGGCATCTCGTGTGCTTCAAGTGGGGCAGAATAGAGTAAGGTGTTGCATCGTTCTATTTAGCATGCCAAGAGATCGATTGGCGCTGACGACGACGGCGGCGACGACGAATTCGAATTTGGCATTTGTTTCCACTCGCAAGTTGCAGTTGCAGTGTGTGCTGTGCTGTGCTGTGCTTTCTGATTTTACACGGTTCGTCGTCGTTTCTTATCCCGTGTAGGCAGCCAACCCGTGGTGACATTTGCTGTTGTCGTTGTCGTTTATATACGGCGTACAGACATCGAATTGGTTAGACGGTGGCGCTAACTCAATCTGATCGAAAGTTAATTGCAAATCAATCTTTTGGTGAATATTAAATAGTTCGATATTTATTATTTTTTTGCAATCAGAAATTTAACAATTAACTTTAATCATCGAATCTTAGATTTGACTTTTAATCATTTTCTACAAGCTTTTTTTAATAAAAAAATTTAAAAAATGGTGAGTTAATTATATAACTAAGTTAATCAATCGCATTAAATACAATAAATGATTATTGAGTGCACAACACATTTCTACAAATAAATCAATTTAATTAATGATTGGCCTTGATTGCAATCGCAAATCATTTGACACAGCAGAGGACATTTGTAGGGCATCAAATGCACAGGTGTACATATATATATATGTATATATATATATATATAATATATTATATATATATATATAATATATAGGTTTTTTTTTTAAATTCATAAAAAATGTGCTCTATGTAATTGATGGGATCGATGAATTTTCATTCAAAATCTCTTGCAAAAAATCTGTTTTTATATGTCTCTAAAAAAAGAGTAGGTCATTTGCAATGTGTTGATTAATGGCAACTAAATTAAAGGTACAAAATCCTATTTTGAGAACATGTCTACACGCAACCAAACATATGTATACGTAATTAGATTTTGCTTTCCTAATTAATCTTGTTCTCGTTTTTTTTTTTTTTGCAGTCTGAGGCGGAGTACGACAAAGATCAATTGAGAAGTATGTATATATATACACTCAGAAAAAGATCGACCTGAATTTTAGAAATGTTAGAAAATCACCATACTTTTGGCGCCAAGGACAAGTTACCTTATTATTCAGAAAGTACAATAAAAATTCTTTACATTTCTCTAAAACTTAATTTGTGTGAAAATTAGCTTTTCTGTTGCTTATAATATTAATACACATTAGTATTATACATTTTTTCGTATATACCAGCATTTTAGATGGCTTTTAAATTCCAATAGTTTAATTTGAAAAATTTACGGCGACTCGAACCGGCGAGTTGATTGACTGCCCACTGAGCTACTCGGCCTCTAAAGCACACAACAGCTAAACTCTAATCTAACAGCCGAGCCAGTAAATTTAATTACTTGTTTCTGAATTTTAGAAAGGGTTTCTTCTAAAAGCGAGGGCTTGCCTTTCAACTTTTTAGAAATACTATAATAATAATAGAAGATATTTCAAAAAAAATAAAAGATCACCTTTCTAATTTTTAGAAAGTTTTTTTCTTCTTATATTTAGAAATTATTTCGAAAAACAAGAAAAACTTTCTAATTTCAGGGCGATTTTCATTTAAGGTAGATTTTCTAAAATTCAGTGCAATTTTTCTGAGTGTAGCTTGTCTAAAGTAAGTCCGCTAATCTGTTGCTTGTGATTAGTTCTGCGCAACGCTTTCAAGGCTTTTGATCTGGATGGCAGCGGTCAAATCGATCATTCCGATGTCTCCGCCATACTGGAGATTATGGGCCAAAAGCTAGAACCACCAGCTGTGAAAGCTCTGATTAAGGAGGTGGATAAGGGCACATCCACTAAATTGAACTTCGCTCAGTTCTGTAAGCTGGCTGCACGTTTCATCGAGGTCGAGGAGGATGTGGGCGCCCTGCAGAATGAACTGAAGGAGGCATTCCGAGTGTACGACAAGGAGGGCAAGGGCTATCTGACGGTTGCCACACTCCGAGGCATTCTCCACGAGCTGGACGACAAAATATCAAATCAGGATTTGGATAGCATTATTGAGGAAATCGATGCTGATGGCTCAGGAACGGTTGACTTCGATGGTACGTAAATCTCGCATTTCCATTTGTTAAATTTTGTTGCTATTAAAATACTTTGTTTTCGAACTAATTACAGAGTTTATGCAAGTGATGACAGGTAATTAGACGAGCATTATTTTGCTTGTGCTTATCCACTAATCATAATAACAACAAATTCATTTGTCTCATTTTAGGTTAAGCTCTGGAGTACAAAATATTCAAAATGACATTTGAAAATTGGCTGAATAAGATACCACTGTTTTGTGTTTGAACCACAGTTGAAAAAATTGAGAAATATAATAATAATTTGTGAATTAATACGTATACATAAAATATATTCCGAAAGTGCAATAAATATAAGAATTATTATCAAGAGTTATTTAAAGCTGCATATGCAAGGATGAATTGTGATTGAAAGATGAAGAAATTGTTAGAATTTTATGGCCATAGAACAATGATTATATTGCATCTGTCAGTAATTGAAGGTGTATCCGTGGCCGGAAGATAGCGGTTCTTTTTTGTGTCTCAATTAACTTGGCTGTGAACCGCGAAATAAAGTCGAGAAAAATGCGACGACAAAGCTTCCACTTCCACATTTTGCAATACAACGAATCGCAATTGGTAACAAAACAAAGCAATTTAAAATCGATTTAGATCTGGTTTGTTGAGGCTTGTTCGAGTTTTTTTTTTCTTTCGCTGATTAGCTATTTAATGTTAACTGTTGTATTAGTTTTTGAGTTGATCGTGCGTCCTTGACAACAACATTATAAATTAGTTTGTTGTTACGCATGTTTACGAAATGAATTAATTAACAAATCACATAAGAAGTAATTATGCAAAGCATAAATATCGCATTGTATATTTAAATAGGTGTGAATTATAGTGTAGGTAAATAATCCACTCAGCGATTCGAGGAGATCATTAGAATCAATTGCAGCTAAAGCTTAGTCAAAATTTGCAATTTGCGAAATGATGCAAATCAGACAAAGTTATTGGACCTAATTTGGCAAGTTTTCGACAAATGAGGCCATCAATTGTGCCTGCAGTTATACTTTTATGTATAGATACTAGTAAAACCAGGCTCAAAGCAAACTAAAAGTAACATTTTAGTTTCATTTTCTTTTCTTTTTTTTTTTTTGCACAAAAATCGTGATTCACAGTTTTACTTGCAAGAGTCGATTTTTTTTTTTTTCGCAACCTATCACATTAACAAAGCCAATAAATTTGTAGAGCTCAAGAGCTCTTTTGTTTTTCTCATGCCACATTTGGGCGGAGGTGTTTGGCCAGCAACAATAATAACAACAACAACAACAACAGCAGCAATAGCAACAACAATAGCACAACATTAACACAACAAAAATAAATAAAGCAACAACAAATTCTCTTATTTATTCCAGTTTCTTACTTTACGCAGATACAAATCTTTTGTTTGCCAAAGCATAATGAAACCGAAAGTGAAGGTATTTTAATTGTGGGCAGGTTTTTCACTCTTATTCGTATGTACACAAATACAAACATATGTATCTCTGTGTGTATGTATTTGTACCTGTGTAAAGGGTGTGTATGTAATAAATAAAAATAAAAACGGATATCGATAAGCGAAAAGCTTTGAAAAGCGACTGAATTTGCAATGGCATTTAAGGCTGGCAGGAAAATGCTAAAACTAAAAATACATTAAGTATTAATGCATGTACACTTTATTATACCTATTTTTTAAACGACTTTTTGCTGGCTATAAGGAGCCATTTATTTTGAGTTATTTGTTGTTTGCTAAATAGGCATTCAAAATTGATTTGCAGTAGCTGAACAAATTAACAGGTGTGACTAGAGCGCTTAGTTCAAGAGTTGATCGATAAGTTCGTGGGGCAGATAACTGTAACAAATTCGAACTTAGATACTTGATAAAGTACCCTCGTATTTTGCGAACAACAATTGTCAATAGTTGAATTTATAAACTTAGCTTGAAAAAACCTTGATTCATTCCAAAAATGAGATTTGCCGTAATTGCTTCTCTGCCAGCCCTCTTGGGACTTGCAGCTGCCCATGTGAACACATTTCTTGACTGTGAGTTTTGCTAAACTGCTTAATTGATTCATCCATTTCTGACTACGTGTCCAGTGTGCCTGAAGCATGACGTGAAGGTATCATGTGCGCCAGCATGTCCCCGAATCTGTATGAATAACTACCAGGTCAGAAAGTGCCGACCAGCCAAGTGTAAGCCCGGCTGTGCCTGCGCCGAGGGCTGGGTGCGGAAGGACACAATTACTGGGCCGTGCATTCAACGGAGCGAATGTAAACGATGGATTCTATGAATGCTTTCAAGTGATGGCGAATTACAAGCCCAAATCTGAATAATTCTCTGTTGACTAGTTTGCTATTTCAAATATAAAAGATTGCAAGTTAAGCAACAAAATGCTCTTTTGTACCCTGAACTTGTTGCAAATATATAAAAAGAGTTTAAAGATTTTGTGCAAATGACAAGCAAAAGTAAGCATCTCCAACCAGATAAAGATTATATATTCTTGAACAGAATCAACATCCGAGTCGACATAGCCTTGTCTGCCTGTCCGTCTGTAGGGACTTAAAATTAGTAATATAAGTTATCGTATACCGTATCTAGATTTGGATTTTTGAGTATCTGGTTAACTCAAAAGTTTAATTCATATTCTTCATATTCTAGACATATTCTAGATACCTCTGACGTAACCCACGGCAGCCACCTTATTTATTAATGACCTTACCCATGTTATTTACTTATTTATTAATGACCTTACCCATGTTATAATGTATAATATGACGTCCAGTGCCTGACATATAATGACATGAGCTATCGATGATTACTGCACGCGTGCTTACTTTCTTTATTGTGTAGGTGAAAAAAGAATTGGCTCCAATTGAACCGCTCCATGTGCAAGATGATGTCATTTTATTGTAGCTTAGACCAGGTTGTAAGTTACATATTCGACGGAATGATTTACGTTTACACATTGACCAGAACAATAACCAAGTCAATAAAAGCCAAGCGTTGGTCAATCGGAATTTTAAGACTCTGATACTACCAAGATACTCTATACTTCTTTCGTACGGATCTTGACTGTGGTCTTCACAATATGCGATTCCCACAAGCAGATTGGAATATGTGCCAAAGAATTTCGACGGTATATACTCCCCCTTATTGATATTCCCTTCCTAACTAACCCTAATCTACTGGTCTCAATTGAGTTTTCTCGACTTTATTTAAATTTTATTTGTGAGTGGATCATTTTCCAATATTTTCTCTTAGTCTTAAGAGAAGTAAGGCTCATTTTTGTTTGTGTGATGAAATTGTTTAATGAAATATTACTTTTATAAGTAAGACAAAATATATAATATAATATAATATAATATAAGAATTCTGTATATTTAATTGCTGATTTATGTAAGGAATGTAATAAGTGAATAAGTAGTTAGTAATGTAAGTAATAAGGTCTTCTTAAAGATTACTAAGCCAGACCTTCAACCTTCGGGAGAGTTATATTATTATATATCCTGTCAAGTATTATTTAAGAGAGTATAATCAAATTTTGGGCAGTTTCCGTATCTTTTTTGCTTATGTTTTTCAAGAAATTACATTTTTAAATGTAAAAATAATTATCTTTATTATCTAATATAAATAGAGGAAGCTTAAAAGCTCAGATACAAGATTCGCTTAAGTTTTCAATAATATTATAATCTTGCAATCCTCCCACCAAACTTTTTTATATACAGACAACGTAACCACCCAAATTTCACCAACTAACTCGACCTTGTCTAACCTTGGCCAGTCGACCGTTTCAACCACAGACATACATAATTACGTACATATATACGTACATACATCATTTGGACATTTTGGCTGCTCTACCCGAAAACAAATGCAACTTTAAGACCACATTTCACATTTGGCTGACAGAGAGGAAATCTGTTTGGGGTGAATTACCGATTAAGTGGCTTGAGATGAAAATGCCAGAGCCCCACTGCAATGCCAGCCACTGGTATTTGCAACTTGCAACGTATTTGTAAATGTAGGGGGCACATATAATTATCAGCATGCACATGTTTATTTTCTTGGCTGCATATATGCATAAATGTTAAACTAACTAAATAATTAGCATTGTTTGATTCCGAATTCCAAAGGGCATTTCTGACACATAATTTGAAATTAAACTGAGATCACATCTTAAATGAAATACACAAATGATACAAATACAAAAATTAAATTAAATCATACCAAATTAATTTATAATTGAACATATCTAATAATTGCCATAACATAATGTATTAAGTATAGCATAATTTAACAAAGTGACTGAAACTAATTCTAATCATTATTATTCTTAAATAATATTCTTAAGCACATAGCAGTCGGAAAGAAAAATATGAATAAATATTAAATAAAAAATGAAAAATTTGAATAGAAATAGTTGAATACCTTTTATTATTTTTATACTTCATTTACTTTCTTAATTAATAATAACTAAAGTTGACAACAGGTAATTACAATATATATTTAATTTAATATAATGCTACAACCAAATTCTCACAATCTTTGCCTCCAGTTTGCACAAGCAATTTCAATTTTTGCGAGCCGAAGTCGAACTTTGGAGCCTTATTTAAGCTTGGTACCGTTCAGTCACCCAGCAGTCGCTTTCACCCCTTACTTTCCATAAAATCATTTCACACTCTCTACTAGACCAAATAAAATTACCAAATAATACGACTGAGACTTGGACACAGCAAACTCATCCACAGCATTACTTAGTCAAAAAACATACCCAATCAAAGCCAATAATGCCACGAAACAAAGGCCACAATTATTGCTAATTATCTACTTAAATTAATCTATGTCTATATGTTAATTACTTGTAAAATAATTAATTAAACAATATAAACATTCATTATCACCTCAACCTCTTTATAATCCACTAGTATTCCCCAAAAAGTATATAGAGCTACAAATTTGTCAATTAGCTTCCAGTTTAGTTAGTATGATATCTAAGAGAAAACAAAAAAAAAACTGTTTGAGCTTAAAATTGATTTAAGTGCTAAGAATCTTACTGTTAGTTTTAAGTTTAGTTCAATTCGAAAAAATTTTTGCAAGCTTAAAATCGATAAAAACTGACTAAAGCCGACTGAATAGTATTGACTTCCTAAAGGACTCCAAAAGTTTGTCTCATGATCAGAAACGCATTCAAAGCTGTATTTGCAATCATTTTTATGATTTTACTATCACAATTCATAAATGGATCATTTTATTTACATGTAAAAACTGTAGACAAACACACACGCACACACACACACACACACACACACACACAAACATATATATTTGCACATATTATGCAAGACTGGGTCCGCTAATTGCTTTAGCGTAGGAAAGACAGGAGCAGACAGTTTGAATGGAGCCATAAAGCAAATCAAAAGCAACTTTCTGATACGATCCTCAAGTTCGATTAGATTTCGTAGATCGTAAACGATATTCAAATGGCCAACGTCGCTGATTTGCTTGCGGGGGACGTGCAGACATCTTATGTAAACTTCCAAAATAATAGCATACCTTCACAAAAGTTCATAAGTTTTGTAGTTTATTAAAATGCAGTAAAAGTTGAATTTATATTTGCAAACTAAAATAAAAACTTAAGATATTCCTTTTTTAACATACATACATATGTACATCAAATATACCACTAGTCTTGCTTTGCATTTCTCTCTCACACTCTCTCCCTCTCTCTTTGGTTTAACAAAAGCTTTCTGGAGCTTGAGCTGAAAGTGAAGCTTGAGTTTGAGTCTGAGTCGGAGTTTGAGCTTAAGCTGCTGGCTTAACTGTAACTGTATTTGTTGCCGCTGCTGCCGCTGCTGCTGCTGCTGCTGCTGCTGTTGCGGTTTGTTGGCTGCAGCAGCAAGCAGGCAAGCAAGCAGGCAGGCAGGCAGGCAGGCAGGCAGGCAAGCAACTTCTTGCGCTCTTTGAAGCCATCGCGTGATTCATTCAGCCATTCCCCGTTTGGTCGTAAGCTCGATCGCAACAGCTTGCAGCGAGTGCTGTGTTGGTCTCGAAAGATTTTATATAGTCAGATCGGTTCGCCCAGTGTCAGTCAGTTTAGTGCTTAGAAGCGGTGCGCGTGCTTCGCCAAAACGCAGTGCAGCAGACTTCATTTTCAAGTAATATTTTCGTTTCTTCGGGTTTTTGGTTTTCTTGTGCTCCCCAAGTGGTCATCTGAGCGGATATCGTCAAATATAGTCGACATCCTGTTGTTGGCCAAGAAAACTAGTCACGATCATTATTGCGAATATATTCTCAGCTGGTGTTTCTCTCAAGTGTGCGCTGTGTGAAAAGCAAAATTCAAAACTAAATTTGCAAAATGTTATCAAAGTGCGCCATGTCGCAAAAGGGATTAAAACACTTAATTGCACTTGTGGCTCTAATTGCCTGCCTACTCTCGGATTTACCAGTGGCTCAAGCTGTTCGCGTCGGTACCCCACAACAACCGCAACGCGCCAAGGGTAAGCCAAATAATAATATTTACCCAAATTATAAAATATCTATATGCAACGATTAAAAAGAAAATAAAATCTTATCAATACGAGCCCCCTCGATTTGAATAAAATTATCAACTGTTTATTGAATGAATAATTAATGAATAATAATAATTTGCTCAGACACATTAATGATGAGCAAATCTTTAGGGATTTCTTTATTCGATTTTTTGAAACCAGTTAAAGTCCAGCTAGATCTGCTGGCAAAGCACGCGTTTGTCTCGCATGAGAGCGACGGAGAGAAAAAGAGCATTCAAATTTCAATTTTAATTAAATTTAATTAACAATGGCGAACTGGCCTTGTGCATGGTCCGAGGAGCACTTTCATTTTTTTTTTTTCATTTTTTTGCGCTGAGGAAAACAAACGTGGCGTATGCTTCATATGCAAACGGATGTACATATGTACGAATAAATATGTATGTATTTACGTATGCATGTACGCAAGCCATCCAACAAGCATAACAAGTTATTAATGGCACACACACAGACACACACACAAACACACACACAAACACACACGCACTGCAAAAGTGTCAATAACACGATTTATATTAGATGTGCATTGTTATAGTATTAAGCATTAAGCCGTCACTTTCCATTTATCACCCATCTACCAGTGTATGACATCGAAACCACTCGAAATTAACATCTCTGTTGTAGTGCCAAAGTTCACAAACAAAAATCGATAAAATCGAGAAAATAAAATATGAAAGAGCAGTAAGCGAAATAATAGCAACGATAGACCTGCCTTTATGAAGTGGAAAACAATAATTACAAAATAATAGAAAGTCTCGCATATTGCTCTATAGCTTATTAAGCTTAGTTATATTTTCAAACACCTCGTCGGGTTATGATCCAAGTCAAAATCTGAACTCTTAAATTCGTGAAAGTTCGCAACGATATTTTAGCCAACTTTATCAGGTGTCGTTTTAATCAGCTTTATGCCATTATGCACTACATCTCTCTCACTCTCTCTCACTCTCCCTCTCTCTCTCTCTGTCAGTTTGTGAAAAATTGAAAATTTTTCGCCTTGCATGTATATATTGTATTTTATGATAGGTCATTCCAAGCGGCTTTATTCAGTTGCCTCGCTCGACCAAAAGAGTGTTGAGCAACTAAACAGATCCGTAAACATGAATACAATACATATGTGTATGTATATAGCAATGTGGACAGTTAAACTTGACATTCGCATGTCGCCAAGAGACCGATTGATGGAGAGAGAGAGAAATGGATCTATTGTGCATTAAATAAATTGCAACTGTCAGTTGCCGTGTCTCCATTGTCAGTCCACGCTGGGGGGGTTCAAATTCCGTGTGAACATGTTTATTGTGTTATTGCATGTGTTTATTGTTGTATACAAAGCAGGCAAACAAACACAACACGATTGTCATTGACACGAACTTGCATACGTTCAAGAAAATCCAATCAGCTAGAAAGGGGAATAAGTGTTTTTTTTTCACTGCCAAAAATGGCAAATACTCAACATATAAATGTTCGTGGATGAACACCTATTTTGATATTTAAAACACCAATCCCTAGTTATGTATAGATACTTCAGCTGGAACCAATTGGAACAAAACAAACATATATCATTGAATTGATTCCCTGAAACACTGAAAACCCGTTTGAACTGACACTGCAACTGGGAATGTTAGAAATAATAATAAAAAAACAGAATTCATTGCATAATTTGTTATAAAATCGGAACTGGCTTAATTCAATTTTTTATTAGCTCCATCAAAAATGTTTGCAACGATATTCGAATTTGTTGTTTAAGTGATTTCTGCTGCTCAGTCAGTCATTAGCCAACATTCAGCTTCAGCGCAGCTCCTAGAAAAGTATTACAAATATGAGAAAAGGAAGTTTGTAAATGGCGCAAGGCACATATTGTCTTTTTTTGGTTGTTGGCCAAGTATTTATGTGTTATCTAACCCATTGCCTACACATTGTTGTACACAGACCAGGCGGCAATTATCAATGCAGTCGATTTTACGTAAATTGCTATGCAGATCCCATATTTCAAAAGTTTTTTTTTCTATTTTTTTTTTATTGGTGGTATCAGTACACTTGTAGACTTACTTACGTAAGCATGTGGCATGTGTGGCATTCCACAGAGACTCAAAGGAGTTCATAATCTACTGCAAATATTTTTATTATTTTTTGTTTTGGTTTGGCGCAAATCTAAACAACTTTCTTATTATTAAATACATGTGGAATGCAAACTCAATTTTAATTAATATGATTTGAATTTTTTCGTTTAATAGAAAATTCAGAATTGATTTTTCAATCAAATTTTGTTTTTTTTTTTTTATCTACATATATGCCTCTTTTCTTGGGTTGTCTACGAGTAACCGGGTTTATTGTTATTGAAGTTGTTATTGTTGTGGTTGTAGTTGATGCAGCCACACCTCAAAATATCAAAATCATAACTGCAACTATGACGTTTGGCGGCTGCTGTGAGCACGTTTGTCAAAATTGGCGCTGATGGCTTAGCTCGACTAGCGAGCAGTGAGCAGAAAGCAAAAGCCCAACTCCAAACTGAACGCAATATGGGTGTAATTATTATAAAATAAATATCGAACTAAAATCGCAGCGGAAAACTACACTAATTTCCTGCATGGCGACACACATTTATGCTTGTACATACATATACATATACACATACATACATACATATATGCCTATGTATCTTTTGTTCACATCTCATACAAAGTAAGTATCCGCAGTGTTGTATGGGAATCTGACAAAAGTAGGAAGTTGTATATGGCACACAAAAAGTGTTGAGCCTAAAAAGGCGGGGAACTTTTTGTCTAACTACTTAATTACATACGAACCATAATATTCACACAAAGTTATGCAAAGACAATTTAAAATGTATGCAAGTATTTTGTTTCAATAAATACTGTGAGATACATCATGAAGAAAAGAAAAAAATGTACATGCTGATAAAAAAAAAAATGATTTGGATAATAGACAGCATTTTTTAATCCTAGAAATATGTTTAACATTTTCATATATATTTTATTCTTTTTATTTTAAAAACTTTACTGATATTTGGATTAAATGTATGTAAGGAATCTTTATGAATTACATTATTTAATTAAATTTTTTTAATTTATATATATATATTTAGATATGCGTGTAAGGACTCTTTATGCATTAGATTAATTAATTAATTTGTTTTAATTTAAATATATATTTAGATATAAATATTTATATATTTTTTGTTGTTATTATTTTATAAAAATACCTTTTACAAGATGATAGCATATGTGGAATTGGTATCAAGTCTTTTGTGCTAGCCGAGATTGAAAAACTGAGTTTGTCAAACATGTACATGCCTCTTGCTTTACATTTATTTGAATAGGAAAAGTAGATATATTTTTGTTATATATATATTTTGATATATATGTATCTGGTCGAATTAGGGCGAATGTTCGAGTAGTTCCATTCCATGAAAGTGTCTATTTAATGGTGTGTATATTTTACAGACAGGATTAATGCTTTACAAATGCTTAGCACACTCAGACAATTATGCATTAATTATGCATAGTGCAAATAACAATGCAAATTTTCTTGAGACACTGCAACACAATTGGCATATTGTTGTCTGTCGCCAGCATGTACTTATGTATTGTGAAGAACGTATACTTAATATCATATCCGTTTTCACAGGTACGTATAAATAATATTACAGAGTTTGAAGTGCAATAAATACAGATTAGTAGCTAAATGAATTATTTATGCAAATATGCGTACATCATCCAAACACGTACCTGTACATACATACATAGGTATTTAGATAGACATGCCAAATTCAAATTCCAAAAGCAAACCCGTTGAACCCGTTGCAAAAACTGAATCTGTATTTGGGCGCTGAGACTGAGATACATATTTTACTTTTTGCACAAGCAAATGTCACGTTCGGATTTAGTATTGTTTTGGAGTTTTAGCAGACGTTGCGACACAATGCACACACGCGTACACACACACACACACACACATATATATATATATATATATATATATATATATATGCATACATCAAAGAAATATGCTAAAAAAAAAAAACTAATTCAAATAACCTGATACTGTCATTGCCAAGAATAAATGATTTAAGGTACTTAACACACATTTAAGCCATAAGGATGGAATTCAAACGGGTTTCTCACACTATCGACCTGGCCTGCACGTAGTTTTTGTTATCGGGCTAAATGATTCCGCACACATCGCAACCCAAATCTTGCCAGCTGTCAACTTTTCCAAAGTTTCCGAATTGCAAATATATCTTTGTCTATTATGTGTTTGTTTTTTCCCTCTTTTTTTTTTTTGATCTGCATATTGCGTATAATGCATGTATAAACAGCGATCAGCCCAGATATAGCATCTGCATATGCGGTTTAATAGCAAATTTAAACACAATTTGCAAAACGGATCCAAGAAATATAAAAATTTGATAACCACAAGTATATATATAAATAAATTAATTTGATGCCAATTGTTGGTTTTTAATAGGAAGCAAATTTGGCGATTCATATTCACAATTATCAAGATCAAGCAACATTTTTGGCAAACTTTTTTGCCAATTTATGCGTTTGGTGACATAACTGGGTCAAAATCACGAAAATTTACGCGAATTTAGCAATTCCTTTTCGGTTTCAAATACACGTTTATAAATGCGAAATGCCTTAAAGTGTGCAAAAAAAAAAACAAAAAACAAACACATATATTTCGTATATATATTTATTCGATATACAAATACATGTATTTGTGGCAATTTAATTAGCATTGCAAACCTTTTGCGAATTTCTTGCAAATCAAAATCAAAATCAATCGCAATCTCCGCCTCGTCTTGCTTAGCCTCGCCTCGTCTCGCCTTGCTTTGCCTTGCCGCGTCTCGCCTCCACCATGCCCCCGAGCCCCTGTCCCTGATGTAGCAATACCCTTGTGCTTCAAAATCTGGC